CGCCCGTCCGTCCGTCCGCCTCCTTCTCTGCGCAACATCCTTACTGTTCCATCTTCGATCCAAATCTCTCCAAAATCCTATCTATCAAACCTCACTTGACCACATGTACCTGAATCATCTGAATACAGTACTTAGTACCTGCTGTAGTGTGAACTTGTGTAGATGTAGGAGAAACAAAGAGAAATGAATAGTATGTAAAGAAAAAAAAGGGGTTATAAAAATAAGTACATATACTCCAATTCATTAATAACAATAGATCTAGATATGCAAGAAAGGAATTCATACAATTGTGTATGAATAAGTTATGTACAAATCAGGGTACCAAAAAGGGTTGATATGACATGATGGCTGTTCTGTTCAGCATTGCATTCTTTTTTCTTTCTTCTTCTTCGAGGTCATCTATGCATGCAGTCATTAGACAAGAGGGGGAAAAGAAAAAGAAACCAATAAGACAGACGCTGGCGGATAGAGGAATATTGACAATTGACAGGGAATGCTAGACGCCGAATACCAGGATGCAGACATATCGGAATCATGCAATACAACTCGCTGGACTTGGGAATAAAAGAAGAAAAAGAAGGAGGAGGAGGAGGAGGAGGAAGGTTATAATGTGGTAAAAATAAGGCCCAAGGTAGAATAAACTTAATCAATGCTGTCGTCAAGGGGTTTGGCTTCCCCCATCGTCGAGACTGGCCGTGTTCGCAGGCCGAAGCGGCGCGTGCCGCCGAAGCTGTCTGCGCGGGCCCGGGAGGGCTGGATAGGCGTGTAGCTGGTGGCGAGCTTGTGCGACGGCGCGATGATGCGCGTCTGGTATTGTTGTGCCGGGGTCGTTGTGGTGGTAGCGGTGGTGGTGGTATAAAAGGCCGGCGTGGCGTCGCCACGGGTAGTAGAAGTAGTAGTAGTGGCCGGGTCTGTGGACCCGCTGCTGGTAGTTGTCGGAGTGAAGCCGTAGCGGCGCGAGCCCGGTTGGATGTTGAGGCTCGAGGCGAACGGGGTATAGTTATTCGTCGGCTGGGCCAAGAAGCTCCGTCGTAAATGTAGGTTGTTGGGCTGCTGCTGCTGCGTCGTCGGAGTATGCGGCGGCTGTGGTACCTGCGGCAGGGATTGCTGGGGCGGGATCCGCGGCGAGAAGGTCTGGGTGGTTTGTCGCGTCTGCAGATCGGCGGTCAACGAGGATGAGAATGAAGACGATGATGGCGCAGGCGGCTCAGACAGCTCCCGGGAGGTTCGATGCGACGACGATACCCGGGGTAAGCCAGACACTGCTCCTCCTCCTGCTGCTGCTGATCGGACGTCTTCGGAGGCCTGCAGGCGTCTTGTCCGGAGGGAGGTAGAGAGACGGCTTAGCCGTGACGGGGCCGGGGAAGCAGCGACCGACTTCGTGTCTTGCATCTGACGGGGACTCGTGTTTGTGGTGATATTCCCGAGCGTCGCCCTGCGGACCTCTAGCCGACTGGTGGAGACGCGAGGAGGGTGGTTGCTGTACAGACGCGCGTCCGGTTCATGGCTCGCCGCGCGTTGGAAGGAGGGTGGTGTGGGGGTCAAGCAGTCGGCTTCTAGAAATTCCCGACGGGATGGTTGTGTTGCTGTAAGTGTTTCACTGCTCGTAGAAGTACCTGTGACTGGCGGCTGATCCTCAGATAGAGCGAGGCAGAGCTCTGTTAGACTACGGCAGAGGCTCTCTGCTTTCCGCCGCGCCTGTCTTTCAGATGTACTGTACCCGTTCACCACCGAGACACTGCTTGAAAGGGGGGCGCTACCACCTAGCATCGATGATAATTTGAGTGCATCTGTCACGGTGGCTTCTAGAGTGTTGAAAACCTCGCTGCGGACGACGCCCTTGGCCTTTGCCAGCGCTGCATGCAACAACGGATGGGCTTGTTGAAGCGCTTCTTCTTCGGACATCGCTGTCGGCGCCGTTGTCACGACGGTCTTACTATGACCTCCCGTCTTGGGTGAGGAGGACAGAGTGGTGACGGTAGTTGTGGCAGTGCGCGGCCGTTCCCCAGAGATGGAGGACATGGCCGCCTGGGACGAGGGGGGCAATTTGCCCGTCAGCTCAAGCTTCTTAATGCGCGATTTAAGATCATCCAGCTCATCCCACACTGAGGGGGCTGTGGTGGAGAGGGTAGACTCGGTGCCGTCCGGCCGGGACTTGTTGTCCTGGTCGGTCGCGCGCACTGCGCGCTCGGTTGCCTCGGAAGTCGATGTCTGGCGGCTGCTGCGGATGGTGGAGAGAGTGGAATTGCGGTAGAGGCGGTTTTCATGCAACGAAGCTCGTCGCTCGATGCCTAGCGGCAGTTGCAGTTGCTCTGGCGAGTCCGGCGACGCGGAGTCCGGACTGGTGCGACCAAGGCGACTGCGCCCCAGGCCGATCGTCGAGCGCGAGCTGGAGCCGCCGCCATTAAAGTAGCGCGTATGAGAGTGGTCGTCACCGAGCGGATGAGCAGACGCCGACGATGAGATCGGCGCCGTCGCGGCATACAGGGGGGACTCGGTGTCTGCCGCTGCCGAGTTTCTGAAGCGTAACTGGTCGGGAGAGGCGGTGGTTTCCTTCTTGCTGCTCCGTGCGGTGGGCGACCGAAGGCTTTGACCTGCAAATCCAAATCGAGACTATTCCATCAGCAAGGGCGCTCCCCAGACGGGGGGGAAGAAGGGGGGAAGAAACGACTCACCCGCCGGAGTTCAGAACGTCCAAGCGAGTCGCGCCGTTGGGAATCCGCCTGGGCGATGTTCAAAAACACGTCGTCAGTGCGGCTGCCATCATTGGCCCGCGGGCTGCCGCTGCCATAGGGGACAGACATCGACATCTTGCTCTTCACACCGGGGTCGTCGTTGTGGTGGTGGTGGTGGTGGTGGTGGTGGCTGGGCAGTTGCTTTGCGGCATCAGGAGGTCCGTCGAGCGCGGCGATCCCGCTGGTCGTTGTGTAGGCTCGTTTTCTTGTACGTATCGAAGTAGGGGTTGTGGTGAAGCCAGAGCTTTTGTTCTTACCGTCGTAAAGGTGGTCGTAATCGTGGTCGTGGTCGTGGTTCTCGTTGCTAGAATTGTTGCTGTCGTTGAGGTTGTTGTTGTTGTCGTCGGGCGCCGCTAACGGCGGATGGCGGTCACGGGAATCAGCACCCAGGGCCAGCAGGCTCAGGCGCTGGTGACTTTTGTATCGCGGCGAGGTCGAGGGCCGGTCGGTCGCCAGCACAACGTTGGACAGGTGGGAGGCACTCAGGGGTCGCCGTGACGTGGGAGTGGCAGCAGCGGCGGCGGCGGTTACAGCAGCGGCAGCCGTGGAAAAGGTGGTTGTCGTCGGGGAGGGCGCGCCCATGGATCGTCGAGCGAGCACAGCGTGCGGAGAAGCGTCGTCGGGCAGATAGGAGGAGGTCCTACTGCCGGGACTGGCGGCGGCGGCAGACTCTGTTCGTCGTCGGGAGCGAAGACCAGACAGACTGCTCCTCCTCGACGAGGACGAGGGCGAGGAGAGGAGGGCTGGTTGCATCTGCACGGTGACCTCAGGTGCAGCGGCTGTCCAGGGTGGCACAATCACAGCGATCGCTGGAGGGGGGCACACGCCCGACAGAACGGAAGAAAATGGGAGTCGAAGGAAGCGAACCTGGGCCCTAGAGTCGTCTGACGGATCGAGACCAGCAGCTGGGATCTGGTCGGGGTGGAAATGGGCATTTTTGGCGACGGGGAAGAAGAGAGCTCTTAGCTGTGGGAGAAAGTGGGAAATTGCGTGGTCAGTGCTACAGCGCAAGAATTTCAAGTAGTAATGATAATCTGCTATTTAATATTCTAACCTGAAGTTGTTTATTCTTACCTGCTAGTCAAGTTGTTCTGTTTAATATAATCAAGTGTCAACTATGGAGTAGTTATGGCTAGTTATTCAGTGTGCGACATAACTACATAAATAACTCCTGCGTATAACTCGCAGTAATACTCCGCCAGGCACATAGGTATTATTGAGGCATTCAGGCACCCGACAGACCCTGATAGTATCAGCAATTATACCTCCACCCTGAATTCGAATTCTGTAGGATAATAGCAGTATTAAGACTCCGTGCTTCAGCTTCAGCTTCAGCTTAGCTTCAGCTTCATCTCCATAAGCTCAGACCGACCGATCATCAAGTCCCTTATCCACGAGCTGAAACTAATCCTCCGGAGTCCGGGTGCAGGTGGACACCTAGCTCCTACAAGATTGCCCTCACCAGAGCAGCTAAAGCTTCAGCTACTCCGTAGCTCCCTTCTGGTTAATTAACATCCTGTCCTGTCCTGTCCCTGTTCCTGTCCTTCTCCCTCCATCGCCACCATAAGCGAGACACGTGACCCGCAGCGGGTGTTTCAGGCGCAACGCGTTGGAGCGTCGATTGTTTCAGTTTGAGATGGAGCGGTAGATCTGCTGTGTCGCATCATGGAGTGTAGTTTGGCAGTGTCTATTGACTATTTAGTATCCAGCTGGTCCATAAGTTTTAGGGGAAAAAATGATCGTTTAAATCTGTATTGACACTTGTGGCTATCTTTTCTTTTCCTTTTCTGTTCCCTTTTTTTTTTCTTTCTTTTTTTCTTGACGACGATGAGGAACGAGTTGGGATGCGTCACGACGCAGGTCAAGGAGCGGTTGAAAAGGTGGGAACTCCTTCCAGAGCTAGCATGATGATGATTATTATTATTTGCATTACTTCTCCTTTTGATTATTACATTACTTGGTACTCATCCTTGGCCCTGTCCTGTTCGATCTCGCTTGTGTGTGGAGGGATCAACACTGCTCACCATTACCAATACCTACCTACTACATACCTGCTGCTCCCCCCTCCCAACAATCCCAAGAACAGTTCCCTTCCTTTCCTGTTCTTTTCCAGAGCCTCCTCCCAGCTCCAGAGGCCAGAGGAACCCACTGCTGCCCGTTGATTTGCCCTCGTAGGCGCCGTGATGCACATATCGCCTGCCGCTGGCTAAATATAGGCCCTGCTTTGGCCCCCAGTTGGCTCCGATCGTGCCCACCGCGCGCCCGGGCTGCGAGATTCTGCGAGACAGATCCTGACCCAGGGAGTCTCCTGGAGTTCTTCTTGCTTGTCGAGGAGGCGAGAAAGAGGACTCGGAGAGGCAAACAGCAAAAGTTTCTACTGAAAAACACAAAGACAGAAAAACACATACAGAGAGAGAGAGAGAGAGAGTCGTTGTGCCTGTCGACAGCTGAAACAAGCCCCCTTCCGCGCTTCCCTCCACCCCAACCCCTCCCCTCCCTTCGTTTTCGCTGCGGTCGGTTTCGACACAGGTTTTTTTCCGTGAGCCTTGTCTGGTGCCTTCTTCCTGTCCTTACCTTGCGTCCTCCGTCGGTTCTTCTCTCCCTTCTTCTGCTGTCATCGCCAACGGAGCTTCTCCCCTCCTTCCCTTCCCATATCGCTGGTGTGGTCATTCCCCGGAGGAACGACTGTCCTTCGCTCAATCACGAGCACGGGCGGCTATCCCAGATCTTTTCCCCCTCCCCCCAATTCCCCCTCGCTGCCCTTGGACGGCGGCGGCTATTATATTTCATCTAAATTCTCGTGGACGGTCTTTCTCGTGCTGTGATTGATCGTCGTGGTTGAATTCCTGGTTCCTTGGGTATGTCTTGCCGCGTCGTGCCGACTTGGACCTCCCTTCTCGTTCGTCGCATTTCAAGAATCCCTTTTTTTTTTTTTTCCCTTTCCTTTCCTTTTCTTTTCTTTTGCTTGTTTATTCCATTTGATAGACTCTCATGCAATCGGACTGACAATTTCAAGGCCATTTGCGCAGGTAGCAAGTGCACCACCCTCACCACCATCCTCACCACCATCGCCACCCGTCCCCGGTCGGTCTCGGTACGAATGCGATCTTCATAGCTACTGTTCTGTCTCTTTTACGCCCACCTACTTGTCCGTCCCTCCCGACGAGCTGGAAAGGGCCTCCCCTTCCAAACGTCGCTCGGCTTCAGGGTTCCGGTCCGCCATGCCAGTACAAACCAGTCCCCCGTCCCTGTCGGACTCCTTCCCGTCATTTATGTCGGTCTTTGGTGCTGGGCGAGCCTTGACCTACGCCGATTCCGAGGGGGACCGTCACCATCATCTTCAGCGGCAGGGCCCTGCCAAATCGTCGAGGCGCTTCCGTCGTTTTGTCCATCGCGAGAGTGTCTCCTCCATCACCTCCGAGTCTACTGAGTCCTCGCCTACTACCACCGTCTCCACCTTTGATTCCCCTCTGCTCGCCGACATTACTCCTGGCTCCTCTCCCGAATCCCCTTCCGCCATGCCCCCTTCGTATCCCAAGTTCGTGCCACCGTCGGCGTCGGTCGATTCCGTGAGACGGTCGTCGGCCGACGCGTCATTGGCACTCCCGTCTACCACCACCTCGAAACGGGCCGACTCCCCTGGCCGGCGCGCGCGCAACCTCAAGAATCTGTCGCTACGCATGCCCGCTCCATCGCCGTCGCGGCCCGCCATTGCCACCGCCTCGATCGTCGAAACAGGCAGCTTGCATCATCATATGTCCGCTCCCCCTTCGCCTACCCTCCTACAGACGGCCAAGCCCGCCCGTCGGCGGCCCGCCAACCTAACCATTCGCACCCCGGGCCTGGACCGCCCGTTCTCCAGCAATATCCTCGAGGTGGTGCCGCCCACCCCCGGCGATAGTCACCAGTTCCTACGTCATACCGAATCCTCACCGTCCCTGGTCTCTGTCTTCTCCCCTTCCTTTGCTCCTCGGGGCGGTATGCAGCTACCTCGACCCATGACGCACCATGGCGCGCGTCGCCCATCGGCAACCTCTGTGGATAGCTTTTCCACGTTACCTTCGGTCTCCGACGAGAATTCTATAGCCGGTAGCGTTGTAGGTGGTGCTAATGCTAGTGTTGGTGCTGGTGCCGGTGCCGGTGCCGCCGGCGGCGGCGGCGAGATTCTTCACGAGCTTGATGAAGAAGACGATCATCTGGATTCGCGCGAGTCCAGTCGGAAAAATGAACGTGGCTATCCTGACGGGCCGATCCTCATCTACGACGAAGGGTTGTATCTGTACCTGGAGCCCACTCGGGCAGAGGCCGCCGCGTTTGACGTTGTGATCAATGTGGCCAAGGAAGTGGTCAACCCGTTTGGTGGCCAGAAGAAGAGTGATACGGTGGTCAGCACTTGGCGGAGTGTCTCGTCTCCTGCACTGTCGGAACCTCCCACAGCGCAGTCGCAGACGTCGTTCCAGTCCGCCATGGAGTACCTGGACCCGAAGAGTCCAGTAGTTACCAATGACCACTCGTCGCCGACAACGCCCGAGTACTTCCATGTGGGATGGGACCACAATTCCGAAATCCTCGAGGATCTGCATTCGTTGTGTGAACTCATTGATTCCCGGCTCGCGCAGAGAAAGAAGGTTCTGATACATTGTCAACTTGGTGCCAGCCGCTCCGCCTCCCTGGTCATCGCCTACGGTCTGTACAAGAACCGCCACCTGGACTTCAATGCCATGTACGGGATCGTCAAGGCCCGCAGTCGCTGGGTGGGACCAAACATGAGTCTTATCTATCAACTGACCGACTTTCGGTTACGATTGACCCGTTCTTCATCATCGGCGGAGGCCTTGTCGGAGATGGCGGAGATGACGGAGACACCGCCTTCGCCTCCCTCTTCTCTTCCCCCCAAATCTATGCTTCTCAGTCCTACGCGCTTCTCAGAAGATACGGAGAGCCAGCGAGACTCGTCGATCATCTTCTCACACACCTCCTCCACCAGCTCTCTGTCTACGCCGTTCTTCGATCCATCTGCCCCTCCATCTGCGCAGAGTTTGGGATTCTCCAAGTCCTCCTCCCAGAAACGCAGCCTGTCTCCCCGACCTTTACCTCTACGACAGCGAATGCACCCTGGACGCGACTTTGGGGAAGGGAACGAGAGCGAGCCCGGCCGTCCCGAGGCCACCCGTTCCCCGTCTCGAAGGGATACTCTCGAGTCGGAAGCTCCTCCGGTACCGTCGCCGCCGCTCTTCTCCCCCCGGACGACTGGCTTCCTGGCCCCATCGATCAATCAGTCGCGCTCCTTGCTCGGCGGGTTGATGGCCGTGAGACCTGCTGAACCGCCGCTTGGGTTCGCTTCGCAGGCCGCCGATCCGCGATCACCGCCGGCGGCGATGGAGCGATTGATCATGAGAAACATTGATGAATTCCTGTAGCTGGTTTTTTTGTATGATTATACCAGCCGGGGTTGTGCACGGCACATGTCTTATCTACATTCCTTCACTCACCTCGACCAGAGTTGGATCGTCTTTGATTCTTTTTTTTCTTTTTCTCTTTTTCATCATTTATTACCTACCCTCTTTCGAGTCCCTCCATGGACCGAAACCTCTTCCATCGATGACCTCGTCTCGACCTTCCATTCTATGAATCATGACCAAAGCGGGCTTTGCAGTCGTTCATTTTTTTCACTTTTGATTCCACCATGGCCTGATGTTCTGCCTGCAATTGCGGCGTCTGGGGCCCAAAACGGCTACGGCCTGCCTGTAATACTACATTCTTTTTTCTCTTACTTTGTTGTCTTCATGCGTCAGACGAGGCATGTATGCTATACCCTAATGATACACTGTATCTAAATGCACAATGTGTAGAAGTAGTATCTACTTTGTGGTAGTAGTAGAAGTAGTAGTAGAAGTAGTAGTAGAAGTAGTGTCCATCGAGTGGAGTGCGGGGTTAAGAATCTACGGGAACTTGTTGGAGACCAAATTTTCAACCATGACACACCCAACGCACCTTTCCCCCAGCGAACTGGGCACAAAAGAATAGTAAGAAACAACAAATCTAGTGTATGTGTGATGGGGGATGAGATGAGGATTGCTAACGACTTGACAAAGCTGGGAATCGTTCTACGAACGATCCCTCTCTCATTTAAAATGTGAGCACGAAGACGAGCATGGAGACTCGGATTCCGACTCGGACGACTCCTTCGACGACGATCTCGGCACCTCATGGTTCTCAGAGCACCGCGCCCCGGAGAAAGTAATGGGGTATTTGACCTCGACGGGATTCCCTCTCTCGAGCAACAGTACGGCTACGGTTCTCGATCTCGGGACGGGCAACGGGAGCATGCTCGCTCTACTCCGCAAACATTTCTCCGGCACGATGGTTGGGGTGGATTACTCTGCGCAGAGCGTCATGCTGGCACGCCAATTACATGCGGACAAGAACATCCGATTCGAGGAGTTTGATCTTCTCTCTTCTTCTCCTTCTTCTTCTTCTTCTTCTTCTTCCGAACACCCCCCCTGGTTTGTGGAGGGTGGGTTCGATATAGTGCTCGACAAGGGGACTTTCGATGCCATCTCGCTCTGCGAGGAGGTACGGGCCGGAAAACGCGTGTGTGAGCTGTACCCCTTGCTCACGTCTGGGTTGGTGCGTCGCGGCGGGTTTTTGGTTGTCACGAGCTGTAACTGGACGGAGGAGGAGTTGATTAAATGGTTCACGGGTGTCAATACCGATGCTGATGCAGGCGAGACGCCTCTGTTTTCTGTCTTTGGGCGGGTTGCGTATCCTCGTTTCCGGTTTGGGGGGCAAGAAGGTCAGGGTGTGTGTACCGTTTGTTTCAAGAGAGAATAGATACCCCAGTGGGTAGGTAGTTTGGTTGGGATATTGCTGAGAGCAGTACAAATGAAAAATTGATCATTTTATATCGACTGCCATTGGGAGGTGATCAGTGCTCAAGTCAACTATGAGATAACTAGTATCTGCTTTCTTATCAAGAATAATCACCTTAGCTTAGCGAGGGTGGGTGTAGCATGTAGACAGGTGCACAAGATAGAGTACAGAGTAGGCAGAAAAGATGAGTAGGCAGCTAGTTAGTAGTTATCTAGAATAGTCTGTGAGTCTGCCGACCGAATACAATGCCCGAGATGGTTTGATGTAAGAAATATGCGATTGAAGAGAATCAATTATAGCAAGTACAAGTACTAATTGTAGCTCAGACCTCAGCATGTGCCTTGGTGCCTCTCCTAGACTCGTCGATCGTTCCTGATAAACCAACCATGGCTGACGGGAAGACCTTAGTTAACTATTACCCAGGTACCTAGTAGTTATTAGCTAAGGTAGGTAAGTAAGGTATAAGGTAGTTAGTTAGTTACTATGTAACTAGTAAGGTACTTTAGGGAGGCAGCACTACCTCTTAGTAGATTACTATGTAGTGCTTTGTACTTAGTGTATTACAGATGATGAGTGCGTCTTTGTAAGTTTGTCTCCATCAATCCCGGTTTCGCTCAACTCTTTTCCAGCCGCTCAGGAGCCAGAATCCAGAATGATGTCATGGTCCACAATAGTACAACAAAGGATTTAAAAGTACCTACCTAGACTGTAGAGCACCTTTAAGATTACTATAGTTATACTAGCTGTAATATATATTAATACTTATATATATATATATATTTATATATATATAAATTTAGTTCTTCTAGATGATACCTTATATACCTAGGTATAAATTATAAAAGTACTAACTCAATCTTATTGCGTGATTTTTGTTATCGCATTGCATGACAATACAGGTATTACTAGACAATACTAGCGGTATCAGCGGGGCCGGTCTGGACCATGCGATAAGTGTGGACTTGGTTGATAATCAGGATAACTAGAGATACGATCGATCAATGTACAATAATTATTATGAAATCAATACTGCTCTGTAAACTATTATAATAGATCTATAATAATTTATCCTGTATAGCACTTCGCTTTTCCTAGTACGGAGTACTATGTAGTATTATGTAGTATGCGTAGGTATGTAGTACCTAGTAATCACTGGTAGGCGCTGTCCCTGTCCTCGAGTGGACCAGCTGACCAGGTGTATCTGTCCTGCCCCGTGGCCTTCTTAGTCAGGAACGCCAGAACTGCCCTGAGAAAGGCACCCCCGGAGGCAAGTTTCGCCTCTTGTCAACGTTCTGTCCCAGCGCTTCGCTAGCTACTCTCTCTTCTGCACGCCGTCAGCATTCCATCCAGGAACCACCTCTTCAGCCGTCTTCTACCATTGCCATCATTGTTCCTCCCGCCCCGCAGGCGACGCCTCGACCTCAGCGCCCCCGCAAAATTCCCATCAGGCCGAGCTATTTTGAGCATGCTCCTGGTTCGCTAGCCGGCTGCCTTTCCCCTCACTCTCAGACTGCCACTAGAGTTATTCCTCCTCTATCTCTGTCTCTCTCTCTCCTCTCTCTCTGTTAAATCTTTTTTTTCGGGGCTACCAACATCTTTCAATTAGCCTGTTCGCTGACTTGGCCTGGGGCGTGCTTCTCCCTTAACTTGAATCGCTGTGCCCAGTGCCCAGTGCCCACTGTATCCGCCAGTCAAACCCTCTCGGGGCTGTTAGCCGCCGCCCCCGAACCCTCTCACCTTACCCGCTGGATTTCCACCACCATCATCAGACACACCACCCACACACATCTCTCTCTCTCTCTCTCTCTCTTCCTCTTTTTTTTTTTTTTTTTTTTTCCTCTGGAAGTCTTGAATCAAGCTGGTTCTGCAACCATGGCGTCCTTTAAGGTCTGTTGATTTACCCCCTTGAATGTCTTTGAGAATTGTCGGGTTCTGCTGTCCCCCACCCACTTAATTGCGCCCCCCCCCCTTGTGCCTGATGTATCTCATGACTGACTCAATGGATTTCTGTAGGAATTGTCCATGTCCCGGCCACTGCCCCAGACAGGCCTCCCCGTCCGCCAGAACCACCATCCCCGACATCACTCGCACTCGATCTCGCTTGGAGCCGCCAACTCGAACCACCGCGTCACCCGACGGAAGAGTGTCACCATCACTGCGGCCGCCAATGCCGCAGCCGCAGCCGTTGCCACCCTTAAGGACGAGTCCGGCGCCATCCCCATGGCCTCCTCCCAACGCAGAACATTTGCCAATCGCAAGGGCCTCGAGTCTACCTCTCTCGGAGCCCCCTCCGCTCTGGCCGCGGGGTCCTCCTTTCTCTCGCGAAGTCTGAATAACCAGAGCCCAGAGCATGATCACTACAACCACTACAACCACCACCACCACCACCACCAACAACAACACCAACAACAACAACCACGTACAGCTGCCGCTTCTGCTGCCGCTGCTGCTGCCACTGTTGACCGCAGGCCATCGCCAAACTCCGACGTTGCAAGTACGTTGATTGACGACAGTGGCAAGCTCATCAGCACCAAAAACCGCAATCGTCGCGCCAGTGAGGGCTCTCCCCTCATCAAGAGTGACGGCAAGCGTACCATCCCTGAACTGCGTTGCGACCGTTGCGGGAAAGGGTATAAGCATGGCAGTTGCTTGTCCAAGCATATGTGTGTATCCTCCCCCTCTGCCGTCGATCAGGAGCGTTGCGCCATGTCGGCTCTGTACAGGTCGCCGTCGTGGTCCTCCCCGTTCCTCATTCCACTTTCATCATTCCCTATCTCTTCCCCCCCCCTCTCTCCCCTTTCTCCCACCATAACTTCGTCGTGACCGGCCGGTTGACGTTTTTATTTGTTGGACACACTTAGGTGGGAACATGATCCGGCATGGGCGATCACCTCAAAGCTACTGATTTCCAAACACCAGCAAGTTCAGCTGCTGGAGGCGGCCACCGTCCTGGTCAACATGAATATCGACCCCGTCTCCGCCGAAGAAAGCCTCGAGGCTGACTCTGAAACCTCCTCCCCTTCTCCCGGTGCCTCGTCCGAGATCCGCGATGGCCTCAGTTCCACCGAAACCACCCCGCCGCCTATGGAGGAGGCTGACGAAGACCAAGCCGATTGGGACATGTCCGGCGTGCCCGCTGCGGGCCCCAAACGCTTCAGCGTCAGCAATATCTCGGGCTACTCGCGCTCCTACCAATCCATCCCCTCGAGTTCTTTCAACGGCAGCGCCCCACTCCACTCCCCCGCCTTCTCCTCCCATTTCCGCCAGTCGAGCATCGACACTCGGCCCTCCACCGCCGATACAAAACTGCCGGACGAGGACGAGGCTGATCTGGCCGCCGCCATTGGCCTGTGCAATTTCGGCACCCCGCGCACCGGCCCCGTGCCCATGTCGCCCGATGTGCCCCCTGTGCCTCCGCTGCCCGCGCGATTCCTGGACTCACAAGGCAGTCGTCACAGCAGTCTGGACCACTCGGCAACGGCAGCGGCAGCATCAATGGATAATGGACTTTCTTCTCCCTTCATGGGATCCGCCACCACGCCTAACATTTTTGGGGTCTCATTCAACCCCTCCCTCTCGTACAAGGTATCGGACGAGCGAGAAGTTCGCATGGGAGACGGCGATCGCGAATCCAGGCACCGTCGTAACAACGATGTTGACTTTGGCAGCCGCCCGACTGTCTCGGTGGACGACGACGACGACGGAGTCTTTGGCCGAATGGAGGAGTAATCTTATTTATACCTATATATATATATATATATATATATTACTCCTCGAAAGCGTGGTCGACCATCTCCCCCTTCCCTTCTCCCCCCCTCTAACGAAATGTACGAGCCTGAGCGAATTTTTTTTCTACCCCAGCTTTCACTTTGCATTTGTATTTCTTATTACCTGCCGCTGTGCTCGGGAAATAGAGGACAAATCTAACCAGTTCCTTTTCTTTTCTTTTCTTTTTTCCCCCTTTGCACGGGCCTTGGGAAGCCGTGTGGGCATTCAGATGCACCGCTTGGAACATGTATCGAACCTTGTATTGCGATTGGAATATCCATTTGTACCAACCCATTCAACCTATTGTCTTGAACAGTCTCCGTTGAACAGTTCCTTCATTTGTTCCTACATTCTCCTTTGTTCTTCTTTCTCTGCGAAGGCAGTGTATCTTGTGGTCCTAGCCTCGCTGATATAATTACTACATACTTCACACATGTTGATAAGTAGATGGAAGTAGAGTATACTGATATATCACTTGAAGAAGTAGTCATGAATACCATCCACTCCTCCCAAGGTAACCTCGACAGAAACCATGTATTGTCTGTAATGGTCCTCGTCTTTGAGCCCAAGGTCTACCCAAACTCAACCTCCATCTATGAAATTCCATTGGTCCATCTTGACTGTCCTGGCTGGTTCGGGCTATTAGCCAACTAGATCAAGTTTGCAAGAGAACTATCTTACCGGGTCTTCCCTCTAGGGTGTGAATAGTTTAGATGATTTCGAGTGTCATGTGGATCGCTTCGATCCTCGATTCGAAGATGTGTCGAGTAAGGATCTGGAGTAGCTCTTATCTGACTTTGTGAATCTGAGCAGGAAACTGCATCACAGGCAGATTCAGTCGTAGATATGCTCATCAGTTCGCGAGGCCGGCATAGGGTATCGTTCGGTGATCTGGACTTTGCAATCGCCGGTAGCCATTATTCATTACTGTTGCCTTGTTGACTCTGGTATCAATGAACCTGGCAGACGCAACCACTTGGCTGTAGTAGGCCTATGGGAAGAAGTAGCTAGAGCGGAAGCCTGTAGCCGTGGTGATGGTATCCTCGGTTGCTCGATTTGCTTGTGTTCAAGGGGCGATGTCGATACCGATGTATCAAATGTAATGTCAACTCAACCCCCGCCTCCATTGCCAATCGCTTGCTCTCTGGAATCCGTCTCTGACACTCCCCGGCGACCGAATCGTGGATCTTTCGTTACATATCATCCCCCCATCTCTTCATAACGTCACCAACCATTGGTCCCGTCGGGAGGCACGGCCGGGCCCGTACTGACAGTTTTCTAAGACGACAAATTTTTTAATACCCCAGTAACCGGGGTGGAAGGCGGATGAGGACACGTTTTGCCCATACCCGGGGTGTGGTGGGAGGCCTGACTCGAGGTAGAAACGACACAAACAGAAGAAACACCGGTTGTCGGCTCGGAACGGGCGATCAGCCCGTTCTATCTGTCCACCAGGGCCATCTTTGCACGGCGCCTTCGTTTGGCTTGGCTTGGTCGATTCCGTCGCTTCGGTCCGCTGCCTGTACCACCACCTTGAGCCGGGGTGGACGCGGCGTCTGCTCCGGCTTCGTGTCCCACCGTCTGTCTCTGCCAGCTTTCAAGCAGCGCGAACGCACACCGAAGGACTAGGAACGGGTCCAGGTTCTCCGGGCGACGCACCACGAGTGCATACTGCCGAGAGAGACGCGGTACAGCGCAGTCGGTTACGTCGGCCGCGTCCGGGGCCGGAGTCGTGAGGTTGTCCACCCCGCCATTGGGGTGGTCCGTGTCTTCGGCCTCTTGGATGATGCGAGAGTCTAGCTCGTGAGAGTCGAACGCGAGAACTTGCCGGCGCTCCAGGCGAGTAAGGGCGTCTCCCACTGCACGCAGAAGAGTCACGTTACTCGAAGAAACCTGTTGCGCTCGCCACAAGACCGCGATCAGCTCAGAACCGGCGGAAGGAACGTCGATGGCCTCGGAGGAACAGGAGTGGTTGTTTTTGTCTGACGGGCTGTTCTTCCTGTTGACCAGGGCATCCATCACTTCATACAGCGATGGAGCTCCATTGGCCACAAGGCAGTAGGCTGCCTTGGGTACGTCCTGCAAAAACAACCCTTCCAACGGCGCCTCGAACGGTCCTTCCAGTGTGGAAGCATCAGAGCGGGCAAAGCCCCCCCAGAGGAACTGGATGAAGGCCACGGGCCCCCAGGCAACGATTAAGGCGACACAGAGCGATTCGGGCGACAAAAATGCCGAAGGGCCATCCGGAGACGACTCTTCGGCCTCCTCCCACAGCGGGTCATCCTCGCTGAGTATCGTCGGTTCTGTGCGGGTCGGATAATCCACGCGGTCCTCGCAACCGCTTTGAACGACGGCCGGGACATACACTGCTTCCTCGTGCCAAGGGAGAGTGTATGTGGAAAAGGCCTCCACCAGCTCGTGGACACCCTTCGCCAGGTTCGTCGTCTGCATGGCGTGGGACAGTGTCCCCACGAACCCCTCTGAGGTCTCCATGATTCCAGGCACGTGGATCCATGTGCCCCAGAGAGCGAAAGAAGAAAGGAGGAGCCCAACTAATGGGAAAAGCATCTTTGATGGTGGTGAAGAAAGGAGAAGGAAGGCTTGAGCTCGGAAAGATATTTAAAAACTAGATGCTGGAGCTGGAAAGCGGTTGACGATCGAGATCTGTCTGTTGGTGAGAAGAAGAAGAAGAAGAAGAAGAGAGGAGAACATGATAAATTTTTGAGGAGAGGAGGAGAAGGAGTAGACAAGTGAGAGATGTGCTTGTTGGCTTGATAGGTAGACTCGGGGTCAATCAAGTCCTCGCTTGACCGGCATATTCACTAGGATCAGTCAACCAGCCCCTCGACTGGGCTCATATGCACTATGGTTAAGCAATTGAGCCATCAGCCTGGACTAGACTCGAAATCCACTGCAATCAGTGCTAGAAGATGAAACATAAACTGACTTTATTCATATGGAAGATATCAGTCATTACTCTGTTTCATGTGTAAGGGGACTAGAAAATTAAACCAAACTCCATCCAGTGGCCGTGGATAACATGCGACAAGTAAACAAAGAATCTGCACGAATGATAGTAAGAAAAGATCCAAAAAAAAAGGCACCCTTTAGTCGACATCCATCTCCTCCTGGGTGCCGCCATCCACCAGCAGTCTTGTCTTCCTCTTTTGTTGGTGCTTCCTCTCGCCGAGCACCGGGGCAGCAACCTTTTGGTCGGCAACCAACGGCTGGCCTTCCTCTCTCTCGCGCAGCTCCTTGCGAATAAGATGTTCGCCCTCGGCAACCACCTTGCGGTCCTCCTCGCGCTTGCGGTCCCGAGCAACCTTGCCGGCCAATCTGCGCTTGGTGAAAACACGCTCACGGCGTTGTCTGATCTCCTCCACTCTCTCCATCGCGTTGAGGGTTGCGGCCACAAGGTTGCGGTCGTACTTGACGGGGACGTTTCTCTTCTTCGCGAACTGGGACAGCACGAGGGACGAGTCGACAATCATCTCCTTGCCACGCATGGCGCGATGCGTCTTAGTCCACTTGAGCTTGCGTGGTTGTCTGCGGGCCTTGAAGCTGGCATGGCATTTCGAACGACTGCGTATCTTGACTTAGCCTTGCGAAACCATAAATCCAACCCAGCAACAAATGGGGAGGGGAACGTACCAGAACCGGAATGAACGACCATCAAGTCGGTTGAAGGTGATCCCCTTGGACGGGTAGACCGGTCGGCTCTAAGAAAATCTTTCAGCATGGAAGACCAAATGGAAAACTCCTTATCAGGGCGGTGGTGGTGCATACGCAAAAATGGCACGTCTCGACTCTGCATAGCACATCAGTTACTAAAAAATTCCCACCGGTTATCACAATTCCAGTGGACTCTCCACTCACCTCATGGTTACAGATCTTCTCTAACCCGCTTGGTCTGGGTATCGACGGGGTCTTGAAGGGTGGCTGTTGTTCCTCAGTTCTTTTTACTGATATCAAAAACTTTTCCCGACGCCGACGTGTGGAGAACCCAGCCGCTAGTCCAGATTTGGAATCGCGCCACTCTGATTTTCTTTGGAAGTTGATGTTCCCGCCAGCAGTGTCCGAAATTAATCCCCTGAATCAAGGAAGAAAAACCGGCTTTTCTCGCTCCTAAAGTTGAATCTCAGTGTTACATTATGGCTTCTGCCTTTGTGATCGGATTGGGGGCTGCTACAGCCGCGTTTCTGGTGCGTGCGACTTCATATTCTATCGCCAATATCGGGTTGTGATTGACAATGGATCGTTTCTCCAGGGTCGAGCCGGCTATGTTGCCCTTCGTCGTTACCAGGGGGGTGTGAATGCTGTGGGCAAGGCGTACTACAAAGGGTTCGTTAAACGATGATTACCTTTTATTACTTGGAGACATTTGGCTGACGATACTTTCTGATTCAGAGGCTTCGAACCCCGCATGACTCGTCGTGAAGCAGCATTGATCCTCGAGCTTCCGTATGTTTTTCTCGATTCATTCTCGGTGAATTAATGGATGCCATAGTTCTAACAGAGGCTTTTCTTTCTAATACAGCGAGCGAACCCTTACCAAGGACAAGGTCCGCAAGAAGCACCGTCAAATGATGCTGCTCAACCATCCGGATCGCGGTGGAAGCCCGTACCTGGCGACCAAGATCAACGAGGCGAAGGAGTTCCTTGACAAGCAAACCTAGATTTTCCACCGTCGGCGAGGTCGTCTCTGCGGTCAGTCTGACGGTGAGAGCGTCAGGTTGACGGGGAATGACGATGGATACCAGTGTATCATGTATGTATAAGAGAGGTTCTTTTGGCGCATAGCGTGGCGTTGGTTGGTTTGGTTCCCCCGAGGATGTTCTACTATCTTGCGTGTTCTGAAGATACTTGTCCTACGACATCCCCACTCTTGATTTTCGCTCGTTCACAATATAACTATAACAACTCCATATATTTGACAAGTTATCAGCTTTGGCGATATCCATTGCCTAACCCGAGTACACATTATGTCCCTCCTTCAATGAGTTTCAATCACCTATTAGTCTCTGTGCCACTGTATCACTTGCTGCTTTGTTCTATCCGACACGTCGATATAGTATACCGCCCAATTCTTAGCAGTACAAACAGTCAGTCTTCCTTCATTAGACGATAATTGGCACTAGTGATGTTCTTCTAGCAGCGACACTCCTGTGTAACTACCGTAATGGCAGCCATCGAGTATTGAGTCAATTGCGGCTTGAGTCGTTGACTCTTAATCCTCACGTGACCTAGAGTCGTATTTCTCGTATTCCCGACCAAGCTTTCGCACGACGTCAGGCCCAGTCGGGGACGGACGAAACTCGACCGCTACGGGTTTCGGGGCTTAAAAGGCCTTCCGTCTTATCGCCGTCTCCGGGCAAAGTAGAAACGAAGGAACTGAAGGCAACCGTATTACTCATTTTCTTCACACGTCGCTGTTGGAGTCTGTATCACCTCGTGGCCGATGACTGCCTGCGTTGCATTCCCCTGTTTAAATACGCTATTTTCGGGGTGAGTAAAGACGGCCCTCGCCACATGCGTTTCTCGGCCCCGGGTTTTGATGGACTTTGGTGGTCTTTGGTGGTCTCCTGGATCTGACCCGCATAAGCAGACATCGGCTGTGCCATTCAACTTCCTCTAAGCGTTTTGTTTGAATAAAGTAATATTCTTGAATCCTGGCCAACAGCTCTGGCTTGCGCATTCCTCTCTAATCTGTCGATAGTTAGCCCCGCCGCCGAAACGTGAATTCCCCCTCCGCCACTTCCCCCCCACTGCGATAGGAGAGTCGTTTTTTTGAAAGACACTGCATTGCGGCTTGTGACAGCCATGGATGGATTAGGGGAGGGCGCTGATGGCATGGGCTTCGATATGCCCATGCTGATGAACCGACAATCGCACCTGTTCGCAGGGTACAATCACGACGGTTCTCCTGTGACTTCTGTCATGCAGACATATCAGGATGATTCAACGATGGGAATTAACGACGATATCAACGATGCGAAAAGAAGAAGAATCGCTAGGGTGAGGATAGCATTTCGTGATCCCGGATTTTACGTCTCGGTGACTGATCAGTGCGTTTTGCGCAGGCATGCGATATGTGCCGAAAAAAGAAGATCAAGTGCGATGGGAAGATGCCGAAATGTTCGCATTGTAGCAACTACAAGACCGACTGCGTCTTTACTCAGGTCGAGAAGAAGCGGAATCCTCCCAAAGGGTATGTGGGTATAGAAATATACACATGGGTGGCTCTAGTGATGTTTGGAGATGTGGTTCCGTGCTGATTTCGCCTTGATTAGTGCCAAATACATCGAGGGACTCGAGAATCGACTAGGGCGCATGGAGTCTTTGCTGCGGCTGTCAGGACTTCTGTCGGAGGATGACGGTGGGAAGACAGACCTGGGCATGCTGGAGAAACGCCTGGCAGACAGATCGTTCGTCAATGGACTGAATTCCACAAAACTCATGAACCAACCACCCAGCGTATCTCTCTCCCAACAAACCTCCACATCCCGCCAATCAACTCCGCGCATGGATTCTCAACCAAGCCCTCACACGAGTGACACGTCCCCTGAGGCTTCTAAGGAGTCCGAAACCGAAGTCGAGGCACTCTCGGATATGATGTGCTCTCTGGTAACAAACAACTGCGGAGAGACTCGGTATATTGGTATGGCTACCCTTCAGCTATTGTTTGGTCACTGCGAGGTGACCGCTAACCCTGGAAATAGGATCCTCCTCCGGGTTCTCCATTTTCTCCCCCAAAGGTATCCAGTGGGTCAACGAAAAGACCGGTGACTCCTCATTTCAGGATATGGTCTCTTCAGCCTACGTCGATGACAACAAATGGATGTACTGGAAGCCTGAGATCTTCAGTGACATATTTGCTCGGCGAGTTTTTAAACCACTTCCTCCCAAAGAGGAAGCATTCTCGCTGTTCCGGGATTTTTTTGAGAATTTCAACTGCATGTTCCCCCTGTTTCACGAGCCGACATTTATGCACCTGGCAGAACGCCAATACTCCCGAGATCCATATGAAGGCTCCGGCTGGTGGGCAAGCATCAATGTGGTCCTTGCCATTGCACACAGACTTCGCGTCATGAGTAATTTGGTGCCACAGGAAGAAGACAAAAGGGCTTGGCTTTACTTGAAGAACGCCATGGGTGTTTTGACGGAGCTCACAATGAGGAATACAGATCTTCTGAGCGTACAAGCGCTTCTGGGAATGGTACGTCCTTATTCTAGAGATTGATAGAACCTAGAAAGACTGACACCTTTACAGTCACTTTTCCTTCAAGGAACCCCAAATCCTCAACCCGCTTTCTTTTTAGTGGCGGCAGCAATTCGGCTTTCTCACAGCATTGGTCTTCACAAGCGTGGTTCCAGTTTTGGCTTAAATCCAGTGGAAGTCGAACAGCGAAAACGAGTCTTCTGGATTGCATATCTTCTTGACAAGGAGTGAGTCATTTTCAGCTTATAGATCCACCAGAATCCTTTGCATTTCTAACGTCAATCCTTCCTTCCAGTATCTGTCTCCGTTCCGGTCGACCACCTGTGCAAGATGATGATGATATGAATGTCGAGCTTCCAAGTGAAGACCCGCCGGATAATATCGGGAATGTGCCTCTTTCGGACGGGAAAAGCAAGTTTAATCTTTTCAGATCCCTTTGCCGATTTGCTATCATCGAAAGCAACGTGTATAAACGGCTTTATTCGGCACGAGCATCAAAACAATCAGATGGCGAGCTTCTAAACACAATCGGGGAACTCGACAGAGAACTTGAAGAATGGAAGGATAGCATCCCTCTGGATTTCCGCCCCGAGTATGACATCAAAGCAACCCACACGCCTTTGATATTACATGTCGCGGTCGTGCATTTTGCCTACTACAACTGTTTGACTACTATCCACCGGATGTCTGTCCACCATGGGTACTGGACAAGCCGCTTATCCAATTATGCAATCCAAGGATTGAATGCCAGGCCCCTAAATCCCAGGGTTTTCCTTTCTGCGGTCCTTTGTGTCACGGCCGCCCGGGCATCCATCAATCTAATTAAATACATCCCCCAGGGCGACTTTGCTTGTGTTTGGTAAGCACATTCAGCCCAAACATTTCTCATATGTTATTGGACGGACTACTGACGTCGGATGACAGGTTGATCCTCTACTACCCGGTTTCAGCCCTTGTCACCCTTTTCGCAAATATCCTTCAGAATCCAAACGATGCTCGGGCGCGCTCTGATGTCAAGCTTATGAATGTTGTGGTCAATTTCCTTTCAACTCTGGTCTCTGACGAATCGAACAGCAGCATCAAGCGCATGCTTGGTCTGTGTGGCGAGTTTGAGAGGATCGCTAGGGTGGTTCTGGACAAAGCCGAGAAAGACTCGCACTCCAGGAAGAAACGCAAAGCAGCACCAGAAGATGACTCGAATTATGAAATGAACACGCCGGATGTTCAAGCTAGTACTCCCTTGTCAGCCAAGCGAGCTGAGGGGCCTTCAGCCGCATCTGTCTCTATACCACCCTTCTCCGACCAGTCTAATGGAATAAATAACGAAAAACAACCGACACCCTTCGTATCTAATCCAGCGGTGCAGGCTCCCACCTCTCTTCCCGGAAACCTCCCCAGTGATCTCCAGGCGATGTCAGGACTTGGACGCGACTTTGCAGACATACTCGGTCCCTCAAATCTAGGGCAGGTGCCCTTCACTGACCCCTCGTCACTCCCAACAACTACCAGTCCGGTCGCCAATATCCCACAATTTCAACAACCATTTGTGCCCCAGGATCTATGGCAGATGCCTATGACCATTGAATGGGATTGGGCCGACATGTCATCGCACTTCCCAATTTTTGATACCGGGCTAGACTCGGGGGGGCACGCTGGATCGTGAACTTTCCGGCAAAGAAAGACAGTCTATGCAGAAAAAGATAATGACGAACTAGAATCGGACCTCTAATTTGGCGAAACGGTATGGAGTCATAGGATGGCACGCGAGGCCAAGAGAAAAAAAAGGCTCTCTCCACTTCTTATGGGATACAATGCGTCTTTTCTCGGTCGAAAATGGGCTCTCACCTCACATTGTAACTTTTTTGCTGGCCTTAGTTATGGTCATATGGACATACCAGTGACGTTCTCAACGTTCACTTTGGCGGCGTACAAACTTTGATCTCTACTCCCACAAATATAACGGGCGTGTTTATAGTATTGCACATTCCAAACCGTTAGAAAGAGTCGTATTTCCAACCGCTGTAGGTCTATTCTTCTTCGTTCAGTGTTCATGATTATTTTCTCTCAGGTCGATTCGGTGTGCTTCTGGAATCGAAAGAGTCGGTCGGATGACTCAGCCAGGCCCAGCCGGAATAGCAAAATCCATCACCGAAGGCGTCACCCTCCCAAAAGCTCCGCCGCAGGCTTTCGTCCGACCTCCGACAGCTCGTCGAGAGCTTATTGTTTGACCACCCACCCCCCATTTCGTCCTACTCACCTTACGAGCGTCTCTATGGCTGGCTGGCTTCTCTAAATCTTGTCTGAGCCTGTATCGATTCCTCCCCCCCTTCCCTATCCAGCGCCTGGGCTCAGAATCCTCGACCATGGCCGCCTACCTCCGACAGCCAGGCAACCTTGCTCGATATTCGAGGAGAGCGGCAGCAGGTGTCATCTATCGGAGAAGCGCGCTGCCCTCGAGACTCCCTCAATCCAAATTATCAGCCTTCATCGCGTTGCGCCAGCTCCGATGCTACAGCAGCGGGCAATCTGGCGGCGACCCACGGCCTCCAAACAAGGACGGCCCGGAGTCGAATAAGCCAGGACAAAATGGAGGGCAGAGGCCAGGCGGCGAACCTGAGTCGAAGCTGAGCAAGGAGGAGCAGGAGAATGTCGATTTGTTCATCCAACACTTCAAAAGTCGGGTGCCGGTCTCGCAACACCGTATGCTCGATGACATGCGGACGATCATGCAACGGGAAGGGCTTCCTGAGGAGCTGAAAGACTTTGTGACACAGCACCTTCGAACGGGGAAACCGGCGTCACTCCTGGATTACGCTAGACTCACCCGTTTCATGACGAAGCACCTGTCGAGCTACGCGAAGAAGCTGATCGAATTGGATGAAGAGCGGGAGCGAGGAACGGTGAAGTCGGAACAGAAACCGGATGAACAGCAGCCTCAGAAACCGCAAGAGGAGCAGAGTCAGGAGGAACAGATGCGGGAAAAGTTACGGCAACAGCAGGAACGGCTCAAGGATGAAAAGAACAAGGACCAACAGGGTCAGGGCCAGGGTCAAGGCCCTAGGATATTCGAGTTCCGCCTCGATCCGGCGAATTTCCTGGTCATGGCCATGATCTCCTACTACATCTACCGCAGCTTCTTCCCCTCCGAGAACAGCAAGGAATTGACCTGGCAGGACTTTAGGGCAGGGTTCCTCGACAAGGGGCTCGTGGAGAAGTTGACTGTCATCAATGGTGCTAGGGTCCGGGTTGACCTGCACCGTGAAGCGGTTGCCCGTGTGCATCCTGACTCGCCGGCAGCTCAGCCGAACTTCGTTTACTACTTCACCATTGGATCCGTGGAAGCATTCGAACGTAGACTGGATGAAGCCCAGAACGAACTGGGAATCCCCAGCAATGAGCGCATCGCCGTGGCCTACATGGATGAAATGCCTTGGGCGGCTGCAATCCTGAACCTTGCCCCGACTATCATCCTGATCGGTTCTATCTTCTTTTTGTCAAGGCGTGCTGCCGGCGGTGCCGGAGGCCAAAGCGGAATTTTCGGGATTGGCAAGAGCCGCGCTCGCCGCTTCAACCACGAAACCGATATCAAAATCAAGTTCTCTGACGTTGCCGGCATGGACGAGGCCAAGGTTGAGATCATGGAGTTCGTGAGCTTCCTGAAACAACCCGAGAGATTCCAGAAGCTGGGTGCCAAGATCCCCCGTGGTGCGATCCTTTCGGGGCCTCCTGGAACCGGTAAAACGCTGCTTGCAAAGGCCACTGCCGGTGAGTCCGGTGTACCTTTCTTCAGCGTCAGCGGTTCCGAGTTCGTCGAGATGTTCGTCGGTGTTGGTCCCTCTCGAGTTCGTGACCTGTTCGCCAATGCCCGCAAGAACACTCCCTGCATCATCTTCATCGACGAAATCGACGCGATCGGCAAGTCGAGAGCGAAGCAAAGTTTTGGCGGCGGCAACGATGAGCGTGAGAGCACCCTTAACCAGATTCTCACGGAGATGGATGGCTTCAACACTTCCGACCAAGTGGTCGTCCTGGCTGGTACCAACCGACCCGATGTTCTTGACAAAGCTTTGATGCGTCCCGGTCGCTTCGACAGGCATATCGCAATCGACCGCCCCACGATGGATGGCCGCCAACAGATTTTCCGCGTTCACCTTAAGAAGATCGTCACCAGCGAGGATATAGATTACCTTGTCGGTCGACTGTCAGCATTGACTCCGGGTTTTGCCGGTGCTGATATCGCTAATTGCGTCAACGAGGCGGCTCTAGTCGGTACGTTCAATCCATTTCCCTGACTTCTACCCTGTCATTTGTCTAGTTTCTAATCATCTCTAGCTGCTCGCGAAAACGCCGATACCGTTGTCATGAAGCACTTCGAGCAGGCTATTGAACGTGTCGTTGGTGGCCTTGAGAAGAAATCCCTGGTGCTCTCGCCTGAAGAGAAGCGTACGGTCGCCTACCATGAGGCTGGCCACGCCATCTGTGGCTGGTACTTCCGCTGGGCCGACCCTCTACTGAAGGTGTCGATTATTCCTCGTGGCCAGGGCGCTCTCGGCTATGCCCAGTACCTGCCGGCTGGCGGTGACACGTATCTGATGAACGTCAACCAGATGATGGACCGCATGGCCATGACGCTGGGAGGACGGGTTAGCGAAGAATTACACTTTGACACCGTTACGAGCGGAGCAAGTGACGACTTCAACAAGGTCACTCGAATGGCGACGGCCATGGTGACCAAGTTTGGCATGTCGAAGCTCGGGTATATCTACTACGAGGAAGACCCGCAACAACAGTTGCACAAGCCGTTCTCGGAGGACACCGCTCGCACGATCGATTCCGAAGTCCGCCGCATCGTCGCTGAGGCCAACAAGCAATGCCGGGACCTGCTGACCGAGAAAAAGAAGGAGATTGGGATCGTCGCCGAAGAGCTTCTTGCCAAGGAAGTCCTCAGCCGCGACGACCTGGTCCGCCTGCTCGGCCCTCGCCCCTACCCTGATGGTAGTGAGTTCGCCAAATACTTTGACGGCACCGGCGGCAAGGGAGTCCTTGCACCTCCTGAGCCTCCACGGTCAGACGAAGAAACCGAAGGCAAGGACGGAAGAGATCAGACACCTTTCCCGGCATAGACGCTTCAATTTCTGGGGCTAGGCTTGTCTTCTGTTTCTTTTTTCTTCTTCTGCTGACCATCAATCATACCATCCTTGGGAAGGATTTGTATCTATTTTTTGTATGTTTTATCATATCTCTACGGAAGCATCTCCTTTCATTCTTCATCGTTTTATCTCTGCGGAATAAACATCACCCCAAAAACGCTTTTTTCAAATTTTCCTTTCTCGTCGCCTTGTGATCTCCTTGATGTCCCTTGCTTTTAATACCGTATGGATGGTTCCTGTATAGTAGGTAGAGGTATCTTCAATGTTGGTTTGGAGTCCATTCGAGAGTTGTATTTTTTGAGTTTGGAATTCATCCTGTCGTTTTACTCTCCCCTCTTACGACTAGAAAATATTCATAAAATAGTGACTTGAATGGCTCTCAAACTCGCTTGAAGTAAATATTTCCTCAGATTTATAGAAAACTAACGAAAACTGCCCCAAACTACTATAAGTTTAAATGGTATCAACTATTCAACATCCAAAGTGACTCCTTGGTATCCAAATCCATAGCTAGTTATATATCAAGAGATCCAAAGCAAAAAAACCCACCCCCATCCTGATCCTCCTTAATTAGTCTTCTTCCCTTCTGCGGTCTGCTCTGCCTGGTCAACCTCAGACAGGGTGCTCTTGTTCTTCTTCTTCGATCCCTCGGCAACATGGCTACCCTTGGCTTCGACAGAAAGACGAGGAATGAATCTTCCCACACGGGCCTGGTATTCGACGTATTCCGGGTACTTGGCTGCGCTGATCGACTCGGTAAGCGGAGTGCTACCCTGGAAGATCAACAGATAACCCAACACGCCGATTCCGGTCCAGTTGACGTAGGTCTGGGTGATGTAGCAGGACCAGATGTACAGGGTGAGCCAGATGGCCTGTTCGGCCGCAAAGTTAGGATGGCGACACCAGGACCAGAGACCGCTGACGACGAAGCCTCGGTCAAGGTCTTCCTGCGTATAACGTCCCTTGTACCTGTCCGGAATCCGCGCCGTCTTCAGGTATTCGCCCTTGGCGCGCTGGAAACTCCATTGCTGCTGGTCGGCAAGCAGTTCGATGACGATGAAAAAGAACATCAAGCGAGAGAAGACCAAGTCAGGGATGCCAAACTCCTCGTGACCGTGTACTTGAGAGACGACGAGGAAGACGTAGGTGGGAGCGGTGATGAGCGCAAGGAGTAGCGACTGCACCACACAGATGAACACGACATTGAGGAGGAAGAAGAGGAAGCCGTTGTTGATTTTTGACCGTATAATCTGCCAACGATAGTCTTCTGACCCCCACTGATAGCCGCCTTTGCGCCAATAGTTAAAAGTCAAGCGAAGCTGCGCAGGATTTATGTCAGTCGAAAAAGCCCTCGTCTAATTAAGAAAGAAGCAGGAAAATGGATCCCCTTACACTCCAGAGAATAGTCACAAGGGCGATGGTATCGAGTCGTTGAGAGGAAATGCCTGTTGCACGCGCCCAGACTGCAAAATGAACGTTATACACAGCTGGTAGGATGCTCCATACTCGATCAACCTGGGACCAGTTCCGGAAAATCTCAGAAGTCACCAAGAACAAAGGACACAACAGAAGCGCAAAAGCGATCGCGGTAACGAACGGGTTGGTGGTGAAGTACACCTCCTTCAGAGTATCGACGTCCTGGCCAGCTTCCAAGAGGCGTGTTGGGAGAGCAAGGAACTCGGAGACAAACGGCATCACAGTCTGAGGGAAAGAGACGCACTCTGCAAGGGAGTGCACTTCAGGAAGAGGAACGGCCATCTTGAAGGCTTGTATGCCAGGGGTTCTCTCTCTGCGCAACGAGGATGACAAGGTGTCGGAGGAAGTGTGAAGTCATGAATAAAATATTATTATTCTTGATGTAGAAGACACGTGAGGCGCGTCCATGGAACTTGGAAGCCTCAGGCCGCGACGCGAATTTATGCCTCAGGAATCATAAATCTCCGGATCCAGAAACGCGTCGTGCGTGCGTGCCACGACCTCGTTTCTCGCACACTCAAGAATGATCACCATCCACAAAGGCAGCGGCCATGTTGAAGCGTCAATAGGAGGCAAAGCGTCCCAGGCAGAACCATCATGACAGGGACCATACTATGCGTGGCAGAGAAGCCTGCCATTGCCAAAGCAGTCGCGTCCCACATGTCGGGGGGCGCCTTTCAACTAGTAAGTTGCGATATCGCATGGAGTTTGGGCCCAATTCCGGGAGATAAAGACGCACTTGTACTAAACGTAGCCGTAGTCTAATATCCCTGGAAATAAATATGTGAAAAATTATCAGTTCACTTTCAATTTCGGTGGCCGTTGGGGCCAGTGTTCGGTCACCATGACCAGTGTGCTCGGCCACTTGACAGAGACGGAGTTTGGAAGTCATCATAGAGCGTGGGCCTCTTGTCCTCCTGAAGACTTGTTTGATGCGCCTGTCTACGAGTCTGTGGCCAAGGTATACGATAGACTAATCGATAGCTGCGTGGCTTGCTAATTTAGCTTGATAGGACAAAGTATCAATAGCGCAAAACATCGCGGTGCAAGCCAGATCTTGCCGAGCACTGTTTATCTGGACTGACTGCGACCGCGAAGGCGAGCATATTGGCACCGAAGTGCGGAAGCAAGCGCTGGAAGGGAATCCGCGACTCGAGGTCAAACGAGCCAAGTTCAGCAACACCGAAAGAGCGTGAGAGTAAAGTTTTGGTCTAGGGTGTTTTATTCTTGCTAACTTGCAGTCTCTAGACATGTTTTGCAGGCTGCGCGGCAACCGATTGAGCTAGATGAACGCCAGGCTAATGCTGTAGCTGCGCGAATTGAACTCGACCTGCGCATCGGTGCGGCTTTTACTCGTTTACAGACTCTTCAGCTGCAAACGCTCTTGTCATCTCTCACAGACAAGGTTATTAGCTACGGTATGTTTGCTGAAATGCTGAAGTTACTGCTCGCCTTGGGTTAGACCTAACATGTCCCAAGGTTCGTGTCAGTTTCCTACGATGGGTTTCATCGTTGATCGCTATTTTCGGGTGAAAAACTTCAAACCAGAAACATTCTGGTTGATCAAAGTCATCCACGTCAGGGACGATATCAAAGTCAACTTCTCATGGCGTCGTGTCCACCTCTTCGACAGGGCTGTGGTGACCATAATGCTGGAACGATGCTTGGCGGCGAAGAAAGCCCGAGTCACGAAAGTCAATGAAAGGCCTACAAGCAAATGGCGGCCCCTACCCCTGACTACTGTGGAACTACAGATGATGGGTAGCAAGTATCTTCGCATGACCGGTCAAGATATCATGAAGGTATAGTGTCAAGTGAATTTTTCATGCGTTGACTTCAAAGCTCACTGGTACCAGACTGCCGAATCTCTCTATACAAAGGGATTTATCAGCTACCCTCGAACGGAGACAGATCAATTTGATAAGGCCATCGATCTAAAGAAGCTAGTTGAAAAGCAAGTACCCGATGGAAGCTGGGGACAATATGCCCGGGGGTAGGTAATCTATCGAGTCTTTTACTAGCGCCTCATAAGCATCGACGTATAGTTTTCTAACCATAACATGGATATAGCCTGCTTGACGGTAATTTCAGGACACCGAGATCGGGCCGTCATAATGACCAGGCCCACCCGCCTATCCATCCGATTGCTTGGGTTTCGCCAACCGCATTGAACGCCAGCGAAAAGAAGGTATACGAGTTCGTTGTCCGCCGATTCCTAGCGTGTTGCTCTGAGGATGCCAAGGGAAAAACAACCGAAGTTGAAATACAATACGGCGAGGAAATGTTCCAGGCAAAAGGCCTCATTGTCCTCGAAAAGAACTATCTTGAGGTCTACGTATATGAGAAATGGGAAAGCAGCCAACAGCTGCCGGTCTTCCAGCTTGGCGAGGAGTTCGAGCCCACAGAAGCCAAAATCAACGAGGGAAAAACGACTCCGCCAAACTACCTTACTGAGCCGGAGCTCATCGCCCTCATGGACGCCAACGGGATCGGCACCGATGCCACCATGGCCGACCACGTTGCGAAGATCAAGGACCGGGAATACGTGGGGACCCGCACGCGAGGCAGCGGTCGCAGCGCCGTCACGGAATTCATCCCTACCAGTCTCGGGGTAGCTCTGTACGAAGGGTACAACAATATCGTCTCTGCCATTCCCGGCTGCCCGTCTCTGAGCAAGCCGTTTCTCCGCAAGGAAATGGAGCAGCGCATGCGAGAAATCTGCGCGGGCACCAAGACCCGACGCGAAGTCATCCATGAGAGCCTGGAACGGTACCAGGAGGTCTTCTACCTGACTAAAAGCCGGATCGAAATCTTGAAGGCGGCGTGTCAGAAGTACATGCTTGGATCCTAAACGTTGCTAGGGAGCCTTGGGGGGCCTTTCTTTGAAATAAGTCATTGATGACTGTATGATATCAAAAAGATATAGATACCCTATTATTAGATAGACATTTTACGAGATATTTGAACCGGGAGACCCTCTAGATATAGACCTGGATCTGGTGGATCTATTGACTCTTATATTCAGGGGTTAACCATCATTATATACCACTACATATGTTCATTCAACCCTAAAACTTATCTACTCATTAGATTGATTATTTGATTATTTCCCTAGATATTAGGGACCTTTTATAATGTCTTTATAATCTATGGAGTACATACTATATATTACATAGGCAGCATGACATAGGGCTGAATCAGGCTAACTTACTTTTTTGACAGGTGCCCCCCCCCCAACAGCACGAGGCTGAGGATTGTCACTCCCAGTACCCACACAATGACAACATCTGACGCCGATCAGACAACATCAGGATTCTTTATGTACCAGCTAAAAGACCTATCATTGATTTAAATATACGAGGAAACGTCAAACAGGGCGCATCGGGCGCCTGCAGTCTGAGGTGCGCGACATCGATAGGGCGCCACATCCGCAATGACTTGACTTGATCCTTGCAAAGGGAAAAATCCAGGGTCCTTAGGCCCGCTCTTCCAGGTCGGTATGGAGTACTATATGTTGAATAATTATGATGAAATTGCCTAGCATCAGATGAAAGCATTATTGTCCTTCTTATTCTACCCATATACTCCAGAGTGAGGGCTGGTAAGTCACTGCAGACAACCCCACGATGGCTTTTCTGACTTGTCTATGGAGAAAAGTTTCTAGAACTTTGTCGACGTCATCAACGAGAACTTCAATTGTCTTTCTCCTGCTCTTCCGCTCGCTTACCCCCCCTCTCCCTCCTGATAGCTCGGGAAGACGATGGTCAATGGCTTGAGGGACCATGCAGAAAAGGTTCACGGAAGCCGGCACGACGAACAACGCCACAGAGTAATGATCTACCATGGTCTGGGACGCCTGGCGGCGACAGGCTTCATATTCTCCAGATCGCCGGTTTTAATACTGGTTTTATCGAGGGAGAAAGTCATCTGCATTTGTTTCTTCTCCACATATACATCGACTGTTGTCGCGTTGATTGGTATTCCAGCTCGCGTGGTCTTGGCTGACCCTTGGCTCAGATGCCATCTCACCCCCCATGGGGAGGTAGGTTTATCGGTACCACTTCGGCCAGATGCAGCTGCGCTGATAGAGGCATGGAAGTTTCGTTGGGCCTTTCCTATTTCGCCTGAAGCTGACTCGAATCCAATGGCGGTGTCAGCAACGACTGGCAATTGTGAGATGATTTGCACCCCAGTTGCCTCTATAGGTTCAACTGTAGTGATGGATCGCCTCGTATTTCTACTCGCACTGGCTATCAATACACCGGTGAATCACTGAATACATAAGGAAAGAAAAACAAATAGATGACGATAGTGGGGTCCGAGGACCTTTGGCTCTTAGTGATATATTGGATATATCCTCCACATCATCCTTCTGGTAGCATCAGCTCACCTATGTCTCTTCCTTTTTGGCTTGAATCAGATTCAGAGAGCTGTCAGCCCCTTCAGGTACTGCAGTCAATCACATAGTTTTGTCAACTAGCCTCTGTCAGCCGAGATGAACGGTTCAGATCCATTGGCCTCGAAGGCTAGTGAGAAGAATGATCCGTTTTACAACGCTCCCGCGACTGCTGAGCATGAAGAACAGTCGAAAGAAGGCCGTGGGGTCTTTGACGTTGAGGGAGTCTCTATGAACCGAACGAATGCCATCTTTGAGAATCCGTTAGCGGGTGTGCCCAAGGAGAAACTCTTAGAAGACGTTGAGAAGTTCTGCCGTCAGTATGGTCTCGAAGACCATCTTGACGTCTTTCGGAAAGGGGCGTTGATCTCGCAGAACCCTGCTCAAGCTCAGTACCTCACAGAACTCACGGAAGATGAGAAGGCCGTGCTGCGTCGAGAACATACCCATAAATGGTCTCAGCCGTGGCAGCTTTACTTCCTTGCAAGTAAGGCCCATATTTGTGTTTTCAAGAGTTCAGGTCCGCAGTTCAAAGACTGACGTGGTTATGCAACAGCTATGTGCTCTCTCGCCGCAGCCGTTCAGGGCATGGATGAGACAGTTAACAACGGCGCCCAAGCCATTTACCTCAAAGTATGTAGTAGCCAGGTGATAGGATATGGCTTTCGATTGAATAGACCACAAAGGCTGACTCCCTTCCCCTTTCCAGCAACTCGGCATCACCACTGGGCGCTTCTCCACGAGTATGGCAGACAACATCACTGGCCTTGTCGTTGGCGCTCCCTACCTAGCCTGTGCAATCCTTGGCTGCTGGCTCACAGAACCACTGAATAGATATTTCGCTCGACGTGGAACCATCTTTATCTCCTGTTTAATCGCCGCTGTAGCTTCAATTTGGGAAGGCGTCGCCAATTCATGGGTCAATCTGTTTATTGCTCGGTTTGTTCTTGGTCTTGGTATTGGCTCCAAGTCTTCGACGGTGCCTGTCTATGCAGCTGAATGCTCACCTGCGCCTATCCGTGGAGCATTGGTCATGATGTGGCAGATGTGGGTGAGTTGCAGTCTTGAATATAGTGTCCACTCTTTTCTGATAAACAAAACGCTTTGCTAACTACTTGCCTCTCCTACACAAAATAACTAGACCGCTTTCGGTATTATGCTCGGAAATATCATGGGTGTTGCCTTCATGAGCCTTCCTGATAATCTCTCATGGCGCCTTATGCTAGGATCAACCGTTGTGCTACCTTTGCTTGTTTGCGCTCAAGTGTACCTTTGTCCCGAATCACCAAGATGGTTGATCCAACACAACAAAATCCCCAAAGCCTATGAGTCTTTCCGGGTTCTGCGGCCGACCGATCTCCAGGCTGCTCGGGATCTGTACTATGCGCATGTGGGTGTCGAACTTGAACGCAAAATCAACCGAGGGAAGAATTTTTTCACCATGTTCAAAGAGCTGTTTACGGTTCCTCGCAACGCTCGGGCTACCCTCGCAACTTGGATTGTCATGTTTATGCAGCAGTTCTGCGGAGTGAACGTGATTGCATACTACTCTACTACTATCTTCACAAGTTCTGGGTACAGCACCCAGCAGGCTCTTTTGGCATCTATGGGCACAGGTATCTTGAACTGGGTCTTTGCCTTGCCGGCTTTCTTCACCATTGACACATGGGGTCGACGCAACCTGCTCCTCTTCACCTTCCCGTGGCTCTCGATTTTCCTCTTCTGGTCTGGATTCTCCTTTTGGATCCAGCCCAGCAATCCTACGAGCAAAAAGCGAGTTGCAATGGTTACTACCGGCATGTATCTCTTCGAGTGCTTCTATTCCCCCGGGGAGGGACCGGTTCCCTTCACCTACTCCGCCGAGGCATTCCCGCTACATGTTCGGGAGGTCGGCATGTCGTGGGCCACAGCGACCACATGGTGCTTCAACTTTATCCTTTCACTAACATGGCCTCACCTCCTGACCACCTTCAAACCCCAGGGTGCCTTTAGCTGGTATGCCACTTGGTGTCTCATTGGCTGGGTCCTGATTCTGTTGTTTGTGCCGGAAACCAAAGGTAAGCGTTGACTCTCCACATTATGGCTTAAAGTTTAAAAAGGGTCGACGAATGATCTCTTTAACACATCTTATCAGCTCTTACCCTTGAAGAACTGGACCAAGTCTTCTCTGTCTCCACCAGAAAGCATGCTGCCTATCAGCTCAGGAATGCGGCCTGGCACTTCCGTGTCTGGATTCTGCGTCAGAAGCTGGAACCATTGCCCAAGTTCTACGAAGGAGCGGAGAGATTGGCAGAGGGCGAGTAGCTTTTATCCTGATGCCACTACGTTGGCCGTCCTGAGTGGACTGAGAAAAGGCATGAGTTAAGTATGCGAATAGGCTTAGTTATATTTTTTGATGATTACTATGATGATTTTGATTTACAAGAACATTTCGGACCGTCCAGTAATTACTATAAATTGAATTTTATATGCAAAGCAAAATTCTGAAATCTTTTAGAATCAAGTGCAGAAATCAAAATATCCAAATATACATAACCAAAAATGGAAGACTCTCATACCAAGCCTTTACCACGTCGAGGCGTCCGAGTCATCTTGAGTGGAGAGGGCAGAGTCTGCCACTTCCTGGCATCGCTTTTGACCGTAGTGACCACGCTTCAATGTCCGGCCACGGAGAGGAGAAGAGCCACTATCCGAGGGCGTCCTGGGGGCGCTATCCTCTGAAGAAGCGGAGTAAGAAGAAGGAGAGACGACCGTGTGGTCTTCATCTTCGCCATGTACATTGGCATTGCTGTCTTCCTTTAGCGGTTTAGGCGCGTAACACGCCTGCTCCTCGTTCTCCAACTCCTCCAGTTCCCGCTCAAGCTTTTCAATGTAGTCGTTCAGCACTCTGGCTTCATCCTCGACGTCCTGGCTGGTATCGGAAGACTGCTCATCGTCAAAGTCGGTCTGCGGATGCTCTCCCCCCTCCTCCTCTGCAAACTGCATATGATGGTACAACTCCGCCGGGTCCGGGATCTCCAGGCAGGATTCCTCAAGGTGACGCATGAAAGTCTTGACCTGGTCCGCCTGCCGGTCGAACTCATCCTCAAGCTTGACTTCCATGTCCTGGCGAAGCGCGGTGAGCTGTGCGTCGAGCTCCTTACAGAAATGGTCGGAGATATCGTTCAGATCAGTAATCACCACCTGGCGGTTTTCGGCGATCGTGCCGGCGATGTCGTAGATCTCGTCTTCTAGGTTCATGCTTGCGTTCTGGACGTTCTGGACGAGGTTTGCGCGTTTCTCGTGCAGGTCTTTGACAAAGTGTTTGATGGTCGAGTCCGCGTGCTGTGCTGCCGCTTGGTATCGTGTCCGGAATGTGTAGACGATGATCCAGGCGTAGGCGATCACGGACGCCCCCACCGACAAGGCCAGGTAGAGGAAGTTGTTGATCATCACGTCGCTAAGATACGACCGGATGAAGGTGAAGGTATCGTCGGTCTTGTCTTTTGTAGGTGTTAATGCGTTGACGCCCGGAAAGTAGCTGGGCTCGAAACTATCACGGTTGTCCTCTGTTATATCCACCGAAACAGCCACCATGGGGGGTTCGGCCAGGACAGGTTCGTCGGGAGGAGTAAATTCGGTCTGGACGATGGAGGTGTTCTGAGGAATGACGGAAGGAGAGATCGTGCGGACGACAAAGTTGTTTCTCAGCCCTGTTTGGATAGTCTGGAGGAAATTGTTGGTGGTCTGGATGGCCGCCATAGGGATCGCTTGGAAGAATCCAAAGATCGCCATGGCAATTGAGACGACAGTGATGCTGAGAAGTTCCATGGCGAGAAAGATGGGCTCTGCTTGCCTTTTGTGGGTTCTGATTTCGGAGAGTGTAGTTTCAGGAGTTTGGTCCTGGTTAGATTCTGTCTCGCTGTATCGATTACGGACAATGATAGAAGTCAAGAAGGATCGATGGATTGGAAAGTAATAAGACAGACGAAACGTTTGGAGGAATCCAGTCCCTCTTTATGTCTCTGGTCTCGGATGGTTGCTGCACGCTGAATAGCAGAATTTATGGGCATGAATAAAGAAATCCATGAATAAAGAAACTTGCACATCTCATATTGGATGGAAAGAGTACAATGGATCGTGTTTGTAAGTGGATCTGACCGAAAGAAAGCCTTATCATGAATGAATACAAAGGGCAATGAAGAATAGATAGAGTATACAACATAATAGTAATTGTAGATACCTTTATCATCCATTAAAGAGTAAGTTCAAGATCTCTTAATAAAGGCTTTGAAATGTGTCAAATAGTCCATCAACTTGCTTTATTAGTGGTCTTTATAGATATAGGAGGATTGAAATCCTCCAGGGCTTGATTATTATTATGTATACCTTTATTTTATATCGTAGACTTCGTATTATTGAAAGAAAATCTAAACATGCTGTTTTTTGTTCATATAACCACTCTCAAAAGTAGAGAATAATAGATACTGGTATTTATAATAAGATATTTGTTTACTGTTAGTATCATCAGGCTAAGAGTTAAACTACTTTAATTCAGATAGGTAGTATATATTGTAACTATTTAGATTATTGACAGTTCATTGCAGTTTACTGCAACCTAGGTATATAAGATCAGAGGGAGTGATGAACTAGGCAAGTCTCTTACTGAGAACCACGCCATAGTAGAGCGTAGCAGCAAGGCTGAGCATATTGAGCACACTTGAGATGCCATGGACTCGGCCGAATCTCTTGTTCAAGCGTGTCATCTCCGGAGAGTGCGGCGGCGGATCGTAGCTCTTCTTGCCATCACGAGTTTCTGAAGGTAGGCTGTCAGCAGGTTTTATCAATCGAAATACGTAAAACGAAGAATATACCTTGATGCTTTCTCTCCCGCATCGCTTGCATCGTCAAGGGACGCAGCACAAACTGATTGATCAAGCCAGTCAAAAACACAGTTCCCAAAGGAAGTAGTGTTTTATAAATGCTCTCTGAAGGCAGACTCCCAGAGAGGCTGGTTGCCCGCCCGCCTTCCGAATGAGTCAAGATGACAACTATAGGCAGCGCGGTCTGCAGTCCGAAATAGATCGGAAAGACTGCACCCTGTAGGGTTGCAAATTGTGGGCGCGGCAGAGCTTTGAAGGCGACGATCCCTGCAACGAAAGTCTGTTCGACGAGTTAATTTCAGCCGATATTCTAGGAATTCCTTATATATCCATTATCCGATATACGCTGGAATCCAATTCATAATGGGTAGAAACAGACCTGGTAGACCTGCACTCCCAGCAGCGTTCCATAGCTGGAAACATTAGTTAATCTACATTTATTGAGATTGAAGATGATCTCAGACAGACCTTAGGATATGGTAAGGGCGAGGATCCATCTTGTTTCTAGTGTATAGACTTATCTTTGTGTCGCAAATTCCAGGAAACCAAAGCTTTTAAAACAAAGAGGTGGTCTGACTTGAGGATGTCGGCTTCGGGAAATCAAGGAAACTTGTTTCCACATCCCTGCACAGCTTATTTTGTTATCACCACAAAATCTTAATTTATTACCACGTCCAGGTAGAACGTGATGTCATGTGCTGTCGCGCTCCGAACCACGGCCCAAAATGGAAATATCACGCGTCTGCCTGGACAAGCCAAGCAGGACAAAAATAGGGCGCCTTCTCGCGCGCAACTATTTCTTTTTTTCCCCTCCTGTATGCGGTTGCATTTATTCATTCAATTGTAATACATTATGGCAGACAAAGAGGCGACTGTCTACATTGTTGATGTTGGGAAATCGATGGGAAAACACCGTCATGGCAGAGCCAAAACCGATCTGGAATGGGGGATGGAATATGTCTGGGACAAGATTACAACCACCGTACGACATCGTATAATGATCAAGCCGAACTGGAAACACTGATTTCGTTTTGTTCTAGGTGGCTACCGGTCGGAAAACAGCTACAGTTGGCGTAGTCGGTCTTCGAACAGACGGTGAGAATGACGTGGAGTATTACGTTGGGCAACGTTATCGCTGACTTGGAAAACAGGTACCGAAAATGAACTGCAGGCGGACGATAGTTTTGAACATATATCCGTTATTCAGAACATTGGGCAGTATGGAGCTAGAATTACTCGTGCTCTCCCACAGCCTTCGCTGATGTGAGTCCAGGGTTCTCATGCCAGACATTCGAAAGCTCCGCGAGGTGCTCAAGCCTAGCAGCACCGATGCAGGGGATGGTGAGTACCCTATCCATATGTTTGACCATGCCCTTGATTGATGCTTTTGAGCCTGACTATTCCAAGCTGTCTCTTCCATCGTTCTAGCAATCCAGATGATTTCTAGTTATACGAAGCGACTGAAGTATAAACGAAAGATTGTTCTGGTCACTAATGCCGAGGGCCTGATGAATAATGATGGTATCGATGAGATTGCTAAGAAAATCAAAGAAGATGGTATCGAGCTTGTTATTCTGTACGTCAGCCCAGGGTCTCTCTCGTCTAGATGGAGAAACGTAACTAAGTGCTACTTAGGGGAGTCGATTTTGACGATCCAGAGTACGGCGTTAAAGAAGAAGACAAAGATTCACAAAAGGTAGTTATCCTCTAATAATACACTGTACAGAGGAGATCTAACCGTTGCAGGCCTACAATGAAACCCTCTTGCGAGCCCTTGTCGAAGACTGTGAAGGTGTCTTTGGAACACTGGAACAGGCCATTGAAGAATTAGATATTCCTAGGATCAAAGTCATCAAAAGCAATCCTTCCTTCAAGGGCTTCCTTCAGCTGGGCGATGCAGAGGAATATTCCACTGCCTTTCGGATCCCTGTCGAACGATACTACAAGACTTATGTGGCAAAAGCTCCGCCGGCTAGTCAGTTTGCGCTCCGCTCGGATACATCAACAGGCTTTGAGAGTGCTGAGTCTTCTGCAACCGTTGCTCCACAACCAAATGCCCAGGAAGGCCAAGAGAGCACCCTGACTACCGTGAGAAGTCTGCGCACTTATCAGATTACCGATGAGTCAGCTCCAGGAGGCAAGGTTGATGTCGAACGCGACGATCTTGCCAAGGGATATGAGTATGGCCGGACGGCCGTCCATATTAGCGAAACAGATGAAAACATCACTGTATTGGAAACATTCGCAGCTCTAGAATTGATTGGATTCGTTCAAAGTGACAAGGTACGTCCCGGTCGATTATGGAAACCTAAAAGCATCAATCAACTAATTTTCATCCAACAACTAGTATGATCGCTATATGCACATATCGAATGTCAATGTCATCATTGCACAACGCACTAACGACAAGGCCATACTTGCCTTATCCTCATTCATCCACGCTCTGTTTGAACTCGACTGCTATGCTGTCGCTCGACTTGTTGTCAAAGAAAATAAAGCCCCCCTTGTCGTTCTACTTGCACCCTCTATTGAACCAGACTACGAATGTCTTCATGAAGTACAATTACCATTTGCCGAGGACGTTCGCACTTATCGGTTTCCACCGTTAGACAAGGTGATTACCGTTTCGGGGAAAGTGATCACCGAGCATAGAAATCTTCCCAACGATGCGTTGCTGGATGCAATGAGCGAATACGTGGATAGCATGGAGCTTGTAGATGTGGACGAAAATGGGTGCATAGAGCTCTCGTTTGACCCTTTTATTTCCGATGACTAACTCAACTTCCAGGGAACCAGTCGAGACTTTGCCCATCGACGATTCCTATTCAGCACTGGTGCACCGTCTTGACTCCGCGATACGATACCGCGCTGTACATCCCCAAGGGCCAGTTCCGCCTCCTTCTGATATCCTAACTAGGTTTTCTCTGCCGCCGGAGAATCTTGTCAAGAAAGGGGAGAAATATTTGGAAAATCTGATCGCTGCCGCTGAAGTCAAAAAAGGTATTTGCAGATTTGACACGATCTAATTGCCTCTTCGCCTTTTCTTTTCTGCCTTGCTAACTAGCTCTAGTCCCACCGAAAGCGAAGGGACGTAAACGCACTCGCGAAACAGAAAAGCCGCTCTCTGGTCTTGACGTTGATGAACTATTGCATCAAGAGAAACGCGTTAAGATCTCTCCAAATAACGCGATCCCAGAGTTCAAACAGACTCTATCACATGCAGATGATCTCAATACTGTCAAAGATGCAGTCAACCAGATGGTGGTGATCATCCAAGACCAGATTCGACACAGCCTCGGAGACGCCAACTACGACAGGGCCATCGAAGGCCTTAGTACTATGCGAGATGAACTCATTGCCTATGAGTGGCCAAAGCTCTACAATGACTTTTTACAACAACTGAAGGAGGATATCCTCCAGGAAAAACTGGGTGGTGACAGGCGCGAACTCTGGTGGCTCATCCGGCGGACCAAGGTTGGTCTGATTGACAAGACTATGTCGGATCAATCTGAGATATCGGAAGAAGAGGCTAGAAAGGTATGTTGTCTGGTTGAAGGATTATGATGATGCCCTAACTTGTTCGCCTAGTTCATGTCTGCAAAATGACTCGACCGCACATGGCAGCTGCATTGAGTTTCTTTGTTGGTTCTTCCAGGGGTTTGTCACATCCAGGAGATATTTGCAGGTTGAAATTATCTTGACAAGTTAGGGACTTGTATCCATTGAAACAATGGGATTTCCTTTACTCTTGAAAAGCTTGTCTGGGCATTCATGAGCAGTAATTGCTAGACCAGGATTCTATTAGAAATCAAAACATAATCAAAGCAAAGCGAGATACTAATAAGTATTCTAATTTTTGAAACAATAACACCTGGGCAAAGTATAAGCATTCATATAGATAACCTGCAGTAAGAAAAATATATTGACAGATGGCTGGAATAGGTATCAATATGCACGAGTTCGCTATTCTAGAATATATGGGAAATGTTGTTAAATATCTGGCCTAAGAGATCTTGCCTACTCTCTTGTTGCCAATGTCGATCTTTTGTTTGAGTCTGTGGGAGTTAGTTAAGAACGATATCTTGGGATGGGGGAAACATAGGAGTCGAAGAACGCACCTGTCTGCATCCTCATCCGCCAATTTGAGGATTTCGTTCTGGATCTCCAGCTCCGCATTGATCGCGATTCCCAATTCCCTCTGCCGAGCAACGATCTTCCTCAACTCTTCGACGTTCAGATCCTGGTCTTCCATCGTCTGTCGCTGCAGTTGGAGGACTCCCTGGTTGTCGAGTTCGCGGGTCCGTTCCGTCTCCTTACCTAGCACTCGACCCGAGCGAGGCTTCTTCGCCGCAGCGCCGCCAACCAGGGCCTCTTTATCCTGAGCCGACGCGACGGCGCTATCGATCCTGCTTTTGGCCGCCATCGCATTCAACAGATCCTCTAGCCCGTCCTTTTCTTTCCGTGCATTGACAAGCAAGTCCTTCCTTCGTCTCATCTCCCCATCGCCTATTGAGTTGCCCCTGTTCTGACTATTTCCCCAACCTACCCCTCCTCCAGTAGAGGGCGAGAGTCCGTCGGTGCCGAGATTCTTCAGCCCTTCCTCCAGCGCACCGATAAGCGACCCCGCACGTACAAGACTGCCCTTCGCATGCGCGGAGCTCTCATGCTGCTTCTGCGGCGTGGTCTCCTGATCCCGTCGCGTGAGGTGCAGCCGCGCATCATGCAGATGACCCTTCATATCCCGATAGCAGTCCAGCCATAGCGTCGGATCAGTAATTGGGGCGCCGCCAGCACCACTGCCGACCGCACTGGGATCTGTGATAGCGGCATGGAGGCGCGTCGTCGAGGTGTTTGCGGTCGTGGCAGCCGAAGAAGGGAGGTTCAGAAACGCTCGCCAGGCGCTAGAGCTCCGCCACTTTGGATCTACCGCCTCGTTGATCGCCCGGAGGTACGCTTCGAGGACCTTGCGGCGCTCTTCGCGGAGGTTGGCGTTGGAGACGGTGTTGGAGAACCAGGATTTCCCCGGTAGCGGCAGAGGCGGCACCGCACCCACCTGCGCTGTCAGGCTCTGGTGGAAGGCAACAAAATCCGAGTATCGCTTCTGAACGGCAAACGAGCGTAATGGCAGGCGGAGGGTGACGTTGTAGATGGTGTAGGCGGGTGAGCTGGTCGAGACGCTCGTGGTCGGGATGGAGATCTCAATGTTGGGCGCCATGGCTACACGGCCATCCAGCAAAAGCGGTGATTATAAAGATCAAAGCAAAATTCTTGTTTCAGATGCTGAGGGAGTCTTGAGTTCGTTTTCGAGCATGAAATGATGTGTCGCTTATGGAGAGATAACCAGGCAGTAACTAGGTGAGATAACGGTAGCTAGCCGAAGCCAGCTCAGGTGTCGGGAGCCAAACAATGACGCAGTCCAAGAGCTTTTCACACCACCTCTAGAAGAGCACGATTTTGGATATATAGCCTTCCAAACCATTGCTGGCACCAGGATACTACTACGATTATAATCCATAGGGGAGAACCGAAAGGTACGTGATTTTAGAATTAAGAACATATATTGGGTATCTTGATATCTCCATCCGACTAGACAATAGAACAATAGCTCAAATCAAACAACAGGAAAGGTTGATAAAGAAAAATCTCAGCTGAGATTCTATATCATTTTTCCCATTGCCCTCGTGCCTCGAGGAGATCCAGCTGGCCGTAGTATTCGCCCACAACCGTGAGGATCATATCCAACAGAGCACCGATCTGCTTTCGTACACTGTCATCTTCCTCGGTGTTCTCCTCTGTCGACCGGATATGCTCTTCGGTGCTTTGTAGCCTACGCTGTAGCTCCAGTTTCGCGGCTTCTAACTCCTCAGAACCCGTGTCTGGTTGAACTGTCGGCTCGTCAGAGGAATCAAGAGGCTCGCTATGATTATCATTTTCCACGTCAGGCTCAGCAGAACCAGAAGCTTTGTCGCCAGTATCGCCTGGCTCTACTTCCCCTTCATCGCGACCATCGTCGCTCTCCTGATCTGACGCTTGGGTCAACGGCTCCACGTTGCCATGCGTGACAGGCCGTTTCTTATTCTCTTCTCTCATCTTCTTCACAATGGTCACGGCCCGTTTTCCCAGACCCCGGATCTCACCTACCTCTTCGGTAGCCATCTCTCCAACCTCACGACACTTCCCAAGTAAGCCCCAGGCCCAGGCTCCCATTCTTCTAATTCGAGCCTCATCTCCGCTCCTGATGTTCTCTGATATGAGTCTTGCCATGATCCCCAACACGCCCAGAACACTGTCTATATCCATGCATGCGAGCTGGACCATTTGTGGGTCTACCGCGAGTAACAACCGCCGCCACTCCTTGTGTGCTAGCTTGGAGTTCGCCGGCAGACTGATCGGATGGGAGTCATCTAGAGCGGCAATCGCCGCGGGGGGCGGCGTGCATCTCAGGGTGGTCCGTAGGAGGAGGAACCGATGCCGGAGAAGGTTATAGTATGCGGCCTGGGCGTCTGGGAATTGTTCTTCCTGCACTTGACCGGCGCGCGCGATCGAGTGACCTTCCGCATCCTTGGACACAAAATAGACGCCGTCTGCATAGACACCTTTTCGAACCGGTTGTGTAGGTTGTAGATCCTCCTCTGGAATTTCGGTTTCCTCAGGTGGACCTGCCGGTTTAGCTGTTGGAGCCGACGAAGCCTTTACTGCGACAAATAGAGACGGTAACGAGTTCGCTTCTGACCTAGATGTGCAACCAAACGCATTATTATCACAGGCTCATGATTGAAAAAAAAACACCACCCGCGCGGACTGGGAGAATGGAAAATATGGCATTCACTTAGCACCCAGGCCACAAACAGTCGATCCGAAATAAAAGAGAATGAACTTGAGCTTACCGAACCATCCGTAGATACTCTAGCCCATCTTCTGCAGGCCCGTAAAACAGCTCGTCCGTCGCCGAATCATCGAGGCCGGGAAACGCGCTCTTCTGTCCGTAAAGAGGGTCGTTACGCGGCCGTTCGTTAGGCGCCACAGACGGTGACGCCGCCTCGTCCCCTTCATCGTCTTCTGCGTACGATACACGAGACCGCTTAGCGTATGGCGACATCCCGGAAACAGATGTTGACGGTTTCCTCTTGTCCGGCATTTTGATCACCGATTGGGGATGGTGACTGAAGGCGTAATCATTTATTCTTGTCGGAGGGAAAACGCCAAAACGCCGCAAGAGCTAACGGAGCTTGGGCCACCCTTTAACTAATCGTTCAGCTGCAAAAGACTGGAAATACCCATCTCATCTACCGAAGTCTAAGACGAATATCTTTTCTTAACAGAAAAAATCCAGCTTATTTGGAATTCATTCTTTAATATATCTCTTAATTTACTTTATTTTCCACTCGCTTGGGTATGAGAAGAGAAAGTCAACCCGATTTATACGCTCAAGGACGCAGACGCTGGGGGTCACGAGGGAACAAGGTGGCCAGACGGACATTGGGCAAGCCCAAGAAAAACATGACAATGCGGTTAAGACCCAGCCCACCGCCAGCGTGAGGGGAGCACCCTTGACGGAAGGCGTTGAGGTAGTCCTCAAAGCCCTCCTGGTTGGGGTCAACGCCCTTGGCGATCATGGACGCCTCCAGTTCCTTGGCATCGTTGATACGCTGAGCACCGGACATAATCTCCTCTCCACGCATGAAGAAGTCGTAGGAGTTGGAGAAGGTAGGGTCATCTGGGCAGGGTTTGGTGTAGAATGGCCGGACGGCCATGGGGAACTTGTCGAGAACATAGAAGTCAGTGTCGTACTTTTCCCGAATGATCCTGCCCAATTGCTTTTCCATGGCGGTGGTGAAGTCATTTTCATAACGCTCCTGCTCGGAGACATCCACGCCAGCCTCCTTCAACATAGCAAGACCCTCCATATATTTCAGTCGCAGGGCTTTGCCGTCCTTCGGGAGCTTGAAATCTCCGGCCTTGGGGTAGGATTTCCGGATGGTTTCAATCTGGTCCTTATAGCGCTCCTGAAGCTGGGTGAGAATGAAGACGAGAAGGTTCTCGGCAAAATCCAGGACCTCGTGGTAATGGTGGCGGAAAGTCATCTCGAAATCGAGACCAGAAAACTGAACCATATGTTAACCACGGGGAAACTCGATGACCAAAGCGGTTTATTATGTTGGGGACATACCTCAGTCAGATGCCTGTGTGTGTTACTATCCTCGGCACGGAACACAGGGGCGATCTCGAAGACACTCTCCATATCACCGGCAATGCACATTTGCTTGTACAGTTGAGGGCTCTGGGCCAGGAAAGCCTTTCTCTTGAAGTACTTGATCTCGAACACGCCGCTGCCTCCCTCAGTGGCGGTGCCGACCAGCTTAGGGGTGAAGATCCACCTGGATCCGTGCTTGATCATGTATTCGGCAAACAGCTCTGTAACACCGCTGGAGATCCAGGTAATGGCCTGGCTGGTCTCTGTCTGCAGATCCAGCACGCGGTTGTCGAGACGAGTCTTGAGAGTGACCAGAGGAGTCCCGTCGGCATCGACCTGACCTTCCTCTGTCGTCTCTGGCGGGGGTCTTTCGGCATCCTTAACCTGCATCGGCAGCATCTGGGCGGCCTCCGAGATCATGTAGATCTTGCGGATGTGGATTTCGATATCGCTCAGGGTGGCGGAAGAGATGGGGATTTCCGGCTTCTTGACAATACCAGTGACTTGGACAATAGAATTCACATTCACTCCTCCGGTCCACTTCACCATCTGTCTGGAAATCGGCTCTGCCGCAGCAATCACGGCCTGCACCTTCTGGCCTTGTTGCCGCAGCATCAGGAAAGCCAATTTGGCGCTCTGCACCCGAGCATTGTCAACACGGGCCACCACAGTGATCTCAGTCTCATGAGTATCTTCGGTCAACCCAGAGAACTTCACGCTGGGAATAACATCCTCCGACTCGGGCAGCGGGCCGTACAGGCCCTTGGCGGTATCGGCGGCTTCCTGAGCAGCGGCTTGGGCCTTTTCTTGAGCGGCGCGGGCAGCAGCCTTCTCAGCCTTGGCCTTCTCCTTTGCGAGCTTCTTCAGCGCACTCTTGCTCGGGCCTGCGGCTCCTTCTGCTGGTGCTGCATCGGCTGCGCCTTCAGGCGCTTCAGGCTTGGGTCGGTGGGGTAATTCGGAGTCCGCCATGGCTGTTCGAAAGATCAATAGTCAGAATAAATTCCCAAGGTGCGGCTATATTTGAGGCCCTATCGTCTCCGTACCTCGATCAATCTCCGATATAAAAGCTGTCGGGCGTTTCTGCAGCTCAATGAATGAGAACAACTTGCTTTCTACAAGCTCTGACACCAGATCAGCCCAGAAGAGTCACCCCACCCGGCCCCGCCGTTTTGCCCTAAACCCTAAGAGGGGCCATGTATAGCACGTGATACCATAATTTATGCCTGAGGCTGCAAGACGTTGTACACATGATTTAATTGAACATAGAATACAGCACATTGAGATATAGTATGTACGTTCGATTAATGGAATTATCAAGATAGGTATATGCCACTTCCTGTACCTGGCAGTGTTGTAGTATGTAGGCCTGGTATCGTTTCATTGTTAGATTCTGGAGATGGGCCAATTAGAGGATCTTAATCCCCATTCGACAGCCTTTTGTACATCATCGGCGATGGTCTTGGGTACCCACGCAGGCTCCCCCCCGTTATAGACGCCTGTTCGTACAAGAATAGATTGCCAGTCACTACCATGGGCGCTGCGGTAGGAATTGGCGCCTCGGATGTCGGACTCGGGGTTGTCTCCAACCATGTACACCCTCTGTAACGGGCCCAGCTCGCGTGTGCCGAAGAAAGTAGATCGGTTTCGAAGCAGTTGGCGTTCGGCAAACTCATATGTGCCTTGGTATGGCTTTCCAATGATGGTCTTCTTCAGCTCGACCCCCTTGCTGGGTCCGCCAGTCACTGCAGCCCATGTCCCTTCCAATGCTTCGCGGAAGCCACCCTGACCGAGCCGGGGTAGATGGTAGGCAGCTGCCCAGAGCAGATCGGGGTTGGAGAAGTATAGATGTGGCTGCCCATCTTGTTGGTAGCCACGATTGGGGAGGTCAGCCCGGCCGTTCTTGTCCGAAAATGTCCCCATAACACCCTGCGACGATAGGAGTAGATCCAGAATCACTTGTGTATCGAGGGCCCAGTCTCTAGGGTCGTTAAAGACAAAGATCGCATCGATCTTCAGACCTCTTGTCGGATCGACTGGATCAACAGGGTTCGGAATTGGCCGGGCAAATGCCTTATAGTAGTCGCTGAACACTTTCGAGAATGGCCAGATAGAGGGATTGGCCATAAAGATGTCTCCCGGAGTGACAACATTCTTGAATCCATACCTATTCATTCATCAGAGATTTTGTATTGAAAGCGCCTCACAGCCTACAGAATCCAAAGCACCTACTGTTCTGCAACTTTTCGGCAACCATCCTCGTCACCGCCAGCCACCAGGACACGCTTGTTCCCCAGCGCGCGCGCTTCGTCAGGCCCGTTGACAAGCTCCGCAAACGGTGAATGACTCTGGATGATCACCGAGGGATCAAGCGGTACATTGAGTTTCTCACTTATCTCCGCCACCCTCTCCGTCTCGTGTTTTCCACCGCCGTTTGTCAGAAGAATGAACGGGATCCCCTCTTCCTTGAGCAGGGCCAATGACTCAGCCGCTCCAGGGATTGGTTTCGAGGAGCGCAGGAGAACACCGTCGATACTACCCGGTAGAAATCATCAGCAAGGCATCCCAGTAGCCAGAAAATTAAAGAGGATTCGAACGCACTCACTCAAAGGCAAAAGCAAAGTCAGGTATCCGGGGGGGATTACTGACCGTCTTGATGCCCCTTTGGCCCAGGGGAATCTCCCGATAAGACCGCGAGAGCACTCGCTGAAGCGATCCGACGGACCGCCAAAGCCCCTGAGGTCTCATTTCACGTGTGAAGCAGCGGAAACTCTTTCAACGGAGCCTTGGTTGATGATAGGTGTGGTTCCATGTTCTTGTACTGCCCTCGGTAGTCCGTACTTCTGCGGGGGACGTGTATAGTGTTCCCATTCAGGGAAAGCGCCATTATATCTCTTGGCATTCTGGTCTTTTTAGAGAGCCTTGAATAGCCATAACTAGAAGAGGGAGGCATGACGGAGTAAGTATTTGCTTCAGTCTACTTTTCTTCAAGGGCCTCTCTGGAAAGCATCGCAGCTTTGGAAAGTGATAATCTAGACGGTTGACCTTTGCGAAGAACTCAGTGTAGATTACAATCTGGTCACCTCAACACCTTGACAAGAGCAAGGAATATCCGTGATAATATCTTCTTACAAGAGAAGAAGCTCTTTGACTCATCCAAATGCCCACTAATAGACAAGAATAAAGGTACATCACAATACAATTTACAGGGAGGAAAAGCTGCAAGTAGAAAACACGCGGAATTCGCTCCGGAGACGTAACGGGCGCCCGCACTAACTCATCCAGGAAATGATATCATTTTCCCGAGGTCCCCCTCCAGCTGGCGGAGGAAAAAAACAAACAACCATCCGGTCAACGGGCCCCTACCATGACTGGCTCGAGGCCTGTCGTAAGAAATGAACACCGATCACCAGGTTCATCTCCCTACTGAGATTGTACTTGAGATTGTTCGCTTCGTTGCCGCCAACGACGATGAAGATCGTCAGGGTACTCTGTATGCCTGTTGCTTGATATCACGACAATGGTATTCTGCGGCCGTCGCCTTCTTATATGAAGATCCGCGGCTGGACGTCGGTCAGGCGTTCCAAAAATTTACAACGACCATCTGCCCTTCTATCAGTGCCCGACGGAGCAAGCTGAACTTGGGATGCCTGGTCCGCCGCCTGGACCTCGGCAGACTCGTCCACCACAGCTCCAACAGTCGGACTGCCCGGTTGCTGGGGAGGGTTAAGGAGAACCTCGAAGTCTTCATTGCTCCAAGAGTATCATTCTCGTGAGTTAACCGCTACGATGATGAGCGCCTGTCATGAGCAGTACTGAAAGTGCCCTCAAGAGTGGCTAGTATCCCCGCGTTGTCGAAATGCCTCAAACTACGCCATCTTGACCTTGCCCTCGTGGGCGATCCGATTCCCATCACCCTGCTTGAAAAGTCATTGCGCAATCTCCACCAACTCATTAGCCTGCGACTACCGCAGTTCACCTCCTTCACTGTTCCCGAGGAGACCCAGCTTCGACTGCCACCCCACCTCGAGCGGCTGCAGATCAGCGGCAGCTTCTCACAGTCCACAGTCTCGTTCTGCTCCTGGCCGAGCAGCCTCAAGAGCCTAACGCTGCTGAACTGCGTCGATCTCTCCGTGAGCTCGCTCGGAGCCATTCTGAGCACACCGTTACTCAGCGACACGCTGAAAAGTTTGACCATCTCATATGCGAACCGCGGCCTCCAGCCCGAATCTATCACCATGATCCCCGTCTTCTTACCCGGCCTGCTTCTTCTCAACGTTCCCGGTGACCTGGTCGAAGAGAGCTTCTTCGACCTGCTCAACACCCTCAGCCCCCCCGTCGCCCTGCAGACCCTTGAACTTGACCACCCCTGCAGCGACCCCAGCCTGAACTTCGAGGCCTCTTCACTCCTAACTGCGCTACATCGCGGCCTCTCCAATCTGCTCTCGATAGGATTCTCACAGACCTTTGTCACGGATCAGACCTTCCTTGAGCATGAAGACATTGACGATGTTCTACTGCAACGGACGACAGAGAATTCTTCGCTTCTGCCTGGTGTATACTACTTTTGATGACAAGGATGGCGGCAGTAGAAACCTAGCCCATACTCATTGTAAATAACTACCTAATTGGTCTAGGATACTACTATCTCTCAACTAATTATCTCTCAACTAAACATCTTCAACTTAATGCCTAATCTCATTGGAAGGACGTTTATCTAGCCCGACACCTGGATGGACGCAAAACAAATGCAAGTGCAAAATAATAATGGGATTATTTTCCTGAGACTCATCGCAGATGTATTCGCCAAGGATAAAAAAAAAGAAGGGGGAGGAAAAAAGAATAAGATATCAAATTTAGAGGGAAAAGAGAACATAGGAAGCAAAAAATCTACAAGACCTCAAGACACGGCCGCAACAACCGCTTCGGCGACTCCTTCCTCCTCCGCGCGGACAGTGACTTTTGTCGTGACGCCAGTTTTGCTGGAGAATGCCATCTTGACCAGGGCGGCGACCTTGCCCCCCGAGACCGTCTTGCCGAAGAGCTTCAGCGTGTGTGTGCTGTTGCTCATGGCGACGTCGCTGCCCTCTAGCGGTTGCAGCGAGAGGATCGCAATCAGTTGTTCCGTGGCGTCTAAAAAGTGAAAGTTAGTCAAGATTGAAAAAGAATATTGCCTGGAAGGAGGCGACATACCGGCAATGCTCTTCATGTTGCCCAGTTGCAGCGTCTCGCTGATTTCCTCGCCATTTGCCCCCGTCTGTTCCCAGACGTGGTCGAAGCTGCCGGCAAAGGTGGGAATCACGTAGTCGCTTCCCGTCAGCTCCAGATCCTCTACTTGGTACTCGTCCTCGTAGCCGCTTTCCTCGGGCTCGCCGGTCGTCGGGTCGATCTCCTTGCTAGTGAACTTGAGGTTGTTCGTGAACGAGGTGACCGAGACGCTGTTGTCCCCGGTAAGCTTTCTGAACGTGACATACACGATGCCCGGCTCGTTAGTCGCCAGTTTGGGCGCGGGGACTGTAAATTCTTCTTCCAGCAGATCCTCTTCGGCCGGGGTGGCGATCACGGTCACGTCTTCCAGGACAGTATCGGGCAAAGTGTTCTTGATGTCGTATTGCAGTACAATATGCTCCTTGAAGATGTGCTTGACCGCAGACACGACATACTCGGTCTCGCTCTCCGTAAGCTCCACCGGTGAAGAAGATTTGAGCAAGGTACCGTACTCCTTGAGCTCGGGGATACGCATGAGCTGCTCGGCGTACTTCTGAGTCGCCGCAGCGGAGGTAGCGGCCTCGGCAGCACCGCTGGGCTTGGCCTTCGACGGACCGGTAGACGGCGCCTTGAGCGTAGGCGTCGCTGTGGTAAGCTTCTTAGTCCTCTCCTCCGCCAGGGCCTGTTCTTGTGTGACCACGGGCACGGTGGAAACATCAAATGCAGCGGCAAAGGTCTGTTTGTCCGTTGACGTCACATACATGACTAGCTGGTGCTCAAAAGTAGACAGGGAGAACATCGAATCTGCGTAATCCTGTTTAGTACTATGCTTGGATTGAAAGATCCAGGGAGGGGGGGCATGATTGATACGAACCGTTCTTGAGAAACCGGCCAGCCATTTCATCCTCTTCACTCATCAACCGAAGATTGAGAGCAGCGCGATCGCGGACCTCATCGTCCGTATCATCCAGGCATCTCGTAAGCAGAACCTGGACACTAGACTTGACTTCAGGGTCCTTCTGGCCGACGCCGAACTTGGCCAGGGCGGTCACGGCGGCAGCACGAACAATCGCGTTCTCCAGGACCACTCGGTTATAAATGTAGCGGATATACTTGGTGGGATGAGCCGTCTTGGGGCCCTCCACACCGAGCAGGTGCAACACTCTGACGGAAAGCTTAGTGAACTCGCAGTCTTCAATGAACTCGCAAAGGTGGGCGAGAGCTATTGTTTAAAAAAGAAAAGGTCAGTAATGCGCACAGGCCGTCATTAAAAAGAATGCCTACCATCTTCTTTGCTATCCGGAACAAACTTGATCAAATCGAACATGCTCTCGACAACACTCCGCTTGAACTCGTAGCCTCCCTCATCTCTGAGGATGCCACTCAGGAACGAAAGCATGCCGGCCTGTTTGCTGGGGAACTTCAAACACAGGGTGCGAATAGCCTCGACGATTGTGATCTTGAACTCATCGGTAATATCGGCCATGAAGCCGGAGATCTGCTTCATCAAGCGGTCGACGCTGGCCTCGTTGCCGGTTTTCAGCAAAGTGGTGATGGCGAAAGTGGCGATGGAGCGGTTCGAGTTCGAAATCAACGACTCGATGTCTGGGTTGCAGACGTTCACGACGTGGGGCTTGAAGGAGGCAAAGTTGTGGAGGATACGGATGGCAGCGAACTTGGTGACTGAGCGGGGCGAGGAGAGGAAGAGCTGCAGGACGTGGACAGCCTGTGAGGCCTCGGCGTCGGTGACATCCCGCATGGCACAGATGGCCTTGGCCGCCTCGAAGTTGACCATCTCGTGTTTGTGTCGGAGCCAGACGTCCAGCATCTCCATCATCGGTTTCCGCAGAACAGGGTCCTCCTCTGCCAGCTTGGCAGACAACCGCACAAGCAATATGAGAGCGGCGGGGCTCTTTACCACACCGGCAGCGCCATACTGCTGCACCATCTTAACCAGGGCCATCCGGTCGTGGGAGCGCATCTGGTAGAGCAGACCAATCGCATGGTACTGGGTCATGAAATTCGATTGCGAAATGGCGTGGGTCTGTGAGCTGCCACCAAAACCAAGGAATCCGACAGATTGCTTCGAGGAGGATGCAGCCTCCTGTGTCTCGCTCTGCCAGCGGCGGACCACATCACGAGCGATCGGCAGAAGGTGGTAGGAGGACACGAGGGCTGCCGAGGAAACGGAGGGTGTCTTGTCGACGATTGCAGTCTTGATCAGACGTTCAATGCCTTGGACAGTGGAAGCCTAGAAGAGAGATAGTCATGAGAAATCAATCCAAGCAGAGGGATGAAGTACGACTTACGTCGATGATGCGGCAGAGAGCACGAATGGCGTTTGCGCGATAAAGGATATCACTCCCGACGGCGGTATCCTTCATGATGATACTGGTGGACATGATCACATCCTCCGCGGTATTGGCCAGCTCCTTCAAAATCAGATACACCATCTGGCGCAACGAGGGGTCCTTGTTCTGGAACAGCTTGGAGATGCCGAAGAAGAGCGTCGTGGCCTCGTTGGTCGGGAACTGCTCCCCCGTGAAGAGGAGGACGGCGATCTTGGTGAGCAGCGTGCGACATTTCCGCGGCGAGATAGGCGACGAATTGAACAGGCGAGCTGGAGAAAAAAAAGAAATAAAACGTCAGTTGAACACCGTCGGTTTCTACAAACGAGCAATGCAATGAATGTGTGGTGTAGACCAGGCGGCTGCGGCGTCCAGGGGAACGAATCTGAAATCATAACAGGTGTGCCGTACCATCTTGAAACACAGAGGTACGATCCAGCTTGATCATCGTCTGGTCGGCATCCTCGTCTTTCTTCATATAGCTCATTGTGGCGGTGGCAGCAGACTTGCTGAGACGTAAGGAGAGAAGTAGAGACCAGTGGTTACGGGTATGGTGGTGGTGGTAGTGGTGTCGTCGTTTCGGGCGGTGTGAATCGGTGACTTTAACGCGCCTTCATTATCTGGAATGGAAAGACACAATTCCTCGGAAGGCTAGAAATAGCAGGCCGTTCGTAGCAGGCGATTCACCAGGACATGCGCAGAGCGCCTTGTTGCTTGCTGCGTTCAATGTTGACCGCGAGGATCTCCAGGTGTCCTTACTCTTAGTCCTTGAGGCTTACCTGCGAGATTGTGTGGACCGCACCAGCCACAGTGGCGGTCCACACAAACATTGCAAACACGCTTCATCCCACTTATGAGGTACCTCCATTGTATAAGGTACTACTACTGCCTGCTGCGACATCTTTCCCCTAATCCACGTCCAAATCATCTCGACTATACTCTGACGATGGAGGTCCAGGTAGACCCAAACGAAGACACCGAGTGGTACGCAGATGATACACCCATTATCGACCTTCGCTGTTCGATTGTACTCCAGTAAAGCTGACGCATGCCCACAGGAACGACATCCTCCGCAAGCATGGGATCATCCCCGAGAAAGCACCCGACCCGGAACCGATCATTCAGGAGGCGATCATCGAGGCGCAGCGGAGGGCGCACGAGAACCGACTAGAAGATAAGGATTTGGACGAGCTGGCAGCACTAGAGGATGAGGAGGATGATGAGTTTCTCGAGCAATATCGGTACAACCCTACACACACACACACACACACACACGTATATAATATATATATATAATACATTTCTAACTATCTATCAGGAAAAAACGAATGGCAGAGATCTCCAGCCTTCAACAATCAAGCATATACAACCAAGTCTACCCGATCCAGAAAGTGGACTATGCGCGCGAGGTGACCGAGGCGTCGGACAAGAGCTTCGTGCTCGTGAACCTGACCTCGTCGGCGGGCGGGAACGTCGAGTCGCGCGTGTTGACCGCGCTGTGGCGCCAGCTCGCCGCCACGTTCGGGGACATCAAGTTCTGCGAGATCCGCGCCGACATGTGCATCGAGGGGTATCCCGAGCGCAACACGCCGACCATCCTTGTGTACCGGCATGGCGAGATCAGAAGGCAGATTGTCACCCTGAGAGAGATGAATGGAGTCCGTACGAGTTTGCAGGGTGAGTTCTTCTTCTTCTTCTTCTTCTTCTTCCTCCTTGCTGTTCATTCTAATCGTTTAGACCTTGAGAAAATGCTGGTCGATCTGGGCGCCCTCAAGGAAAACGACATGCGGCTGAAGAAACGCTCCGCGTCGATGGACGAGGGCGATACCAAGCCCGAGAAATTCGAGGACTACGATGATGATTGGGACTGATCATGACATTCACGAGTTTATTTTCAAGGTTGTATTTCTGCGTACATATTTGTATCAAAAACATATTTTCAATTGATTCAATGATCAGTTTAGAGAAGTAGTGGTTACTACTAGTTTATAAAGCACAATCAATCGGAAGGACATATACAGTCAAGATATATACTAATTCTAAACACCAGATTCAAGACCTCCCATGCTCCCAGTGGATCTTCATTCACCATCGCTCGAATAAACAGCAAAAAGGGGTTTTGGATTTGTTTAGAAAGAAAAAGGCGGGGGAGCTTAAAGACAACACGTGGGATGTCCAAGTCGGATATCTCGAACAAAAAAAAAAAGATTCAAAACAAACCTCGGCGCCAGGTAAACTCCGCGACTAAAGGGATTCATTCTCTTGTTTTCATCTGCTCATGGGATCATATCAACTCATCGCTCCCGCCTAGGGCACACTCCTCGATCAGCTGACGGAGCTGGCTCTCCTTGAAGGCAGGACCCTGCCCGTCGCAGCGGGCTGTGTTTCGTAGTCGCTCACAGAGAGCCCCGATGTCGACCAGCCCGCGCCGGAACAGGTCGTGGGCCTGGATGAGGTTCCAGGTGGCGCCGACGTCGAGTAACTTCTCGCCCGTGGCCTCGCAGACGGTGATCTTGTGCGGCCGGTTCCCCGTGCTGCCGTCCAACATGAGGGTGGTACAGAAGGTGGCCGGGGTGAACTGGATGGGATCGGTGGAGGAGGCGGAGTCAACAAGCGAGCCAGAGATGGGAGGGGAGGAGGAGGAGGAGGAATCAGAGGCGTTGCTGGTGGTGGTGGTGGTGGCTCGCAGGATCTCGTTCTCGGTGGCGAAGCGGGCAAGCTCGCGCTTCAGACGCTCATTGTCTGCCTGAAGCGAGTTGGACACCTGCTCGAGGTTGCTGACCTTTTGCTCAAGCTCACGCACGTGTCGTTCCTTTCTTTCTCGGAAGGCTCGCTGACTGTAGAAAAAAAGAAACACAAGCAGCCGACGTCAGTCATTACAGTGCGACGATGTCGAGGGGGGGGGAAGCGAAAAAGAGGGTCACTTACGCCGCTCTGTTCTGCGCCTTACGCCTGTTCTGTGCCGGCGTCAGGATCTCCTTCTCCTCACTGCTGCTGCGGGTCAGCATGCGTTCGCCGAATCCGTCTTCCCCGCTCTCCATCGGGGCGGGGGGTTGGGTGATCGTGCGGAGAAGCTCGTGGCGGGAGTTGGCAGCGGTGGACTCGCCGGGAGGACTGGAGAAAATCTGTTTCGAGAACGATCCGGAGGGAGAGTGCGGTGGGACGAAGCCTGTCGGCGGCCCGAGGCGTACCGAATTATATGCGTAATTGTCCTGGAAATTGTTGGCCTTTCCATTAGCAACAAAAATTTCCGAAACCCAATGCAGCAAGGAAATTAAAGATGAAGAATAGAGAGAAAAAGGGAACGATGGAATCTTGGAATAGCTTTGAAAGGAAGGGAGAAAAACAATACCATCGAAAAGGTCTCCTGAAAGTCGTCTGCCGAACCGTTGCGACCCGCGGTCGACAGCCCGTACAGCGAGAACGGCTGAGGTGGAGGGTGTGGGTAGTAGGAGTAGTCCATCCTTTGCAGTTCAGAGCAAAGGAAGGCTCAACGGATTAGAGAAAAAAGGAGAGAAAAAAAGAAAAACGAAAAAAAAGAAGTCGAATGGAGATGTGCCTGAGCCTGTGGAATATTTATGTCTTTGAATAGGGAGAGAAGAGAGAAAGCAGAGGCAGAGGCAGAGGAGGAGAGAGGAGAGAGGGGAGGAACTGCGGAGAGGGAAGAGGGGGTGGGCGGCGGCGGCGGTGCTGGTCGTGGTGATAGGCGATCTATCTATGGCGACTGGTACCGTTTGAATGGTACCTCCAGCCGGAGCATTTTTCCTTGTCTTTATGGACTGTCCTGGCGAGTCGCGACAGGCCCCAGGGTGTGTTGTGAGTCGCCGAGAGGTCTCCTGCTGGCTGAGACCTGCCCTCTCTGGACCGCGCCGAGCAGGGCTGCAGAGCGAGGGTTCTGGTCAAATGGGAGAGACCGATTCCAGCACCTCGCTAAGGAAGCGCAATTTAAGTGATCCTTTGACCAGCCTTACGCATACGCACGCTCGTATGAACCAGGCAGGCATCATTCGACAAGTTTTGGGGGCCGATTCTGGGACAACCGACCGGAGTAGAAGAAGATCGTGACACTCCCACGGGCCCGAGAGAAGGGTTTCAGTTTTTTAGCCGGTGCGCCTTTAAATTTTAAGTCAAGCCAGGAGGGGAGTCAGAGCTAGGACGGCGCTGTTGGTGACTTCGAGTGCGTCCTTCTGGCGTCTTCACAGAGTACGAGTACGAGGCGTGTTGGTTGTGTTGGTTGCAATGACTGGTCTCTGTCTTTTTTTGGCCGCTGGCCATCCTTATCAGAAACGTTCAAGTCAGCATTCAGAGCTCGAAACTAACTGGTTAGTACGGAGAACGGCAGTAGTAGTTACCTGGTACCTAGTTGCTTACTGTGGTGGTAGCTAACGCGGAGTCACGGCATGGGGGTTGGTTTGATAGTAAACAAAGCAGCAAAAATTAACTCGGCGTTGTCGATAGCCCTCATAAACTTCAGCGGAGCATGGATCCCAGTCAAGAGCTTCATTGATGTCTTCTCCTCGAGTTCCTCGTCTGGGCTGAGGTACAATTCCGGGACAGAGAGGGTAGCAGAAGAGAGAAAGTACTGAGTAGCTAGTAGTCAGGTACCGTAATAGTACCTTATATGTACAGCTACCATTCATTCTCATGAGAGATATATAGTGAATAGGCAACCACATTATCTATAAAACTGCTACCAAATCATAGAATACTACATCACTTGTATATACCTGAGATAAAAGTTATTCTGTAGCCTGCTGTTAACCAGGATCATAGCCAAAGTACTCCATATAGTGCATGAGATATTGTTCAAGACTTGTCCTCGAGTACCTGGAAGTACCAGGTAACTACTAGTTAACTAATGTAGTACTACTAGTTACTACCTAAAAAAAGCTTCAAAATCCAGGAACAGTCACTGGCTGAGCTAACCATCTATTAAAGTTTCTAATATCTCTCTCGATACCACCGTACCTAAGGTAGCTACGTTAGCTAGTTATGCATACTACTCAACTAGTATTGTACAGAGCAACTAGCTGTGTAAAATTGACTATTGTCACAGGAATATATGACCATATAAGGCCCTAATTAATGTCTGGACATTTTTAGTGGCTCAGCGGTCTAGTGGCCCCCTAGATTTTGTCAAAACTATTTTATAGTAAGTAGTTACTCTGTACTTTTTACCTGCAGAGTAATTACCTACTAGCCATCTATATAAATTCTCAGGAAATTGACAATATCTTCATTTTTACTCCGTATGTAGTAGTTCATCCGGGATATACGGTACCGAGAGTACTCCGTCGGAAGTTACCTAGTAAGCATTTGAGCTACAAATAGCGTATTAAGTTATTCTGTACCTTCCAATACGGAGTACTTTACCTAGGTAACTTACCTATGCACGGAGTACATCCGGAGTACGGAGTACGTACGGAGTACTCTATTATTAGGTACCCAAGGTACTCTATGCAATTAGTTACTAGAATTTATACTAGATAATAAGTAACTAACTACTCTGTAACTAACATGAACTGCCAAGCCGATACCCCACCATAACTATTGTACCAGTTTCTAGATAAGGCAACCCAAACGGTCAATTAAGGTTGGTATACTAGCCCATCTAAGATGACAGCTGGCTAGTGCACTATGAATACCTAGATCCCATATTAATGTATTAATTAAACAACTACGAGGAGACGAGCTAGTGCAGCCTCTTCTCTACTGAATACCCCTCTTCAGACACAGTCATGTACCTGTCGACCAATGAGTTCATCTATTCGAGGGGATGCGCCAGCTCGCCGATCAGGATGGGCGCCACGTTGGTTATGCGAGGATAAAGCGGCTGGCGAGGAATATGGTCACTGCTGATTAGCGCGTCCCTTAACCCCTTCCACCTCAGGGATTTGGAGGCTTACAGCGCGGCACAGAAGAGCAAAATACACCCCTGCATGGTTGAGTGGCTGTCGCAAAATAAAGGAAGAAGACAAAACTCTCCACCTTGGAAAATACTAACTCAAGCCTCTGAGGCGGAATCCTCGGTTACTGCAGATAGTGTGTTCTCGACCTGTCTGGTCTTGGAAGGAGAAGGGCCAACGGAGGCGGTAGTCACAGACTGTTCGACGTCATCATCCTCCCTTTCCCCCACAGAGGAGTTAGACTGGCTCAATTGGGGGTCATGTTGCCATTTGGGCGTGGATGAAAACATCTCTGAGATGGATTCATGTAGGGCGCGGCTGTGAAAGGTGTCAAGTGCTGGGGCAGCACCCTCAACATCATCGTTGAAGTTGTTCCTGTTGTACTCATCGGCGGCTGCAGACATCGACACGATGCGCGTCAGAAACCATTGCATCTCCAGTAAGGCAAAGCTCGGCAGGGGGTGGGTCTCGGGGTTGTGAGTAGTAAGCACAAGGATGTCGCCCGTTCGTAGTAGCCGGTTGAAGATGCGAGAGTAGAGAACGAAGGAACCTGAACCTTCAAGATCGCGAGACTGGCCAGGTGGGGAGAGTAGATCAATGGCATCGAACTTGGTATGCGTTTGTACTGGCTGCCAGTGGAGCTCTACAGACAAAGATCTTCTATCCGCGGCCTCTTGAAGAGGCCGCAAGGCGAATAGTCCTTTGGTCCACGCGGTGTGTGCCGATGCAGTAAGGCAGATCTGATTGAAAACCCCATCCATCGCCCGATCTGGTTGTAGTGCATCCCGAAAGATGGCCGAATGCCATTTGTCAAGACGATTTTGGTCGAAGAAGATGCGCAGCAAGTGCCAGAAGGGTGGAATGCATGCGGCAAGGTTGGATCGTTGTTGTGGTTGGAGGAGACTGACGGGGTAAATATGAGCTACTTCCGTCACGCAGCCCATCTTGGTGAGTATGCAGAGAGTATCATCACGCTCCATGACCAAGTTCTTCAAGGCCTGGGATCTTCTACTAGGAGCGCGATCGGGAGTCCCAAATGGGCGATTTGGGGTGGCTGGGCTTGCTGGGCTGGATGTTCCCAAATTTCTTTCTCCTGGGCTCTTTTGCATCCAATGGAGAGGGATGGCGAGAGCAGTTGATTGCAGAACATTGATGAAAATCGGTCCGCTGCAGGTGTTTGCTATCATTTTTCGCAGGCAGTTGAGATCGCAAACCTGCAAGCAGGCCCAGAAAGGCACGGACACGTTCTCGGTGCCCATGGCTTGTTTGAGCTGCTGAAGGAGTTCCTGTCTTTCTGTGGACTGTATGTTGTAGATCTCGTCCTGATCTTGAATACTGATAGGCTGGGCCGACATCTTGCAATTACTACCTCTAGGTAGGTAGGTCCTGTACTCCGTAATCGACAAAATAAATACAGAGAGGCGACAAGAACACCAGGCGAACACCAGCAGAGGCAGGGGCAGGAATACAAATCAGAGGAATTTGTTGTGGCGGAAGAGAGAAAAAAAACTGTTTAGGAAATTTCGCTTAGCCTGCTGCTGCTGTTGCCTGGAGATATTCTGTCATATTTACAACTTTGTCCCAAGTTTGGAACCTCCATACAATTTGTATGGAAAACCCAAAGTTGATCTAAATCACTTTTTGATGCCAAGGGCGGCCCTACTAAAATCCCACTAATCCATATTAGGAATAGACTCAGCTCTTAGCCCTGTAACCACCTCATACCAACTACATACTCGTACAATTTTGTCCAGTTTCCGGCTCGGTCAGTTCCTTCTCAAGAGTCTGGAAGCGCTAGAGGACGACTCAGAAGCATCCGAGCAAACAATTCCACCGGTGCAGTTGACTTCTTTTCAAAGCCATAAAGCTTTGATTGTTGGATTATGAGTTGCTTTCCATCCATATAGGCATAGAAGAGCCGTCCATGTTGAGGGCCCACATAAGAAAGCATCAGGACTGGAAAGTGCTCTTCATCTGGAAATGCCAACTCAAAGTCACTGGCCATACTAGGATCATTAGAAAGAGCTTCCTGGACTTGCTCATCATCCACCTTTGGCTGATTGACACGACTTTTTAAACCTGAAAGCAGGGCACCCATCTCTCCAAAGAGAATAGAATCCTCTTTGCCAACAAGCGGTTGGAAGGTCTGAAGGGTCACCTGTGAAAAGGTATATTGATTGTCTTGCCTTTCAGGCTCCAGGCTTGGATAGGTGTCCCAGTAGATTGATGGGATCCAATAGTATCCAAAAAAGCTTGATTCTAGTAGGAAGGGGTTTGGGTGGCTAAAAATAACCTGTATTAATAGATGCTTAATTAAGACGGAGCCTTAGATAATTACTACTAACCTGATTTCCTCCAGCTTTACAATATCTAGAAGTGATGTGGTACCAGCTGGTAAACCTGGCCTGAAGCGAGTTGCCCACTCAGACACAAAGCTGCAGGCTCCCCTTGTGCGTTCATCTATCCTCAATTTTAAAGTAGAAGGAATATCTGGGTTATATTCAAAAAAATAGCCGTCCTTAAATCCTTGAGGGTCCAGAGGGTAGCGGTTGAGAATCTCCTGAGGCAGAGGATAGAAGAGAAAGGGAGGGTCTTGGTCCAGACAAGCAGCCTCAGAGTTTAGGCTCTCAAAGTCATATTGAGTATCATGATGGATATTGAGTCTTCTCAGATCGCCAAAGTGGCCATCCTGGTCCACCAATTTAAGGCCATTCTTCCCACATAGTTTCTCACACAGGAAGGTAACTTGTTCGCGTGCGTCTTGGTTGAGGCGAGACATTTTCAAAAGGCTCCTGATTAGTGAGATTTTCTTCAGCAAAGGGTATTAAAGAAAGGAGAAAGAGTCAGACGATAGAAGTAGCTTCTGAGGTTCCGGTACACGTGAGTGTGGCCATCAGAGTGACGGTTTGCAGGCCTGAGGCCACAAGCTTCTCCGTTGGTCGACATCAAGTACCCATTGGTCGAAAAGGGACAATTCCAGGCCTTGTCCAAAGTTCTGAGCCTCTCTCTCGTTGACTGTCCTTACTATATTACTTTCTTAGAATCTCACCGATGGGCAGAAACTTGCCGCTACTAGTAGGTAGCTTGCTTGTTGATTTCCTTTTGCCTAAAGTAATAATAGTAATCTTGATTTGGACTCCCCTGGGACCCTGCACTCCTATGAGCCTATCTTGGAAGATCAAGTAGGTGCAAAAAAATCCACCACTTTCATCTCTATCTACAGACCATAAGCTATCATGATGTAAGCCCACATCCTTCTGGACCGAGGTTTCAACGTTCTGCAGCTCTCCCTGTTGCACATTAAGAGCTTTATAAAGTCTTCCTCACGCCAAATATGACCATGGCTCCTGAGTCTAACTGCTGCTGCTGGACCCCACAAAGGAGGACTTTGACGGCCTCCTTTGGGAGAGATACACGGCACCAAACACCGCACAAATTTAAGGCTATGACGGATGGTCAGCTCGAAACTAAGGATACCGAAGAGACCAAAATCCTAGTCGAATGCAAAAGAGATTTACGGCGTGGAGGATCTATCCAGGTCGGAATGTAAGAGACTGCACAGATGGTAGCTTGGGTTCAGCAACATCCTGATAGCACTAATACTCTGAAAAGAATTGTTCTGTCTGAAGATGATACTGAGCTTTATCTGTCGGTTTTTGACTATGACCACAGATGGGAGGGATATATCAATGGCCATCAAACAGCAAGCACTGCAGGGGGTGTAAGAATGAAGCTATTTGGCCCTTGGATGGCTCAAGTCCCAGATGAGATACAAGAGTTCGGAGTGATAGTTCTTGCAATCGCTCTTCTTTATTGACTTGCTACAAATCCTGCTGATACTCGGGTGAGCCATTTATGCTGAAAGGCTGACTATGTATGCTACAAGACATAGGTCAAGCTGAAATAATGCTGATTCTGACTCCCTCTTGAGATCATTGGGGGTTTCCTCGAACGCTACGGTACGAGGTTTAAATCCTGCTTAACGGCAGGTGCCTGGTCTCGGCCAGGCCTCCAGCGACGAGCTCGCACCTCACCGTGGTGTTGGAGTCTATTAGCCATATCTTATGGTGAAGCTAAGATGAGCTCAATCTTTGTAACTTCTAATAGTGAAAATGATCTTGATACTACTGTCCTAGTTGTAAGTAAACCAGTTACCTAGATAATGGCACATAGTAACACTGCCGCTGCCTGGAGGTATTCACAGTCATGTTTCCAACCAACCTTTTTGTTCCAAGTTTGGAATCTCCATACAATTTGTTATGGGAAACCCAAAGTTGATCGAAATCACTTCACTTGGATGCCACCGGCGGCCCCATTCAATCCCACTTGGCCATATTGAAAATAGACACAAATCCCACTCCATCCAGAGCCTTCTGTCCCGTTTCCGGCCCGGCCAGTCTCTTGCGGCCTGGCTCGATGGGACTCTCAGGGCTGTAGCTCAAGTGCATAATCCGGACATGTTCATCTCTGCGCAATGTCTGCAATGTCTCGATGTATTCATACTGTACACTACTACAAGGAAACCCAGGAACCATTACTTAATACATATGCTAATTACTACCTAGGTACTAGTTAAGTTCTCATCCTAGATTTAGCATCGTCGCGCGGAGTCGCGGCATAAGCAGTGAACCACTACTACATACCTACTACATACAGCAGCACTGCGGCCTGTGGAATACTACGTATACCCCAGCTAGCGCTGGCTTCTTACCTACCCCTCTTTAGACGTCAGGTTGAGGTACTTGGACTCCTGATCAATGATCATATGATCCAGGTCACGAGAACTAGACTATAATTAGATAATCTACCTGGGGACCTACCTACATACCGACCTAGGTACATGTACATAGCCACAAGCAAGGATGTAGTCAGCTGTACAGGTACACCGTAGAGTCTAGACTAGCGCCTGATCTTCTCTCTATCGCCGAGAGAATGTGCAGACTACAGGAGGTTCCACCGGAATACCACAGCACCACTACGTAGCTAATGACCGCTAGAGACAATAACATCAATTGCAAGGGACAATGAAAGTATGCAAATTAGGTCATGAAGTTTGAAATCGACGCAATACCACCCCGGAAGCGACCCTACCCATTGTCCTTCGCCAATTACCAAAACCGAAGACATGTAGGACCCGTGCTTCTTTCCTGCCCCTTCACTTGACTTGGAGACCATCACAGAATTGGAGACACGCACATGCATATCCCCCTCTCTGCTCCAAAGGTATAGGCATGAGAAAAAAGATCCACCAGACATCGCCCCCGGATGATGACCTCTCCACCGTTGGCCACGCACCCCAACGCCTCCTGCGTCGATTTGAAATACATAAAAAAAAGAAGAAGAAAAAAAAGAAAGGCTCACTCAGAAAGCATTGCAACGAATGACATGTGGAAAGAGAGGGGGAGGGGGAGAGGGTAAAAGGAGGGGGAAGAATGTAGCATCAATGCAAAAAAAAAGAGGCAAACATGCATAAACATCAAAGCATCAGAAAAATAAAGCCCAATGGTCCCCAGCCAGTAGCCATCACATTAAGTTGAATTGGTAAGATGTGATGATTGGCCACACAATAAGGCTGGTAATTCCATGCACATCTCCTTGCCTCTTCACCCGGGGTCGGCATCGATGGGAAAAAATGGGAGTAGTTTTTTTTTTCGGAAATCGAGATATGATAAACTGAAACCACAGGGTGAAAAGTGATCATCAACCGTCTCGAAGTAGGCGCCTTGTCACAAGGTGATTTTATCTGTCGCATCGCAAGCTTGAGGAGAGAGCGTTCTGACCGGACGGAGACAAAAATCATCCTCTCCAGAGGCTTAATATGGCGAGGCGAAGAAAAAAATCAATGTTTTCGAAAAACGTGTGAGATCGGGGAAGAAAAAAACAGATTCGAGGAGATTGTGTCAAGGAGATCCAGAGGAGGGGGGAGATAGAGATAGAGAGAAGTCCGGATAAGAGTCTCCTTTTCTTTCCTTTCTTTCTTTCCTTTTCTTTTTTCTTTGCGTCATGTGCTGGGATTTCTGCACCGAGGAACAGCGAAAGAAATTTGAAAAAAAAAAAGTTAAGGAAAGGAAAGGAAAAGAAAAGGAAAGACAAAAACAATTTCGGTCCCGGGCTTCCAGGTCAGCGTGGTGTCAACACGCAGAGAGCTGCACTGCCAAAAGTAAAGCCACACTGCTATGCTGCACAATTAGTACCACTGAGCACCAGTTCCATCGTCCCGCTTCGAACGGCCAGCTACAGGTGCATATGCACCCGAAGCAGCCATCTTAGAAGCAGAACGCAGCCTAACGCCGAAGACTATGAGATTAGTCAGATTCCAATATCAAGTAAAAAAAAATAAAAGGAAAAAAGAAAGATAGAAAGAAAGAGGAAAGAAAAAACGAGAGGCAGTGGGCTGTTCTCCACGCAAGCGTCGTTCACTATAAAAAGGTACCGAACGCAGAGTGTTGAAGAGGAGGGAAAAGAAAGAAGTCGGCGTTCCCTGCACGGAACCCAGGTTACAGATACTCACATCCGATCGCTACCGCCGACAGCACGGTTGGTGTCTGGAGTATCAATGACACCACTGGCACCGCGTTCAATGACCTTACGGCGCTGACCCGAGACGGCGCTGGGCTTGGCAGCGGGCGGGGTGGCCATGGGTGCGGCGGTGACGGCGCGGCGCTGGGGGTCTTCGCCCTCCTTGTCCTTCTTGGTGGCGTCCACAATCATGGCCGCATTCTTCTGGTACTTGTAGACGGTCCAGTCGAAGACATAGTCATACTGGAAGGACTCGCGGACGAAGAGATCACGGAAGATCTTGCGCAGGTAGGAGTAGTCGGGCTTGTCGTCGAAGCGCAGGGAGCGGGTGTAGTTGAGGTAGATGGCGAACTCGTTGGGGAAGGCGCGGCAGAGCACCTCGGTGGGAGTGGTCATCTTCTTCTCCATGATTCGATCATACTTCTGCTTCTTGGTAGCAGCCTTGAGGCCCTGCCAGGGGAGCGAACCGCGGCAGAAGTAGAGCATAACGTATCCGAGAGACTCCATGTCATCACGGCGGGACTGCTCGACACCCAGATGGGTGTTGATACTGGCGTAGCGAGCGGTTCCGGTGAGGTTCTTGTTCTCACGGTAAGGGATGTGGAAGTGTGTCTTGGGGTCACGGTATTTCTTGGCGAGACCGAAATCGATCACGTTGACCTGGTTCCCCCGCTTGCCGATGCCCATGAGGAAGTTATCGGGCTTGATATCACGGTGGATGAACGACTTGGCATGGATGTACTCGATGCGGGAGATGAGCTGGTCGGCCAGCAGAAGCACGGTCTTGAGCGAGAATTTGCGGTTGCAGAAGTTGAACAGGTCCTCCAAGCTGGGGCCGAGGAGATCGATCACCATGGCATTGTAATCACATTCGGTTCCAAACCAACGCACAAAGGGAATCCCCACGCCACCGGCGAGGGACTTGTAGACACGGGCTTCATATTCCAGCTGGGGGTGCTTAGCCTTGACACTCTCGAGCTTGATAGCGATTTCCTCGCCGGAGATGATATTCGTGCCTTTTTTTTTTTCCCCCGGTTAGTCATTGAGTTTCATTTTTATGAAAAGAAAAGAAAAGAAAAGAAAAACGTACCCAGGTAGATGTCACCGAAACTGCCACTACCAATCTTGCGACCGATACGGTATTTATTACCGACACGCAAATCCTACCCAAGGAGTTAGATTATATGAGATATATCGAACGATAGGAAGGGCGGGCAGGGCGGGCGAGGTACTGACCATGGTCGTCATTTTGGATCAATCGAACACAGCTAGCCGCTGTGCAGGAACAAGGAAGGTGTGGGTGGTGTGATGGAAACTATTTAAACCGACAACGTTAGCAGAGAGTCTATCTTAAAAAAAAACCCCCCCAGAAAAAAATGAAGGCCGACAAGATTCAATGAAGCAAAAAAGAAAAAAGAAAAAACAAGAGCCAAGGCTCCCACGCAAGGCGTCACGCCGAATAAACAAAGACTGCGGGTAGAAGGGAGAGAGAAGGTCGGGTAAAGCTGAGCCTTGCCGCACCTTGCCACCTTACATGACCTAGACTGTAGACAAGAATAGATTGTAAACAGGACAGAAGAAGAAGAAAAAACCAACTCCGTGACGATAAAGAAAAGGGAAAAAAATACGGATTGTGTAGGGTAAAAAAGGGCGGCCACGAACCTTTTTGTGAGGCGGTGATGGCGATGAGAGCCCGACCGTCGATCCGACCGGAATGGCGAGAGAAAAAGAGTCGGGGAAAGGGGATTGATTCGGGGGAGGGCGGCGGGGGGGAGGGGAAGAAAAGAGATAGCGGATGAGGAGAGGCGGTGTCGAGCGGTCCGGAAATGACAGTCGAACACAGCGGGAGAAGGAGGAAGAACGAAGCAAGAAAAAAGAGGCGGCAAGAATTGAATCAAGGACGAGCCTTGATGAGGGGAAACGGGAGGTGGTGAAGAGAGGGAAGAGATGAGGTGAGAGGGGGAGAGGGAAGAAGGGGCAAAAGGCAGTCGGTGAGAGAAAGGCTGCCGGGAAGGGGCTGACTTGGCTTGAGCACACTCAGACTCAAACACATATCCTGTTAATAATATGAATTAGGCCGAGTTGAGCAGGAATCGGTCTTTTTCTTTTTTTTTTTTTTCAGTATGCGAAGATCATTACTCCATATTACTATCAGCATTATGACGTTTTATTTATTAAATTATCCTCGTGGTCGTGAGTGTCGTATATGCCTCATACAGTTAGTTAGCATTAAGAGGATCGAACAGTAACCACCTAGATTCTAGTGAATAGATAGCTTTACCTTCAATACTAGAGTTATTTCTAGGTATTGTACTGATAGTGTACTCCGTACTGTTATACAGATCCTACTAGGTACCATGCTGTAAGGACATTGAATGACTCCATTGAATGACCGACATAAGACCAGCGAATCTCCAATTCAAGACAAGACCTGATTCAATAAGGAATCCGACTCGGTGCCTTGCGCTGCATGTGCCTGATCAGTGTTCGACGAAGCGCCTGAGATGTGTGCGGCGTCCTATCAAGCGGTGCCAACAGTGACCTGCTCTACCCAACGTTAGTAAATATCTACCTAGGTAACCATCTACTTGGACACATGATCATTTATGTCAAGAGTATGTTCATTGTCTACATCACGAGTACAATGAACCAAGTAGCAACAGGAGGAGGATTAGTAGTAGCAGTAGTAGTAGTGGTGGTGATGGTGGTGGTACAAACAGGATATGAAAGGGTATTGAAGAACAGGAGGAAGAGTAGATAAATAAATGGATAAATAACAAGACATAGCCTGGTGTGCCCTTTTCCAATGACCTGCCCTCAGCCGAACGAACTACCCAGTGGAAATAAGCAGCTAATAAAAGTAATAAAAAAAAGGAAGACAATGAATGCAAAGAATTGGAGGAAAAAGAAAAGACGAGGCAGTGGAAGTGGAAAGGGTGAAGGGAAAAAATGGGAAACAAAAAAAAAGGAAAGGAGGCAATCAAACTGGAACGAGGAAATGGCTTGAAAAAAAAAAAAAAAAAAGAGAAGAAGAATAGAATCATAAGAAGACAGACGGAAAGAGACCATGCTGCCATATTCTAGATCATGTTGACCGTGCCAGCTCCGAGACTTGGGCTCATCGTCTTGCTGCGCTCCGAGCTGGGGCTCGCAGTGGCCGTCCGCTCCCGCGACTCCTCCTCATCCAGTCGCCGGCGCCAGTCGGCCACGCTGCTGCTCAAGCCACCCATCTCCACGGCGGCCGGCGCGGTCTCCTTGGTTGGGGTGCGGTCAAGATCCAGCTGGCTGCTGAGCCGATAGTTTCGGTTTGTCGTCTCCCAGTGGCTGCGCAGCGCCTCCAGCTCGTTGGCGAGCGAATCCAGCGCTAGAGAGCCCCGGTTGTCCAGGAAGGAATGCTCCTGCGAGGCCGTGCTGTCCGCGCGCGCGCGGGTCCCGTTGCCCATCATTCCCATCGTTGCGCTACCGCCGCCACCGATGGTATTGCTCGAGGCGTTGCTGTGGGTGCGGGAGATACCGTTCAAGCCCGGGCCGTGTTGCGACTGGCGTCGGTAGTTGCCCACCGAAGCCTCCACCTGGTCCAGGAGCATCGTCACCTTGTGCTCCGCGTCTAGAGCGCGGGTTTCTAGTAGCAAGTTCTCCTGCTTGAGCTGGTCCAGTTCTGCACGGCTCTTTTCCACCGCAGACGCCAGCTGCTGGCGGTCCGTCTCATACTCGGCTTGCAGTTGCTCCTTGTCCGTGTGAGCGGAGTACAGTTCATCCTTCAGATCCGCCACTTGGTTTTCCAGGTTGGTAATCGAGGCACTCATCTGCTGTTCGAGCTGTTCTAGCGACTCCTGGAGTTGAGCACGCTCCGCTTGCCACTCCTCTGTCTTCAGTCCGTCGGCGGCAGACGACGACGATGAAGAAGAAGCAGCAGAAGCAGCAGATAGCTCCAGGCTCTTCTGGGCCGCCTCCAACTCAGCCTGTACCTTGGCGTTTTGCGTCTTGTATCGTGTCAGCTCATCTTTCATGCGCTTCAACATCTTCTCCGTCCCCTTGACGTAATGAACGGCCGATTGGTAGTCGTTCTCGAGCTGCTCCAGCTTTTCGCGATACGCCCGGTCGGCTTCCTGCTCGCGAGACTCGAATGACATCTTGAGTTCATCGTGGGCCTTGAGGCTGGTGGACAACTGCTGTTCTAATTCGCGCAGCCGGCCCTGTTCGGGGGTTCCAAAGCGGGAACCCGGGGAGTCTTGCATAGGCGACCGGCGACTGTCGGACAGGCTCATACCACGCTCGGCGAGCAGATCCTTCAGGGCCGAGTGCTGGATCGTCAGCGCCTTTGTCTCCCGCTGCTGGATCTCGATTTGAGCCTTGAGTTCGCGGTTCTCGGCAGCCGACGCTTGACTCTCCTTCAAGGCGGTCTGCAACTGGCGACGTAGTTGGAGGCCTTCTCGGCTCGCCTGCTCCTGGTAAGCCTCTAGGCCGGCAATTCTCTCCTCGGCACGTCGGAGCTTGGTTGCGGCCGAGTCCGCCGCCGCTTGGTTCGACTTGGCCAGATCGTTGGCCTTCTCGACCTGGGCCTCCAGTGCCGCCACCCGGTTGTCGACAAGAGGCCGGAACGACGACTCCGGGTCGAACGCCGAGGCACGGTCGAGCCCCGAGAGGAAGGCGTTCTTGTGCGTCTCCGCCTCCTTGGCATGGCTCTCCGCGAGCTCCTGCGCATCCTTCAAGCGGCGGGTCAGGTTCTCGACGTCAGCGGTCTTTTCCTCGTGCTCAGAGCGCAATTGCAACAGCTTCCGCTCCAGCCCCTCCCGACGCTCCCGCTCCTCCTCGAGGTACTTCTCCATCAGTGCCGACTTGGCCGACGAGGCCGTGACGGCTTCGCGTAGAGTGCTGAGATTGCCGCCGTGATCCTTCAGCCGGACCGACGACTCTTCGAGTTTGGTCAGAAGCTCTTCTTTTTCCACGGTCAGCTGCTTCAGCGCAGCCTCGGCCTCGGTGCGCAACCGCGACTCTTCCCGAGCCGAAGCCTCAACCTGGTGCAACTCGCCTCGCAGAGTTTCTAGCTCGAGGGTATTGGTTTGCATTTCCAACTCGGCGAGTCTCTTGCGAGTTGCTTCGCTCGTTTCCTCCGCAAGCTCGCGCGTCCGCTTCTCCTGCTGCAGTTCTGCTGTCACAGCCTCAAATTTCGCCTTGATCTCAGCCTGGGCGGCCAGTGCCAGTGCCAGCCGCCGACTCATGTCCGTGGCACGTTCCGACATTGCTTCATCCATATCCCGCGACGACCCCTCGGGCTGCGGCGTGCCACGCTGACTACCCCCGTGGGCAGCGAGCTTGGCTCGGGCGTAGGCGGCCTCGTTCAGGGCCGCATCGCGCTGGTGTTCAACCTCGGCGACCCTTTTGGACGCGATGGTCGCCTGCCGATCCACGGTTGCTTGCATCTTGGCCAGCTCCGCGCGCATCGCTAGGAACGCCTCGATCAAGGGCCGATCCTCATCGGCAAAGGCATCGGCCCCACGTTCATCCAAACCAGGGTTGGCGGAGGGGTTTGGTGTGTAACCTGCCTTTTTCGCCAGCGCCAGCTCCGACGCATACCACGCATTCCGGCTTTTCGCCGCCTCCAGCTCTTTGATTAGTGCTTCTTGGTGAGGCGTCAGCCTCGGTGAACGAGGCTCCTCCGCATATATCTTGGAGTTTCGAAAGCTGCGAGACTCTACCGAGCTGTCGATGCTGGCCTGTCGGCCCAGAACGGATTCCTCTGCGCTATCCATAGAGCTGCGCTGGCGTTGCTGACGCAGCGACCGTTGCCGGGTCGGCGCACTCATCAACGGTGCCGCTTCTCCAGCTTCCATGGCCTTGACGGCCATCTTCGACTGCTGCTGAATAGGAGTCCGCCTCCCGACAGAGGCTGGGCTCTGATCGCGCGGGGGCCGGGACTCTTTTGGGGAGTGACTGGTGACGGATGACTCGTTGTCTCTTTCCGTGGGCACCACCCTCACCGTTTCGGCCAAGGGACCACCGTTATATCCACGATCCTGTTTTGTGGGGGTTTTGCTGCGCGCAGCGGATGGGTTTTGGGGTGATGGGACGTTCCCTCTTGGGCCGGGCGTGGGGGCCTGTCCCGGGGGAGGCGGTCCAGCCGGGGCTTGAGCGATGGATGCTCGAGGGAGTCGCGAGCCGGGTCCGGTGCTGGGGCCTATCTCTCCTGGCCGTCCACCCGGGCCCATAAGCATGCTTTCCCGCGACGGTCCGCGACGGGGTTGTTGGTCGGGCGGTGGATTCTGGGCTTCTCGAGATGTTCGACCGCTGGGTTGTCCGGGCTTCTCCCCACTCATCTTCCGCGGGGTTGGTCCTCGATCTCCGTTTGGTGTATCGGACGGGTAGCGAATCTTGGCCGTGTCGAGGATGTATACCATGCTGAGCTCTGCCGGGTCACGAGGCGCAGAGCTGGGCTCCCCCGCCATCACGATTATCTGTTTCCCAAACGCAGTCATGCTATGACCGGAGCGCGGCGAGGGTGCTGGTCCCATATTTTGGAAGGAATACCACCGACGGCTGGAGATGCGGAACGCCGCGAGATCGCCTAGATCTACGCCTTCGTCCGTCCGGCCACCAAAGACGTACATCGTATCATTCACGAGGGCCGCGGCGTGGCCTTCTCGAGGGGCCGGAATAAACCCAACACAGTCGAGTTGCGTCCACATGTTGGTACGGGCGTCGTAGGACCAAACATCGTTGAACCATTGAACGCCGTTTGTACCTCCGAAGCTGGAAAACAAGAAAAAGCGAAAAAGAACCCGGTTAGCCTGAGAAAGCGGATGATTGTTCCGGAAGGAGGGAGATTACAGGTAAAGCTTGTCATTGTAGGTGACCATCGAATGGTTTGTTCTTGCCGGCGGGACCTGGCCTGGAGGAGGTCCCCCTTCATGACTGTTTCGAATTAGAAATTCCCACCTGTTGGCAGGGTTCTGCAGCTGGTTCAAGTCAAACGCCACGAGGTCGTTGAAAAAGTAGCCTTCGACTTGCCCTCCGAAAACATAGATCTTGGAGCCGAGGATGTTCAGGGTATGGCCGTATCTTCCAGCAGGTCGGGGATTGGGAGGGATAGCGCGGGACCATTGCCGAGAAGCTAGAAAGAGGAGAAAGCGTTAGAGAGAAAAAAAAAAAGACTTGGACATCTCCAAAAAGGCCGGTTGCTTTTCATGGCCGACTCACAAGTGTTCAGAAGGTATAAAGTATCGTCTAGACTGTCAGACTCGTCGACTTTTGTATCTCCGCCGAAGACAATGAAAGCGTTGCCGACCAGCAAACTAGAATGACCAACTCGTGGCCCCGGGCCCTCGGAGACGGTAGCGATGGGGAAGCAAGAAAGATTCCCGCCGCTGCTTTCAATCATCCAGAGGTCCCCTTTGACCGTAGACCCGTCAATCAGCCCACCCATCATGTAGATATCGCCTTCCTTTGACGCAATGGAGTTGATGGCCGCGCCATATCGGGGGAAGGGGTTCGCCTGTGGAGTCGCGAAATTGAGGCGTCGTTGTGACCAGGGGTAGAGAGAGGTGCCTGGACTGCCGTTGGGAGAGCCGCCATTCATCGCCGGCTGGGGGCGTGAAACCTGGGAGGGATTTTTTTGTCAATTCTATCCATCTATCCATCCATCCATCCATCCATCCATCCATCCATAAACAAGACCAGGGCTCCGAAACCAAAAGGTGAAGAAAGGCGAAACTCACCTGTGATTCGGACTCTGCCCGCTGACGCACCCTCTGCTGATCCGGGCTATTCATACTGGCGACGGAATTGAGCGAGTTGTTATAGCTGCTACTGGGCGTCGGGGTCTGGGAGTGGCTGCCCTCGCGACCCCCCGGTCCGTTCATCAAGGGCGGCGCGGTGGCGCCTGCCGGGGTCCCTTCTGAAGTATGCACATTGCGCGTCGCCGGCGGCAGCGCAGTTCCCTGCTGGTGCTTCTTGGATTTGAACAGAAAAGCCATCGTAACAATCGATCATAGACGGGTCGTGTAGCACGTTATTATAAGAAAGCAAAAGGAGAGCAAGGACCGGAAATGACAGGCGGAGGGCGAACGTTCTCCCATTCAACACCCGCGCGCACACGGCCGGCGGCGGAGCGGGCCAAAAAGGGCGGCTGGCAGAGCAGACAGAGCAGGCAGACAGGGAGAGGGAGGGATCAGCGATCGTGGCGGTTGCCCAACGGTTTCCAACCTTCGGACACGTGCAAGAGAAAAAGCGATCGAATCCTCTTCTTCTTCTTCTTTTCTTTTTTTTCAAAAGAAAAGAAAAGAAAAAGGCGCCGTGAGCGGAAGACAGACGAGGGTCGACAGGGACAGGGAGAAGGCCAGATTCCAAGCAACTACACGGCCACACAGTGGGTGTTCTTGGGGGAGTGCGAGCAAGGCGGTCTCACTGGAAACAGGCCTTCACCACACCGGCAAGGACATGAGTCGCGGGCTGTCGTTCGAAAGGAGAGACTGGAAGAAGAGAAATCAATCAATCAACAACACGGGAGACAAAGAAAAACAACAGGAACGAGGAAGACCGGTCGGAGAATAAAGGTGCAGGGCGTTGACAGGAACAGAAACCCCGGCGTTTCACGCTCTCCTGGGCAATATTATTAGGGGGGGAAAAGACTCACCGCCCAGCAAAAAGCAATTCCCGGCCACGAGGGAAACCTGTCGGCCGGTTCCAACTGGGTACTCCTGGGGGGGAGAGAGAGGGAGAGGGTGAGATTAATGATGTAGTTAATCTCTGATGGGGGGGGAATTCGCTCGGTTAAGACTTTGTTGCGGTTCTGTTTGTTGTGGGCGTGGTTTTGGGGCAAGGGGAGAGGGAAGGCGAGACAAGGGCTGATCTTCGGTTCCTGGATGGCTAGGTGTAAGGGAGGAGTCAGAAGAAGAAAAAGAAGGATATAAAATGGGTTCTTTGGGAGGCTTGGGGGGGGGGGAATTTGTCTAGAGCAGGTTTACTGTCTTCATAGACCTACTGCATAAGCATCAAATTAACTACTTGGTATAAAGATTCTAAACCATACTACTACTACTACATATAGTTCTTCTCAAGTCAACGAGGTGAGATTTAAGCGATGAATACCCTGACAGCTCCGTCAGCACCCAAATGACGTACCAATCCTTCATCCATCCGAGTCGATATCTCAAGTATATATAGTTACTGTCAGACTATCAAAACGTCGATGTTGAGTGCGATCAACACTCTGGTAGTCCAGAATCCTCCCCGCATAGACAGAAGTATATAGGGCTCGAAAACTGGTAGATTATTTTATTCTTAACCAGTATGGATTATTCATTCTTAGCCAGTATAGAAACGGAGGTGCATACCTGGTGGTTAGCCCAGAGTCGTCACTAGAGAGCAGGAGAATCAATGAGAAAAACGCATCAAATGATAGTCGCCTCACTGGTAGGATCGTCTCCAGAGTCCACCATCCACCCGTCCAGTGCCCATTTCCAGTATAGGTATGATGTAGTATGAGTGGGTGGCGGGTCTGGAGAAAGGGGTTCGTTTGGAAATTGCAGGTGGGAGTGACGGTTGACCAGTGACCATCAGTCCATCCCATCCCTGCACCCGCCGACTCTGGTAGATCGGGCAGGATTCCAGCCTCAGACATAATTCGATCGCGAACATTCTTCTCTTTTGCTCTGCTTCGGGTATCTTTGTTGACTAGGTTGGCTCTGTAGTCCAGTCAACACCGTGAAGATAGAATGTCCTACTACCTAGGGAGCTGTAGATTCATTATAGAGCCAAGATGTCGCACGAGCTCGTATTCTGTGTATACAGCATCTGCAACACGTGTCTGGAGGATGTGGATTCTCACAGGCTTCTGGGATCCCCGATGCACTGTGCCGAGAACAGTAGCCATCTCTATAACCATGGTACTCAAGAAGTTGTAGAGAACTAGGTAGTTACTCCTCCTCTATCTATACCTGCTCCTACTTTCTTAGGCTGACTAATACGTATGCCGTCATGTGCAGAACTCGGGGATATAATTTTCCGTGCCAAGATATCACCCTCAAGCTCATGACCTCCACGAAACCTCAGGCTTGTTGCAGTCACTGCCAGTTGCTTCTTGCTGGAAAGGCTGCGCCTGTAGGAAAGAATCCAGGGGAAGTGGCATTCTCTAGACTCTATCTTTTCCAGTTGAATTTGTGTCTTATCATGGAATATCCCCCTTGTGGCTGCTGAGAACCCATCCTCCAACTGTCAGAATAGGGAAGTGAGAGTATAAAGTGTACTGGGATATGGTTGATAAGGTAGGCAGGCAAACATTTTGACCGCCTTATAGTCTAGTGTTTTCTCTCACTTGCTTTGATACTATGCTCTTCTTTGAGACTTGCAACTTTCTGACTGTTATCTCTCATCTTAGCTTGCCTCTCCTTCCCACTGAGCACCCACCGATATCGTTTTCCTGGAAACACACCATGAAAGATTGTACACAATGAGGGACCCTAATCTGACGATGGATCAAAAAGCCTCGAGCAACCAGCAGTCGCTTGTTGCGCAGGGCGAGCAGCGCAAGACGCAGAATAAATCAGTGCGAGTCGCCTTCGGTCCGGAGCTGGAAACATGGATCCCCCCACGCGATAAGTCGCCGGTGCCTCTCACAGGACACCACCGATCCCTCACCAGCGTGGAACAACAGAAGCCATCCAGTTTGACCACCATCCCTCGCCCGACGAGCTCCGCCGGCGAGGGCCCTTCGGCTCCGGAGTCGAATCATCTGCATACCTCCGATCGCGCCTCGGAGGGTGGTCGACCGACGGCGACGCTGAAACGAACCAGAAGTGACTATGGCCCGCGCGTAGGGGCTGACAAGCCGGTCGGCGCTGAAGAGGACGAGGATTTCGCCATGAGGCACGGTTGGCAGGAGGAGTACACCTCCAGCGAGTACCTCAAGATCTTGCACTCGGTAAGCCTCTGTCAGGCCTTTTCTTCATTTGCCTAACCGGATGGCTAATGTCTAATCAGAATTTTTACATGTACTTTACTGAAAAGCGCCACGAGACGAATGGCATTCCAAGAGACCCTGTTGGGAGCTGGCCCAGCCAGGATTGGCGGATGAAGGATCGGCTGAAGACTGTCTCGGCCGCTTTGGCAATCTGTCTGAACATCGGTGTTGATCCCCCGGACGTGGTCAAGACGAACCCTTCCGCCAAACTCGAATGTTGGGTCGACCCCACCTCGACCACGGGCGGCGGCCAGAATAAGATCATGGAACAGATCGGGAAGAAGCTGCAGGAGCAGTACGAGACCCTGAGCCTGCGCACTCGATACAAACAGTACCTGGATCCATCGGTAGATGAAACCAAAAAGTTTTGCATCTCGTTACGCCGCAACGCCAAGGATGAACGCGTCCTCTTTCATTACAATGGCCATGGCGTCCCCCTGCCCACTCAGTCCGGAGAGATCTGGGTTTTCAACAAAAACTACACCCAATATATTCCTGTGTCCTTGTACGATCTCCAGTCTTGGCTGGCTGGGCCGAGCCTTTTCGTTTTCGATGTCTCGCATGCGGGAAACATTGTCCAAAATTTCCACACCTTTGTGGAGAAGCACGAGAAAGAAAACGCCGAGGCAAAGAAACGCGACCCCAATGCGGTGGTCCAAAGCTATGCCGACTGCATCCTGTTGGCCGCCTGCCAGAAGGCCGAGTCTCTTCCCACAAACCCGGATCTTCCAGCCGATCTCTTTACCTGTTGTCTGACTACCCCCATTGAGATCGCGTTGCGCTTTTTCGTTCTACAGAACCCGCTGGATACAAAGCTTTCCATTGACGAGTTCCGTGTTCCCGGCCGTTTACAGGACCGCAGAAGCCCCCTGGGTGAACTGAATTGGATTTTTACTGCCATCACCGATACGATTGCCTGGAACACCTTGCCTCGCGCTCTCTTCAAGAAACTCTTCCGTCAAGATCTCATGGTCGCGGCCCTGTTTAGAAACTTCCTCCTCAGTGAACGCATTATGCGTACCTACAAGTGCCACCCGATCTCTTCCCCCGAACTTCCAGAAACCCATCACCATTCTTTATGGAAGAGCTGGGACTTGGCCGTCGAGATGGTGCTGGCTCAACTGCCCGCCCTCATCGACCATGAGGAAGGCCGCAGACAGTACGAGTATCAGCACTCTACATTCTTCGCCGAACAACTTACAGCCTTTGAGGTCTATCTCTCCTCGGGGCCCACAGAGAAGAACCCTCCGGATCAGCTTCCGATTGTCCTACAGGTGCTTCTCAGTCAAGCTCACCGATTGCGAGCCCTGATCCTGCTGAGCAAATTCTTAGACCTTGGACCGTGGGCGGTGCACCTTGCCCTGAGCATCGGCATCTTCCCCTACGTGGTCAAGCTCCTCCAGTCCGCAGCCCAGGAGCTCAAGCCCGTCATGGTCTTCATCTGGGCGAGGATCATGGCAGTCGATCACACGGTGCAAAGCGATCTCTTGAAGGACAATGGCATCCACTACTTCATCTCCATCCTCAACCCTGCCTCGCCGATCCCAGTGGGAAATGCCAGTGAACACCGAGCCATGTGCGCGTTCATTGTTTCGATCTTTTGCAAGAATTACCCCCAAGGTCAGAATGTCTGCTTGTCCGCCGAGCTCTTTGACTCGTGCTTGAAGCACCTGGTCGATGTCGAGAACCCGCTGTTGCGGCAGTGGTCGTGCCTCTGTTTGAGCATGCTCTGGCTGGACTTCCCAGATGCGAAATGGATGGGAATCCGGTGTGCTGCCCCGGCTCGCCTGTGCGAGCTGAACTTCGACCCCGTCCCGGAAGTTCGTGCAGCGATGTTGCATGCTGTGACCAACTTCCTGGGGATCCCGGATCTGACCGATCAAGTTGCCCAGATCGAAGAGTTCCTGGCCATGGCGGTCTTGCCGATGGCCTCCGATGGCAGCGTCCTTGTCCGCAAGGAGCTGGTGGTGTTTTTCTCCACATTCGTCAAACGCTACCAGAACAAATTCCTTGTTGCGGCTTACGAAGAACTTCTAGAAGAAAAACAAGAACTGCTTGCCAAGCTTGACGGCGAGAAGAGTCTGACGAAATCCGACGTCCGGTCAAATGGCTCTGCCTCCCCTGCTCCTAAGCATCAATACTTGTCTCGCAACACCACTTTCGGGACGATCTGGAAGCAGTTACTCATCCTTTCCGTCGATCCACACCCGGACATTGCCCGCGATGCCTGTCTTGTGGTTGACTTTGTTCACCATACCCTCCTAGACTCCCCCATGGCATCCGTCACTAATCAGGTTAGAAATGAGATTCTTGAGCTTACTGCCCGTATCCCACAAAGGTTCCCCTTCCGCGAGAAACCCGAGGCCAAGCAACCGACGCCCCCGCAGCCGTCCCCGTCCCAGCAGCCGCAAAAGTCGGAAGGCTACATCTCGTTGAGTCTCAAACGAACCGCCAGCGTTGCAGCATCATTGAAAAACCTAGCGTTCGGTGGCTCATCTTCGACGGACATCCAGTCCTCGTCGCCATCGGCCGCAGTCCCCTCAAAGGCCCGAATGCCCATCACCCCCCGCGGACGAGCGCCTCCCGAATGGACTCGTAACCCCGAGGTGAACGATCAGATAGCTCCCGCCACCGCGTATCATCAGGCCCCGCACCCCAAATCTCACGGATACGAGCCCAGAGATTCATCTGTGGCCCCCATGATACCGCTGAAAAGCAGGTTCTTGGACTGGTCCACTGAGGTAACTTCCGAACTCATTCATCACATCAGCCCGGTGTGCTTCTCGGAGTATGATCAGTCTCTTACTCATGATGACCAGTATTTCCGCGAGCCCCAGATGAAACCCAACGAGCCCGACGAACCCGGTAGTGCCGACTACAATGAACGTCTCTGGAGACGTGGCCGCAACGAGAAGATCATCGCAGAGACCCAGCCCCTGAAGAGCAAGGCCGGAAGCAACCGATGGGACCACTCGGTTGCCTTCCTGAACAACAACCAGCCGTCCAAGATGTGTTTCCATCAGTTCGAGGACCACCTGGCTGTAGCCGATGACCGGGACACGGTTTTGTATATATCTCCACTCCCCCACACCACCTTTTTTACTTTGATATCACTAACTATCTCTATAGGATCTGGGACTGGCAAAACCACAAGCGTTTGAACCGGTTTTCCAACGGCAATCCGGTTGGTTCTAAGATCAACGAGATCCGCTACATCAACGAGGACGATCAAGCACTGCTGATGACCGGCTCGTCCGACGGCGTCCTGAAGGTGTATAAGAATTACGAATCCGCCAAGGATGTCGAGATCGTGACGGCGTTCAGGGCCCTCCCGGAATTGATTCCTAGCAACCGCAATGCAGGGCTCGTGTTTGACTGGCAACAGGGTCAGGGCAAAGCGCTTGTCGCCGGGGATGTCAAGGTGATTCGTGTGTGGAATGCCGCGACTGAAGTGTGCACGAATGTAAAACTCATTTTCTTCCCCCCCTCCCCAAATAAATCTCACTGAATACAATCAAAAATGCTAATCAACTATCCATAGGACATCCCTGCGCGCTCTGGTTCATGCATCACGTCGCTGACCTCCGACCAAGTCGCGGGCAACATCTTCGTGGCCGGGTTCGGCGACGGAGCGGTCCGAGTCTTTGACCAGCGCCTGAAGCCCACGACGGCCATGGTGAAGGTGTGGCGCGAGCACAAGCAGTGGATCACCAACGTCCACATGCAACGCGGCGGGTTGCGAGAGTTGATCTCGGGCAGTCGCAATGGAGAGGTCCGACTGTGGGATCTCCGCATGAACGACCCCATCTCCACCATCAACGCAACCAAGGATACCCTGCGCACATTGAGTGTGCATGAGCACGCCCCCGTCTTCAGCATGTACGTTCCCCTTTTCCCTTATCTTTGAATTGTCGTCATTCCTTCTGTATGCATTCTTCTAACGAGCAAAGTGGCACCAACCGGCACGAGGTGAAAACCTTCAACGTCGACGGCACCTACCTCTCCACCTTTGAACCGTACTCGAGCTTCCTTCACCATAACCGTTCCTCGCCCATCGCTTGCACTGCCTTCCATCCTCACCGGACCCTCCTCGCCTGCGCGGCGCTTAATGATCACCACGTCAACCTCATCACATGTTAACCTCTCTCTATCAGTGTCAAGGCAGTTCCCTCTTCGTCTTCCCTCTTCGTCTTCCCCATTCTAACTCTTTTCTTTCTTTTTATTTCTCTCCACGGCTTTCTTACGAATTGATTGGTCTCGGCGCAGGAGCGGGCAGTGGACCCTTTGATTACTCGGTTTGGCGTTTTTTTCTTCTTTTCTCTACTTCTCCTTGTCTTTACGCCGGTCATCATTGTGTCTAGCATATCCACATCCTTTCTTCTAGCTTCAAATGACCTTCCTACTTTCCTACCTTCCTACCCATCTGCACATACAGACAAACAGAATAGATGAATGTTAATGAGAGCCAGAGACCGTCTTGATCATAATCTAGTCCTTCTCAATTAGAAGTCAACTACAAATCTCCTTCTGTTTGGGAGTAACTGCTTGTCATTAGATCAACTAATTCCTGCACTATCAAGAATAAAGCTGCCTATAGACACAGATAAATCAATTCATAAGCCTGCAGCCTCCCAGCCCAATGACCTCATCTCCAAGTCATGTTCAATGAATCCGAAAACCCTCCTGCAGAAAGATAGGCCAATGTCTAGTCCACGAGCGGATACAAGACGCAATAGAGCGGCTAGAAACAAAAAAGGAACACCTGAATAACCAGCATTCAACAATCAAGTTTCTAGTCCCAGCTTCATTCGGTATTCAAAATTTCTTCTCCTCCTTCTTCTCCTTCTTTCCGTTCTCCTCGTCTTTCTCTTCCTCTCCGTCTTTCTTCTCCTTCTCCCCTTTCTGTTCCTTTCCCTTACCTTCTTCATTGACCCGAGATCCGAAAAATCTGCTCTTGGTTCTCAGGGGAGGGCGGGGAGGGTTGCGGGTCTCACTGAAATATGGATCCTGGTCAAAATAGCTACGACGTCCTCCGTCATTGGATTCGTAACAACCGGCAGCAACGTCTCCAAAGTTCGCAAAGTTGCCGCGCTGTTTTTCGCGATCTCCATCAACATATGAAAAGAGATTGATGATGGCGTTGCCCAACAAGTTGTTGGTCTGTTCAATGGCAACTGGGTCGCAATTAGGATCCTTGGTCTTGCACTCTGCTGCGTAGTTGCGAGAGATGTCGGCAATTTGCTTCCGGAATGGTTCGTAAAGAGTGTCATCATGAAACCAGCGATTGGCTTCTTCCATTCTGGCATTAGGGTCCTTAGAGAAACCCATGGGATCATCATAGAAGCTCGGTTGATGCAAGCCTGGAGGCAGCTTTGGGGCCCGTCTAGTAGATGCACTGATTCTCGCGGCCATGCTGTCTTCAATGAAAACCTTCGACCGGTCCACGGGTTGTTCTCCTTTGCCAGTAAACTGTGAGGCCCCGTTGGAAGTTGCCGCACCAAAGAAAGGATCGATATAATGCATGCCGAGGATAGAAGGTTCTCCAGATGCAGGATATCCGCCGCTAGAAAGTCCAAAGTTCTTCGGTTCACGAGCCACTTGGAAGAGATTGAATGGGTCATTGGAGTGCATCATGTTCGAGTAAACCTTTTTTCCAAGCTCAGGGCCTCTCTCTGTAGAAAGAGATGCTGTGTTCAAGTAGACCTTTTTTCCAAACTCAGGGCCCTTCTCTGTAGGAATAGATACTGGCTTCCGTTCTTTCTCATCTTTCTTGGTTGGTCCCTTGATGGTATCTTCGAACTGCAGGGGGATACCCCAAAAATGTTCGGCAGGCTTGGTAGTATTCTTTTGGATTGGCTCTTTTGTCACCTTCTCTGTCTGATAGGATTTCACGGGACCCCAAAATGGATCGACGAGGGGCTCGTTAACTTTGTAGGATCCTTCGAGAACACTGTCCAAGAAGGCTTTTATGTCCATCTTAGGAATAGGCTCTCCAGAACCTTCAACGTGCCAGCCGTTAAGCTTTGGATATTTGGTTCCAAGAGTGGTAATTCCAGACGCATCCTCAGAGGAAGGGCGAGCCAATGGGGCGAGTTCTTCTGGCTTGGGGACTTGGTTTTGGCTGTGCTTTCCGGGGATTGATCCCAAATGTCCAGGCGAAATCATGGTGTCCACTGCGTGGATTTTGGGAGGCTGCTGAGAGAATGAGCCCCGAGGCTGGTGACTGCCGTGAGCATTTGAATGATCGTGCGAGGCAAGGACTGAGCCTTCATCGCTGGCACTTGGGTTGTGTCCTTGCCCGAACTTGGGATCACTCATGAGGACGGCTCGTGACAAGGCGGATCCTGAGACTGGAAGTCGATTCTCCTGGTTCTGGATCTTGTGCTGTGACTGGCTCACAGTGCCAGTAGCTTGATGATAGGTATCTTTGGACCAGATCGAACCGAGGCCTTGGAAGTGGTTGTTGTGAGAGGAAAGATTGTTGTGGGAAGAAAGAGTGTTGTGGGTAGATGAAGAGGAGTTATGTTGGTGATCCAAGCCATGGCTATGAGATGATCGATGATCACCTACATAACCAAAAGGATTTTTATAGGCCTGAGTCTTCACATTCTCAGTTAATCCTAGCTGGCTTTGAATGTTTCTGCCTTCACCAATGGGTGCTTGCTTTACTGGTTTATAAGGATTATGAGTAGAGTTTGATGCAGGCTTCTTGTCATCCTTTAACCCTCTTTTTGGTCTTTCTATTGGCCCTAGAACATTGACCCAAGCTCGGTCGGCTGGCTGACCAAGGTCATCCAGCCTGTATTGATTCTGTTCATCGGCGAAGGATCTCCAGGCCTTCGAGCCTTTGTTTCTCGAATGCGTTCGGCTGCTAAGCGAGCTCAGGGGCAGCGGCTGCGAAGACGCAAGATCATCGAAGTCGTCAAGCTCCATGGAGGACCGAGTGTTTGCGGATGAAGTTGGTCCACCAACGGTAGACAGGTATTTGGTCTTTGGGAACATGTCCTCTTGCACTTGGTTTTCGGTTTTTTGTGAGAGGAAGGCTTCTGCTGACACAGGAAAAGGTTAGCAGCTTTCAAATTATGTCTGAGAGGCCAAGGGCTAAAAGCATACGCAGAAGATGGATAGGGACGAGAGGAGGGGAGTATCTCGCAATTTCTGAATCCCCAGAACCTGGTGTGGACGACAGGAGAGAGCTGCTGGTCGCCTCTGACTTGAGAGCTGGAGACAAGCTTGGAGAATGTGGTGATCTGGAAGTTGTGGACTGGGATGGTTTAGAGGTACGGAAAGAAGAGATTCAAGGAGATTATGACAGTCTTGCTTACTGGAGAAGGACTGTGTTCCAAAATCCCTGTCACTGAAGGAGTGACTAGAGCTGGGGGAGCAGGCCTGAGAGACGAAGGAGACCCCCAGCCTAATGGAGCTCGGCCAGCTACCAAGTTACCAATGGTAGTCGCTGCTTTCTTCCTGCGACTTCTGCGGCCTACAGGGACCCTGCGTTAGAACAAGCCTCTAAAGGAGCACGAGGATTATGGGGCATACGACGACGGTGCTTCTTGAATCCCCCCTCGTCAGCCATTATCTTATTGTTGTCTCGAGAGCCCATTCTTCTCATAACCAATCCGCTGTCGCTGTCGTTTTCGTGACCTGCTGTTTGCTCTTTGATAGGTGGATGTGTCTGGGACAACACATTCACTTTGCAGTTTGCTTGGTTTAAGTGAATGCTATACGTTGATTGGGTTGATTCCTCTGCTGCTATTCAATCAGCAGAACTGAGGGATAACATCATGAGGGAGGTTAGTATCTACGACCTGCGTTCTTACCGAATTCGGCAACTGCGGATTCTTGGACGGAAAGAGCATTCATGGATATGCCAATTGGGTGCCTACGGTAATTACCACAGAGGGAATGCATTCTATTTTGAGCGTAAGTATAAGAGATATTTGTCTTTAATCGGAGATAAGTCTGCTGAAGACTCGTCCTGATGGATGTGGATTCAAAGTTTATATGTTCGACCGATGTTTCTTTCGATATATCAATTTTAACTATCACAACAAAAGTACAACAGGGATACAGTAAAAGTTATACGGCTCGTTTAAGTAAATCATTATAAATATGTCTTTTGAGTTTTCTGGTAAATTTATTACTAACTTCAGAGAAATACTGTAACTGTACACAGAAACCAGGATTCATAAAATAATACACAAAACCGAAACATCACACTTCATAACAATCATAGAAAATGACACTAACTATAGGGTAAACATCTCGGCCAACGGTGTCTCTCAACACTCATCAAAGATTAATATTGACGCTGGGTTCCGAGAGTACGACTGTTGTCCAGGTCAGAGTCCACACGAGGATCAAGCTTGTTCAACAAGTCAGAGTTGTGAGGTCCAGCTGTGCGCCCGGTATTGTAGCTGCTGCCCGCCATGGCGTCATGGCGAGCGCGATTATCCATGTCGGAGTCGACACGAGGATCCAGCTTGTTCACAAGGTTCGAGTCATGAGGGCCGGCGTTAGTCGAGCTAGTGGTTGTGTTGTAAGTGTTGCCTCCGTAAGCACCCATGGTGTCTCTGTTGTCCAGTTTGTTGGCCAAGTTAGAATCGTGAGGCCCGGCATTAGTCGAGCGAGTGTTGTAGGTGTTGCCAGTTCCAGTGGTAGCACCATAGGCACCTCCATATGCACCCAGATTGTCTCTATCGGAGTCAACTCGATGGTCCAACTTATTAGCCAAGTTAGAATCATGAGGACCAGCATTGGTCGAGCGAGTAGTGTTGCCAGTTCCAGTGGTAGTACCGTAGGTACCTCCGTAAGCACCCCGATTATCTCTGTCAGAATCCACTCGAGGATCCATTTTGTTGGCCAAGCTAGAGTCGTGAGGACCAGCATTGGTCGAGCGAGTGTTATAAGTAGTTCCAGTTCCGGTGGTAGCACCGTAGGCACCTCCGTATGTCCCAGCACCCAGGTTATCCCTATCGGAATCCACTCGAGGGTCCAGTTTGTTGGCGATGTTGGAGTCATGGGGACCAGCATTGGTAGAGCCAGTGTTATAAGTGGTTCCAGTTCCGGTGGTAGCACCGTAGGCACCTCCGTATGTCCCAGCACCCAGGTTATCCCTATCGGAATCCACTCGAGGGTCCAGTTTGTTGGCGATGTTGGAGTCATGGGGACCAGCATTGGTAGAGCCAGTGTTATAAGTGTTTCCGGTTCCAGTTGTAGTACCGTAGGCGCCTCCGTAAGCACCAGCACCAAGATTATCTTTCTTGGAGTCCACCCGAGGGTCCAGCTTGTTCATCGTGTCAGACTGGTGAGGGCCGGTGGTGCTGCCAGTGGTGTAGCCGGTACCTGTCATAGGTTCCTGGCGAGCACGGTGATCTCTGTCTGAGTCAACGCGAGGATCCATTTTATTGGCGACGTTCGAGTCGTGGGGGCCCGCGTTGGTTGAGGAAGTGTTGTATCCAGTGCCTGCAGTGGTAGAGCTGAGATTGCCGCCGTACGCAGCGCGATTGTCCCTGTCAGAGTCGACGCGAGGATCCAGCTTGTTAGCTGTCTTGGACTCATGGGGTCCGTAGTTTCCTGTGGAACTGGTGCCTGTAGTGACGCCGGAGGTATCGCGGCTGTATGTGTTGCCCGTAGAGCCGCCCATGGTGTGGGTCTGTCTTCCTGGAGCAGCACGGTGGTCTGTAACAGATCAGTCAGATACTTGGTACTCAGAAGTAGGTATGGGTATGTATTAAGATCTAGCGTACCTCTGTCACTGTCTACCCGAGGGTCAGCCTTGTTGGCCAAGTTTGAATCATGGGGGCCGTGGTTTGTAGAACCAGAGCCTTGAGTGCCGTAAGCGTCAGTGGCAGCACGCTGATCTACGCAGCCATGTTAAATGTATGTCTTTCCATGAAAAAGAGGTCTCGTCACTCACCATAACCATTACCACCACGGGATTCGACCTTGTTTGTCGCTTTCGAATCGTGAGAGGCCTTGTCGTCATGGTGGTGGCCAGTGAGAGCGTCTTTTACTTTGTGAACGATATTAGACATCTTGCTAGTATGACTTGAAGGATGCCTTGGGATTTAGGATTTGATGCTGAATACTGATGTTTTCAATTCTGATTAAAGATGAGATGGAAATAAAAGTCTACACAGGTCACCCGAGGGCCATTATATAGCTTTGGCCATCAAGCTACGGGAATACCGTGACGTATGGGCATACCGTTGATGCTGGACGGAGCTCAGATGGAGACAGCCTGATCTCGACTTGTTGTTGGTTCCCCAGAACAATCATGACGTTCTGATCATCTTCTTTCAACCTTAAGACAGCATCCAAAGCCCGACGTCCAGCCATTGTCCCTTCGTATTGCCCACTTCGACGCTTGAGGAGCTGGTGGAGATGAGATGGAGTGTGCCCATAACTCACATGTATGGTGTTGTGTCATCGGTCGTCATGGTTAGAGCCTCACCAGCCACAGCCATAAGCAAATCTAGACCCCCAACCATGATTCACCTTCTTCAGGAATTCCCGCAAGCGAATCAAGGGCTCCAAAGCGTTTTGAAAGCTTGTTTTCCAGACCCATACCTGGAGCACAACAGGACGAACGTTTCTGGCTCCGATTCATTTAATCAGATTCCATGGGGCAAGGCAAACGGCACCTAGATCCCAAAGGGGTGTGGCGGTGATTCCCAGATGATCGATCGGTCCTAGGTTGCAGAGCTGTAATTCGTGAAACAATGGAGCAACAGACCCTGGATGATTGAAGTCAAGCGGGGGCTTGGCAATGACGTACCACCTGGCATTCTGAAGCTGGGCTACCATCATCCTGCAGAGGTGCGTATCACGATCACAGTAGGCCTCCAGGGCCCTAGGTCATCATCCAATTCCCCTATTGCAGTGTCCCATTGGGTACTCTGTGTATGGGAAATGCTTTTAACGCAAAAAAAGGGGCCGAACCGTGTTGTCTTGCCGATCGTGTCTCGCTTGTCAGGATGTGCTAGCAGCCCTGCTGAGGGACCGACGGGGAACATCTGGACCTCGCAAAGAAGTGCTTCTATCACAGTGCTTGTAGCAGTATAGTCGTAGGATTGTCCTGTAGCTCATATCGAATTTAGTTGTTAGTTATTCTGTAGGCAGCAGGCATCTACTGAGAGATTCGGGTTCGGGTCGGGTTGAGACACGGGAGAAAAGGAGTTCACTGCCTGAGGCCAAAAGTTCACGTGACCGACGAGGGATGAATCATGAAACGGCGCGGCTGTGCATGTTGCGTTCTCCTGGGCGCTACTTCTGCCCTCCTCCAGTCTTCCTCCCAGGCCCTTCTCTCCTTTTCCCGCACTGCTATCCTCAGCTCGCGTCCCTGTTTAGGACTGCCGACGCTGTGGTTTCTCTGTGTTTTCTGCTTTCCACTGCCTTAGGTAGTTTTGTCTCGATGAGCGACCGTCTGCGCTCCTTCCGACGGCCCGTGGTTTGGTCTTGAGAAGTCTTATCATTCGACTCCCCTCTTGTTAGGCAGGCATCCAAAGAATCGCCCTGGTCCGTTTGGACTCAGGGAAATTCAAGATGCGACCTCCACGCTTGATTTTTCTTGTCTTTTGCTTCATCTTCTTCCCTATCTTTCTCACCTTCTTTTCTTTCTGTTTTTCATCGCCTCGTGTGACTACGCCTAGCGCGCTCCCTGGTCGGACGGGCGGCCTGCACGCTCTCTTCTCCTTCAACATCCCCTCCTCACTGTTCCCGCCGTCGGCTATCATCAGTTTGACCGATGACAATTCGACTTTCTTCTTGGCTAGACCTGCAGCGTTTGGGCCGTTACTACCGTCGAAAGGCCTGAGTGGCCAACTGTGGGTGGGCAGCGGCTTTGGCGAAGGCGGAGCAATCACCGGTATCGAAGGCGAACTCGGCTGCTCGGATATACCTGGATGGGGAGAAAGCGAAAACCACCGCAAGCAGGATAAGTCGACCAAGGATGTCGAAACGGCTTCTGGAAAGTCTGTCTCGAGCCCCGATAGTGAGTCGGCGAAGTTACAGAACCGTCGCCGGTCCGATTCTCAGCAGGACGCCAAGTCCCCGATCATTGGTGACGATAAATCGTCTGCACCATCGATGAATGACGGGACAGACGACCATCTCCATCATCCTCTTCTCGAGTCTGGCAAGTCAGATTCGAGCGCTTCGGACCAACATGGCGACCACGACTTGAACAAAGTGCCTGCTCATGCAGACATTCAATCTCTACAAGAGAGTGCTGAGATCGCAGGCAAGGTTGTTTTGCTGAGCAGAGGAGGCTGTGGGTTTTTGGAGAAGGTGAAGTGGGCTCAGCGGCGAGGAGGCATCGCCGTTATCGTGGGAGATGATACTAGGGGTGGTAGTCTTGTCACCATGTATGCTCGTGGTGACACTTCCAACATCACTATACCCGCCATTTTTACATCTCACACCACTGCGCACCTGTTGTCGTCTCTCATTCCCCAACAAATCGGGGCTACCACAACCAACTCCAAGTCTACTCCAGCTGATTCTAGCAAGCAAGACTCGGGCTCCAAGACTCGTACCTCATCTCTTCCGAGCCCAACTTCCACGATCTCGACAACTAGCCGTGACGATGGTTCTTCCACTCCCAAGACAGGATTCTTCCGTACGATCTTTTCATTCCTGGGACTTGGTGATGATGCCGATTCATGGTATGGCGCAAACGATAACTGGCGCCCACCGAGCAGCGGGAACATCGACTGGATCACCATGGACTCTTGGGATGATGAAGACTCCTCCCTGAACGCCATGAGCGCTTCGAGCGACTATGACCGTGACAACGTTCAGAAGCTTAGTAAATCCAAAAAATCTGGCTCGACGCTCACCGGCCCGGACAGTGACGACTTCATCATCGGAGTGCAAGATTGGCGAGATCCGGATCTGGTGGCTCCTAAGAGCAGTGTGCTACCTCAGCCTAGCAGTACGGCTAAGGACAAGACAAACTACAAGAGCGGGAGTAAGGACAGCCTGAAGGGCGGCAGCATCACACCAGGAAGCGGTGAATACGAGTTGGTAGACAAATCTTCTGCAAAGAGCAAGGATTCGGGTACAAAGATGTCTAGTCAATCGACCTCAACGAGTGAAGCTTCCAACAACGCCAAGCCTGGTTGGTTCTCAAGTCATTTCAGTTGGTTGCAGGATAAAGAGCCCATGGTCGATGGGCCTTCTGGTCCAGAGGAGCAAAAACGCCCGCTGGATGCGAAGACACAGAAGGCATCGTCAAGCTCCCGAAATCATCAGAGCCTTCATAAAAACGAGCATGAAGGCTTGTGGGTCACCTTGACTCCTACGAGCATGTCAACCAGTCCATTCTTTGATACTCTTCTTGTCTTGGTTGTGAGCCCTCTGCTCACCCTCACGGCTGTCTACGCCCTACTGTTGCTTCGATCCCGCATCCGACGGCGGCGGTGGCGTGCTCCGAAGTCTGTCGTGGATCGTCTCCCCGTCCGTACCTACCACACCATTTCGCGTTCTTCTTCTTCTACTACTACTACTACTACTACTACTACCAGCAGCCCGAATTCATCCTCTCCTGCTTCACCCTTGCTGGGGTCCGAGAATCGCACCGGAATTCTCGGGTGCAGACCGAGGTCCCAAACGATATCTGGAATTGTCTCGAGTGCTCCCGACCCTAACCCGGTGTCCCCGCCGAAGGAGAAACTGGCCTCCGGCTCAACCTTGTGGCGCCGTAAGTACACTGGAAGGCAAGTGGAATGCGTGGTCTGCCTGGAGGAGTATGTCGATGGGCAGAGCCGCGTTATGAGTCTGCCCTGTGGTCATGAATTCCACGCGGAGTGCATGTAAGTTTGATCTAGTATCTTCACATCTTGATTTTGCTAATTGTTCGTATAGAACTCCTTGGCTTACCACACGTCGTCGAACCTGTCCCATTTGTAAGGGAGACGTTGTCCGGTCGTTGGCGCAGACCCGCGCAGACGAGTCGCGCGAGCAAACTGGAGAGCGTGTAGAAGCTCCAACATCCGAAGCTCGCCCCGAAACCTCGTCTTCTCCCGTCGCCGTATCTGGCTTCAGCGGGGACCTTTTGAATCCCCACGCCGGAGCAGACGTCAACCTGCTGGAGAGACATGCGTCTTCCGCACCCCAGTCGGGGCTGCGAAACTTGGCGTCGATGAGCTATTCTATGCTGAGCGGCGATGGCATCTGGCACCAAACCCGAAACGACCGGAATAGATAATCTAATGGTGGGTTGGGTACTTGGATTTGTGGCTCCGAACTGAGAAACAACTCGATATCTCTTTGCGCGGTTTTCTTGTATTAAATTAGCGATCCTTTTGATGTCTCCTTGTCCACGGCCTGGCGTTAGCGTTCTAAGAGACCTGGTGATATCCTAAGCAATTAATTGGCTATGTATCTTTGTAGAGCATTCCTCAATGACGTCATCACTTCAACACCAAGGTATAACTTAGGTAGGTAGTTATAAAGTAGTTAGACTACCAACCCATTTACCACAATTGTCATAATCTAGTACGATGTCAACCCATATCAAAGCCGCACTAGCAGACGAAGCGTCGCGACTCCAATCGTCAGCCCACCAAATCGCCAAGTCAGGCGCATATCTGTACCCTTTGAAAGTATGTCTCTAACCAGAGCAGTCTACTACTGTCTACAGCTAACGAGTGTCAAAGGGCATAGTCTACCTCCTTACCCACCGAAATCTGTGGTCCCCCCTCGTCGCTCGAGCATGGCAGACCCTCACCCTCGGGGCGGGGATCACCGTCCTCCTCTTCGCAACGACGTATATCCCGCAAGTAGCTCTCCTAGCATTCACAAGCGGGCCTCTGGCGCCCGTGTCGGCGGCCTTGCTCGTTCTAAGCGAGAGCTCGACGCTCACAAATTTTTTCTTGACGAAAAGCAATGCGTCAAGGGTCGCCCTGGGGGAAGTATTCGATGATACCCTTTTAGCGCGGGGATCCGGACATCTCCTCGACGACCGTGAAGCAAAACGGGACGGAAAACGGATGAAGATTCCTTCTTTCTCGGTTCCCCTGGTCAGATCGCTGGTTTACTTGCCTCTTAACTTTGTTCCGGTCGTGGGAACGATCTCCTATATTGTTTTGCAGGGGAGGAAGATCGGGCCTTTCGCCCATGCGAGATATTTCCACCTGAAGGGGTGGAGAGGGGACGAGGTTCGAGAATGGGTTGAGGCCCATCGGGGGGGGTATACAGGGTATGCTTCTTTTTCCTCTTCTTACCTCCTTACCTTCTTTTCATCTTATTATAAGTAGTACCGTGTACTGTTTATGCTAATGTGTAGCTTTGGAATTGCCGCGTTCGTCCTTGAGATGGTCCCGTTTGCCTCGACCATTTTTACGTTCACGAATACCATCGGGGCAGCCATGTGGGCATCTGATATTGAGAGGGAATTGAGCAGTAGATAGATATACATTGTCTTCGTTCCTGAAAATATACATACTGCTTTCCTATACATACATACAGTGTTAATTACAATGGAATGCTTGAGACACTACTCGGTGAACACGCCCAGCTGCACCCGAAACGCTGGAAAGGCAAGGGCCGCAGCACCTCTCTCGAGGCCCGCGGCCGCTTCAGGCCGTTCTCGTACGTGCTGCAATCCCACCACTCGACCCACTCGGTGCGAGGCAGGACAAAGCTGCGGTGGCAGACGGAACAGCTGCGCCCGCCGGCGTTTTTGACCTGCTTGGCCTGCCGGAGCAGCCGGGCCATCAGTTCGGGGAAGTACAGTGGCATCTCAGCGTCGGAGATTTGGTCGACGTACGGCGACCTGGAGAAGGCCAGCAGGGAGACTTCGCGCAGGGATGGGACGCGAGAATTGATAGGTTCCGTTGTGGTGGATTGGAGATATCGAGACTGGTTCTGTCGGTTGAGAACCGGAAATCCTTCCATATTGAACCGCTTCACGGGGCCGGTCGCAATGTGGATGGGTGCCCAGGACTCCTCCGGTGCAGGGCCCTCATACTCCGCCAGACGGAGAAGATCATCATTTTCCGGCCGAGGATAATGCCAGACAGCGATCTCCGCGTCGCCGATCTGCAGGAGAGGGTTCGGATGCACGATCATGTGTTTCAAGTCACCTTTGCGGATCAGCCAGAGAAACTCCCACGGGAGACACTCCAGCCGGTTCATGGACAGGTTGATCTCCTGCAGCATGGTCAGTTTCCGTACTGCTGTCGGGATGCTGGTCAGCTTGTTATTCCGCAAACTCAGGACCTTGAGGGTCGCGAGCTCGAAGATCTCCCCCGGCAGCACGGTTAGGGCATTGCCGGAGAGGAACAGCCGCAGGAATGGTTCGAGAGAGGAGTAGCCATCTTCGGTGATGGGAGCCTCCGTGATGGCAGGCAGCTTTGTCAGCAGCTGCAGGGGTTGCAGTAAACCAGGGGGGATTGATCTCAACAAGCCGTTGCTAGAAGGAAGGTCAGATTAAGACCTCACACTATAGCAGAAGACACGATTACAGGGCAAATATCTAGTACACACCTCAGGTCGACACTATCCTGGCCCTTCTCCAAACACTCGTTGACAATGGCTCTAGCGAGGCGATGTTCCCGCGGCTCCTCGGCCTTCTTGAACGTCGCACGCGTAGCCACCGTCGACTTGAAGTCGTTATCTGATGACAGACCCCCTTGCTGTGCAATAGTAGTAGTCGTAGTTCCCGCCGTCTCACCGATATTCTTCAAGAGATCCTCCCCCCACGCCGGGGCATTATCGGACGGAAGAAACGACGACTCGTCACTCCCCATCCACACCCCGCTGTCGACGTTGCGTTTCTCCTTGAAATCCGCGCGCTTCCTCTTCGGATCCATCAGCGTCTCCCCCCACCACGTGCCTCGATAGCGGCGCTTCCTGCCCGTACCGGTGGTGTAGTTCTCCAATCCTGACGCGGGGATGTCGTCGCTGGAGAACAGCGCCGGGTCGCTCGAGGGCAGGCTGGAACGGTCATCGGTTACGCGGGAGAACCGGTACGTGTTTCGGAGCGACGACGAGGTCGAGCCGGCGCCTGGCTTAGCGGGGGACCGGTGTCGCACGCGAGGCTGCGGCGGTAGAGGAATCTCATTGTCCATTTTCTTGTCTTGTGCGGGTTCGCGGGTTTCTCGGGATCGCACGCTCTGCCTGGTTCCTTACTTACTGCTGATAAAAAAAAGAGAGGGAAAAAAAATCCACGTTTCAGGTGAATCCTCCTCACACCATCCTACCAGAGAAAACAAACAGGATCCTGGCACGAAACGTACCTGGTGAGAACCGGTGGTTAGATAAAACCCCCGTCGACTGTTTACCTGAAGCGGGCACACGCGTCGCGATGCGCCAGTCCCCACCAGCAGCGATAAGGAAAGTCAAGTCGTTCTCCCCTCCTCCCCACCAGAGGAATGCGGGATGATGACAGGCGATAGAGGGAAGTAGTTTAAATTACTCTAATGGTGTCGGTGGAATGTACGGGGTACGAGGACTCGGAGGATTAAACTGAAAGTGCTACGACTGTTATACAATAATTGCTCAAGCTTGCGTGAGCAATACAAAGTAAGATTAAAGTCAAGATTAAAAGAATAACTATAGTTCAAGTATCAATATATAGCTGAAGTATGAACAAAAACATATGTGATCCAGTACAGATCGCACTGGAGAAGTATAGTATAACACCGTCACCTCATAATATCCAATCGTAAGGGGTATAAGAACCACGTAACACCTGAGAATCCATGCCTCTCCATTCGGAGCCAGCTCATCAAGAAGAGAAGAGAAGAGAAGAGAAGAGAAGAGAAGTAAAGAAGAATCCGCGGAAGAGGATGGAGTGAGCCCGGGGGCCTCATATCCCGTCGACCTGAAACCAAGTCGAGGCATGCAAGGGTATGCCGTTGCCGATTTATCACAGCGCAGAACCCAGGATCAGGGCGACAGAGCCGGCGACTAGAGCCACAGGTATACCGCCACCAGCACCAAGGTGCATCGCAGCTCCCGTCTGAGTGGCAGAGCTGGCGCTGCTTTGAGTAGTCGAATCCGCCGCGGCAGCAGCGGTGGTGGTAGCGACGGTGTCGGTGGCCGAAACACCGGACGTAGCAGTCTCACCGGGAGTCACAGTCACGGAAGTGACTCGGACGACGGTTCTGGTGATGGTGGTTGTCACGGAGGTGGTCGAACTCTCTGCTGTGACGAGCTGCGCGGCAGCCAGGCAGAGCAAGGAAGAGAAAAGCGTAGAGATCTTCATCGTGACGAGATGTCGAGTCGAGGTCGGTCTAGAGACGATCAAGTATACGGTTGTATATATATATATATATATATATATATATATATACAAATATGGAGTAGGGAAGCCAAGTAGATGGAACAGTCGAGTAGCCTGCGCGAGTCTGTAGGGAGGGGTCTGTGATCTCGAATGGGAAAGATTTGAAGTATGAAGCGAATGAGTGTCGTTGAAGGAGTTCAGTAAAGAGCGTGGGGAGCGAGATGCTCGATAGTAAAAGAGAGTGTGGAAAGTGCTCGACACAAGGAGGCGCCAAAGGAGGAGGACGAAACCAGGGAGGGCGCGAAGGTACTTAATAAGTCAGTACCTGGTAGTAACTACTACTAACTAGCGTTTCTTTCATCCATAAACCCCAAAGTAACGGCTCGATGGCCCCTTCAGCCAGGGTGTCACCGCTGTGACTAATTAGGAAGCATCTGGAGGAAATCTCTGCTACCGTGTGTCCAAGACTAGACTGGAAGGGTCTTTTTTGTCTCCATTCAGGGACTGACAACTGGGTCGGCGGATACGAACAGCGAACAGCAGGGGCAGCAGGGGAAACAGGGGCCAGTGACAGCGCACATCGCTTACGGATTACGTACTGGGATTAGAGTATAGACTCATTACGGAGTAACTTAATCATTCTGTACCTGGGGGGAGTTGAGAACCACCGTTCGCAAGATCAGGTACCAAACTTTAAATCGGGCTCGAAATTGTCTAACATCAAGTAAGAGTAGGAATATCTAGTAAGAGTACCAAGCAAGTACCAAGGAGTACCTAGTACCTACAAGCAGTAGAGTAATTCACATTGTTCTCTTCATTCTTGGTGACGTCTCTCATCCCTCGTGGTATTGGAATGAGGGGATGTCTGTATTCCTGCAGGGACCTCCTGGTCCCTGGCGCTAAATAAAATGGGCAATAGTTGAACTTTGGAAGCTTGGGGTCGCTTAGATATCCCTATTAGGAAAAACCCAAGACTTTCTCGATATTTAATATTACCGCCTCATGGTCTTCCAATAATAAAGGAGTAGATTTGAAATCTGAAGAGAACTTTTTCTTCGTAAAACTACTCTCTTTGCCATCACGTGGTGGTGACTCAGCCAGGGTTAGTCTCCATTTACTACATGGAAAGGAAAGAGTAAATACGGACTGTTCTCGACAGAAACTAGCATCGAAGTAACCTTGCAATAGGATGAAGCAGGGAGACAATTTATTTGGAATAGAAGAGCTTATTTTAAACAAGACTGTCGCATTGAATTTTCGCCGTGACAGAAGACTGTGTGATAGTACTGAGGTGGCATCCCTTACAGTGTGAAGTCTACTACTTCTCGAGTTGGGGAACACTTAGTCAGAATTGATTGATCAACTCAAATACAATGTGCGTACCTGGAGAAGAGAATAGTCCATTCGATTGATCTACGGACGAGTGTTGATGATGCAGTCAACTGTACTCCGTAGGGCTGGCCCACAATAATAATGGTGACTTGATCGTCCCACTCGCTCTAGCTGAGTTTATCAATCTCTGCCTCAATAGTATGTATGGACTATGGAGTACTTCGGTTACTGTAAGCGTATCTACTCTCCTTAATATCAATATGTCAGTGTGCTATAGTAACTGACTACCTCTCAAATTGGGACTCTGTTGACTTTATAGATGTGCTCCTCCGTGTGAAAATACTACAAAAGGGCCAGATCTTTTCATTTTTGGCGCCAGAACATATCTCAATGAGGTAGATCTTTCGTTTGTATGCCAAGGTAACAGATAGCTGGCCGGTACAGCTTCTATTCTGTCGACAGTCGAACGTTTGTGTGGATCAGCCAAAGAGTCAACCGTCTACAGAGCATATTATAGTTTGCAATAGCCATTATCAAACAAATGGTATCTTGATATACAGCTATGCCATGACGACTTTCCTGCTGTCATTCCTAGTGCCGGAGAAATTACCACATAACGCCGTGACAGCATTTTGCATAATTGCATGACAAAAGCTGTTTTTGTGCCCGTGCTAAACCAGATCATGGTCCTGTTATGTACACTGCTGTGTCGACTGCTTCTGATCCTGCCACTTCGGGTCCCAGTTTCCATGGAGAAAAAGCCGTTGCAACGCTAGCTGTCTGAACCAAGATTGGATTGAAATTATATTTTACAGTGGAGACACCCTTCTTGGTTAACATCGTGTTCGCATCTCGCTCGGTCTTTCCAAGGGGTGGTGTGTGTCAAGGATGATCTATGGGCGTGTAGATCGCAGCGGGGTCTGTCGGGGGAGCATCATCGGGGGCCCGCGAGCGCGCAGCCAGGCGTCGTTATAAGGTCCTTCGGTACGGATCACACTGCCGATCGACATGAAGAGACTGTCCGTAGATAGATCATAAGTATATAGGGACATAACTGTGATTTCAGGACGCTGAGGAAAAAGACCCACCCGAAAGTCGCACCCGATCCGAGCATGTATTTCCCAAGGGTTCGCATCACGCCGTTGGGACCAGCGCCGTACTGGAAGATGGTCACAGTTCCTGTCCTGTATGAGCAGCAATTCCCTCAAGATGAAGCACATTAAGCCCACCGATAATAAAACCCATGATACCGCCAACAGCTGGACAGGTGAAAATAGCTTGTAAGTAGCCGACTAGAAAAGCGGAAAAAAGGATTCAGTTGGACATACTGCTTCCCATCATCGCGCCCATTTTCACTATAACATCGGTCAGTTTATTGTCATTTCTCTGCTGCAACCGACTCCACAAGAAGGAAGTATTAATCTATTGCTGACTCCGAGTCATTTCCCAGAACAACAGCAGCAACTTACTCTTGTCAAAGGTGGAAGGGCCTCCTCCATGAGGGGGGGCGGCAACAACGGGCATTGTGAGAGAAATCGACCAAGAGACCAAGCTCAAGCAGGGTGGGGGTAAGTTCTTTTCCAATAAGTCTACCCTGACGCTGTACAGCTCTTTCTGTATGAGCTCACTATCATCACCCAGAGATGATGAAGCTTCGCGCCGGCAACCGTTGTCGCGCATCACGTGCTGTGGCACAGTGTGGCTGCCACAGCGGCGCAGGCCACACGTGCCCTCTATTGGCTGCCCCTCGCTGAGTCTCCGCAGACTGGCACGTGACCCGCGCAGCACATGAGTTGGAGTTAGGGAGAGCGCTGTGACCTGATCCTTACTCCCGCTGCTGCTTGGTGTGGCCATCCATGGATTCCGACCTGGACGTCTGCTGAGGACTCCAGCCCTTTGTTGCGTCGATCCATCGCTCTCCAGTGGTCTCCCCAGCCTGTTTGAGGCGGAATCACTGCCTGTCTCCGGCTTTCCTATTTTCTCCTTTTCTCGGGATCCTGGCCGCCCGGTCGCTTCTCCACACACTTCACTTCCTGGGCCTGGAGCACGAGCTGCTGTGTCCTCTCTTGGTCGCGGTTTCGCTACGCGAAAGCCGTGCTGCGTCGGTAAGCACGAATTTTTCTTTCGTATGTTTGGGTATTTTGTTCGCCCGTGTCCGCATCCGCGTGTTGCTAGAGTAAAGACACAGAGAGAGAGAGCTGACGCGACTCCAATCTTGGAGAGCAGGTCCCCAACCCTTGTTTATTTTATGGTTATTGATATCTCGGAGAATTGTTCCTACGCGGTCTCTATGCTAGAAGATACGATACGGAGGGGTTTCATCGATCTCACCGCGCCGCGCTTGTGACTTTTGGCAAAGTAATCGTCGGTCTACTCGTTTGCACTGAGAGCAGTCAGTGACCGTCCGGCGTCACCCTTCTCCATGACTGCTGTGGCATCTCCGCCTAGCGTGCAATCAGGGCCCCGCCTGGGATGGTACAGTTCTGGTAACGGAGGACAAGGAGCCCTGTCTTCAATGAACGACGAGGTGTCACGAATGTTCATGCCGCGAAAAAACGTCCAGCGATCCAATTCTTCCTCATCTCTGTCATCGACCTCGTCCACTTCCTCTTCATCCACCATACAATCGAGCCACCACCAGGATACTAATGCAGCGCAAAGTAATCACGACTGGTCATTGAATACATCGGGATCAAAGAGAAAGCCTCGGAGCCTCTTGCCTCCATCAAAGGCGGAGCCGGTATCCGGAGTGACCACTGCGCGTTCCCAAGCAGTACCTGCCTTGTCCTCCTCCGGGCTCACGGCCTCCTCAACGATGTCCGCTATCCACCAATCACCCTCTATTGTTCCGTCGCAGCATCTGCTCCAGTCGTCTCAACAGAATGGCATTCGCCAGAGCAACGGCCCGTCTGCAGAGCCCCCGGCCATCTTAACATTGCTGCCGATAAACGCCACTTTTGATAAGAAACAAATCAACGTCCCATATTATCCAGACGTCTTGCGCGTCGGACGCCAGACCAACGCCAAGACCATTCCAACAACCGTTAATGGCTTCTTTGACTCAAAGGTGCTTTCCCGGCAGCACGCCGAGATCTGGGCCGACAAGACTGGCAAGATCTGGATCAGAGATGTCAAGTCGTCCAATGGCACATTTGTTAATGGGCAGCGATTATCTCCAGAGAGCCGCGAGTCGGAGCCTCATGAGCTACGCGAAAATGACACCCTGGAATTGGGTATTGACATCGTGAGCGAGGACCAGAAAACAATCGTCCACCATAAAGTATCCGCGAAAGTTGAGCATGCGGGGATCTACGGGACGAGCCCGAATATTCTCGACCTGAATTTCGGAGATCTAGATCCGTCCGCTGGCGGTGGTCTTCTCCCGCCCCCCCTTAGCCAGCCTCTGTCGCATTTTCGTGGGAGGGCGGGGAGCGCGGCGAGCAATCGGAGTGTGCAGAGCTCTGCCAGCAGCCAAATCAATGCCATGCATCAACAACGTCAAATGAACTATTGGAATTCCCCCATCACTATCGAACAGGTGGTGAAGAGGCTTACGGTACACAAATATAATTTCCTGTTTGTCTTGAGACTCTGTCCCATGCTGACCTTGATGTACAGAATGAAATGAAACAAGCCAAACAGCAAGCGCAAGACCTTCGTCAAACCGATGAGTTCTTGACAACGCTGACCAAATCTGGAGGTCTGGAGAAAGAGAAACCGAAGCACTCGCCATTGGAAAGCAATGGTCCTCGTCTGATGAATGGGCGGCCGAAGATGCCTCGTGTCGATTCCATGTCCCGGTTCTCCGACCCCCCTGCACCCCCTCCACAACAGCCTCTTCCGGAGAAACCAGATGCCGCAATGTCACCGCTGAAGCGATCCGACACGGAGAAGCCTAAGCTTGGTGCGAATGGCTCTCCGGTAACTCCGGTCACGCGCGAATCCAGCCAGATTCTGTCTCTCATCGAAGCCTTGTCGTCGGCTAAACGGGAACTGGATACACAAGGGGCTCGTGTTAAGGAGCTCGAAAACATGCTGCGTCTCGAACGATTAGCACGCGAAAATGCGGAAGAAAGAGCCAGACAACTTGAAGTCCAACCTGAGTCGGAAGGCGAAACGGGAAGCAAAGCGGTGCCCGAGCTTCCGGCAGACATGGAAAAGGTGAATGGGGTCCAGGCTCAACCTCACGACGAGACCCTTCAGCCTAACGGGGCTATCGAGCCTGCTGAGCTGGTTGAACAGCCAATTGAGCCGAATGGAGTTGACCTCGTTGCTGAAGCCGAGGCCAAGAAACTGCAATACCGCCTGGAAACGATGATGGAGGAGATGCAGGAAATAAAGCAACAAGTTGAAGAGTTCAAGAAACGTGCACAGACGGCGGAGGAGGAAACTATCCAGGCACGCAAGTCGTTGGCAGAGATGATTGAAACCTTGCGACAGGAGCGTGCGCAACGTACGGAGACGGCATCCAAAGAACTCCCTGCTGGTAGCACCGAGACCGATGAGGTGGAATCTGAGCCTTCCCAAACAGTCTCCAGAGACTTGACACAACAACAGAACGGAAACGATCTAGTTGCGGATACCGACTATTCGGTCAAGTTGTCTTCAGACGACATGGATGATGCTATCACAACACTTGCGACACACAAGCATACGTTGTTGGAACAATCCAGCCCGTATGCATCGATGCTGGGCGTTGTCCTTCTGGGAGTAGGCTTGATGGCCTACCTCAACGGATGGCAAAAGCTAGACAAATAAATGCCGTTGCTTGCCATTTCGGACTGATTCATTACTGTCGCTTCGCTTGCGAGGCCTGATTCCTCATCCTGATACCATCTCGGCTGTTTCTTATTATGAGGATTCATGTCGTTCAATTCTCTTCTCTTCTCTTTTTCTTTTTTGAGATAGCAGCCTTGTTATTCGACTTTTTGTGTCTGGTTCATGGGAGTCGAGCAACATTATTTTTTCCCTTGGAAAAACCAGTATCACCATGCATATCTCGCGCCCTCATTTTTCTTTCATCTTCCTCTCCATCCTGTATTTCCAACCGCTCTTCCTTTTTTTGTTTTTGTTTTTGTTTTTTGTTTTTTTCTGTCTTCATTTCCGGCGCTGTCCTCGCTCCAGTAATGATTCCTGGATGCATTGGGTCTTGAGTCTTTTGTTATGTTAATTTTTTTTAATCTCGCAGCTGATACATCATCCGCGCCACTTTCTCTACCCTCCCCCAGACACGGCCACTCTGTTTGTCTGTTCTCGCGACAGTCTGTGTTTCATCAACACCTTCCTTCCCCGAGTTCTGGAGCCTTGAACCCGGCATCACCTTTCTCCTTTGTGTGTGTATATGATGGGAAAATAAGATTGTTCTTGACGTGGACCTCTTGTTCTGTTTTAACCAACCTGCTTTTCTCCATGGGCGTTTTCCAAGGGAATGAGTTCCTTTTAGCAACTACACTACGCAAATCTTGGATGGGGATTGACTCAAGAGAACACAAGGTTCATCTATTTTCCACCTTATACTGTTTTGGTCTTGTTCTTGTTCTTGCCATTAGCATGTTTGATAGGGGTAGATGTTTTTTTCTTCTTCTTCTCTTCTTTTCTGTCCTGTTACGAAGAGCCTGCATCCAATCAAGACCTACTCATGAAGTGTATAGAAGTATTTCCATTTGAAAACCTTGTAGCTGAGCATGCTGTCGCAATATTTAGGACTGAAGCTCGTTTGAGATTCTTGCATGCCATCGCATGACTGTCTCCTGTTCCACCGGCAGCAAAACCTCGAGAGAGCTGACCGGCTTTAACCTCAGTCGACGCCATCCCTCGCTTCAGTCTCATTCCGAAGGATATGTTGAACAAGGCATTAGCTATCCTGTGAGGGTTGTGTTGTTTTCATGCTGGGAGGGCGTCACTCATAAAGGGAGCCGAATTGCGATTGACTCCGTAATATGCCGCTACACATGGTATTCGTAGTACCCGTGTATGAGGCGATATAAAAGACCCATTTCAAATTGGCGTATTCCGGGGCAGAAGAAAAAAGAAGGCTTGCCGTAAATTGGAAGGTTCATCTCAGAGTCACAGCCACCTGGACCATTTTCACCCATCGAGTGCGCGTCTCGGGGAGGTCAGCGTTTAGATCGAAGGCGGCATGCTTCCTCTTCTTCTTCTTTCTTGAACCCTGCGCGTTTGATTCCTCCTCCTCCTCTTCTTCTTCTTCTTCTTTCGCCCCTCCACTCGTCTCTGTCTGCGGCTCTGCCGTCTCAGACTTGGTCTGTAACATCTCCTTGTCGATCAATTTCTGCTTTGCCTGCTCATCCTCGACGATGTCGTCCACGACCAAAACACTCCCCGTCTCATAGCGAACCGTGTACTCGGCCGTTTTCTCTTCGAACCACTTGCCTACTCCTAGCGCCTTCTCCACCGCCCGACCGGTGGCCTTGACGAAAATCTCCTCGCGCGCCAGCTGCTCCTGGCCGCGCGCCAGACGGGCGAGTTTCTCCTTCTCGCTGACCTTGCTGTCCGTCAGTCCGATTGAGCTTGTCGCGCGTTTCTCAGCCTGTCGGAGTAGTTTCTGGACTCGCTTGACGACGCTCATAAAGGGCGAGTTGCTCGAGACGTAGACGATCTTAGGCACGTTCGCACCGGCGTAGGGAGAAGCCACGGGGGCGTGCGGGATGGGACGTTTCTGGATGCGGGCATCTGGACGGGGTCAACCCATTAGTCTTTGCATATACGTAAAATATCATCATAGGGGTGCTCTTATTTCAATGTACAACATTTTGGCACCTTGACGAGGTTTTGGTTCTTTCTTTCGAAATGGAGCTGTCCCTCCAGTGACCCTTTAGCCATTGCGAATCCGATAGACTCTGTGTTTTTTTAAGGTTTGTAGTTTCTTCTGTGCTTAAGCTTCTGTGCTGTTCAGAGACCATAAATCTTGTAGAAATGATATTTGATATTAGGTTCGAATAATCATTTGGTTACAGCTTCTCTATGATTATGATGAACCCTTTGATCACGTGGAGATAAGGCAGCTCGCTCACTGCTCTGTTTACTACAATAGCCTATAGGCCTTGGTCCCCTACAGGGAGAATACAATGATGCATGAATATTATATTTAATAAAAAGCCCAAGCTATGCATCTTCATTTTCTGATCATCGAAGCTCTCTGTGTGTTGGCTATGACGTGGCGACTTTGATTGAACTTTGGTACAGACTACGGAGTACTCCGAATAATTGCAGTGCTGCAGATGAGCTCGACTGCAGAACTGCAGAACAGATCATCCAGGTTCCATGCTTCTTGCTGACTCTGTACATGTGGCAATCCAGAAGGCTCTGTACCCCGTATTTAATGCGCAGAATCAGAGATGCGAGATCGGTGATCACTGTGGATATCCCATGCTGTATGTACTTTCGCACAGGTCAATAAGATGGACTCGTGCAGCATTAGTTGGTTACCAGGTACTGTCTCAGTTCGAGTCAAGAAGTACACATCTTCCAAATTGACTGCTGCCTGTTCCAAGTAGATTGTCCCGGGGCAGACGCAATAAGACAAAGTCAAAGCGCCCCTCTCTCCCTTTCCTCAGAAAGGAAGAAGCACTTCGTAAACCTCGAGACGATCTCGACGATCCGTTGCGCGTTCTCGGCCATTCAGCTCTGCCCTCTTTTGAGTCTTCGCTCCATACGGAGTACTCCGTACTCCCTAACGTCAGCGATGTAAGTTCGGGAGCTGCAGCAGGATCGTCATATTGCGGCTTCAAAAAAAGAAAAAGGATAACCTTGTTTCTTTTCTGTGGCTATGCCAGTATTCGAATTCGGCTTCATATGTAGTAAAGCTGCACCGTGTCTGCAGCGGCTGAAAATTACGTACGTGTTGCTTCGGGGCCTGAGGCTCGATGACTCCGCTTGTCCACCAAAGGCATGATGATGGATACGATGAAAAGTCTGATATCTCGAGATTGCTTCTTGGTCAGGAAGCTCTTCTCCGATGTATTATGACATTTTTTTTTCTGTGCCTAGATCCTCTGGTATCTTTGTCCGGCCGAGCGGCGTATCGTGACGCTAAGGATCGACTTGACGGATCTGCAGGTTTCGCTCCGATTCTTTCACAAGGTCCGTCCTATAATTATACCAGCCAAAAAAAACGGTAGATGCACAAAGCCTGGAGATTTGCCCCCCTTCTTCCTCCGTAATTGCCCCTCACAGACATCTGTCAGACCAAACGAACTCTGTCGTAGAGTGGGGACAGAACGAAAAAGTTCGTACTCGTAGCTACTAATTAGTTAGTAACTAATTTGTAAGTATCCTAGTCGTTAGTACTACGGACTTTGGGGTCCATAGCGTTGGAAGGCAGTGTTTTTCCCGCCCCAGGCTACATCGAACCCGATTCGTCTCGGGGAAGTCGCACTATTTACGTACGGAGTCCTCCACCGAGCGATGGCTTTTCCAGCAGCCTGGGAGAGAAGCTCTGGGGCCACATAGCTTCCTTGCTAGGTCAGAGGGCTGAGCCAATGGCCTCCCCCAATCCACGATCCTATTCAAAGACCGGTAGTTTCGGAAAGACGGAAATCAACCGTCACCGTGCGGTGCCAGTCACTTAGTATGCAGTCTGGACTCGCGGAGCTGTGAAACGCTTCCAGGGGAGACATTCCCCGGTCAGCACTGTGGGCTCGATTCCCGTTTCTATCTGCACTGAACAAGGATTAGTTGCAGACTTTTCCAGCACTTTTGCTCGCGGCGAACTTCGAGGTCAAGGGGTGGCACTCACTCATTCAAAGCCGCGTACTTCGACCACACAGATGGGAGCCAACCGGGGATGGTCTGATCGCCAGAGCGTAAATTGGTGAGCAATTTAGAAACCCCAGACAGAGATCGCAGAATGAAACCAGTTTGTTTGTTTGTGGCAGAGTGGGAATAAACTAAACAAGTGGGCGTTGGTGGTCCAAACAGCTCTCGATGGGTGGGTGGATCGCAGTCGGTTAAACTGTCATTTCCATCCGGCCCACGTTTTTTTAGTGGTAACGAATTGTTAGTATTACTGTTGCTGCTATTATTTTACCTTAATTACCTAGTCGGACCTCCTCCTTCTGCGTCAGGCCGAGTCTCTCGTTCTCTCGTGTCTTGCCTGGTTCAAGAGTTGCTTGCTCCCTTTCTCTCTTTCAGTTGGTTTTGAAACCTCTCTATTTAACTCCCGCATTATTGCATGCGACCTGTTCTTTTTGGCTGTTTTGCCTCAACCTTCGTTGGACTCTGCGTTTAGACTTTTTGGATCCGTCCGAAAGCTGTTCCACGGATCTGCCTGTACCTGTCCAAGCCTCATTTGCTTGGTCTCATTGTTATTGATAACCCTGCCTGGGCCCTCGAGTCGATTGCCTCGGTGCTGTCTGTGTGTTGCGCTGCTATCTATCTCATCCACAAACAAACGACGAAGGCTCCGCTGGTCGGGAGCAAAACACCGTTTCGTTCCAACAAAAAGTTGGATCATAAGATAGGGAAAGATTCTAGCCATTCGTCCTTGTCTCTCAAGTGATCTCGAACAAGCCCAGAGAAGAAGTAGAAGAAGAAAAGAAAAGAAGAAACAGAACACGAACGCCGTCTCGAAATACCGGTTTCGCGAGAGGTTGATTTCTCCCTCATTTGCATCGTATCTGCCTCTCTTTGATACCCCTTGACCTCGGAGGGTTGTTTATTTTTCGTGGTCTCGACTGGCGTTTCCACCGGCTGTTGCTTTTTGTCTCCTATTTATTCTTTACCTCCAGTGCCTCACCATGACCATGGTAGAACCGGAAGAGTGGGGGAATGCCCCTGACGGCTCAGCCTTGCCCTGGATTCTCGACCATGTCCTGCGTTACCCTGGATCTTACGAACTCCCGCTGCGGACTATGTATTCACTGAACTGCAATCCCACCTCGCAATCGCATTCCCAGCCTGGTAGTACATACCCAGAGACCGCATTCACGGCCCGATCGTCCATGAACTCGACTAAGTCCTCGACCTCGACCTCATCTCAGGGGGATGCGGCCGCCCAGTTCAAGGCCCAGTTGGTCAGCCAAATCTCCCGTTTGCCCTCACAGCCATGCTCGCTGCCCCCAAGCTTTGTGACGTCGTTCCTGCGCCGCTGCTTTGCGCTACAGATCGAAGAAGTTGATTTTCCCCAAGCGCTTACCGGCCTGGACTATCTGAAGGACCTGGAGAACCGCCGTAGGAAGGATGTCGTGTCTGCCCTGCAGCGTTTGGGGATCCAGCGTGACGACCTTGACCAAAAGGCCGAGCTTGGCAAGCAGTATCCGGGTGTCCTGTCCTGGATAGAAGCCATTGAGGATAAAGAGAAGAAGATCGAGGCTCTCTACACCCAGGTTTACGTTGGACTGCGTCGATGGGTATGTATAGTTATCTCGTTTCCCATATCCTTGCTCTCAGCTCTGACATGTGATCCTTCCAGACTCTTATCAATGAGATGCTGCTGGAACCGTACAACAAAGCCAATTGTATCGCCATGCTCAACACCCTGTTCCCGCCGGTCACAGAGGCCACGGTCGCACCTACAGTGCAGCTGACCCCCCACATTTTGAAATCCCAGCGAGACGGGTTCTTTCGCTACATCACTTCTATCGACACCAACGGCAAGCAGATCCTGGACAAAGTTATCATGCAGGGAGCACGCGAAGGGGATGAAAATGGCTGGCCTTTGGTCCGGGAGGCACTCGACAAGTATCTGCGCGCTGCAAACGAGATCATTGACGAATGCACTACTGTCAACGACCCCAATAGCGTCACAGCTGACCCTGAGATCCAGAAGGGAGACCGGAAGGGCCGCAAAGTCGATTCGGGAATCAGCTTTGGATCCTCAGAGAGACTGGCTTGCATGAGCAGCAATAACAGCAGCAGTATCGACATCCACGACAAGCCTCTTCCTCCTTCACCCACCCGCTCCAAAACCGGTTCTGCGTTAGAACGGCTCGCGCGAGAGATCCGCAAGCTCGGCGATGCCGGCAAGGTGAAGAACCTCAAGAAAATGAGGTCGTCTAGTGCCCTCGGCGATCGCCGTGATGATTCCCTCGGCCATTCAGACGAAGTGTCCTATTTTGATGTCGACGAGCAGAAGCGCAAACGCTTAATCTGGGAGGCGACCAACCGGAAGAAGAACCACACGAAGCAGTCCAGTCAACATTCCCGGTGAAGCTGGATCTCACCTTTTGACTTGACTGTGTTTCCTGACACATCATTTGAAGAAAAAAAAAAGAAAAGAAAAAAAAAAACTTGTAACGTCTTGACGACTACATTCCAGGACTTTCCTCGGAGTTGGCAACCAACTTGAATCCGAGTCCAAGGGGGGGTCCTGTCCATTTATTCCTCCTGTACCCTTTTGTCAAAGTATTTCCCTTGTTTGAACACTGGCGGCGACTGTTGGATTGGCGTTTTTCAGCGCATTTGTCTTTTTTTTTTCCCTTTGAATTTGGGGAGTCACTGGCGTCGAAAAGAATGATTGATTTCCCACGAGAATACAGAAAGCCTGGAGCATCTACACACACATTACTACCTTATGATTCCTATGTTATGATGAGAGAGAGAAAAGGCTTGTGTCTAGCATATACTACTACCTGAAAGAGGAGTTTTTCTTTGTTCATAAAGACTCCATATAGAGAGTAATCCTTAGTGGTGTTTATCGGAGGTTCTTCGCTTTTGGCCGCTTCGCCCGCCGTAGCAGCTCTCCTGGCTTCTAGCAGTCAAGGTGGCCAGACGAGGACCTGGCAGGCACCGACAACAAGTCAGATAGAACTTTTGGAGGGCGTGTTCAAGGCTATTAGCTGGTTGGATTTGTTTTTTTTGTGCCCTCTCACTCTTCCTCGCTTCGTTCCTTGCCGAGCCGGTGCTCAATCGACCGTGATGTCCATGCTCTCCACCATCAACAAGTGAGCTGACAGATAACTTGACGCTGTTCCTCGGAATATTGAGGCACCTTTTCTCTCCTCAAGCCTGTACTGGTTGAGTGAAGATGGCAGGCACTATGAGCTCGGCCAGCTCATGGCAATGGTGTGTTGTCATTGTAGCAGGCGTTCTTGCTTGCCTTGCACATGCATCGCAGTCTGTCAATGTTGCGTTGCAGGCTTCCTTTGATTCGGCCCCGTTTCTGTTAGAACTGCTGTATGTTTTTTTTTCGCTGAAGATTTGCTATATTCTATGCAATGCTTCTTTTCTTCAAGGTCTGTCCTCTAATGTGGAAATATCAGAGAAACTGCCGCAGAAGAGAACCCCGCGTCCTATTTCCCTTTGCTCGACCACATCGCCGACGGAACCTTTGACGCCGCTGTGACCGATAAAGAGCTCTATGATCAGTTCCTAGAGACTTTGAAGCAGGATGGACTCATTGAGGCGCCTGAGAGCTTCTCTTCTTTCAAATTGTCTCTTGCGATTCGATCGACGGCACCGAGGATTGAGGCCCACTACCAGTACTACAATACCTCTGTTCAGCAGTCCTTGATGGCTGCTCAGGATGCAGCCTGCCCTGTATGGATACACTATGAGGGCAAGCAGTATTGTTCTTCGGCCATGGAGCGCGCACAACAGGATGTGTCGGGGGAGCTGTGAGTCTCTTGTGATTTGGAGGCATTGCAGGCAAGGTAGTTCAGCGTCAACTGACAGGTTCCATAGTGATTCGCGCAAGCTTCCTTTTGATCGTGTCTCTGGAGACGTCTCTCTTCCTCCGGCTGTTCTCTACGCAGATGTCGCTTCGCCGCTGTTCAAAGAATACCACCAGACATTGAGTGCCTTGGCAAAAGAAGGCCAGCTGTCGTACCGAGTTCGCTATCGGCCTCCTCAGCACTGGGCCCCGAGGCCCCTCTTTGTCTCCGGATATGGGGTCGAATTGGCTTTGAAACGTACGGATTATATTGTCATCGATGATCGTGACGCAGAAAAGCGAGAATTGGGCAAAGATGAGCTGCAAGATGAATCTCCCGATGACCTGAGGCCTCTGTCGTCATCTGAAGTCACTCGACTGGGCTGGAACACCGCGAGCTACGTGATGAACAGTGCGGATCCCCTCGACACCCTTGTTAAGGTATCCCAGGATTTCCCCAAGTATTCCTCCGTCGTCGCCGGACACAATGCGACAAAGGCCTTGGTCAGAGAGGTCCACTCAAACCGCGGTCAGATGTATCCTTCTGGGCACAACATTATGTGGATCAATGGCGTACAGATGGACGCTCGCAAGATCGACGCCTTTTCTCTCCTAGACCATCTTCGCCGGGAGCGAAACCTGATTGACCGATTTCGTAATCTGGGTCTATCGGCCCAAGAAACCGTCAAGCTCCTCTCTCATCGTAAAGTCGCCCGAGCCCAGGCGGATAATGAGCCTCAGCGGTACAATTACCGGGATGAGATCGAAGGTGGCCGTGTTGTGCTCTGGTTGAACGACATTGAGAAGGACGTCAAATACGAGTCTTGGACAAATGAATTGGCAGCGGTAGGTCTTCCTTCTCAAGGCACAGCCGGACCTCTCTTGACGTCTCTCAAATAGTATCTTCAACGCTCCCACCCAGGACAACTTCCTGCGGTCCGTCGCGATCTACACAACATCGTTTTCCCCGTTGACCTAACGAACCCCGAAGATTTGGAATTAGTCATCCAGACCATCCAGATTTTCGTCAAGAAGAGGATCCCGGTCAGGTTTGGATTAGTCCCTACGGCCATTTCGAAAGGCTCCATCGGCCAGCTTAAGATCACCCATTATCTACATGAGACATTCGGCCTGGAATCCCTCATCCATTACCTTGAACAAGTGAGTCCCAAAACAAAACCCCAAAGACTCTGTTCAGTCGCTGATTGTGACCAGTTTGCATCAAAGAAAAAGGTCTCTTCACCGGACAAATTCTCCTTCCAGGCTGCGACCAAGGAGAGAGAAACGCGTGATAATGTCGAAGCTCTCACATTCGAGCAGGTCCTGGCAAGCGATGAGTTGGATGAAATTGTTTCGCGAACTGTGAGCTATCAAAAAAGACTGGATATTCATCCTGAGACGCCCTACTTCTTTGTCAACGGCGTTCCGGTGGTTCGTGACGACACCTGGGTCCAAGAGATGAGCTCCCAGATCAGCCAAGATCTGCAATTCATTCAACGGGGTATCTTTAATGAACTGTATGAAGAAGACACTTGGCTTGCAGGTGTCCTGTTGGCCAAGGCTTTCACCCGCCGCAAGACGTTGATTGTACCTGTTGATGCGAAAGACGTTCGCTTCGTGGATGTTGTTGGGCTCTCAGAATCGTACCAGACTGCTCTTGTCAATCTGCCACGCGTGAGCAGTGCTGTAGACAAGGCTCGCGAGAACGTGCACATGATTGTCGTCGGTGACTTTGATTCAGAAGATGGCCTGAAACTACTCGCGGATGCGTTGAACGTCCGCAGGGAACATCCCGAAGCAGAGTTGCTGTTTTTGGATAATTCTCCGTCACAGACAATTGATCAGGCTGTCTCGCATAAGTTCTATGGATTACTCGAACAAGATGAACCAGTGGATGTGGAAAAGATCACCGCCGCTGTATCTTCCATTACCGAGACACCAGACGCTGAAACTATTTTCAAATACTGGACCGATCGGCGCCTTTTAGCAGAAGCTCTGGGATTTCCAACAGGAACAAATGGCCTTGTTGTGAATGGAAGAGCAGTTGGCCCCATCTCGCAGTCATCTGAACTCGTCGCCGAGGATCTGGAACAGCTACTGGCATACGAGCAGGAAAAGCGCATCACACCTATTGCAGAGGCTATCGAAGAGCTTGCCATCCAGGCTAAGCCCTTGAATGCCCTTGAATTCGCAAAGCTGACTTCACTCGTTGCACTCTCGACGATCTCAGATGTTCCCGAAGGCATCTTTGAGTCTCCTGCAGATACCCGCTTCTCTCCATCTGACAATTGGAACACCTCGCATTCTGTAGTCATAGTTTCCAACTCCGAGGATCCCGTTATCAACATTGTCGCAGCTATTGATCCCACATCTGAGGTCGCCCAAAGATGGTTACCGATTCTCAAAGTGCTCTCTCAATTGGCCGGGGTCGAAGTAAAGATCTCAATGAACCCTAAGGACGAGATGCACGAACTTCCCACCAAACGTTTCTATCGTTATGTTTTGGACTCAGAGCCGTCTTTCGATACCAAGGGCTCCCTCTTGAAGCCGCAGGCATCCTTTTCTGGTGTACCGAGAGAGGCGTTGCTTACGTTAGGCATGGACGTTCCCCCTTCGTGGCTTGTTGCACCGAAGGAGTCTTTGCATGATCTCGATAATATCAAGTTGAGCTCAGTCAAGGGCGGATTGGACGTTGAAGCCCTGTATTCTCTAGAGCATATCCTGATCGAGGGCCATTCGAGAGACACGACAGTCAAGTCCCCCCCGAGCGGCGTCCAGCTGCTCCTCGGGACGGAAGAAAACCCGCATTTTGCGGACACAATCATCATGGCTAACTTGGGGTATTTCCAGTTCAAAGCTCAGCCGGGGTTCTGGAAAATCAACCTGAAGCCTGGAAACAGCCAACGCATCTTCAACCTCGACAGTGTTGGAGGGCTGGGCTATTCCCCCCAGCCAGGTGATGAGAACAACGAGGTGGCTCTGCTTTCATTCCAGGGCGCGACTCTATTCCCTCGTCTGTCACGAAAGAAAGGCCGTGAGAACGACGACGTGCTAGAAACAGGACCCAAAGCCGGCTCGGCCATGGACTACGTCTCGAAAGGACTGGGTTTCGCCCAGGGGGTGCTCTCCGGGGTTGGCTTGAAGACCTCAGGCGGTGCGGTCGAGAAGCAGGCAGATATCAATATCTTCTCCGTCGCTAGCGGTCATCTGTATGAGCGAATGCTGAACATTATGATGGTCTCGGTCATGCGCCACACGAAGCACTCTGTGAAATTCTGGTTCATCGAGCAGTTTCTGTCGCCGTCTTTCAAGTCCTCCCTACCCTATCTCGCAGATGAATACGGCTTCTCTTACGAGATGGTCACGTACAAATGGCCGCACTGGCTGCGGCCGCAGAGCGAGAAGCAGCGTGAGATCTGGGGTTACAAGATCCTCTTCTTGGACGTGCTGTTCCCGCTCTCGCTCGATAAGGTTATCTTCGTCGACGCCGACCAGATTGTCCGCACGGACATGTACGATCTTGTCTCACTCGACCTCGAGGGCGCCCCTTACGGCTTCACCCCGATGTGTGACTCGCGCGAGGAGATGGAAGGCTTCCGCTTCTGGAAACAGGGATACTGGAAAAACTTTCTCCGTGGCCTGCCCTACCACATCTCCGCCCTGTACGTCGTTGATCTGAACCGCTTCCGCGCCATAGCCGCCGGAGACCGCCTGCGCGGCCAATACCAACTCCTCTCCGCCGACCCGGCCAGCCTGAGCAACCTCGACCAGGACCTACCCAACCACATGCAACACTACATCCCCATCAAAAGTCTGCCGCAGGAGTGGCTCTGGTGCGAGACCTGGTGCTCCGATGAGTCGCTCGGCCCCGCCCGCACCATTGACCTGTGCAACAACCCGCTCACCAAGGAGCCCAAGCTCGACCGAGCCCGGAGACAGGTGCCCGAGTGGACTGTGTATGACGACGAAATCGCCGAATTGGCCAAACGGGTCGCAGAGAAGGAAGAACAAGAACAAGAGGCAGCGACATTCACAGACGGTGCAGATGCTGCTGACTGGGATAAAGATGAACTGTAGGCTTTTTTATAAGGGTTGATTTTACTTTTATATGGTTTCAGGCAGAAAATATTATTCTATTAGATACCTGTTAGATACCTGAGTGATTCTTTTTATCTCTCTTAATTATATCCATCATGAGTCTAGACAGGCATAGACATCCAACATTCAAGACATATCGACATCTCTCTCTGAAATATTTCCTTGGCGAGCTTTAATCGAATCAACTAATCACTGTCTTCCTCACCGCTGCTTGTCGATTCGGCATCGTCGTCGTCATCGTCATCGCTGTTCTCTTCATCTGTTGTTTCAGCAGAGGCGCCAATATTATCATCGGACTCAGGCACCTCCTGCTTGACAAGTACACGAGACTCATCCTCCGACTCTGGCACCTCTGTTTTCACGGCAACGGTGAGCTCGTCAAAAATGGGGTTTCTGTCCTTGTGGGATTCGGACTCCGACTCGAATACAGAGTCCGCGTCGCTGCTCTCCGGTTCCGAGCGTTTATCTTCCTCGGGCTGTCTTGCGGCCGGGTTCTCTTCATCGGAATCTCCGTCACTCTCATTTTCAGATGGGGAAGAGTCGTTATCGTCCAAGGGTGAAGACGGTTGTGCCGACGCCGGTGCTAGAGTTTCTTCTTCTTCACCAGACTCGGGCTCTTCTTCTGAAACCTCGTCCCTTTCATGATCGCCATCACCACGGGGCTTTGTGGCTGTGGTTCTCTTAGGAGCAGGTTCATCAGAGGCGCTCTCTTCAGTCTCATCGACGACCGACTCCGATGCTCTTTTTCGTTTCTGCGGTTCCTTGCTGCCGACTCCAGATGTTACCCGAACAGGAAGTTCTGCAGAAAACCGAGTAGTTGACGTTTCGCTCTGCTTGGAAGAGGTAGGAGCGAGCTCCTGAGAGTCACTCTGCTCTACCTCTGACTCATCAGAGCTTTGCGGCGGAGCCATGATGTCTTTTTCGGCCATTGATGGCCGCTGCTTTCTTATTGCTGACATTTCGAGACCTTTGCCAATTGCCTTGTTGCTCCCTGGAGTTCCATTCCGAAATTTGCTCTCATCATCCTCATCGTCATCCTCGTCCGAGTTCACATACGCCGAGCTCTTGAATTTTGACTTGGAGGATGCCTCCAAAGACGCTGAACGGGACTTCGTAGGTGTTTTTGACAGAGACTTTTTGACCGGCCGACGTGGCTTGGTAGATTTCTTAACGGCATCAGAATCTTCACTGAAACGGTCTGAAAGGACTTTGCGACGCATCTTGCGCCATTTATCGGCGCATTGCTGTCTGGAACGACTGTTGTTAAGATGGTCGCTCACACCTCCCCATCCGATGTACATCTCGTCCATCTCGTAGATATCCGCTCCGACATCTTCACCGGCCTTTGACAACTTCTCCCAGATGTTAGTGAGAGCGTCGTGCAGTGCATTTGTCTCGTCTTCTTTCCATGGCCCTTGGTTCATCCTTCCCCGGTGTTGGAGTTTATTCTTCCACCGCTGGACAACGTCATCGTCACTGCGTCCTATCATTCTAGCAATAAATGCCCACTTTGGCCCATGGTGGGCATGTAGGGAGACAAGCTCATCATCTTGTTCAGATGTCCAATGATGCGGCTTCTGCCCCGAGTCCTGGAAATGCCGGCGCATGAATCTGTAAACTGATCGGCGATCTCTGCGCGGAATGGTTTCATAGATTTGCTTCCAGAACTCTTGCTTAGAGATGATTGTATCGCAGGGGAAACCAGAGTCTTTATGGCGGTCGGAGTGCTGTACCATCTGGTCGAAAGTACTCGCAGGGAGACCATTGCTGTTGCAGAAGTTCAGTTTGAACTTTTCCAAAGCACCAACTTCTCTAGCGGTGAAAAATCCCGTCAATTTCCCTTTCTTGTTGCGGTCTCGAGCCGGACTTGGCTCTTCTTTATCCTCTTCTGCCTCACTCTCTTGATCGGATTGTGTGCCTGACGGTATTGGCTCCTCCGGAGTCGGCGTGCGGGCTGACCGTTGCTTCTTCGAGGATGTTCCCTCGAACTCTTCCACTGGCTGCTCGGAGCCATCTGTCGATCGACGAAGAGTTTGATTTAAGGCGCGGTCGTCTTGTTTTGATTCCTTGGATTTGCGAGATTTCCTTTTCCCCTTGGAGGAAGGAGATTCGCGGTCATCATCTGGCTCGACTGAAGCTCGAGGGCTTTCGATTTGAACGTCGGCGGGTGTCCCATTCTTCTCCGAAAAAGGTGTTGTAAGGCTGCCTCCCAGCTTATTACGCGACGGCCCAAGCATGCGCTTTCGCTTCGAAGGTCGGGAAACCGAATCGTCTTGTGAAGGGGGAGGCGGCGACTCTGACGCGACGCGAGGCTGCTTGGGGCTCTGGATGGCCGACATTCTCTTGCGTTTCTGTGTCATTGTTGTCTGTGGAAGCATTTCTGACCGGAATTCTGATTTAATGTGCGGTGGAAAGGAAAGGGCATCGTCCTCGTTGTCGCTGGCTTCTGTATTCTTCATTTCTGCAAGTCAGAATCAGTGGATCTGTGACCTTGAGAGAATCTTTAAAACTGGACGCTCTTTTCTACAGTATTTTATTTTCTCTTTTTTCTTTTTTTCCCCTTCGTCCCTTTTCCTTGCCGCCTCCTTGGCGCAAGGTCAGTTCCACGAGAAGGTTACTCACGATTGCTATCTGAAAACTCGTCAAGCCCGTTCACAGGCTGAGAGGAAGACTGGCCCATCAGCAAAAAAGAAGGGAAGAGGGCCGAAGAACGTGGTGCTCGCTTGTTCAAAAAGGTCTCCGGTACGTAGCTCTGGATCGGTGGAGCAGATGGGGAGGCAGCAGCTTCCCCCGACGCTAAAAAAAAAAAAAAAAAACTGCCCATTCTACTGGATGTCCGATGGAGCTACAAAATGAGCACAATTGATACATCAACTACCCTGTGAAGAAACAGAGGGTTTCATCTGTACTATGTCAATCTTTAGATCATAATGGGCACGCAATATGCATATATCTAGTCGTTATCAAATGATACAATGGTCTATGAATGCTAAAGAAAAGTAATCCTGTAGTAGACTACTGGATGAAGATCCTCAACATCCGGTTTGATCATAGATCCAGTTTCATTTCTTTTAGAATCCTAGCAATGGCCTTTTTCTGGTCTATCGGGCTCAAGTCATGGTCATCAATCATTGTAAGGCATCGTCCGATCGCCACTGTTGCCCGGATCGCACTGTCTCCGCCGTTTGAGCAATCCACCCAGACCTTCCCGTTTCTTCCCACTGCGATCTCAAACCCGCCGATGCTTTCCAGTTTCTTTCCCAGCTCTTCCAGGACCACTAAACCATCCACTGGGTCTTGTTGGTTAGCGGCTGAGGCGGAACTGCCCTTCATCAGCCGCGCTGCAGTCCCCACGGAGACATCGAACACCATTCCGCCAGTCAACGGACCCAGTCCTCCAGGCTCGGCTTTCCCCGTGGCGGGATTTACACATGCCAGTTCGACTTCAGCTCCCGCACCGACTCCAACGGACAGGACCCGCGCGTAAACCAAATCCCCCTGCTTGAGCATCGGCCTTGTCTTCTTCGTTGCGCCCTCGAAAGCTAGCTGGCCTAGCAGCGCATGCGGCGCGTGCGGCGTCACCATGCAGTGGAAGTAATCTTGGCTCGAATGATGGATCTGGGCAATCACAAGATCGTTCGGTGTTGCAATGTACCGGCGGTTTGGGAACGTAAGGACCGACGCGGCGTTCCGTTTGAGATCTGTCTTCAGTAACCCGGCTTCTGTCGCAACAATGACATGGTCTGAAGGTGCTGCTTTGGTGGACCTGGAGTGTGATTTCGACAACAAGCGCAGGCCTGGGCCCAGTCTGAGAGGAGCGTTGGAGGTCGGTGGTAGACGGTCTGATGGGACTTCATCCCCTGGTAGCAGATATACAGGAGTGGCCATGATGGATGTGAGCTCGCAGCTGAAAGCCCACTCGGCCGTAAAGGACTGGGAATCTCCAATATCAGTCGCAGGTGCGCGCTGTGAAATGTCTAGTTCGACGTGTTGGGTCTTCCAATTTCTGAAAAGACGAAGCACCCTTATCGGAGTATCAGCACGTGACCTTGCTGCCCTGAGCGACTGAGCTTTATGGTCCACGATGGGTAGCAACTATACTACAAAATTGATAAGTATGTGAAGATTACATCTAGACCTACTGTAAATGGTATGCCGGAAATAGTCAAGCACAGAAACTGTAATGCCTTTTTATCTATTGTGCAACAAGGTATCTGTCTCTAGATGGTGCGTACATATGAAAACAGCTTCCAAGAGATTGGGGGCTCCGAGAGCAGCCCACCACAGCACAGCACAACACATCAATCACTCTATAATCATGCTCCAAGTGCTGGGAAGGAATGAAATAGAGGGAGGTAAAATTGCAGAACATTCATTCAAATATAAAACAAAAAATAGAGCCGTGAAAGCGTAAATCTGCATATTAGCTGAGTCAACAAAAAAGGCAAAGATCTGGTTAAGCAGATCAGTTTTCGGTGGGCTTAGGGGACTCGACAGCACCACGGACAGCGCTCTGTCCTCCAACCTCCCTCACAGTGATCTGCAGGCCAAGGTCAGAGTTGACGTGAACCATAAGCTCAACCTTGCCACCGGCCTTGACATCCTTGACAGCGAGCTCGGCAATGGCCTTGTCGGTCTTCCACACAGTCTCACGGATCTCCTCCTCTTCATCTTCGTCGGAATCAAAGTCGGAGTCATCCTCCTCGGCGTCAGAGGCCTTCTCCGCCTTGGGCTTGGGCTCGGGCTTGGTGACCTTGATCTCACGAACACCCTCGCAGACGCGGACGAAAACGCTGCCACCAGCCTTGGGGACGGAGTACTGCGCAGTCCGACGGGCCGGCAGGGCGGTCTCAGCGTTCAGGAGAGGCTGGAAGTCAACATCCTCACCGGACACGAACTGGACACCGATAGCGTTGCGCAGGTGAGGGGTGGCAGTGACCATGGGGTGAATGGACTGCTCGATATCCTCCTTGTCAAATTCCTGGATCAGGGAAGCTTGCACGGCAGCACCCCTGGCAGCAAGCTCGGAGGGGTTGAGAGCAGTAATGAGGGTGGACGGGGCAAGGATGGCGGTCTTCTCGGGGAAGATGTTACGGGCAAGGTGGGCGATCTTGGGGGTGTGGGAAGCACCACCAGAGAAGATGACCTGCGAGTATATATCAGTATCAGAAAGGCAAAAGGATCTCACTCGCACACAAGCCGGCAAGACATACCTCATCGATGTCCAAAACATCCAACTCAGCCTTCTTGATAACCTGCTGGATCAAGTCGGTGAACTGAGCAAAGACCTTGGAGGAAAGCAGCTCATAGCGGGTGCGGTTGATGGTAGAGCTGAAGTCAATTCCGTCCGTGAGAGACTCAATGCTCAAGCTGGCATTGGTTCCAAGACTCAGGGCCTTCCTCGTAGCCTCACCCTCCAGCTTCAACTTGGCAAGACCACGTTCGTTCTCACGGGGGTCAACCTTGTGCTTCTTGATGAATTCTTTGGCGAAGTGATCAATGATGATCTGGTCCAACGAAGCACCTCCAAGCTCGTAGTCGTGAGCAGTGGCAAGGATGGTGTACATGCCACCCCGGCAAGCAATAACAGCAACATCCGAGCGAGTTCCACCGAGATCAGCGACAACAACCAGCTTATCAGCGACAGTGGCTTCCGGTCTAGCATCATAGGCCATGACGGCAGCAACGGGCTCGTGAATCAACTGCAGAACCTCAATACCGGCCTCCTTGGCCGCGGCGATCAAGGCCTCCCGCTGAGCATCATGGAAATCTGTAGGAACAGTGATAACAGCAGCGTTGACCTCCTTGCCGATGAAATCAGCGGCCGATTGCTTCAAACGGCGAAGGTGGCGAGTGGTGATTTCGGAAACGGTAACGGTGTTGACATCCTCGCTGGCAGTATCGCGGATGGAAAAGGCCACAGTAGAGTCGACCTGCACGGGGTGGGCAGACTGGTGACACGGGGTAGCATCTATCGACTTGTAGCTATCTCTGCTGTTAGACAATTATCCACACATATGGGATGGCGGGGTCTTTTTTCACGCACTTCTTTCCGAGGTAATCTCTGAAGTACGCAACGGTGTTCTTGGGGTTGCGGATCAGCTGCGCCTTGGCCTGGGTGCCGTGGTATTCTTCGCCTTCAATGTACGAGAGGACCGACGGGATTTGACGATCTAGAAAAGCCTGGTGTGAGTTTTTCTGTAGAACAGAGCAGATATCACGACCACAAACCTCCTTCCTCGTTGGCAATAACCTCAGCCTTGCCCTCCTAAACCCAATATGGTCAGTTCATACCACCGCAATCCTTCTCTCTAAGCCAAAAGAACCACGTACAGGCGAAATGCGGGCAATAGAGCTGGAGGAGTTGCCAAAGGAGATACCAATGGCGAATCTCTCGGGGGCCTCAGCGGGGACGCTGTTCGACTCGTCGCTCATTTTGGATGTGTGGGAAATTGAATGAAGGGAAAAAAAAAATAATCTAAGAAAGATCTCTGGACAAGAGGAGAGAGGAGATATAAATCTGCGCTATAAGCGTCAGTAAAGAATCAGGAATCAACTTTTGAATGAATTTCTTTCAACACAGAGACCCGCCGCTTTTCACAGCACATGGAAAAAAATCTTTTGGCGATTCGTTGACAGAGCGGGTATCTACATGTGGCTGGGGACGGGCCTTATCGATAGTGTGTGGCGGTGCGGGTCGGCATTAAGATGTGTACATACTCCGTACTAGGTAACTACATAATTACCTAGGTAGGTACCTATGTTATGTACCACAGCACCTCCCTACTCCGTACTCCTTCCTTACTTAGGTACCTGGGTAGGCAGTTATATCATTAAGAAACCTCCTCGAGGGCGGTTGACTTACTCCCTTCATATTTTGCCAGACTTTCACAACACTTTGAGCTATGCAGACCCTAAGGAACGTCCCGAGGCTCTCCCCTCTACACAATAGCAAGTCTATGCGGGCCAGAAGGCAACTTTGTGTTGAATGTCGAGGTATCTAACCATTCATTCCCGGGGATTTCTTATATCGTGAGACACTTATCACATTGTAGGAAGTCCTATATCTAGAGAAGACTTATTTCGATACACGAACGGGCGATTCCTTACTGAGGAAGGTGCCCAATTTTCAAAGCGTTATGTTCGTTTCAACGTCGACCAACTATGCGATGTAGTTGCAAGTGTTTCAGGATCAAAGCGATCACCAGTTTCGAAGATAGAAAAGTTGGAGGGTGGCTTTAGCAAAGCACTTCTTATGACAACGGAGGATGGGTCTGAGTACATTGTCAAGATTCCTTGTCCAAATGCGGGGAGGCCTATGTACTGCACAGCCTCTGAGGTTGCCGTGCTAGACTTCAGTAAGACGAGCCCTCCAGAGATCAGTCATACCGCTGCAGCTAATCTATTATTATTGTTTTAGTACGGACACGTACAACTATTCCCGTTCCTAAGGTTCTCGCCTGGAGCTCCGATACGACCAATGCAGTGGGAGCAGAATATATTGTTATGGAAAGAGTTCCCGGCATACAGATTTTCAAGAAATGGGATGAGATGGGCGAGAGCAATCGGATCTCCTTAATTAAACGTCTCACACAATGGGAACATGAACTCTCTGAAATCCAGTTTCCGGCATACGGCAACCTGTATTATAAGAGTTCTCTGAGTGATTCTGAGACGGTACCATTGGATTCATCCATTGACCCTGAAGGTGAATTCTGTGTTGGTCCTTCTTGTGATCCCTCATGGCTCATCCAGCATGGCCATCAGCTTCTACCAGGTGTCTATCGCGGTCCTTGTAGGTTATATCTCCCCTCGTGGTTTTATGACTACTTATAGTTTTTATTATAGGGAGAACACTTTGTGACATGGGAATATCTCTTATTGGACGCTCATTGGTTAAAGCTAACCAACACCAAAACACTCAGCTTCCCGCATCTTTATATGGTTCTTCACAGGATCATCTGTCCCTTCTTCATATGGCCAGAGAAGTCATGCCTACCATATCAGAAAACTCCAGGCTTTTGGAAATGTCTCGTCCAATTTTATGGCATGCCGATCTCCATATGGGCAATATATTTGTCTCTGAAAATGACCCAGGAAAAGTGACTGGCTTTATTGATTGGCAGAATACTTCCATCAACCCTTTATTTCTGCAAGTTCGATGGCCTGTCTTCTTGAGTCCACCTGAGGATTATCAAGAGGGCCAGGTAATGCCTAAACTTCCCCCTGGCTTCGAGGATATGGATGATGAAGAAAAGGAACTCGCGTTATATAACAAAGCAAAGGCTACTTGGACGAAAGCTTACGAAGTTTCAAGCTTCTTGGTCAACAGGAAATGCTGGCAAGGAATGCAAATCCCGTCACCATTACAGGGGATATTCCGCCGTTGTGGTCAAATTTGGGATGAAGGTTCCACTCCTCTCCGAGAAGTACTGATTGAAATCTTTCTCAGTCAGCGAGATTTAGGATTTGCACCGGGAAGTCTGCCACTCCACTTTAGTGAAGGGCAGATTGCACGGCATAAACAGGAATTCGAAATTTACCAAGAATGGCATCAAATGCGCAAGTTTTCCAAGGAGATGCTGGACACCGATGACGAAGGTTGGGTTCCTCCTGAGCGTGATTTGGATGAAACGAAGTGCCGGAACAAGATGCTCTTTGAGTACTACGTATCTAAGATGCGCCTAAGGACTCCTGATGAAGTAAAGAACATGTGGCCATTCCCTCTAGATAGTACATAGATTGCCTTGAGCAGTTTCTCTGCCGAGCTATTGCCTAGAAACAGCTCTTAAAAAAGCAACGAGGCTGAAATAGGCACCTGATACACTGAGGTACGGTAGGTAGGTAGGTTCATTGTCCAGCTCAAGTCCGAGCCGTACTTGCCTCACTGTTTAAATCAATTTATTGTAGATTGGCTGTATTTCAAATAGATCTCATTCTCTGTTATCGTGCAACTAAAGTAAGGTAAGTAATAATATAGTTATAGTATATAGCGGTTATTAGAACTACTACTATAAAGTACTCATAAGCATAACTACAAGTAGTTAATAGTCTCCCACTACCACTATTTTTATACCTCAATATTTCTACCCTTTTGCGTCGCCGTGTGGCAAGAGACGATTCCTTGTCATTAAGAAGAGATATATAACAGAAAGATCTGTGAGATATTGACGTGGTCCAATAACTTCAAGTAGCCTTGATGTCGTCAACGATGCAGGCATGAGAGAGAAAATCCTAGAGGAGGCTAATAGGCAGCAGCAACATCACCTGGCATAAGTACCTCACGAGTCACTTAAGTGCCTGCAGAAGTTCTTCTTATCCTGTGCTTTCCTCCACTCTCCCCTCCTATAGCCTATGCCACTTCTACGCTCATACATCATAATGTCGCGGAATAAATGGCCCTATAGAGGCCTACAAATTGCCTTGACAATTTTTAGTCGCTGAGTGGTCTAGTGCCCTCTCAATTTTGTGGTACTATGGGCTCCCAATACCTTACAAGATCTGTCCACTCATTAACTCACGAGAAATCACTCAGGAAGACAGTGGACTCTATTGGCCAAGCCGTAAAGAAGACAGTTCCCTCCAAGACAGAGTATTATTGCGTCTGCCTTTTGACGCTAAGATGGGCAAACGACGACCTAGAACTGGCTGGTATCGAAGCCGAACTTCTTCAGCCTCAAATTTCACTATGCCACGGGCTCTCTTCTTATCCCTGAATTATTAAGCCGCGATGCACATCTTGCAGCCTGTAAAAGACTGGCAAACCTGAGGGCCAAATATGACACCTCCACCAGCCTCTTTATCGTCATCTACGAGGGCCACGCCTCTATATCTCAAGGTCCAACTGCTTCCCTTTTCTAAGCTTCTTCCTCTAGATAGCATGATGAAAGCTAATAGTAATAGTGGCAGAATGCACCCAAAAACCGCATTTCTCCCGTAGGCATTCGTGGAGGCAGAGCTGGCAAAATTTATCCATTCGGACGTCTTGATAATCCTGGACTCCAGGTTTTTGACTGCGGCTGTCATAAGCGCCAGAGACCAGGAACATTTGGCATCATCGGCTTTGGAGTCCCCGGCTGCTGGACCTGTCGAACAAAGGTTTACTCGCCAGTTCCTTTACCTGCTGAAAACCAACCATCATCCCAGAGATGACCGTTGCTCAAATTCATGCCAGGCTAGTGAAGGGAGCCAATAAACCCGACAATGAGCCGGAATATACGCCTGTCTACATCCCAAGCACCGAACGAAAAGCCATTGATCACACTTCATCCTTTGCACTGCGTGTCCAATGAAGTAACCACCCTTTACAGGACTGGCGAGATGACAGACGGGAGGGCTCTGGTCTCCATCCTACTGCTCCATCCTAACGAAGGGAAAAACGTCGATACCAAATGTTCAGGAGTGGCAACGAGGGCTAACATCACCGATTTCAGAGAGTATTGCGGACATCAAATTAGAGGGAGTCTTCCGACTCCTCCTTCAGCTTCTGCCTTGTGATCATGCCGGTCACAGTCTGGGATATGCTGAAGCGTAGCGACGCCAACCACTTTATTGCTTATATCGAGTCTCATAATATTCTCATCGGCCGATCAGACGTTCTAAAAAGTCAGGCGGACATCATGCAGCTTCCCACCAGGGAGAAGTGAATATAAATGAAGTTTTTTACATCATCCCTTGACAAAGAGTTGCTTTCTGCAGCTTAGTTCTTATTTTTAGCTCGAAAATGGAGCTATTACTGATGGCCAGGTTATGAAGAAGGAATGAAACATAGTAAAATAGACATATTAATTAAAATACTAAGAGCACATTTCATACATGATTAGTCCTAAACTATTCAAATTATTATCTGGCAAAGACTAGTAAAGTATTAATAAAGATAAGTGATTACTTCTCATGGCTCCCTGGCCATTAATTCCACAAGAAACCAACCCAATCCCGCGAAACCATACAGGTGAGATATAGACCACGACAAAAAAATTAGGCGTAACTTTCCTTGTTGCTGCTCTGGCTCCTTGTGCTAGGCTCTCTCTGCGGACCAAAGAAGCCGCGCCGTCTCTCTTTGCGACCACTGTAGCCGCCGTCCTTTCTGCCAACGGTTCCACCGAGACAATACAGTAGACATGCCAGGAATAGGGAGACCACTGCTGTCCACATAAACGCAAAGGCTTTGACGCCTAGGGAAGAGTGCTGTCCATTGGCATTGAAGTGCTTGCGGCCTTGCACATATGCAGCACTGTATTCCGAATATTGTTAGCGTTAAGAGAGTTCAGACTCCCAGGACATGTCTTGGTATCACTTACGTCATCAAACAAGTGGTTATTATCTGGAAAATGAGTGCGATCCATGCCAGAAGCGCTGAGATGTAACCCCCAATACGCGAGCAAAGGGCCAGCAAGCCTGTCAATAGAGAGCAGGTAGCGAAGAATAGGCCAAGGAGCAGGAACGGAAACATGAACCGGGTCATCAAAAAGTAGTGATTAGTACTATTTTCGGTTAGCAGGTATATCCAACGGATTCAAATACGCCTAGTGCCTCATGTTTCAATCCAGATGTTTCATGACATACCCAATGAAGGCAGCAGGAATATTAGTTGTAGTACCAAAGTTCCGGCTGCTTGGGGGATCAAATGGATAATCTGGGTGGGAAGAGCCACATTGGCTGTGCCCACTGCTATCAACACGGCATAAGTTCCAGAAGGTCCATCGGGACAGCGTTGGAGCACCGGGTATGTTGCTGGTGTTGGTTTGCAGAAAGTAGATATCATTCAGCGGGCTCTTGTTCCGTGCACCTCCAAGAAAGGTGAGGAACATCAACACGAGGGACCCTGCGACAAAAAACAGGCCCAAGAACCCCAGTGATGGCCCTAGGTGGTCACGGTTAGCGCCATCGCTCTCTTCACAGCAGAAGGGAAAGAAGCGGTTGTGGTGAGGTCATACTTGCTACACCCATTGTGGCCGGTTTTGTGACAGATCTTTAAGTATCTGGGCTCTCTAAAGGACACGAGGATGAGGGAAGTGACAAGAATGTCAGGAGAGAGAAAATCTTCAGCTTGCAGTAGAAGTAATCTGGAATGGCCGAGATGGTGAAGAATGTAAAGAGAACGGTGGGGGGAAATGCGCGGATCGAGAATAAGTAGATTCCCGAAAGTTCCGGCAGCCCCAATTGGGTGTGATATAATCGTGAGCCTGCATCATTTACTCCAACTTTCTCTGCTGTTCACCCCATCTTGCTGTCGCCTGGTTGCGTTGCGTTGGGTGTGATCTCGACGTCATTATTGTTGCACTGATGACGCTAGCCCTGTTCGGCTAGCAGCGCACTCTAAAAGGGCACTAAACCCTGCCGGGACCATGGTTGACTGGCGCGAACGAGACGGTCACGTTGGTCAGATTCGTCCGAAGAGGTTCATTGGGGCAGGCGCATGACGTTGTCGACGAGGATCGACCAGAGCTACGTTGAAACTTGGAGCCACACAAACCCAACACGCAGTTTACTGTTGATGGTTATGAAATGATGGCTGCTTGGGCATACCCGCCGCTGCAGGCAGCGGACTTGGAGCGGGAGGCAGATAAGGCCTTGGTATGCAGTCGGAGAGCTCCTCGAGAGTTGCTCGGCCGGCCTACGAAATACTGACCCGACTTTTCTAGGCAAATGAACTTGAATGGCTCCTCCGCTCGTTGCAGGACTCCCTCGCGTCTCTGAAAGAAGGCCTGCAGGAATGTGCGGCTTTGCTTGCGCCTCGTGATCCTGGATCGACATTAGTCTTATCGTCTCTACGATCAGAGAGCGTGAAGGGATTTGTGACTAGAGTGGGAACGAAGATTGTCAAAGGCGTGAGTCGTTCTTGGATAAAATATAGGACCTTGCGGTTGCCGTTAGACTGATATGGGGCCGGCGGGATATAGGACATTCACCTTCGCTTAAGCTCTCTTCCCCCACCCCGTGGTGCATCAAGCACACATTTGAGTCTGTCCAGTTCGCCAGAGACTCCAGAACTGGTCCTCGACCAATTGGTGTCCGTACGGAATCTTGTTCACCAGAGTCTTGATGTCGTCGACGTTAGTACCTGGACCGGTGACCCTCTGAATGCCAGTTTTATATCTGGCCAACTGCGCCTCCTTTATGAAACGATCACAGAGGCACGGCAGACCCTAAAGGGTGATGAAGGTGACGCGAGAGGAAATTGGTGGGAATCAAGTGCCAGCCAAAATGTAAGCTGACAGTCTCGAAGCCCCTATTCCCCCATTATCGTGAGTTCGCGTCCTGATAACATTTGTTCCGGACCGCACAGATCTTCAACCCTCAGCTGCCACCATACCTCTCTTTTCACCTTTCTATTTTCGACTCTGCCCTCGTACTACAATTAAGAACACTCGAACCGAACACGCCAACTCACACACCGACGGCGTTCACCGCCGATATCTCGTTAACGGGGTTCAGCCTACGAGACAAGTTGTTCGGACCAAGACACCGACCTCACGACGAAGCCGGAGATGTTTTTACCTGGAACGGCGAAGAGGTCAGGGTGAAGGAGAAGATCCGTGTGGAAAGCCAGGACCCCAGCCTGATGGCTGTGATGGCGAAATTGACCGCTCTCCAACACGAGGTCTCGAAATGGATTTCGGCTCTTAATGTGCTCATGGGTCGTGATGATACAGACTGATCACTGGTTCAAGTCCAGCACTACGCCCTCCAAACAGAAACTCCGCACCGTTCTTACTAACTGTGCTAATTGAGTATTGGACCTTTGTATCAATATGCTGGATAGAAGGTATATATATTTGCTCTAGGAAAGTCTGGAGAATAGTGTACGGCTTTATTTTGGTCGCACAAATAAATAGTTCTTGGCTCATCGGCACTCTCTGATTCAAGATATAACTAAGTGACACACGCCACTTATTCAATGGGAATAGCAGCTGAGAGCTTTGGGGTCAGATCTTCAAGGCATAGATCGCCGAGAAACTGGTATTTAGAGAAAGATGCGTGCAGCAGCTCGAGGTCACCCTTTGCACTAGCTATAGTCAGATAATCAATCTCATGCCTCAAGTTATCACCGGTGTCAAGAAACCAAGGCTGCGACTTCCGTGCTGATGTGGACTGCCAAAATGTCCACCCAGACTGATTCAAATGGAGCGATAAGCAGTAGGCGACGGAAATAGGAGCATGATCCCTTCTCGACAAGAAGTCCAGAAAGCGGCGCAGGTTATTATATCATTCGAAACACTGCAGTTTGATCACGTGCACATTACTGATTTGAAGTTCGTGGAGATCCCAGGAGTTTTTGGACTGGAGTAACACCTAAAGTCCAGACTGATTTGTCGAAAAAAACCCGGTGATGGAGGACTCCCTGCTGGCCAACGACGATAGTCCTTCAATTTATCCACAAACGAGGATGCAGAATGACTGAACTTCACAGGATGCCCTCGTATGTCCGATACTAGCACCGCGGCATGGATCGCAACGAACCACGCTTGTAGCGACCATAGCCTTACTGTAGCAGCTAAGCGCTTTGACTGGTGCTTCCGTGCTATAACACAGCATTTGATTCCCCTCATCTTCATATACAAGTAGAGATTGATTCTGCATGAAATCCGTTCCTCAAAGCTTTTTCGGTATGGTCCACTAGCTCTGGGATTGCTCTAATTGCTGACTCTTATCTGATCTGCAGTAACTAGATCAAATCTGTCTCATGCGCTTTGATTTTTTTGGGTCTAATGAAGCATGTCAGTCACACGGTTCTATGCCGCACTTCAAGCTCGACAGATGTATGAGGTGCAGATGAATCAAGTGCATTTCATTCTCTTTGCGTCCAACATACGAGCCATCGGAACCCGTAACCTTAATGGCTGCACGGCTGTCGCGATTGTTTCGCCGTTTGCTGCGATCCTCGCACACATACCACCCCTGCCATATCCAACTACAGATCCTTATGTGGGGCTGGATAACGTCCAAGCGAAAATGGGAGAAGTTGCCTTCCTCTACCAGCAAAATCGGAGATTCTTTCCATCGGATCAATCATCTCTTGTTGTCGGGGCAATATTCGGCGGTGCTGTTGCGCTGTCTGACCATCTGACCTGCATAAGAGGTCTTGTGGAACAGAACGGGCTCACAGCTGAACTAGCTTTGTATGAAGTCAACGGAGGTGGCCATTTAGATGCCGCCAAGGGGACTGTCTTTATCGATGCGAGACACGGGTCTCCGTCCGTCTATATTGAGGACCAGCAGGTGCAAATGTAAATACTTTGCAACCGACTTCAACTCGATGTTAATAGCTGCCAGCGTCATTCGGCATTTGATAGACTTTGGAGATGTACGATGTCTGTGGACATATATAGAGATTCAATTTCGACTGGTTGATTGAAACGTCTCCTACCTAGGAACCAACTCACTTGTTCCACAGATAGGGAGCAACAACATGGTGCAGCAACAGCAATGCTGGACGTCTTTCCGAGGAGTGGCACTGACGGTGTCTTCTGATGACCTCCAGGGAGCTGAAGAGACATATCTCCTAAAGATAAGAGACTATTGTATGAACCAATGTAGAAGAGAAGTCCAGGAACTATAACCATCTACTATTTGGACGTTCTCAGTTCTGAGTCCCAGTCACCTGATAAACTCTAAGTAGGATTATATAAGACAGGCCAGTTCAAAACCCCTGGCCAATCAGAGGCATGCGGTTTGCGATAGGCTGTAGCCTTTTAATCTCTTGGCAATGATGAGATCCTGGAATTTTTGAAGAGCTCTTCAGCAAGCAGTGGCGGCATGAACTCTGCGTTTTCCATCTTCCAGAACACGTCCTACGAACCTTAGATAGAAAGTGATTAAGCATGCTTTCTAGTTCTTCCGTTCAACGGGCTAGTCGACCGTACCCTCGCGATGTTCTGCGGCTTATGGGTTATGGCCCGCGACATCTTCGCAGCGGCAATGGATGCTTAACAGCTGGAAGGCCAAAAAGCACCCTTATTCGGCAAATGACATTAAAAAATTCGGATCGGTCTGCTTACACACAAGACAGTACTTCGGAAAAGTCTCGAGGGTTGCGGCCCATCAAGAGGCTGCTATCCACCTCTGCAATTCCCGACACGAACCCCGACGCGCGCAAAGATGCGATATATACCCTAGTCGATAAGATTCAACAGCAAGAAGCGGATATCGAAGTGCTACTGGATGAACTTGACCTCCTAGACGACTACCATACCGTTCTCAGCTCGGCCGACGTGGACCTGACTCAGACGTTGACGCAAGCAGTCGGGCATCGGGACGAACAATCATTAGAAACCTGGGTACGAGGTGCAAGACAACAGTTTGGAAATACTTTGCCTGAGGGATTCTTGAACGCAACTGAGCTTCAGCTATACACTCGGCTTTACGGGGAACCGATTTTCCGGGAACAAGATCTTGAGCTCGAGGAAGAGTCCGAAGAAGGCGACTTGGACCAACTTCTTCGTGAAGATGGAGAGGGTGGATGGGAAGAAGTTGAATTCGAACGCTCGGTGGAAGAGGAAGAGGAGGAGATTCCAGTGGTTTATGATATGGAAGTTGATCCAATCGAGGAGGAAAGCCTTGCAATGCAGCGAACGCGAGAAATAGCCGAGCAACTCGGGGGCGAGATCATGCTGCAACAATTCGAAGACGAAGCAGTGCCGGATTCCCATTCTCGGACACACCCTTTGACCGACGCTGGAAAATTCTCTGCCGGTTCCAAGACTGTCTATCTACCACAGGACACGGTGAATGGTCCGGTGGCGGCGATTCTGTCCCAGTACTCCAACAAACACATCTCCGAGGCTGCCCATCGCATATTTGGAGGCCCGCATCTCCCTTATTCTACCAGGACGCCACCTCCGTACCTTCAACTACCACATAAACCGATTCCTTTAAAAGCATCACAGAATTTTATGGGCGAAATGGATGCTAACGCCTTCCTTTCTGTCCTATATCCTGGAATTTATGCATCAAGCTTAAGTGTTTTGTCGGAAGTCCGGAAGCGTTTGGGCACGAAATGGATTCGCCGTCTGATCAGCAAGGATGGTGGCCCTAATGTCCTAGATGTTGGGGGCGGCGGCGCTGGCATTCTAGCGTGGAGAGACATTATTCGTGCGGAATGGGAGGTTATGGTTCCCGACCATCCTGCGTCCGCTCCAATTCCCATGGGCAGGTCTACGGTGGTGACGGGTTCCGAAGCCTTGAAGATGCGTGCCAGCACCATGCTTGAGAACACAACATTCTTACCGAGATTGCCAGACTATGTTCATGTCCGCGGAAATCCAACCTTGGATGATTCGCGACCAGCTCCAAAGCGGAAACAGTTTGACATCATCGTCGCTCCCCACACTCTTCTCGATATTGACGAAGACTATATGCGAAAGGAGCACGTTGAAAACTTGTGGAGCTTGCTCAATCCTGACGGCGGTGTTCTCATTCTCCTCGAGAAAGGTCGCCAGAGGGGATTTGAAGCCATCGCTGGGGCCCGCGAGATGTTGCTGAAACGCCATATCTCGAGCCCTGGGTCCACTAATTATGAAAACTTGACGGAGTCGTCTGATGATAATACAGTTGTCAATAAGGAAACTGGGATGATCGTCGCTCCTTGCACAAATCACGAGAACTGTCCCATGTACCACGTTGCCGGCAACGCCACCGGCCGCAAAGATTACTGCCACTTCCAACAGAGGTACATCAGGCCGCAATACCTACAGCGCATTATCGGAGCGAAGGACAAGAATCACGAAGACGTCAGTTTCAGCTACATCGCTGTTCAGCGAGGCGTTGATCTGCGCCAAGAGGAGGGCATATTACAAGGCTCCCAAGCCACCGATGCCGCTTTCGATGGATACGAGAACCTGGGGAACGAAACCGCTGAGACTTCTAGAGCCGTCATTGATGAGGTTGAAGCAGCAACAGACTCCAACAACGTTCCCGGCACTCCAGATACGGCCACCAAACAACAGGGATTTAACACGTTGTCACTCCCTCGAATCGTCTACCCACCTATGAAGCGGCGAGGCCATGTCATCTTCGACTTTTGTACGCCAACTGGCACGATCGAGCGGTGGACGGTCCCCCGGTCGTACAGTCGCCAGGCCTACAAGGACGCACGCAAGGCTCAATGGGGCGACCTGTGGGCTCTAGGTGCCAAAACACGCGTCCGCCGGAATTTGGCTCTTGGTGAGAAGCACGGCGAGGGCAAGAAAGAAAGACTCCTTCGACGCGCGGCTGCCAAAGCAGCGGCAAACGAAGGAGAAGGCCATGAGGAAATCGAAGAGGAGCAGCGTGGTAAGGGGTTACAGGATATCCCCATTCCCACCAGGAAAAAGGGACAAAACATCCCCAGCTGGAAGAAACACGCAGATAAAAAGAAAGTCAGGCAGGCTCAGAAGAAGGTAGTCGCTTCTGGCTTGCCCGAAGACTTTTACTAGAGGCACCTCGGGGATTCCTTGAGTTTTACTATGAAGATGTACGATAGATTTCTGGGTTGGACCATTCTTCCTTGAAGTAAGAAGGGGGGATATGGTTATGTATATTATTAACATTTGTGACTGGCGATAAAAAATGTATTATAGGACAATTCTATGCTCAATCGCACGTCTCCACTTTGTATTCTGCAGCTGAAACATGTATAATTGATATGCAGAATAGCTGCTTGGAAACCCTGTACAACAGGAAGGAAAGTGGCCGATATGAGTCATCTATGTCTGGCCCAATATTTGGTGTTGGGGATTCAAGAGACTATTCAAGATGAGCCCATATCGTGGCAAAGTCTTCACAACGCTCTTCCTGGGCTGGGAAGCTCCTTGTTTGGAAGATTCGGGTATCAATAGCCTCGATGGCCATCCTAGCGCGGTGAGGCCAATGGAGAAGCTCGAGAAGCTTCTAACATTGCTTCTGTAGCTGGTTCGGATTGTAGTCAAGACCACTCTGGTGTGACAGAGTTCAGTCATGAATGGGTTGGCGTTTCTCGCTTTATTGAGGAGCCATGCTCTTTCGCAGCTGCCGCTCTCTCTGCTTGGTTTGGAGCTCTAGCCTCTCCAAGGCATACTTCAATCTTTCCTTTTTCTGCACTAGTTTTCTCATTTCAGCAGCCCTCGCTGCAGATGCACTATCCTGTCGGCTGCTACTGGTCTGGCTGCGACTCGAACTATATCGGCTTTCGTGGGATGAAAGTCTCCCCTCTTGAAGCTCACATTTCGCCTTCAGAGCCTGTTCGCGACGCGCAAGTTTTTCGACATGATTTGACGCAAGTGACAGCAGGTGTGCGATGCTGGGTGTGATCTCGTCTAGTAGTGACTGTTGAGCTTCGCGCAGGGTTGGTTCTGGAAGGAGCTCGAAATGCTATGGGTTATAAAATCAGCGAGGGATTATATGATAAGAATCTATCACAATATGCTTACCCTCGTGGTTTGCAGGACTTTACAGAGCCGAGGGAAATCGCTCACACCAGCATCCAATGTGTTGATAGAAGAGTCAAGAAGCTGCAGCGAGGATCGAAGAGAGGACACTGAAGACGAGAGGGAGGCAGCCATGATGAATGTAGAGTGTTATAGTAATTCATTCAATTCCAGAGAATTCCTCGAGCTTTATTTGTCGAGACGGCGGTGTTGATTGTTTACTTTGTACACCGTCAACTGGAGGGGTCTATCCGCTCCTAAAGCGGCAACGAGGCGGGCCTTAGGGCGGCACCATTTCGGACCCTCGGGACAAACCTCGTTGCTTCCGCTCGACTTCAGTTGCACTCTCCACCAGCTCCATCGTTTTCAACTCCCCTCTGGACAGAGTCTCAGTTTTTATTCGCTTGCACCGTCAAAATGTCTATCCTTCCCAAGAAGTTCCCGGCGCCTGTCGGTAAGTTCGCAATTCTGCTCATGCTCAGTCCGATGATCGGATTGGGAAGCGTTCCAAGAAGATAGTATCTAACTTGACCGTCCTGCTATAGCCAAGCCGATGTTCCCCTTCTTCGCCGCCGGTATGCAATTGTTGTCCCGTGTTTTTTTCGCCCCAAATATACTATAATAATTCGCCGTCTGCGCGATTCATTGAGCTGCGTGCTGGATCTGGAAACCTGACAATATTCTCTATAGGCCTCGTCATTCTCTACGGCGTCAACTCCTTCGCCAATGTCCTGATGTCGAGTAAGTGACACCAATTATATTTTTATGCCTATTTGAATGTATCGCGAGCTCCATGAGGGTGCCCGATTCTTTCCGATCGTTCATTTTAGAACCGTCCACCTTGCTGACACTGGTTGATAGCCGATGAGTTCAAGAACGATCCCCGCAACCCCAACCGCAAGGCTGGTGACAAGCACTAAATTGATCGAGCGATTGCATGATACCATGAGGGAGGAAGATAGCGAGTTGAAACGGGCGGCCTAGTGCCGCCTTGGCCGCTATTCCGCGTCTGTATCCGTTTGGCAGGCAGTTTCTCTGTACACGCATATAGATTCCACCGTCAGAGAACATATTGACAAGTCAACAAGCTGTACTACTACAATTTACATGGAATTTCTCTTTGTAATAATTCCCATCTATCGATTTACTGATATCCTATCATCAAATGTCAGGGTCGTCCGCCCGGCTCAGAATGGCTCCTGACCTATTCCCATTCAAGAATACTTATGCTATGGCGATTGTAATGATTCAACCTGTTGTCGACTACGTTATCAAGATCTAGATAATAGACACGGCTATACATTATAACCGGCCCTTGTTGTCGAGACATTCGGGTCCGCGCCTCATAGGCGGAGTTGCTATGCTATATCCCTGATAGTGTAGAAATCTAATGAAGCAAAGGAACTTCCTCTAGAGAAGAATTGGGTGATAGGTAATCCTTTAGAATAATGGCTACGAGAATAGTTGACCGTGACGTGTAGACTGCAGATGGCAGTATAATACTGTCAAGCCTCGCAGTGGTTGCACTAAACCTATTAAGGAAAACATGATTTCTCCGAGCCGTCGACCTCTCTTCCAGCCGAACACTGTTGATAGCGACTTGGGCCAAACCTGCCAACTTGTCAACCAAGCATTCAAAATGTCGATGTTCAGACCGAAGAAACTAGACCTTGGCGGCTTTATCAATGCCCGCGTCGTTCGCGATTACACCAAGCGCAAGGTCTTCGAGCAGCATGAACCCGAAAGGTGAGGATCACGACTTAATAGGCCATTTTTGATTGTTCTCCTCTTCAAAATGTTTAAAAGAGACTGCGCTAACCTCCCCTTCTTCTTCTTTATTTTGCTACAGACAAGCTCTTCGTTACATCATTCGCAACACTTCCCTGCCGCAGCGTGTCCGCGCCCAGGCCCAGCTCCAGCTCGCGCAGATGCACGCCTACACTCGTTCCACCCAGATCAAGAACCGATGCGTTGCAGGAGGTATCGCGAGAAGTGTTTTCCGCGACTTTAGAATTGCTAGAGTGAGTGCAATATCTGCAAGCTTTACTGTCTGTTTTCTTGGATGGACCCCAGACTTACACTTGTTATCATTTACACAGTACCAATTCCGGTTACAAGCTTTGGCCGGCGAGCTTCCTGGAGTGAAGAAGGCAAGCTGGTAATGCTATTCTGGATGGATTCTGTATATTGTTGAGCATGAAATTTCCGGCCCGGCCGCTTTTCGTCAAGGCGTTTAATTTATGGGTGTAAAATATGATATTGTTCTATCCTTACTGAGAAGCCTCTCCTATCAATCAACTCAATTAGATTTGAAATAGCTTCAATGCTAGAGGAGATTATAGGTCTAGTTGTATTCCTTCATAAATGGTGTAAGAGGAAGGGCTCTTTGATAATAATGTAGTAATTCACTTGCTATTATATAAAGGAAATAGATACATAATACTATATATATTTCTATCATATTGCTTTGATGCAGTCTCAATCGGCCAGCTTTGCTCATACTGTGATTCACTAGATATATGAGGTAGGTACCTGTCCATTCACTCTCTCCTCGGAAAGCTGCAGCTCGGTCTTTTCTCACCTACCTCTGCATTTCTTTCTCCCTCTCTCCTTAAAATCCCCAAGGCCATATAGTATTGCGTCCCGGAAGAATCACAGCTATCGAAATGTTCGTATTTCGACGAGAGGACCTCCCGTCGGATCCTTCGTTTCCTTCAGATTTAAATAAACTCGGGTGAGATCAGTGGATGCCATTTACATATAAGAGCCTACAAAAAGAATTCAAGGCTGACTGAACGTTCAGATACTTTATTAATAATGAAGATCGAATCCGGAAGATTTCGAACCCTGAGCAGGATTTCCAGTTCAAGATCAATCGAAACCCTCGCTGGAACGAGGCCCAAAGAGAGGCAATGAACGGTACGCAGAAACCCCGTGGTGGCACACACTCTACCCTCCCAAGTTCATATATTAGACCGTGGTTTCACTGACTTTGACAACCACAGAATGCATCCGTCAGATCGTCTGGTCCCGCTTGGATGGTTTAGGACTGAAACAGCTTCGGTTGCCACTCGGCACTCCAGTCGATAAACCACATGTCCCCATCCTGGTATCCCCTGACCTCGAGACAGCGTCACGGGTGGTGGTTGTGTTCGGCGAGCCGATCCAAGACTTGGGGGTTTGGGCGTATCGAAGCGTTGGAACAAACGGTATCAACGCCGGCTCAGCGGTTAACTTCGCACGAGAAGTACTTGGACATGTCGGTTCCAATGTGAAGAATGGCACCGAGTCCACGGGCGATGATGGGAAGACTGCGCTCATTCTGGCCAACACTGGACAGTTGATTTGGCACTGTGGTTCACGTCGGGCTGTCACCAATGCAAGCTGGCTGGCGATTCCCAGAGAGTCAGCAGTTGATCCACCGTTGGTGATGACGGGACGCAACAAAATCCCTGGTCACCACAACTGGCAGGAGCATGTCGAGTATATCTTCGCCCAGATATTGGCAGCTCGGGATCAGTTCATCAAGAAAGATGCCAAGATCGACGTCATTGGAATTGCAGAGGGAGGCCTGGCGGCAGTAAGATTTCTGGCCACACACTGTAAGTATCTGGGCATTTTATTCTGGTGCTATGAGCATTTCTTAACAAAGGGGTTTGACTAGGGAGCGCTTGGAGTCCATACATCTCGGCCATCTGTCTCTGCAATCCCCTCCACTACTCGCATCTTGACCTGCCTGCTGGAGAGACTGGTTCCGAAGAAGATGGTGGATCCTCGTTTGCTGAATTCCTGTCAGCACGCTGCCGAGCATATGTCCTCTCACCCAAGGTTCTTGACGAGCCGGTTCCAGGCTACAATGAGCACGGATGCAACTGCTACTCGTCTGGAGAGGAGTTGAATATCGAGTGTATCATGCCCAGTGCGTGGCAAAGCATCTTGCAGTGGCTCGCAAAAATCTCTGGAGACCCTTTCTATAGTGAACCCAGGATCATCAATGAGGAAGATGGGGGGTTGGATGTCGGACGCTTTGCCGACGATGCGAGCGTAGCCGACAATGATTGATTCTGGAAGATTGCTAGACAGATGGGTGTGGTTTTAGCCATGGATCGATCTCCTTCAGATTAGCCTGAGACTTGCAGATATGAAACTTTTATTAAGACCGATTCCTCTTGCTCAAGAATACTAGAGAGGCACCTAACTAGTTAGACAGCAGTACTATTCTCTGGTCTACCCATTACTTAGTTAGAATCCGATCATCGCAATTGCTTTGTAAAACGCATATGTAAGGTGACACCTAGTTAATTATCCAGCCGATTGAGCAAGCGTGGGTGGCGGAGGACGCCGACACCACTGTTGACAGTCGTCGTGTTAATCTATCTGATGAGTTTCGATCGAGTAAGAGGAACCAAAGCGCCGTTTTGATCGAGTAAGGGCCAGATTATGATAGGCCAGTCCGAGCCGATCGGAACCAGAGTATACCTTACCTCCTCCTAGGTACAGTACTACATTGTACAGTCCTACATTACCTAAGTAGGTGCCTAGTACTCCGTAGAGCCTCGTAGGACAGGTGTATTCTAGCAAGCTCCTGCTGTAACATTTGTTCAAAGAGAGGGTTTATCTATCGAGATCCCTACCGTAAGATCTATCTCTTAATTAACTGAGAATAAGATACGGAGTAGGTAGGTACTACATAGCTGTATTAGTACTATACGGAGTATTTCGTAGTTGTATCGGAAGGTTACACGGAACAACAATAGTCCGACAAGCATCGGAGATTTCCGACGGTCTCGAAGAGTCCACAAACAAATCTTATCGGGCTTGACTCTAAATGGCATTTGAGTCTGTTGACTGAATGGGATGGTTTCCATCCATGATCAGGTTGCAGAATGCGTAGGCTGATGGTCTGTGAAGAGCTGGAGATGGCTGTCTGTTATTTTTGGTGTCTTCAGCAAGATGGTGGCGCTGAGTGTACGGAGAATAGCGTCGTCCCCTTCTGACATCTGTGGTGGTTCCTTAGCAGGTGGGTATTCTCTTATCGGCGAGATAGTTTGTATGGGTCTGTCACCCGCATTTTTTTTACACTTTTCCACCCACCGAGGGTGCGACACCTCGTTCTTTTGCTTCTGAGTCCCCTCTTGATCGAGAGACCCTGTCAGTCTTTTCGAGAAGGTCTTGCTTGTCTGTCGCTGGTGTATAAGTATACACTCCCCTTTATCGTCTATCATTGTCTCCCGGCCATATCAACACTATCTCTCTGGTCTTTATCTGTCGACACATACCGATTCTTATCCCCCGGTTGCAAGATAAGCCCCTCTCTTTTCCATTCTAGGCCTGGCCTGCTAGTTAGAAAGGGCTGTCTGTGTCTCTGCAACGACCTGTCTGCTTCGTTGAGCCGCTGGTCCCTTGTCGTTCAAGCTATCCTGTCTCTGGAACTCCATTCCGGTGGCGGAGTAGAACTGCCCTCTTTACCTGTGACTTCTCCTTGTTCGATTCTCCTTATCGGTTTCTTGTCGACACCAAGATCTCGTTCCTGCAGGCACTATGGAGACTCCTAACGCCTTGATCTCCGTGGTAGCTTCGTCTCGCGCTGTTATCTCCGGCCGTTTGACGTCGGCCACGCTTGTAATCTCCCAGGCCACCGGCAAGATCACTGCCGTCTTCGACTCCGTCATCCCGGCTTCTCATTTCCCGGAAGGTACACCGTACAGGGACTACTCCCCACACGTCTTGCTTCCTGGCTTGGTGGATGCCCATGTGCATCTGAACGAGCCCGGCCGTACGGAATGGGAAGGCTTCTATACTGGCACGCAGGCGGCTGCTTTCGGCGGGGTGACCACCGTGATTGACATGCCTTTGAATGCTATCCCGCCAACAACTACAGTGTCTGGGCTGAAGGAAAAGGTCAAGGCTGCTCAGGGCAAGTGTTGGGTAGATGTTGGCTTCTATGGTGGCATCATCCCCGGCAATGCTTCCGAACTCAAGGGCCTTGTTCAGGAAGGTGTTCGAGGGTTCAAAGGATTCCTTATCGACAGTGGGGTACGTACTTACTCTAGAAGGTCTCTGGCAAATCACATCATTCAGATATACTAAAAATCCCCCCTGTCTAGGTCGAAGAATTCCCGGCCGTCTCCTCCGAAGATATTAAAAAAGCGATGGTGGAGCTAGCAAGTGAGCCAACCACCCTTATGTTTCATGCCGAGATGATCCCGCCTGTCACTGCATCGGTGGGTGATGATGTCCAAACATCCGCGCCCCCTCTTGCCCCGGAAGGACCCCTGGAGGCATACTCCACATTCTTGGCTTCTCGTCCTCCGAGTTTTGAGACTTATGCTATCGATGAAATTATTTCCCTCTCACCTATAGCCCCAAATCTTCCTCTGCATATCGTCCATCTGTCAGCCATGGAGGCCATTCCTGCATTGCGTAAAGCCCGTGCAGAGGGTGTCCCCATCACTGCTGAGACATGCTTTCATTACCTGAGTCTCGCGGCTGAGGAGATCCGGGACGGTGATACCCGCCATAAGTGCTGCCCTCCGATTCGTTCACGGCTCAACCAAGATAGCCTGTGGTCAGAACTAGAGCGGCATGCAGCTGACGGTGTCATCAAGACTGTGGTCTCCGATCACTCCCCATGCACTCCCGATCTGAAGCTCTTGCCCTCTCACATCCCCGGCTCCTGTCTGTTTGGCGGTGCGGTTGCAAACTGCAAGCCCAAAGAGGAAGAAGAAGAAGAAGGCAACTTTTTTTCAGCTTGGGGCGGCATCTCATCCGTTGGCCTAGGGTTGCCTATCCTGTGGACCGAGCTCAGTCGCAGAAAGAAACTCACATCCGCCACCGACGACGAAAACACGAAGCGTGCGCTTCAGGACATTGTCCGGCTATGCTGTGCTAACACCGCTGCCCAGGTTGGTCTCGAGAGCCAGAAGGGAGATCTATTAGTCGGCTTTGATGCTGATATCTGCGTCTTCGACGATGCCGCCGAATGGGTCGTTCAGCCTAGCACCATGCTGTTCCGTAACAAGTGCTCTCCTTATCAAGGCCGCATTCTCCGGGGCATGGTGCGCGAGACCTGGCTCCGTGGCGAACGCATGTTCAGCAGAGAAGACGGGTTCACCAGCGAGGTTCCTTCCGGTAAGCTCCTCTTGGAGAAACGCAGGTGAGCATGATGATTTTTATGACATTTTTGTGCTATTAAGGCAAGCATAGCATAGATAGATTGCTCTTTTATATTATATCCATGTTGATAGCTTTTATGATAGAAATATAAATGATGATTAAAATCTTATACAATTACACTTGCAAGACAGCTTACAGATTCCTTCGGAAACCGGTTCATTTGATAGTTGTCATACGAAGTATGCTCTTCATGTCCAAGTTATCTATTCTTGATTATATCTGCTATATTTTATCATGCTCATGAACTGATCCGTTCCCTCTCCTCCCATCTTTCCCTGACCCTCCTTCGCATCCCCCCATTCACGCCTCTCCCCCATATCTCCTCCTTCCGGGTATCCTGGACCAGAGCGTTTCGGCCACCACCCACCTCGTCACAACCGATCACTTCCTTTCGTTCGCGGAGCCGTTTCTCTCGTGTCCTCGCCGTGTTCACTTTCCGGAGATACGCGCCGTAGATGAACACCTCCGCCACGGCAACCGCCAAGGCAGCAAGAAACGAGAGTAGGACGCGGAGCGGCTCGGACATCCCCGGCCTGCTGCTGCCTGTGTTTGTGCGGGGTGCAAAGATCCGGAGATCGGGTGTCGGAAATTTCGTCAGAGCCCAGTAGACGCTGAACCCCGTGATGAGCACAGAGAGGAAGATGTTGAGGACGAGCGAAGGGGTGAGCGGGTCGTTGTCTGTGTCGTGCGGGGCGCCGCCATCGTGAATAGCGGAAAGGGTAGGTGTTGAGGAGGCAAAGACGGGGGATGGGCCGTGCCGAGTTGTTGAGGATAGAGAGTAGGAAGGCGAGGAGGAAGAGGAGATGAGGCAGTTGTAAGCGTCTGTGTCGGCGGCGGCGAGGAGACGAGCTTTGAGAGCGAGATATTCGGGGGTCTGTATTCCATCGCGTCAATTTACATGATATCAAACAAAGATCGGATGCTCTGTTTTTTTCTTTTTGATTGGAACGTACAGGTTCTGGTTTCTTCGGCGGAGGCGGTACATAGACCTTTGTCCCGTAGAGGAGCGAGCTCAGGCTGTTGTCTCGGTCAAGGGATGCGTCGGGGATAGTCTTCCTGGCAGTGCTGAAATACCGTGCCAGTCGAATCAGTTGATCGTGAGAAATTGGGGACTCCAGGCTAGGAGAACTGGGCAGTTCGAGATCCCGTCGGCTTGTTGGAGGGACAGCTTCCAGCGCGGAGAGAATGTGCGCCGTGACGACAAGGAGGACCATGGTGAGTCAAAAAGAACAAAAGCAGAAGAGAGAGGAAATTATGCTTCGAATAGGTAATACTACCCTTGTTTCACATCATTTTGTAATATATTCGTTGAGGTCGGAGTTGTCCACTTAATCGAGGTCCATCCACAGTTTCAAATGCTGTGGAACGGGCTCTTGTCCCAAACAGGCAGTGAAGCTCCCCCACGCGATCCACTGCAGGCCTATTCACATCATACTGCTTTCTCTTCGTCTTTTGGACCCTCTGTTTTACTTGACGGCGTGCGCAATTCAGCTCTCGCCTCCGATATTAAGATGGCAGATACAAAGACTGTTAGGTAAGAGACATACAACCAGAGAAAAAAAAGGGGGGGAGCACAATTGAAAGCAGTGTGCCCCTCCATCCACCGGCAGGAATCTTTTTATGCCTGCCGGTATCTTCCCACCACAACTAGTTCTTGTTGACTAATTTCCTGGGGCTTTCTCATAGTTCACAACATACGCAGACGAACCCGCGTGGTATCCCCGTCGCACCTTTTATCGACGATGTCTCCGACTACGTCTCGTCCCGGGCGGAGGTCGAGTCGACTTTGCGCTCATTCCAGGAGATGATTTCCAAGTATCAATTTATGGAGTTGAACACCCAACGCCGAGGCGCAGGCTTGCGCGAGAAGATCCCGGATATCAAGAAAACGCTGGAGATGGTCAGATTTTTGAAATTGCGGAGAGAAGTGCGTTCCTTATATTTCTGTCCCAGGAAGCGTTCCATTGCTCATTGCTGATTTCCGCAGAACACCTCGTCGGAACTCACCACACACTTCGAGCTGAACGACACGCTCTACGCGCGCGCCTCCATCTACCCGGCTGACACGGAGGAAGTCTACCTCTGGCTCGGGGCCAATGTCATGCTGGCGTACCCGATAGACGAGGCAGAAACCATGTTGCAGGAGAAGCTTTCGGCGGCGGAATCGAGCCTTGCCAACTGTGAGGAAGATCTGGAGTTTTTGCGCGAACAGATTACAGTATTCTCCTCTCCCTCTCTCTCCAATAAAGATTTACTTGCCCTATCTATGCTAACGATATATCTTAGACTCTCGAGGTGGCAACAGCCCGTGTCTACAATTGGGACGTGGTTCAGCGACGGAAAGAAAAAGCAGAGGGCAAAGGTGGCGATGAGGACGAAGGGAATGCGGCAAAGGGTCTGGCACAGGCGTAGATGGATTATATGCCTTTATTCGTTCTCAACGCAGGTCGTCATTGGGTTCTCTTATCTTCCTATTCTTGTACTAGGCGAGAGGGTGGTTTCAATTTCAAAAGTAGACACACCAAGAAGATATCCGATTTCTCACGTCTCTCCGCTAATCCTCTAAACGAACAGGAAGAAGAGATATTCGGTAAAAAAAAGAATAACAATCTGAACGAATAACCACGGGTGTATAGCTCATTACTCGTCATCTACAGCGCCATCATTGTATGATCAGGAGCGAAGAAAGAAATATCAATGCGAAAAAAGGGTCCCATCCTCGACCCCAATAGTCATCACCGGCCAAGAGATTATATCGAAATCGAAAAATAAACAAAAACTCCTGTCATCTATTAAAAGTCGTATAACAGCATCGTGAACTCATCATAACAGGGCCGGCAGGTTCGGAGCGACTAGCCATAACTTATGCACTCTCCTGACGGATGTAGCTCTAGCATTGGAAAAAATTGGGGGTTTCTTTAAGGCTGACTGGCCGTGGGCTTCAAGTCAGGGGCGCCCCTGTCTCGCACCTTTCTGGCGAGATCCGCGTCTGCATCGTCGTCAACAAACGTCCACTCTTCAATATCGGCTAGGTCGTCGCCGCTGGTCTCTTGTTCCGCTACCGTAGTAGTTGGGGTGGGCGAGAAGGGAGTCGCGGAGGCAATGGAACGTTGACGGGCAAGTGTTTTCGCATATTCGAGGTCACGATAAAGGGCTTGAATGGCCGTTGCAACGCCGTCCTCCTGCAAGACAATCAGTTAGCCAAGAAAATATATGTATATAAGGTTGATATTTTAAACGTACGCTGCGGATCTGGACACCAAGATCTCGAGCCTTGGTGATGATCCGTTCGCTATGTGTAGCCTCCCACAAGGCCTTTGAGAAGACGCCGACATTCAATCTCTTCATACAGATACCGACACCCAAGTCCTCGACTCGGGAGCCGAAAAAGAACTGATCACCAAAGAACGGCTTGACGATGGTCGGGATACCCGCTCGTAGACTAGCTCCTGTGGTCCCCGCACCTCCATGGTGGGCGGCAGCATCGATCTGCGAGAAGAGCCAGTCGTGGGGAGCCGATTGAATTTGAAGGATCCCGGGAGGCAGAGGCACCTCGGCCTTGGTGTTTGCCGGATCCCCAAGACGATCTGACCAGCCTTTAGAGAGAATACACCGGACATCGGCTTTTTGTACCGAATCGACAACGGTCTGTGTAAGAGCAGCGGGATCAGAGACCACGATGGACCCGAACCCAATGTATACGATCTTCTTGCAATCTGCACGGGCTCGTCGGATGAACTCAGTCAGCTCTGCTGGAGGAACCCAGTCTGACCCCTCGTTGAGAAACCAGTAGCCTGTAATCCGGATCCAATCTGGGTAGTCCAGAGGTGGGGGAACCACCGAGGGTGAGTAGTTATAGAGGAATGGTACTTTGTTCGGCTGCATCTTGTCCAAAGTCGTGGCCTTCAAGCCCAGGTCGTTGTTTCGCCATCGGTTGACCTGGCCCGCAATTGCCTTCCAGAAGACAGTGTCGAACATTACATATGTAATATAATTGTAGGCACCCCCCATTTTATGTTCGGGAACGGCAAACGCATGTGGATAAGCCCGGGTTCTCGTCCATGGCATCGTGAATGCCCGGAAGTACGGGATTCTCAACGCCTCAGCGATATGGATGCCAGCCATGGCGCTAGGAGACTCGATCAGAAGATCGCTATCCTGGCAGCCGGCCCAGGATGAGGTGAGCAGATCATCGATCCAGCCACGGAACTTTGAGGAAGCTTCCTTGAGGAATGAATAGGTAAACATGCCGTTTTCCACACAAATGCGCATCAACTCGGCTGGATCGCCCTCCACCGGGGCAAAATCAATACCGTGCTTCTTCACCCATGGGCCAAATTCTGCATGGGTGGCGATCTTGGGTCGATGGCCTTCCGCGAGTAAGCCTTTGCACAGCGCAATGTACGGCTGCACGTCGCCTCTTGAACCGATCGTAAGACATGTGATCCGAAGAGACTCGGTGGGCTTGAAATTGATGATTGATGCACGGGGGTCGTCGAAGATCGGATGTAGCTCAGAGCAAGACTCTTCGTTGAATGTTGAAAGCGTGTCATTGTTCCCTTCGGAAACGCCGAGTCGAGCTTCTTGAAGCATACGATGTTCAGCCCTCGCAGCCTCGGCCTCCTCTTTTTCTTGCTGTGCAAGCAAGCCGGATTCCACGAGAAATTTCGTCGACTCGAGATGTTGATGCAGGGTGACAGCGCAGTCGTCACGGGTGTCAGCATCGTTGAACTCGAAGAAAAGCTCTTCGTGGCCGCGAATGATGACCACTAGCCCGTGGTACCCAAATCGGAATCCTTTCTCCTTTTCGACATTTTCAATGTCTTTGATGGGAAGTATCATCTTTGTCCGCGTGCCGGGGAGGAGGCTTCGGAAGCATAGCTTCTTTTGTCCAATATAGATCTTTCCATAAAGAGGGAGCACGCGATGTAGATATGCAAAATACGTCGCTTGAAGTTTCTCGGTAGATGGAAGAGCAAAATGAGCGCGAAAGCGATCTCCGTCTCTGCAACCGGCTTCGTTGTCTTCAGAGTCCACAGCCCGATCCTCTGAAAGGGGTCCCGTGATCTCCCCGTAATGCCTTCCTCCACCTGCCCACATTCCGGAGACCTTCTCCAAATATCCCATCGACTCCGTGGCTAGAAGACTGCTCATCTGCTTTGACCGGCTCTTCAGAAAACCCGCGATGCCTGCAGCCCGCTGGAGCGGATACGCAGCACCCACTTTCACTAGATCATTCAGAGTGGATGCGGATGGTTGGGCTTTTGCAGGATCCTGGATCTCTTGATCAGACTCACTGGTGGCATACGGAATGCCCTGCAAAGAGCCCCTCTTAACCCTCGTCTCATTGGCTTGAACGGGCGCAGTGCGAGTCGTATCGTCCGAATTTCGACGGTCGATGTCTGTGTATGAGGTTCCTCTTGCGAGGTTATGTATTGTGGGGGATCGGAAGACATCGCTGCGGTTGAGAATCCGGCTTGCAGATTCTGCTGTGTCTGTCATGGAATGCACAACTGCCAAGGATTCGGCTCCTTGCTCTACAGAGTTCTCCAAGGAGTCTATAGAGCTGGAACGCCGGAAAGCATGGAGAGTTCCTGATGCATGGTGGCCGGGCGCCAGCTGACTCGTACTAACGCTCCTACGACGGGAAGCTTCAGCCCAATTGTGGCCTGTCTGGCGAGAAACTCGGCTGGCCGATACCCCTTGACCCTGAGAGTCACGGAAACGATCGGTGGACTCGGAGTCTGACTTTTCGTGACTGTGAGAGGTAAGCTGACTCGGAACGTCGTTGATTAGGCTCTTCAAAAAATCAAAGGCATCGTTTCCGGAATTGAAAAACGTGAAGAAATACTGGGGAAGGAGTTAGAATAGATCATTCAGCTGGTGGCAGATGACTTACTTCATCTAAAGCGTATGTTTCACCGGCTTCGACAACCCTGATCTTGATTGTTCCTGCAAAATCAACCATGGGGCTCTCCTCGATATCGATAATATTCTCGATAGGGAATGACACTTTTACGCTGTCACCGTCATTGCGAGTGCGAAATATGACTTTCTGCAGAGCTTTGACCCATTCTTGTGCATTTGACGAGCTCTCTGCTCTGAAGTAGTATATCCGCTGGTCTGTAGTCACTTGAAAATCCCGTGTTTCTTTTCCTTTGCCTTTGGGTTCTACCAGCGACGCAGATATCCCGTAGCGAAGGTCGACATGCCCACTTGGAAAATATAAATTGGAAGGGTCTGCGTAGTATGATAAGACGTCACCCTTCAGCGAGAACCAATACCGGTTGTATTTGGGATTTTTCCGGCCGCGCTTGGAGAGGTAGCCCGTTTTCATCGCCACGCTCGACTTTCTTGGAAGATACGCATAGAAACAGACATGTCCCTCGGTGACGTACATGTATCCATGCAACATCATACTTTGTAACAGCGAGCAGGCATATTCGACAAGGACTTTTTCTGGCTTCTCGAAGTCAAACATTTCCATCAACCTTAACGACAGTGACGGTGTAGTCGGTCGGGGTGGTCCATCTGTTTCATGATATTCTAATTTGGGAAGTGCGGATCGTGTGTTGGAGGACTTGGCGGTGTCAAAGCGAGCTTGTGCTTCGACCATCTGGCTGAGAATCGGTGCCCGTGGCGTTAGACTGCGATTCCGGCTTTGTGGTGACTCTGCTTTCTGCACGTCGGCAGGGGGAGCTCCATCTCCCCCCTTGCTGGAACGCCGGTCAAGCTCCAGGAGTGGCCTTAGGGATTTCTGGTCCAACATGTTCCTCCGAAAGCTACGGCCTCTGTCCTCAAAGACACTGCGTGTCAGATGCCTCTGACGGGCTGGGGGGTCATAATAAACACTCTTTGACGACGAAGCGGCGGTCGATGAAGGCGATCCGGTCTCTAGAAAAGGCACCTTTTTTGCGGGCTGGTCTTCCGTATCCCCATCACTTTCACTCGACTCGTCGAAGCGGGCATGGAAATCGGATCTCGAGCCGACAGCGGCAATCATTGAGAAAATCGACCGTTGCATATACTGCATCTGTGCCTCTCTGGAAATATTCCCTCTTGGGGGTGCTGTGAGATCGAGCTGGGCATCGTCGTTGCCGTCGTCGTCTTCGCCATTATTGGACGGCTCTGGTACAGGGTTGGAAGACATCAGGCTGGCGGATCTCAATCTTCTCGTAAGGCTAACCCTGCGGTCCGCACGCCGCTTCGCATTGTCGTGCTGCATTGTCGACAAGAACACCCCGAACTGCGAGAAGTACCAACTCGTTTCAAGATCAGGCAGCTAGAGACAGTGGCGGGGAAGGGGAGGGCCTAGAATGAACAAAGAGACAACGGGTTAGAAGGTTGATCAGAAGGATAACTCGCGCGACCAGACCACAAGAGAGCATATATCATCAGATGGAATAGCTCAGCAGGAGGTTCTAGGGTATTTAAAAAGTGAAAAGGGTCACAAAACAAAATTATAGGACAGGAGTCATCAGGGGAAATGATGCCACGCACAAACAACGGCCACGGGACGTCCACCGCGATCTCAAATATAGCCTGCGAGGCAGGCTACCTGTAGAAGGAAGACGGAACAGAAGGATCAAGACAAACGGAGGCCATCGGATTCCTCATCGGCCACGGGCTTTCCGTCTGCGCAAAGTTGCAAGGGAGATACGGCGTGCAGGACTCTTAGCAGAAACCACCAAGGGTGCGTACCTAAGGTTGTGCAGGCATCTCCCAGCGGACAAGAACCCTGGGCAACTGGTGGTGAGCGAGTCTGGCGTCACTTGCCTGTATCAGCTGTCCAGCTGCAAACAGGTGGGCCAATCACCCCTTGCGCATGTGATTCCAGGCTGAAGATTAGCCAATAAGCGGGCGGCAGCCTGGTATCCGCCCGAGCTTTGCTTATCGTGGTACTAGCGGTATCTGGTATTACGGTATGATACAGGAAAGTTATCTTACCTAACATTGTGGCCTCAGGCATCGGAAGTTACAGCTATGTAGTAAGTTAACTACTAACTAGTTATATAACTACTCCGTACCTAGGTAGGTACAATTTAAGAATCTCTATCATGCTAAAGAGGTAAATAGGCTGTTCCATCTATAATTCACTTTTGTATGCACAAAACATGGTATCTTGCTAGGATCACGCTGCCTTTTCGGCCTTCTTGCGCTTTTTATCTTTCCGTTCACTGGTCTCATCGCGGTTCTTCTTCAATTTCTTGGCCTTCTCATGCCCTCGCTCCTGGTCATTTGGCGCCCCGTTATCCTGGGATGAGGACTGCTTCTTCGATTTCTTTCGCGGCAGAGCGATTGGCTGAGACCCGTCTATCTCCGGGTGGGGGTGTTTACGCTTGCGCTCGTCGCCTTTGGGGACTTTGAATGTGGGCTGTTCGTCGTCTGCCTCGGACTCGGAACTCGACCCCAGGGTCTCTGGTGGTGCCGCGTGGCTCCCGACGGGGCGGAAGCGCATCTTCATGTGCTTGGGCTGTGCTCTCGGAGGCTTCACGCTGTCGCGGAGCGCCAGGATGGTCTTTTCGTCATGCTTGCCGTTCTGGATATTGGCGATTTCTTGAAGATGATAGCTGCGGATGTTGGTAGCTGAGGTGCTGGAATACGTTTGGGTTTTGGAATTGAAGAGAAGCAGAGTCTTTCCGTTCGCCTCGGGCTGAACCAGAGTCTCGGGCGGAATTCCGTAGCTGACACCCTCGTGCGTGATGACCGGTTCACCCGCCATGACCTTCGCCAGGGACACCTCTTTTATCTTTGCGATCGGAAGCGATGCTGGTGCCGTAATGTGAAGGATCTGCTTGCCGCGAAGGTTCGCGAGGAGGGATGAGACATTGGTCGAAGGAGAGACTTTCTTAACCGACTTGAATCCCGACGGAGGCTTAAAAGCTTGAGCAGGTGTGAGAGCTAATTTGGAGGACCTATAGCGTGGTTTATTGTTAGACCTAGTCAAATCGATAGACGAAGGCCAGGCTCACTTCGAGGGTCTCTTATTTGAACTGGTTTCATCCTCGCTCTCTTCACTGGAGCCTTCTGCTTCCGAACTCGATTCCGACGCCTCGCTCACAATCTCCGAGCTCTTCTTTTCCCTCGTGTCTTTTTTCGACTTTGCCTTCGAAACTTGCTCCGGAGAGCTCGATCTGCTCGACGAACTATCCGAATCGACGCTCATCTCTGATGTAGGAGCCATTGTATGCGAAGAGTCGCCGGCGCCTTGTTGTATTGCGCTATAGTAAAATCACCGAGTTGAAACCTTGCAATACAATTGATTCTGAGCAACACAATGAATCATTAACATCAACGTTGCTGCCTCGATCGCCTGGTCGCAAGAACAGCAGGCAGAATTCGTTCGCAGCTGTCGATAACAACTTTTTTTTCCTACTCCGCGGAGCACAGACCACCCGTCTCGCCGATACAGATTCTCAGTAAGGACGTCTTTTTTTCAACCCCCCAGCAGAGATAAATTATATTATGCTAAGCCTTGGTAGACAAGGCGGGCTCATTTGAATCGCCATGAAGAGAAAGGCAGAAAAACAGCAAGGCGCAGGTTGGTGAAAGATTTTCTTCTGTCCCGCGCAATGGGGAACTGACGATTTCTGAATGCAGCTCCAGTCAGTGCGTTCGCAGCGCGTAGGGCTCGACAGCAGGAGAGAGCAGATAATGCTGTAGTGACACCTCCGCGGCCTGTGGAGGCTGAGCCTGCTCGGGAACCGCCATCGAAGAAAGCTCGTCGGGCAGTTACGAAAGAGGAAGCAGCAGAGACTGCCGGGGAGGATGTCAAGCTTCAGATAAGCCGAGTGAGCAAGAAGCCGGCGACACGGGCGAGTGACCGTGTCATTGCAAAGAAGGGCCTTCAGTTCGCAGACGTGAAAAGTCGGGGGGTTAAGTCTATACCAGTTACAGCCGCTGCGGATCCAGTCAGTTCGAGCGACGAGTCGTCTGAGGAGCAAGATGGCACCGTTGAAGACAGCGGTTCCGTTGAAGCAGATGCGCTATTAGGTGACACAGAAGGGTATGGGAGTGTGCTCCTTCGAAGGCAGATATGTATACTGATGTGTCCAGATATGAGTCTCCGTCTAAGCCTGCAGAAGTTCAGAACTTCCCACTTTCCAAAGCTCCACTGAACAAAAGTTCGGTGGTCTACAGCGGTCCCGACACTGTCTGCATTCGTATAAAAGAAAAGATGGTAAGCTATATCCTTATGGTATTGAGAGACTGCCTACTAACGGAAGGATAGAACCTTGCGTTGCTTGGACAGTACGATCTGTGGGTCAAGCGAGGTGTCGTCAGTATAATGGGTGCCAAGCTACATCCTTCTCCTCGAGTATATCGGGTCTATGCCCCGTCGACACACTCCCTGCCAATCATCAAATGTGTGTCTGGGGTTGATGGTGAGGCCGAAGTTGAGATCAAGTCTTGCCAGAGCGGGCTTTATCGACTGAAGGACCTGTCCACCGTGTACCAGCGAATATGGAACAAGGATGCCACCGTCGCAGACAATCTTACACTGAAGGGACATTCAGGGAGCTTCCGTCGAAGCTTTTCTATTGTATGTGACTTGCGGAAACCTGTATATGCTGATCAGATTGCTAATTGACTACAGCTTCACACATCTGCGGACGATTCTTTGAAGAGACATCTTCGACCTCTGCATCTTGAAAAGAAATGGAGCACGAGTATCAAGGCTCTGTCCCAACGAGGCGGCGATCTGAAAGCACTCGTCTGCGGACCCAAGGCCTCTGGGAAATCTACTTTCAGCCGTTATCTTCTCAATCATCTGCTCAGCCCCGCTCCGCAGACAGAGACCGGACACAGCAATACCGATGGTGTCGCGTTCCTCGACTTGGACCCTGGGCAACCGGAATTTGCGCCAATGGGCCAAATCTACCTGGCGCACCTGCGATCACCCTTCTTCGGCCCTCCCTTTACGCATCCATCCTTGCATAATACACAAGACGGCAAGATCCTTCGCAGTCACTATATCGGAGCAACCTCGCCAAAAGAGGACCCAGATCACTATGTTCTTGCAGCAATGGACCTAATGGAGCAATATCGGTCTTTACTCGCCACGCATCCTCAGTGCCCGCTCATCATCAACTACCCCGGATGGATCTTTGGGCAGGGACTTGAGGTTGCGACCTGGCTGATCCGATCCCTGGGGCTTTCGGATGTCGTATACATGAGCGAGAAAGGGCCTGCGGAGGTTGTGGAACCGCTGCGACAAGCCGCCCGGGACGCCTCGACTTCTCTCACTACACTACCATCCCAGCCGACGGACTACGTGAGCCGTTCCAGCGCTCAACTGCGGGCGATGCAGATCCAGTCGTACTTTCACCAGTCGCACCCTGTAAAGCTACAAAACCCGGTCTGGCAGGCGACCTCGATGTCTCGCACCCGGCCCGTGCGTGTTGACTACGCGGGGCCACGACCGGGCATCCTCGGCGTCATGGTCATGGGCTCTCGGATCGACGCAACCTTGCTGCATGAGCTAGTCGAGGGGTCGATTGTTGGGGTTGTTGCAGTCGAATCCAGCACCGCACTCGTGGGCGAGGAGGCTCAAGAGGCCCATCTTGACCCGGACGATGTCCACATGGATGATTGCGACGCCGACAACGACGAGGATTCACCTTGCATGACTACAAACCCCCCTACTTTGGAGTCCCATACCATCCGCGCCTCTCCCAATAGCGTCCCTTATATCTTCTCTGGGTCTGGAAGCTGCAATCCGCTGGACCCGCGCGCGTCTCGCTGTCTCGGTCTCGCATATGTACGCTCCATCGACCGTAACCGTCGTCAGATGGAGCTGATCACCCCGATCCCGCCCTCGACGATCCGCGACGCCCTCGAACACGGTGCCACCGGCATCGTGCTTGTGTGCGGACAGTTGGACAGTCCCAGCTGGGCCGTGAGCGAGGAGTACCATTCCGCACGGGCCGCCGAGAAGCGGTTCCAGCGGAGTCTGAACAGTATAAAGAACAAGGGTCGGAAAGGAAATTCGGCTGCTGCTGCTGCTGCTGCTGCTGCTACTGCTAGAGTGGGGGGGAAACCCGATCCTGTGGCCGTCACGGCGCTTCGAGAACGGGTCCGCCATGCAAGCCATGGGCCTTGGATGACTGTCGTCGAGGACACGAGGACTGCTGGACGGGAGCAGGCGTTGTGGAAGCTACGAAAGCTTGCATATGTAGATAGCGAGAGCGAGACATAGTACTATATACTCCGTACTACAAGTACGATTATGATGTTTCACATTAATTATCTGGCTGTCTCGCATTAGTAGTATTTTACCTACTACCTAGTTACTGCCTAGGTACCTAAGTAACCACCACTACTAGAGTAATCCTTCAGGTCTGGATAGCCGACACGGAAATACGGCGAATATTCTGATGGAGTACTGTACTAGGTACGGACTCTTCGGAGTACCGATTCTACCGAGCAGGAGTAGACACGAGACAGTAAATATCTCATCTCACCGGAATCTTTCTCCGTAGAACTAGTAGCTACTAGTTGACTATTAACTAGTTGACTAGTTGGTGGTGGTAGGATACTAGGAAACCCCTTGGGCAGCGAAGCGAAACCGAAAGAAATCGTAATCGTATTGATTGGATCATGTGATGTGATTGGGCAGATTGCCAGATACGCAATACACACTGACGCAATCACGCACGCTTCCGAGATAGGCTAGTGCACATGTGACTACAGCAAGACGGTTAGTAAGCAGGCAGCATCAACCTCCTTCCCGTTTAACTAGTAATCGATGTACTCCGTAGAGTCAAGCTGGCTGTTACTCTATTGCTACTACTACGGAGTACATATGGGCAAGTATTCGGGACAGGGATTTCTAGCCTCTCCCCCTCTCAATCCAAGGCGAGAGCTACAAGGGAACCTCGCACTGACAGGACTCCGCAGAATTGAGTTCTTCTATCGTTCCACCATGCTTCCATATCCCGCAGACTAAAACTAGCAGAAAGACTAGCAGGTCCATCGATCGGCACGACTGATTATAAGAACATCAGGGTATCTAGTTAATAGATTATAGATAAATTATAAATTTATAATATATATATATATATATAATATACATATACAAATATGTATCATATATATAACGATATATGTATATGTATTTAAATACGTTTATCCGTCGGCAAGGCCAGCGGATCCGTTTCCGATCGCAGCGTCCGGTTTGTAATCGGGCTGGATTCATTCACCCGACAACCTCCACCGAGTCCACTTCTTCGCTCCAGGCTCAGGCAGACGGCCGTTTTCCCAGCTTTCCTGCACTGCAGTCGATTCCTCTTCTCATTATTTGTCCAGCGCTCGCTCTCTTGCCCTGCACACCATCCTGGGCCCTGCGTCTGTCTTGCCACACCGGTCTGCCCATCCCCTTGTCTCCTCTCTCCACGTCAGAAGCATGTGTCGCCAGAATGGCCTAGACTGCGTATTGTCCTCGAGATACTAAAATGGATTTTATCGTGAGTTCTTGTCTGTACCACGAAAAAAAAAAGAGAGAAACGAACAAGCAACAAAGAACGAAACTAAAGACAATAATCCCATTTAGCTCTCGTTGACGCATTTCTGTGAGGTGCATGGTCCCACCTCCATCATCTGTTCCCAAGTCCTGCCCTTTGCCTGCGCGCAATGCTATCCTGAGAACGCCGACGTCGGTACGCCGGACGAGACCCCCGCGACTTCTTCCCAGGACGAGTGCGTCTTCCCACAGGACTCCCCTCGATCCGGACAGCAGGGAGGAGAGACTAAGTCGATCGGAACCCCTACCAAGATCGAGGAATATCCTTTCTTCCTTAAACAGCAGCAGCAGCAACAACAACAACAACAACAACAACAACAACAACAATACCAGTCTCCCGCAGAAACCGAGCGGCAAAATCGCTTTGGTGGCACTGATGGTGATACTTGCGCCAGTTGTAGTCTGACTTTGCCTGAAGATGTGAGCAGACAACTCCCGCCGGGTGCCCCAGGCACAACCAAACGTGACGGCAAGGGCAAGAACGGGAGTCCTGTTCTGCGGTCGCGTGGTGTCGTCTACTCGTGCGGTAATCACTACAGCCACTCCTCCCCCGACGTGGAGAATACTACCGACGGACATGACGGACACTCGCACGCGTCCTTCCCAGACTCCATCCAGTCGCAGTCGTCAGCGGTCGCCTCCTCCGACAATCCCTGCCATACCCACATCCTGACCTATCTTTCCCTGCGGGGACCCCCCAACCCGGCCGACTATGCACTACTCCGCCGCTCCTCGATCCGGACCCTCAGCTGCGAGCTGCTACCTCGCGGTCTGTCGTCCGGCCCGCTGTGCTTCGGGGACTCCGTGGCTGGTTACACCATCGCGTACATCTTCCGCCTCCCGGACCCGATGGCTCGCGGTAAGCGACGCAGCTACGCGCTCGTTGCATTGGCGGGCAAGGACGCCGGTCGCGCGTTCCGCGCCTGTCCGATCATCTGGCGCGCGTTCGGTCGCATCGCTACGGGGATCGTCAACGCCGCCCAGAACTTCCAGGAGGAAGAGAAGCAGCGCGAGGAGCGCGCGCAGGAGCAAAAGCGCGCCACCGCTACCGGCCTGGGGGGCCGTCAGTATACGCCCGTCTCTTCCTTCCTGACCGGCCGCACTGTCGACCCGGACGGCCAGCCCCGCCGCGCCGGTCAGATCCGTGCTCGCAACCTGGCCGAGATTGTCGGCAACGAGTACATCTTCACCGAGATCCACGCGCACTTTGTCGCCCTCCTGCAGCAGCTCGGGTCGTTGTTCGGCGGAATCCCCGTCTCCGAGGAGCGGTTCATCTGCAGCATCGTCAAAGACAATGACGGTGAACAACAACAACAACAACAACAGCCTGTGACCTCTTCCACCAACTCCTCTTCCTCTTTCAGGCGCCCATCTCTGTCCACCGCCAAGGAAGTTGCCCAAGGCAGCAAATCACATGCTAGCCGTGTACGTGACGGTCCTGATCGTGGCCTATCCGCCGCTCTTGAGATGGCACCACCCCCTCGGCCTATTCCGATCGCGCCGCGGCGGCCGGTAATTGCATAAACCTCGGGTGTTTCACTTTTTCTTCTTTTTCATTAATTTTTAAAAAAAAAAAGAAACAAAAAGTGTTTCACCTGAGTCATTTCCTTTCCCTTGGAAAATGTCTCACCTTAATCAAACCTACAGAAGAATCCATAAGACATTCTTCTATCACAGTCAATCTTTATCTCGACCATCACATTCAACCCATAGACTTTGGCGTCTTCAGAAGGCATGGAGTTTAGTTTACTTCCTCACTTTTTCTTTCCTCTTTCTCCTCTTACCTTTTTTTTTTTCCTTTCTCTTTTTCTTCCTTTTCTCCGCCTCTTTCTTCCTCCTCATGTTTTGATGGCTTTATGTTCCTCTTCTTGTCCCTGAGCGTGGTTTGTACTATGGCGGTTGGCGTTCTTGATATCAACTTGGTGGGCATCGACATTGTTTATGTATTCTGTATTCTAGAGATGATTTTGCTGGTTCGGCCATACTTTGATATATCTTCTTCGAAATGACTACCTAAGTTATACCTATTGACTTTATGGCTTTACATCTCAGCTTGTTATGTGTAGAGTGTAGATGGATGATAAACTGATTCTATAGATAGCTATAAGTACTACGTGATACTTGCCATGGATAATAATAATTAGAAGCTGTAGTCATAGTAAAATCGTATATATACACACTTGTTCCCTCTTGGTATAATTAAGTACCTTGTTTATATGCTTGTCACTGCTACGATAGATAATAGCAACCCCAGTCCCTTAAATGGACTCGTTACTAGGGAAGGGCAGGTTACCAGGGTATGTTCAATACCTATTCTCTAGATAGGGGTACACTGTAGTACGGAGTAGGCTGCATGACAAGGATGTGCCGATAGTTTAACAGCAAGCTGCGCACCGTTGCTTAGCGTCTCTTCTATCCCTGTAGGCTTTTAAGATAAGAGGTTCTATCTCTGCGGAGTATCTTCTCGCAAAGGTTCTGAGACAGCGTGGAGGGGGGGGTGGGGGGATGCTTTCATCTTTAACTTCTATAATGTATGATAGTGAACTGGATATTACTCCTGACTCACTGGAGAATATAGCAGCTGCGCTGCTTTATATACGTAGATATTGTCGAGTCCTTGTATTTGAAAGACTGTTCATTTCTAGCATCGAATCCTAGTCACGTATCTATCGGCGTGCCTTGTCCTGCTCAAAGTCCTCCTTGACTTGCTTCGCAAATGCATCATCGATCAGGACCCGCAGCCCTGCGACGGCCATCCCCTTGGCCACTCCCATCGTCACCTCATGGGCCTCGGGGGTTTTGGCGGCATCACGGAAACCCTCGGTGTGCATCGCCACTCCCTTTTCGGCGGGAATAAAGAAATGTCCATGGAGGGATGGGACGTCGTAGCTCACGTTGCCTGGGGGTTTTTTTTCCGCCGTCAGATAACTGTATCGAGACTTGGCTAAATCGGGGGAAGGAAACATACCCATATCTGTGCTGAAAAGACCGACATCCTTATTTTGCAAGTCGCAGAGATATTCTCGGCCACAGGAGCCCATATAACGGGCGAATTCCTGAGCCAGACTCTCATTTGGTCGGATATCAGCATAAGGATCCATTCTAATAGAGATTAGCCTTGCAACTGAAACCCTAGATTGAAGGGGAAATGATAAAAAAAAAGAACTTACGCTGCCACAAAATTGACCGAACAGCCTGTGGCAAGGGCCGCTCCATTGAAGCAGTTCTCGACCCGGGTGCGCAGGGCATTCATCTCACGGGCAGTCTCGGATCGCACGCTGACGCGGACCCTGCTCTTCTCAGGGATCACGTTATGGGCGGTGCCACCTTCCGGAACGATGATGTTGATGCGCTCTGTGGGCTTGATCTGCTGGCGAAGCATCCCTATCGCAGAATAGGACAATGCAGCCGCGTCCATGGCATTTACCCCCGCCCAGGGCATCTGAGCAGCATGGGCGGGCGTGCCGGTGAAATGAGCCTCGAACCCCACGGCCGCCAGACAGGTCGCGTACGACACACCGGCCATTGTAGCGGGCAGATGGGCAAAGGCCGGGGTGGGATGACTCATCAGGGAGACATCCACGTCGGCAAAGGCGCCTGCCTCCAACAACCTGATCTTTCCGGAGCCTCCTTCCTCTGCTGGAGTGCCCAGCAGTCGCAGGCGGCCGGGCTGGTTGGGAGTCGCCTTCAGGGCGGCCACGGCGCCTAGAAATGCGGCAATAGAGGAGACGGCAATCAGGTTATGGCCGCATCCGTGGCCGATAACGGGCAGGGCATCGTATTCCACACAGAACGTCACCACTCGGCCCCCCTGGCCATATTCAGTGGAAAAGGCCGTCTCCAGGCCAAAGGCATGAGGCGTGACGGTCAGACCAGTGCTCTCTAGGTATTTGACGATGTTATCGTGTGCCTGGACCTCAAGATAGCAGGTCTCTGGGTTTTCGTGGATCTATCTTCCCAGATTAATATGAAATAAAATAGAAAAAAAAAACGAAGCCGATGCTAGATTTCTTCATTGTCTTCTAACCTTTAAGCTGAGCTCGCGCATCTCCGAGGAGGCATGATCGATGGCCTGGGAGATCACCTCCTCCTGCTTGCTGAAGTTCGCCGCCATCTTGTTTGGCGACAGTCTTTCGAGATACCACTCAAGAGATGACGTGCTTTCGCCTGACAGTCACAACATCAACGACCTTTCTGCCTTTTTAACTAGTTAACTGGTGTGATCCACCTACTTTCAATTCCTTTTGTCCGACTAGAAGCCAAAGGGATGGTATGTTCGGCGTTGGATATTCCTTGCTTAGAGGTTAGTACAAAGTACAGAGTCGTCCCGCGGAAGGCTAAACAGCTCGCTTAAATGAAAAGGCATCTAGGATTGGCGACGGACACCTTTTAATAGCCAAGGATAAGCTAGTTGGCTTGTTCGGTGATTGAATGATTGGTTGAGTTAGTATCGAATTTCTCCACAAACGCGTGGGGAATCGTAATCTATATCAAAGTGATTTGGTAGAAGGAAGTTAGTTCTACATACGCATACATCCCTTTAGCGAGGAAGAAGGCCATGCGGTTGGGGTAGTTAGCTCTTGCGAGGAATACTTGTAGATAAATAGAATACTGTACTGCTCCTGTTGGTGATCACTTAACTCATCAACCATTCAATCGCCCGATCCAATTCGCTAGACACATTGAACTCTTGAGCCACGACCATGGACGACTCAAAGTCCAAGGACCCCAGAGGCCCTGAGAATTTGGAACTGGAACAGGCACATTCAATTGAAGGCGGCCAAGTGTCCAGCAAGCCAGAGTTGAGAAGTGGGCCAGTGGACAAAGGCCTCCTGAGAAGAATTGATATTCGGTAGGGGATGCTTCGCTGCCTGTTTCTTCCATACTCTGATCAATACCCCTTGGATAGAATTATGCCTTTGCTGGTCGTTAGCTATATGCTGCAGTACATGGACAAGGTTTCCTTGTCCAATGCAATGGTTATGGGCATCACTACTGACTTGGTCCGTTTCGGTCTCGCCTGGAAGATGGGAGGGGAGGGGGGGCACTGACATTGACAGGGCCTCCATGGAACCGAGTCCTCTTGGCTGAGTAGCATGTTTTATCTCGGTTACCTGGCTGCCAGCTACCCCGTTTCCATCTTGCTGGTTCGCTTTCCGTTGGGGAGGACGCTGGCCGTAGCGATGTGGGTCCTCCTATCTCCCCTTTCCTCTCCAGAAGATCGAGAGAACGTTCTGGCTGCTGAATCATTCGACGTAGTGTCCTCTGGGGTATTGTTCTAGCCTGCCATGCAGCTGCTTCCACCTTCACCGGCATGATGGTGACCCGGACACTCCTGGGGGTGCTGGAGAGCCCTATCAGCCCGGGATTTACCCTGATCACTAGCATGTGGTACCAGCCATCAGAGCATGCGGCCCGGCACGGCCTCTGGTATGCCGGTAACTCAATGGGGGCCAGCGTCGGCTCGTTGATCGCCTTCGGCTGTGCTCATCTCCAGAATGGCACCCTGTCCCGTTGGCAGGTCCTCTTCCTCATCCTGGGATGTATGACTGTTGTCTGGGGTGCGGCTCTCTTGATGTTGCTCCCGGATTCTCCGCTGACGGCCAAGTTCCTTCGGGCAGAGGAGCGACTGGCGCTGGAGGGGCGGGTCCAGGCGCGCCAGAAGACCAGCAAGACCAACAAGTGGTCCCGCCAGCAGTTTTGGGAGGCCCTGACAGATCCCAAAAGCTGGTTCCTCTTCTGGATCGAGGGCACGGGCTGCCTGACGAACGGAGTGTTGTCAAACGTAAGTCACTGCAGCTGCAGCCCCCCCCAGGTCCCCCCTGAACGCTAAACCGTATGCAATAGTCGCATCCCTCTAATCAGGTGACCACAGTTTAGCTCTTTGATCCTCGCCAGCTTTGGCTTCACCACCTTGACCACCCTGCTGCTCAACCTGCCCATCTACTTCTTCCAGTTCAGCGTCGTCCTCGGCTCGGTCTGGCTAGCCCACCGGACCCCCCGGTCCCGAATCATACTTACAGTCGTCGGGAACCTAGTTGCCCTGATCGGGGCGGTAGTTTTGTTGAAGTTGCCTTCCTCAAATAAAGGCGGTCGATATGTGTCTCTGCTGCTGATGAACGCCTCCATCAATGGGTTCCCTCTCTATCTCAGCCTCATCTCCAGCAATGTCGGTGGGTTTACCAAGCGAGCTACCGTCAACGCCATCTTCTTCGTTGGGTACTGTGCCGGTAACGTTGCCGGGCCACAGCTCTATATTCCCGCGGAGGCGCCAAAATACACGGTATTCTTTTCTCCCCTCTTCCCTTCTTCTTTCTCTTTCCTTCTTTTGATGCTTATTAAGTGGTCTATATAGACAGCTTTTACATCCATGATGGTCATCTTCGCCGTCGACGCAGTTCTCCTGCTGCTGTTCCGCGTCTATCTAGATCAGGCCAACAAGAAGCGGGATCGTGAACAAGGCATCTATATCAACCCGGAGCCTAAGGATGGTGAAGTCATTAACGCCGCCCCCTCGTCCGGTCGAGGGCATGATGACCTAGAAATCGAAGAGCCGGCTGATCAAACGGACTGGGAGAACCGGAGCTTCCGCTATTACTTGTAGGGTGGCACGGAGGACGCCCACCATGCCGAGCGACCAGCTCTGTAGTCAAGTATAGTATATCGAGGTGACTAGCTATTCGCTCCTGTCTGATGTATTGTCTGGAATGTCTTGTTATAGATAAATTTTGGAAGTACCGAAAGAAAAGCTGTCTGGAGTCTATATTATATAGTTACCCCCGAAAATCTGTTCTCTACCAACTAGTTAAATCTACCATCGATAGGGTCAGAGATACCACTAGCTCAATAATGTCAGTCCTTACCTCGATCATCAACCCAGACAGACCAATACCTATTATAGCTATGAGATGACGATTGATTGTAATAGAACAAAAATCAACATGATATCAAGTTCAATCACCGAGAACCCCCACATAGTGCGGGGTTGGGTTTTAGGGCGCCAAAGCCGAAATCAATCGCCGGTTACATCAACCCTAAACTCGCTTGGAAGTATGTAGTATGACTATGTAACTAGTGAGTATGTAAGTAACTAACTAGTAACTAGCTAGTTAGTTAGTGGTAGCCTGTTAGTGCCTTGTCTCATAAGAAGTGCTGCGTAAGCTGTAGCTTAATTTATACAAGAGCCAAAGTAGTACTGTGTAGTAGATCAGACTGCGCAATGCTAAGACATCCCCACCCATTCAGATTCCACGGTGATCAATACTGATATCTTGGCTCTTTTTTCCCGCCATCAATGCTCTCCAACAGTGCCCCTCAGTTGTTGAATAATGCGAGCTCGAGCTGCAGAAGATTGTGTTTCAGGTTGGAGGTTCACCTGAACCTAGGTAAGACAAGTTGGCACGTCATATCCTTGTCCATTACTCCATTACGGAATTGAAGACGCGGATGGAAAAGGCTATCATCCACTGGCATGTCAAGGCAAAGTCAGGTACAGCCTTATGACCACAATACCATAATCCAATATGAAGAAATCGCTAGCAGAGCCGTTGTGACCCTAATATCTGCTTGGTGCAGATGGAATCCACCGCCAAGAGATGCAGCTTGTGTCGAGGCAGCTAGCGAGATAGTTCCCCTTCTCAGACAGGAAATCAATCATTTTTGCTCTCGTCGCTTTCCCATCGCTTAAGAGTATAGGAGCCGGTCATAGTTCTGTTTTCTCTTTGTGAAAAAAACTCGTTCACACAACTCCCAATCGTTTGTAGCTCATCAATGCCCTTGTTCATATCCTGATTGATGGTATGCAAGTGTTATCCTTGGACCTAGATACACCGTCAAGGGCCTGTGGAAGATGATAGGAGTCAAGGGAAGCTTGGTCCTGCTTGATACAGGATGGTGATGCCCAATTCCAGGCTAAACCTAACTAGGAATATATTGTCATGTGATCTACATTACAGCCTAACCCTGCTCAGGAGACAGTCATCAAATCCTCCCGCCGGAGAAACATGCCGTTATGGGACTTGACCTCCGGCGCAGCACACACGGGAAACACGACGAAAAAACCCACCAAAAAGGCGATCCAAGACCCCATTCTCGAACAGCCCAGTGCGCCATTCGTCGTTCTCGATACCATCCCTCCTTCAACCCGGCCCTTCCTTTGCGCCCCGACATTTCATATTTTTCTTGACGACAGAATAGACAGAATGGTTGCCTTCGACAAGTGCGATACGCGGCCGGCACATATCGATGCCATCCTGAATGGCCTCGACCGATACAACCCGGAGACCACGACCGTGTTCCAGGATTATGTTGCTCAGCAGTGCGAGGATCGGACGTTTGATTGCTATGCCAACCTGGCTTTACTGAAACTGTAAGTGGTCCTGGTTTTGTGGTGTCCGTCATTTCCAAAATCCCCAGGTGGGATGGCCGGATTGTTTAAATGATGAACAAACTTCTATCAATACACGTTTCCTATTACCTGATACCCGCAAATTGGGCTTATGGTGAACTTTTCGAATGTTCCTGAGAATGGCTAGCGATGATCACATTTTTGCGAGGGGTTAAAATAGGTGTCTACTGGATGATCAGATTGCTAACCCGTCTGGCGTACGTCTGTCGCTGCTTAGCTACCAATTCAACCCCCACCTCCTTCAACCCGAGACCGTGACCAACATCCTGGCCAAGGCTCTGACTGTTTTCCCCTCACCAGCCTTCTCGCTCTGCCTCGCCTTGCTCCCCGCACATACTCAGCCCTTCCCCTCGGCTGCCAACGCGGAAGCCCAACCGGCCTCGGACTTTGTTGAGTCGATTCAGAAGCTGACCAGCTTGTCCACCCTCCTTGAGTCCGCCCAGTATGCCCAGTTCTGGTCGACGTTCAACTCGGACGACCTATATGCCGACCTGGTAGCCGACGTGGCTGGGTTCGAAGAGCTGGTGCGCATCCGCATCGCCGTCGAGGTCGGCAAGACCTTCCGTGAGATCAGCGCCGAGGTCCTCGAGCAATGGCTCGACATCCGCAACCGCGAGACCCTTGAGAAGTTCGTCGCCGATGTGTGCAGCTGGGAGGTGCAGAAGTCCGGCGCTGCTATCACCGTCAAGGTCCCCACGAACAAGGAGAACGAGGCGCGCAGCGAAGTCAAGAGCGAGCGTGTGGGCATGGAGATGTTTGGCCGCGTTATCCGCAGGGGATTTGAACAGCCTGTTTGAACAAAGCTCGCCCCGGTGAAAACTCAGAAAAAAAAAAGAGAAAAAGAAAAGTCATGAATTATCTCTTCGAACCCATTTCAGTCTTCCAGCGACCATACCACAAGTCGTTGTGTTGTCATGTTTCCCTCCTGGCTTTTCCTCTTCTGACCTTGTCTATATCCAGACCACCAAGTATGAGAGAGCCACCAGTGATGACGAGGTAGAATAACAAACCTACCTTTATAACCTAGCATGGAACCTCAGGGTTGTGATGTCCGGACCCGGCGCATTTGGCGTTGTACCTAGTCAATTTACTAGATTTTTTCCTAAAAAACCCACGATAAAAAAATAGAAAAAAGTCAAGAGTCTACTTCTACCTTAAGATTAACTCAATTGACCTGACGGGTACGACAAGGTCGAAGTGTTTCCAGAGCCAGATTAAGTAGCTATACATTTTCCACTTGAGCAGAGTAGAAGGGTTATCTATAGGATATCTATTCAAGTGAATCTGGTTTACGGACGGAGGCCAGTTTCATGATATATACATTCCAATGCTATGTCCTCATTTCTGCTAAACCACAGAAGGTAGAACTTGAAGGAAGGAGGCTCGAAATTATTTGGCCTCCTCCCATTGCACACCGGTCCATTCCTCGCGCCATCCCACCGCGTGGAGTTGATCAGGACCGCAGTTCTTCCCACAGACCCCCAGGATGATCGTGCCCCATTCCATACCCGTGTCCTCTTTCGCGCCTAGTCCGAGACCTTCGCGGCCTTCCTCGAGCATGCTGATGGCATGCGGCACGAGCTGCAGCTCGAAAACTCGTTCGTGGCCGCAGTGCTCGCATCGAGGGATCCGGTTTGCATAACTGGACGTAGTGGTTACACGAGCTCCACCGGGGCCAGCAGCGCCTTTGTTATCGTGTAGACGCTTCCCGACCTCATCTGTACGAGAGTAGAGGAGGGCGGAACCGCGGAACTCATACCGGAGGACCTGCTCAGGGTTGTGAGACAGACGGGTCGAGAAGCGAATAAATGCTTTGTCGAGATCAGATTCAAATGTGTCTTTCAAGTCAGCACTCGCGCCTGCGCTTCCGTCGTCTTCCTCCATGGCTTCCACAGTGACGTTCTCCGGTATCGTGGGGGTAGATGGTCGAGAGATAGTTTCATACTCTGCGTCCAGGTAGTAGTGAGGGTATGGTTTGGGGAAATCCGACTGCGCAGGCCAGGGAAGCTGTGGTCCATCGGTTTCCGGGGCCTTGGTGGTAGGAGGGGGCGAGGAGACCCGGACCTTATCGGCAAAGCTCTCGGCCAAAGTCGCTGGAGTGGCCGGGACAGACTCTGGCTTGAATAGCTGCGTCGGTGGAAGCGTATTTGCAGTCGAGGAAGGCGCAGCAAACGGATTTGTGGGTGCTGCGCTTGACGTCGAAGAAGAAAACGGGTTCACATTTGAAGACAACCCTCCAGTCAATGGAGAAGCTCCGAACAGACTCGCGCCAATATCCTGCTTAGGAGGGGCTGGCTGAGTTTCCTGGCTTCTCTGGCTTTCACCTTCGGCCTTCTTGTCTTGCTGGCTGGCTTTGGACCGGGTGCTATCGGCTTTCAGCTTTCGTGTCGCACGCAAGGCTCTAATGCTACCCGGCTTCTTGTTGCATGCCTTCCTGGGGCACCCGAAAATATATAAGCGTCGTTCATCATTTGGAAAGTTCTCAGGGAGGTCGCCATTCAACTCCAGAAGAAGAATCATGGGCTGGTTGCAAACTTTGCAGTTGGCGAATTTGCCTGGCGGCGGGGTCTTATCGTCAAGCCATGTCTATGGGCAGATGGTCAGCCCGCAAGATCAAAAGAAGCTCCGGTAGATGGTTGCAGTCACATACCGGCCAGCCTCCAAGGTGGCTGACAGAGTCATCCAGAACCTCTTCTGAGGCATACCCCAGGAGGACCCCAGTCTCCGTGTAGTCCCCCTCATCCTCCAAACCAGACGAATCGCTGTCGTACGGATCCATCGTCGGTGCTGCTGAATAAAACGAAACACTAGATCTGATAATAAATCGAACACTTTCAACGTATAGTGTAGAATTTCTGGCTCTCTTATCAATCAGTGCCTGCAATTATGATCTGAGTCGTCCTCAATCGTTATGCCCCTCCAGAAAAATAAAATATCGATAAGCGATACGAGCAGCTGGTGTCTAGCCAAATATGTACTAGTGCAGATATGATACTAAGGCTAACCTCTTTTGTTGCTTATGAAATCATATGTGCTGTCGGACCAGGTGAGACTGATCGACTCACCATCTGATTTATGTGAAGAGCGAACGTGAGATTCCAGTTAATATCGGGCTGGCTATACTGTCTGTCTCTTGTTTGAAATATATACCTGACTCTATCCTGGAGACACCCTCGAGGCCTGGTTATATATGGTGTGACGTACTAATTCACCTCGGCCAGTGCTAAGACGTCGTGGATACCGAACCTTCTATATGATATAGCACTTCTGATAAAGGGCACAAGAAACCATCCTTCTAAAGAGATGAATTCAATACTCTTGGTTCTTTACTATGGCTGGATACTCTCTCTGGCAACCCTCATCAACGGTTACGAGCAGAAACCCCTTGGTGCCACCCGAGCCCCCTTGAAAAGGGTTGCAATCATAGGTGGAGATCTTCTCCATTATCAAGCAGCGTTATAGCTGACCAACTTTTCCAGGAGCTGGAGCTGGAGGCTCTTCTAGTGCATACAATCTGCGGAAATACGCAGATCAATCGTTGTTGGACGTCAACATAACTGTGTTCGAACGTGCATCGTATGTTGGCGGTCGGTCGACCACAGTCAACGTCTTCGATGATCCAGCATATCCAATTGAACTTGGCGCGTCTATTTTTGTCTCTGTCAACCATAACCTTGTCAATGCATCCCGGGAGCTCGGTCTCATGGTCAAAGGCGCCGGTGAAGATCGGCCCGGAGAGTCCGAAGAGACGATCGGCATCTGGGACGGCAAGCGGTTCGTGTACATTCTGTCCGACTCGCTGAGCTGGTGGAATATCGCCAAACTAGTTTGGCGGTACGGGCTAGCGCCTGTACGCGCCCAGACTCTGATGAAGACGACTGTCGGCAAATTCCTCAGGCTCTATGAAGAGCCTCTTTTCCCATTCAAGTCACTGACCGCTGCGGCGGCTGAAGTCGGTCTGCTAGATACCACATCCGTCACTGGCGAAGTCTTTCTGGAGGAAAACAGTGTCTCGCCAAAATTCTCCAGGGAGATCATACAGGCGAGCACACGGGTCAATTATGGCCAGAACTTACCCGTGATTCATGGCCTGGAAGCCATGGTTTGCATGGCTACTGACGGTGCCATGGCTATCCAAGGGGGGAATTGGCAAATCTTCGCCGGGATGCTGAGTGCATCTGAAGCCAATGTCCGGTTGGAGAGCACGGTCCGGTCGATAGACCGTAACGACGACGGCACTTTGACCATCACATCAACAAGCGCTGGATCCGACATGGAAACGGATGTCTTCGACGAGGTTGTCATAGCTGGTCCATTGCAGGACTCTGGCATTTCCATCTCCCCACCCCCAGAACGTATTCCAGACGAAATCCCTTACGTGGAGCTTTATGTGACGCTGTTCTCCTCCCCCCACCGATTGTCGCCCAAATACTTCGATCTTGCAGGCTCTGGTAAAACCGTCGTTCCTGAAACCGTCTTGACAACACTTCCAGAGGACTCAAATCTGCCGCCATCACAGTCGGGCGTCGGACCAGCCGGATTCTGGAGTATCAGCACGCTGCGAACTGTAAACTCACCGGGGTCTGCTTCGAGTCCCGCAAAACACTACGTATATAAAATCTTTTCCCCGCAACGCGTGACAGCCAAGTTTGTCTCTCAAATCCTGGGGCTTGAAGAAGAAGAAAAAGAGGGGAGAGATAGCACTGTATTCGCGGATAACTCATCGATTGAGGACCTCCCAAAACACCACATCAGTTGGTTCCATGAGAAGATCTGGAACCCCTATCCGGTTCTCCACCCGCGCGTTACCTTCGAGGAAGCTGTCCTCGCACCGAATATGTGGTACACGAGCGGGATGGAGAGTTTTATTTCAACCATGGAGACCAGCGCGCTAATGGGTAAAAATGTCGCTGCTCTGATGTTCCAATCATGGTTTGGAGGCGAGGCAGAATATGACGGGAGTCAGACTTTTTGGGAGAAGTCTGGCATCTGAAGATGTTGATCAAGCCTTTGATAAAGGCCGTCTTATTCTGAGAAACAGACCAAAGGGGAATCTTTAGGATAGTCAGGAGCCATGGTAAGATTAGGGTTAGGTATGGTCCATTGGAAGATGCCTTCATTGGACAACTACCTAGTCATTTCTGAGTAATATAACAATATAAACCAAAACAAATAAAAAAAATACCCGGCAACCCTGCCGCCAGATTGGTAATGTTGAAGACTTTTGCCATCGCTGTTGAATTGCATGCTGTTCGTATATCCATATCCCATGACCCGCGTAAGGTTGAAAAGCAGACCTATATGAAAACCCCATTGAACGCACTTTCCATTGTTTCTTTAATTTATCTGGCAATCAGGCCATGCCCAGAAGATGTTGAAAGATGTTGAAGTTAAAGAGTTCAAGGAAAAAGAAAAAGAAAAAGAAATTAAAAGAGAGATTATTGTTTAGAAATTTTAATCTAAACTGGGAGAGGGAAGGTGCTGGCCCATCCGGCGATCTCCTTGCGGAGAGCCAGAATCTCAGGCACGGACTCAGAGGCAACCTTGGCCTTGAAGTCCTTGAGCTTGTTGGCCTCCTTGGGCAGCTGGCTCTGAACATCCTTGCAGATGGTGATGGACTTGTCAATGTACTGAGCAATGCGCTTGAAGTCCTCCTCTCCCATACCACGGGAAGTCATGGCGGGAGCACCAATACGGATACCGCAGGGGGTCAGGGCAGACTTGTCGCCAGGGATCGAGTTCTTGTTGCAGGCAATGTTGATCTGCTCCAGGACGGCCTCAACACGAGCACCATCCAGGCTCTTAGGGCGGAGATCCAACAGCACCATGTGGCTGTCAGTGCCGTCAGAGACAAGCTTGTAGCCCAGCTGCTTGAATTCGGTCTCGAGAGCCTTGGCGTTCTTGAGAACCTGCTCCTGGTACTGTCTGAACTCGGGGGTGGCAGCCTGCTTGAGGGCAACAGCCAAAGCGGTGATAGTGTGGTTGTGGGGACCACCCTGGTGACCGGGGAAGACCGAGAAGTTGATGGGACCCTCAAGGTCGTACATGATCTCCTTGCCAGACTTATCGGTGCTGCGGACACCCTTGCGGAAGAAGATCATGGCACCACGGGGTCCACGCAGGGACTTGTGGGTGGTGGTGGTCACCACATCAGCGTACTCGAAGGGAGAGGGAATAACACCGGCAGCGATCAGACCGGAGATGTGGGCCATGTCGACGATGAGGTAGGCACCGACCTTGTCGGCGATCTTACGCATGCGAGCGTAGTCGATCAGACGGCAGTACGCGGAGGTACCGGCAACGAGGCACTTGGGGCGGTAGAGCTCAGCATTGGCCTCAAGAGTGTCGTAGTCGATGATGCCAGTCTCCAGGTTGACACGGTAGGGGAAGGTCTCGAAGTAAGTGGAGACAGCAGAGATCTTTCTCTGGGGGGTCTGGTAGCCGTGGCTCAGATGGCCACCGTGAGGAAGATCCAGACCCATGAGACGGTCATGGGGGCGCATCAAGGCCTGGTAAACCTGCAGGTTGGCAGGGCTACCACTCAGGCACTGGACATTGACACCCCACTTGGCGGGGTCGAGGTTGAAAGCCTTCAGGGCACGAGCCTGGCAGGTGAGCTCAATAGCATCGATGTGCTGGTTGCCACCGTAGTAACGAGCACCAGGGTATCCCTCAGAGTACTTGTTGCACATGGGAGAACCAAGGGCGTCGAAAACGGCATGAGAGGTGAAGTTCTCGGAAGCGATCAGGACAACGGATTCACGCTGACGCTGGATTTCGTTTTTCTAAAGTCCATTGAGTAAGCCAAATGATCATCATATTATAAGACACGAGTTTGAAATACCATAATCTCGGCGACCTCAGGGTCGGTCTCAACGAGAGACTTCTCGAGGAGCTGTATCATATGAGTCAGTATAACGACAATACCCTCTCAGAGATCAAAGAAATCATGGTGGCGGGGTTACTCACGTCCCGGTGGGACGATGACAGTGCGTAAGTGGCCATTGTGATGTGATGCTGCCTTCTATAAGCTAATAAGATATTCAAGCAGAAGGGATTGTAAGACAGAAGAAGGATACAACAAGGAAGGAGGAGAAAAAAAGGTAGGTTGTCAGTGAGGGTCAACTTTTCCAACGGGTTGCCCCGCGGGTAAAACTACCATTGGCATTCCTTTTCGTCAAATCTTTCCCACCGATCTTCGGCGAGGCTCTGGACCAATCAAAGGCCTGAAGAGCTCCCAATGAGCTTTCGGTGAATAGTAAATCCGCTGCGGCTTTCCGTTTACAGAAAATCGCCATACAGATTGAAAAGTTTAATAATAGGCCTTGTCATAAGCTGACCATTGAGTTTCATAGTAAAACATGCTCTCTAGGAAGATCCATCTAGAGTCATAGATAAATTATTATAGTAAAGCAGTGCGTCATCTAGAAATATGGTCTAACGGGAATATTCATCACAAAATTAGATTAATTACAGAATTTTTCTGGAATCATCTATTAGTGGTTATTCTGCATATTAATTGCTCTGCTCTTCTTATACAGGACTCTCGTTGAGCCAGTTGTATAAGATTTTGGTTTCATTGAGCTTGTCCTACTCGAAGGTGTTTTCATTCATAGTGCCATGCCTGTGATATACTAGTATGGAGTGTTGAATGGACAAGTGGCTAAGGACAACAGGGAAGGGGACCTTGGTGGTCACTAGGAAGTCCGAAGCAGTATCCCCAACCATCACATAGATTCAGCCCATACGCAGCCCTGAGACCCCACGATAGTATGGATTTTCCCGGAATTTCCATACCATAGCTGTTATCGTTCATGGATACGAGCGGAATGGCAAATCGCCGTGTGGATTTGCAAGACAGCTCGAGAATTTTCCAGTGAAAGCCGATGGCAGTCCTTCCGTCCGCAAGACTAGGCCAATAAGTAGATCCTAGCTGGTATTTGTTGACACACGAGGCCTCGGCATTGGTGTCATGAATATCGAAAGCCGTTAGAAGAAGTCGAATCCCTGCTCTCTTTTGATGACTCTCATTTCATCAAGTCAGCGTTTCACCGCCAGCCCTACTGCCAAAGTCGGCAATCACAGATCTCAGTCGTGCAATACGATCCTCGAGATCTTTCATCTCCCTCTCCTGCTCCGTAACCGAGCGATGCACATCGGGTAAGCTGTCAACCACGGCGCGTGCTTTTTGAATCCTAATTTTGATCGCACTCGATTCAGTAGGAAGATCTTTGGCGTCGAGGGACGGTAGGGCGTTCGGGCCAATATCGCCTGTCACGGCCGTGGAACTGGCGGACGCTGTCACACCAGTAGCAGACGATGATAACATCTGCTGTGGTGCACCAGTAAGGATCTGATTTCTATTGTCATTGACTACCGAAGGTTGCTGCTGAGCTTGTGTTGGAACAGCTAACGAAGGTTGACCGACGGTATCTGTTGCACCCCTAGCAGCATCGGAAGCACCAGTTGTATGGGGAGACAGCAGGCGGCAGAGAAGACCATGCAATGGCGGAATAATATCAAAGGTTTGCGGCGGAGGAAAAGAGACAGGCTGAGTCGGGCTAGAGACCGCGATCGCAGGCGTTTGGGGAGCCGAAGAAGCTTTAGGTAAAGGCGTCAACGCGGTGGGCGATCGGGACGCCATTGTTGACCTCAGCAGAGATAAAACAAAAGGCCGGCGGTTTAATTCACAGCGGCTGCGCGTCGCAACTCGGCCGGCGGTTGTTGTTGATGGTACGGTTGAATGTAGGGAAGAGCCGGAACGCGCCGCGAACGGACGATCATGGAGTGACGTCGGAGTCAAGCAGGTCTTGCTGCGAATCCGAAAAGTGTCACCGGGAAGCCCCTCCCCCTCGTTCTCACCAGGCACAGCAGTTTCTTTCTCCTGGAACTTTTCTTTTCTGTTATTATTCGGTTTGTTCCATTTACCTTCAGGGTTATCTGGTTTTTCCTGAGCATTTGTGAGTAACTATCTGTTTTTTTTTATTAAATCTCCAGGACTATTGCTAACAATATCCCATAGAGCAGTTTGCCGCTTGTATATTTCATCATGGCCAAGGTCGACCAGAAAGTCGTTTTGAGTATGGATCGATGCTGACGGGGTGCTGGGCGTCTATGAGCTGACAGCGATTTAGTCGTCATTGACGGTTGGGGTGTTGCCGGTCCCCAGTCTCCTCCCGAGGGCGATGCTATCGCTGCCGCTGAGACTCCCTACATGTCCGGCTTTGCCGCAGCCAAGTCGGAGACCGCGCAGGGCTACGCCGAGCTCGAGGCTTCTTCCCTAGCTGTCGGTCTGCCGGAAGGTCTCATGGGTAACAGTGAAGTCGGTCATTTGAACATTGGCGCTGGTCGTGTCGTCTGGCAGGACAGTGTCCGCATCGACCAGACCTTGAAGAAGGGTGAGATGAACAAGGTGGACAGCATTGTGAAGTCGTTCACTCGCGCCAAGGAGGGCAATGGCCGTCTTCACCTTCTGGGTCTGATCTCTGATGGCGGTGTCCATTCCAACATCACTCATCTGATTGGCCTGCTCCGGGTCGCGAAGGAGATGGAGGTCCCCCAGGTCTTCATCCACTTCTTTGGTGACGGGCGTGACACCGACCCCAAGAGCGCCACCAAGTACATGCAAGAGCTGCTTGACAAGACCAAGGAGATTGGAATCGGTGAGGTGGCCACTGTGGTCGGCCGTTACTACGCAATGGACCGTGACAAGCGCTGGGACCGGGTTGAGGTCGCCATGAAGGGCATTGTCAGCGGTGAAGGCGAGGACAGCTCCGACCCTATTGCCACCATCGAGGAACGCTACGAGAACAAGGAGACTGATGAGTTCCTCAAGCCCATCATCGTCGGCGGAAAGGACAGGCGCGTGCAAGGTGCGACTTGACTCCATTTCCCTCGAGCAACCTCTGCGTAGCTCTCTTGATTAACCACTTCATCTAGATGACGACACCCTCTTCTTCTTCAACTACCGCTCTGATCGTGTCCGTGAAATCACCCAGCTGCTGGGAGACGTTGACCGCTCCCCCAAGCCCGACTTCCCTTACCCCAAGAACATCCACATCACCACCATGACCCAATACAAGACCGACTACACCTTCCCCGTTGCCTTCCCTCCCCAGCACATGGGCAATGTTCTGGCTGAATGGCTCGGAAAGAAGGATGTCCAGCAGTGCCACGTCGCCGAAACCGAGAAGTATGCCCACGTCACATTCTTCTTCAACGGCGGTATTGAGAAGCAGTTCCCTGGCGAGGTTCGCGATATGATTGCCTCCCCTAGGGTTGCCACCTACGACCTCGAACCGGAAATGAGTGCGGCCGAGGTTGGAAAGAAGATGGCTGAGCGTATTGGCGAGAACAAGTTTGAGTTCATCATGAACAACTTTGCTCCTCCGGACATGGTCGGACACACTGGTGTCTATGAGGCTGCCATCAAGGGCGTCACTGCCACTGACAAGGCCATTGGCGTCATCTATGAGGCCTGTAAGAAGGACGGATATGTTCTGTTCATTACTGCGGATCACGGGTAAGTGCTTGAAATCAATCGAGCCTACAGATCAGCGCTGGGATGTTTTGCTCACCATTTCGCTAGCAACGCGGAGGAAATGCTCACCGAGAAGGGTACTCCCAAGACCTCTCACACTACGAACAAGGTGCCGTTCATCATGGCCAATGCCCCTGAGGGATGGAGCCTCGAGAAGGAGGGCGGTGTGCTGGGTGATGTCGCTCCCACGGTTCTTGCCGCTATGGGAATCGAGCAGCCCGAGGAGATGTCCGGCCGGAGTCTCCTGGTCAAGGCATAGAGAGGGGTTTTATACAATTTTTAGAAGGGAGGAGGTTAACATATTAGCTGATGAATTAATGAAGATCAATATAGTTTCCACATGGTTTTGTAATTGCACTGAGGAAAGAGACAGTCATATATGTATGAAGTAAAGTCCGTCAAGAAAAGGGATTAGATAGTAAACCATCAGTCTAGCTTATAAAAGATACATATTTCAATATTTATATCTTCTATTATTCTCTCTCTAATATAAGATAATATGAGAGTACAGTTCCTGCCATTCCTCAAGCAAATCATCCACTATTGAAGCATTATGACTGTTTCAATGCACCTCCAGAAGACTTGTACAAGAACCTGTCAGTCGGTTTATACTCAGTCAAGATCTGGAGAATGACTGGATAGCGATTCCTTGAATGCGCGCTCTTCTGCCTCCATTTTGGGAGAACGCGCCGTCGGGTGCTCTCTAGCAATCGCATGAAGAGATAGCGATGTTGTTAGCTGTATAATAAAAAACCCCAACAGCTTGCGGGCTAGATCTGGGTACTGGGTTCGATCTCCATTTCCTTGATATATCATTCAGCCACATTTAGGCCGAAGCGGTAGCCGCAGCTTGCTGCTGCTGAACCTGGGTTTGGAATTGGACAATCTGATATCAGATTAATAAACGATACAGATTGAGACAGCATTCATTCAATATATATGTCGTACCTCAGTTCGCTTTTTGTCCGATTTCTCTTGGCTCTCCTGGATCTGGTCTTCGATCCGCTTGCTAGAAAACGTCAGCCATATCCCAGCAGAGTCTAAAATGCCAATCATGTGGTAATCGGGCTGATTTAAAGCACAGTAAAGCATACATCTCTTTCTCAATGAAATCAAGTCGACCGTTGACGGCCATCATAGCCTCACTCTTGTCTTGCTTCAACAGGACAGGGCCGACAAGTTTGTAAATATTCGCATCGCCATCGAGGGAGGCAAATTCGTCTTGCACACCCTTATTCTCCTGCTGTTGTGATTCAAGTTTCTGGCGAGCGTCAATCAGGCCTTCGAGTTCTATGTACCAGGGGGATCTGTTAGTAAGAGCGATAACCTCGTTCGATCGTGACAAGTCTCGTCTCAGCTTACCGGTCTGCAGCTTCTGGTACTCCTCGGTGAGCCCTTGGAGATGCTTCTGCGCGTCGGCCATGGTGCTGTCTTGAATTTGTCGGGGTGAAACGTCAGAGGCGAAAGTTGGAGATGGTCCTGCTAAACCAGCGAGTCGGCGGGGCACGAGACGGAACGAGGAGCGGACGCCCGGCAGAACCCAAGCCAGGCCAGGACCATCAACAAGACTCCCATTCCTCTTCTCGACTGCCCGTCATTCACTCTACACTTGTGGCACAGCGATTTCAGGACTTGACTGACTAGTGATTCTCGCATTGATTGATTGACAGATTGTGTTTGTTTCTGCTCTCGCAACCAGATTCATCCATCCCAGAACAGGCGGAACCAGTCCCTCTCACGAGTCCCCTCCCCGCTTTATCCGTCGCCTCCACGACGGCTCTGTACCTAAACTGCAGCAACAATTAAGGCAGATCTCTCATAATGAGCAATACTGACTTTCTGGGCCGTGCGATCGAAACGGTCAAGAAGGCCATCGAGAACGACAATGAGGGGGAATATGAGAAGGCATATCAGATGTACTACTCCGCACTCGAGCTCTTCATGCTCGCGCTGAAGTGGGAGAAGAATCCCAAGTCGAAGGAGATGATTCGTGCCAAAACAGGCGAATATATGGATCGTGCGGAGAAACTCAAGAATCACCTAGCTTCGCAGGACAATCGGAAGAAACCGAGTGCTGTGGGTGCAAATGGCAAAGTATCACACGGGAGTGGGAAGGGCGGGTATGTGGTCCTTTACCTATATCATTAATGGGATATGCCATACTAAATAACTGGGTATCTTCAGTAAGGAAGAAGATGACGAAGACGCCGAGTCCAAGAAACTACGATCAGCCCTCGCAGGGGCCATCTTATCGGATAAACCGAATGTCAAGTGGGAGGATGTTGCTGGCCTGGAGAGTGCCAAGGAGGCCTTGAAGGAGGCTGTTATTCTACCAATCAAGTTCCCACATCTTTTCACTGGCAAGCGCCAGCCGTGGAAGGGTATCTTGCTCTATGGACCGCCAGGTACTGGAAAATCGCACCTCGCCAAGGCTGTCGCGACGGAGGCAAATAGCACTTTCTTCAGCGTCAGTAGCAGTGACTTGGTATCGAAATGGATGGGTGAAAGTGAAAGGTACGCGTGTTTGGTCACGGCTTTGAAGAAACTTATTAACGGCAGACTAGACTAGTAAAACAACTGTTTAACATGGCTCGCGAAAACAAACCGGCAATCATTTTCATTGATGAGGTTGATGCTCTATGCGGTCCCCGTGGCGAGGGCGAATCAGAGGCGTCTCGTCGTATCAAAACAGAGCTTCTAGTCCAAATGGATGGTGTAGGCAAGGACTCGAAAGGCGTTCTGATTCTCGGCGCGACCAATATCCCCTGGCAGCTCGATGCAGCTATTCGGCGCAGATTCCAGAGGCGAGTCCATATCAGTCTGCCGGATATCAACGCACGGATGAAGATGTTCATGCTGGCCGTGGGCTCGACACCGTGTGAGATGACGCAGGCCGATTACCGGACCTTGGCGGAAATGAGCGAGGGCTACTCGGGTAGCGACATCAGTATCGCTGTCCAGGATGCGCTTATGCAACCGGTTCGCAAGATCCAAACCGCAACACATTACAAACAGGCATGTTTCCTCTTTTGGACCATGGAGTTCAATGTCCATCAGGCTAACAAGATCATGCAGGTCATAGTTGAGGGTGTTGAGAAACTGACACCATGCTCGCCAGGCGACAATGGTGCCGTGGAGATGACTTGGGTTGATGTCGATGCAGAGAAGCTCCTTGAGCCGCCCCTGGTACTGAAGGACTTCGTCAAGGCCGTTCGCAACTCAAGGCCCACCGTCAGCCAAGAGGACCTCACAAGAAACTCAGAATGGACCCAAGAATTTGGCAGCGAAGGAGCATAGTGGGCTCCCCCCGCCTCTCTATCCATTCCTTTTTGTCTCTCTCGTATATGACGCTGGAATAGACAGTGGATGCGGCTTATAAAACTTGGATGTCTTCTTTCAATTCTTGGTGTTCCATAACCACTTGTGACGTTTTATTTTCTTCTACGGTCTCAGATTTCTGTTTTTCCGCCATTACTTCAAGAGTTGGGTGTTCAGAAGCGTTATACTCGATAGCAAGGTTAGGCGTTGCCCTTTGTTTGCTGCCTTGAAGAATTCTTTTGATTTGGACATATCGTACACAAGACCGAAGCTGGCCCTGTGCCGGAGGCTAACCTATATTCTTCTTTTCTTCTTTAATCTTGTTGTTTACCAGCCATGAATGAACTCTTGATGCAGATCCTACAAGCAAGCAAACAATACCGGTCTATCGAGTCATTCTAATCTGGTTAATCCCTCGGATAACCTGTATTTGATTTCTGGTTGCTCAGAGGCCCACGCACTTTAAGCTACTATATTAAGGAAAGTGATATAGTAAAGATTCAACTAATTAATGCACTAGAGTCTTATTTACTTGAGCACACGCCTAGGTCTCATTGATCTTAATTGATTCCTCGATTGATTCCTTAACTCGCGATATCTTTAATATAGAAGTAATGATAATATTAGGTTTGATGCTGAATATTCACTATAATTAAAAGCATATAGCCTTCATACTGCTATAAACTACGTGGGCATCGGAGCAACCAGAAATAAAGTACAGGGCGAGAGATTAACTGCATTCTAATAGCCTCAAGGCATATATTTCTACTTCCCGATATGCTGAAATAATTGATCGGTTTTCGCTACCGTCAAACTACCATACTTAACGCTAACTAGCTATTCATCTCATCAGACGTATGTGAATATCCAAAATCCGCATCCCGATTGCAAGGTAAAACAGAAAGATTGGCCATCAAGGAATAGCCACATCCCAAAACAATAGAAACGCCCGTCAGTCATTCGAGAAACCCAGACATAAACACCAACGATACAGTGTATTAAGAACACTGAGGGGGGGTAATCTAATGGACGAAACGAGCAAATTTGAAAGGATTGAATAAAGAAAGAATCAGCAAATTCCAAACTCCCTGCTAACCATCTCTGCGCTTGAGAACCTCGTTCTTTGCGCGTTTCAGACCTTCGCTCAACTTCTTTGTTTTCTTCCATTCTCGTCCCATTTTCTGCATGCGAACGGTGGCTACTACCATCGAAATAGCAGTTTTGAACTTATGTCGGGGTGTTCGACTGTGATCTGGAGATCGGGCCTTAACGCCCATCTCCGCGATCATTCTCAGGTCGGCTTCGTTGCTGTAGCATCATCCCTGTTAGCTTTTTTCCTTGCAGAGCAAAGAAAGGAGTTTCACGTACCATGCAGTTCTAACTCGTTCACCAAGCTCCATGAGGCCTTTACTCCAAGCCAAATCACGACGGAACCTTTCCTCCCGCTTCAACCTTGCTCGTAGCCATATGATTTCTCGGCTCAAACCCCTGATCTCTTTCTCATGCCTGCCCTTATTCTCTGATTTCACTCCAATCTTCTCGATAGCCTGGTCGTAGCGATCTTGAAGTGTAGCCAATTCTTTGGAAGCCGTCTCGGCCTTCTTCACGCAGAATGCTCGCTCTTCTCGTACCTTGCGCACTTGGGTTTTGAGCTCGTTCAGACGAGCATCACGCTCCGAGACTTTGAGCGCTAAAGATTCAGCCTCCAGGGTGGAAGACTTGAGCAGCTCGTGCAGGTCTCTCTGGTCCTCTTCCCTCATTGCATTACGCTCCAGGTCTCGATTCTTGGCTCTCAAATCTCTTAGAGATTTATGCGCCTCCGAAAGCTGTTTCCGTAAGCTTCGTAGCTCCGAATGAAGTTTATCAGAGGGCGATGAGACGGGAGAATTGGTGTCGTATTTCTTCATCAAAGCGTCATGGAGCTCTTTCTCCAGATCCGCGATCCGTGTCTTGAAGCTTCGGACTAAAGCTTTCTGATCAGCTTCACGTTGGAGCAAGGCCCTCTCGCGTTTCCGTGCCTCGTCAAGATTATGGCGGAGCAGCGAAACATCCGCATTTCCAATAGAAACTTCTGGTTCCACATGGACCTGTTGTTCGACAAGTGCTTCCAGTTCATGGATACGTCTCTCAAGGCGCTGTGTTCTGCTCTTCGAGAGCACAAGTTCTCGGTCTTTGTCGCCGCTGGCTGTTGCTAATCTATCCTGGAGCTGATCAATCTCGGCAGACAATCGGTTCTCATCTGTTGTGGCCCGCTCAATTTCAGCATTCAGCTGGGTTTCAATTGATTCTTTTGCCTTGACGAGACTTGACCTCTCCTCCTTGAGTCTCGTCACCTCACTTTCAAGTCGAAGCTTGGACTTGCGCAGATCGACCTTCTCCTTGTCAAATTGGTGTGTATTGCCAGCTTGATTCTGTGCCTGATCGAGCTGAGCCTGGAGCTCATCACGTTCCACCTCAAACTCAGCTAGTGAAGTTTTGAGACGATGAAGCTCAACATTAGCATTAGCAAGCTGATCCCGGAGACTCTGCTTGTCTGTTGTTGCCTTTTGAAGCTGGGTTTCAATGTCAGAAGGACCCTTTTTCACTTTACCCTTAGCGTACTCTCGTTCGTCCTCGAGACTTGCTTGCAGGATGACAACCTCATCCTCCAAGGCTTGAACTTTCTCCTTCAAGGCTTGCTCTTCGCGTTTTGAGATCCGTAGCTCTTCCTTGGTGGAAAGAAAATCGGTCCGCAATTCCTCGATGACCTGCCGTTTCGATGCCAGGTCGTCATTGAGTTCTTGCACTTGACGACTCAAGACAGCTTCTTCGTGATGATGTCGCGTCTTTTCACTATCGATGACCTCCTGGAGCTTAATCTCCTTGCCCGAGAGCGAATGCTCAACCTGCTGAAGTTTTTCGATAGTTCTTTTGAAGCCAGCTGCTTGTTCTTCAGCCCTTTCTTTCTGAAGCTGCAAAGTCCGTTTGGTGCTCTCCCATCGATCCTCGTCAAGAGCAAATCTGCCTTCCTTGTCTTCGATCTCATGGTGAAGAGACTCAATTTCCTCTTGCAGGTGTTCGATTTCTTCTTTATTTTGCGTTCGAAGTCCCTGGTTGCTCTCTAATGAATTTCGTTTTTCGTCATCAACAGCTTGCTGAAGTTCGCGGATTGTAGACTGAGCTCGGGCGAGCTCGCGCTGAAGACTTCCTGATTCATCTGTCAAGGCATGATGCCGCGTATGTAAGAGATCTTTTTCATCCTCCTTGCGTTTCAGGTCGTCGAGAGCATCTTGTAATTGTGCTGCAAGCTTTTCATGTTCTTGCTGGAGCGTATTCAGCTCGTCTCTCGAGATATCAGCTTCATCTAGCAGTCTTTGCCTCTCTTCGTTCATTTCACGCCTGACTTTCTGGAATTGTTCCTCTAGACGAGCTTCGTGGCGCGCTTTGGATTCGAGTTCGTCTTTCAGTGTATCATTTTGTTTTCGGGCTTCCTGTAGTTCCTCTTCCAGCCTGGAGCCTTTTTCTTCAAGTTGACGACTTAGACCTTTCGTGGTGAAAGATTTGTTGGCCATCTCATCTTGAAGTTCTCTAAGGTCCTCCTCGGCCTGGGCTTTCTCTTCCATTGCTCTTTGTTCTGCGTTCTGCGCTTCTTCAGTTTCGGACCTAGACTGCTCCAGGCGATCTTGTAACTCTGCCATCTGCTGTTTCGCACTTTCAAGTTCGACTTCGAGTTCAGCAATAGCATCGTGGTCTTTGCTGTCCTTGTCCTTTAAGTTTTCGATCTCTTCGTCGCGTGCTTCGATGAGACGATCCTTTTCTCTAAGCGAAGCTTCTAGGTCCTCTAAATCGTCGCGTAGCTTATCGATCTCCCGTGATTGTTTCTGCTTCGAGTCCCGAAGTTCGTCTTGTAGCTCCCTCACTTGGCTGTTCCTTGTTTCGATCTGATCGCGCATTAATTCCATCTCTCGCTGAACTGTCTCATCTACTTGTCGCTTTCGATATTTCTCTCGTAGCTCCTGAAACTGTAGACGGTAGGACTCCAGATCGCGCTCAGCGTGATGGAGTTGCTTTTTGTACCGTGCTATATCTCTTTGCATAGTTGTCGAAGATATTTTCAGTTCCGTATTCTCCCTGAGCGCTTCTTGGTGGTAGCCTGGACCAGCTCTCTCGACCTGTTGTTGCAAATAATGGATCTTAAGTTTCAAACCGAAATTGTCTTTCTCGAGCTGATCGATTTTCTAGATTCCATTGAGCCAAGTTAGACACTTCATCAACCCCTCATAATGGCATAACAGAAACAAAGAAAGAAACCTACGTTTTCCTGCTCCCTCAAACTCAGTACGTTGGCATCATCAAGCATACCCCTTCCATTTCTTCCCAACAGCCCAGGCAGCGGCGTGCTCTGGGCGCTGCTGCTTGCAACTTGTGGGAGTGGGGTTGGATCATCGTCCGACCCATCCTCTTCGTAGATGTCCGTCATTTCCATAGCCGGTAAACCAGGGGTGTTGACATTGCTTCGGTAGCTGGCTCGCAGGTGAGCCGGCGTTTTCGACGTCCCGGTGGTACCACGCGCCGCTGACAAGGTCTTGAGGAAACTGTTTTTCGTTGCGCTCTTCATTAGAGGAGTGAACTCTCCTTTGGGGGGCGCGATGGTGGGAAGGTGCCGCCGGTCAGCCAACGCGCTCCTGTTCGATTTGGGGCCCGAACCCGCCCGCGGAGTGGTGACCTTGAAGCCGCCTGAAGTGCGCCGCCGTCCATCTTCCAAAATCTTGATTATATCTTCGTCCTTGGATGGCGTTTGAAACGAATTCTCAACCGAGTCCAGCGCAGATAGATTCGTCCTCCCAATGCTGCGGTAGCCGTTCGTCAGGTAGGTCGCGTTTCCGGCTTCGGTGCGCGGAGTATCGATATATGGAAGCGCCATGCTCGACGCGTCGATTCTCGTAACCTCGTGTGATTTGGGTACCTAAAAACCACAGGTTTCAGCGCGTAGACATCCCCCTCCTATATACACGCTTTTGAGCCACAGATTCGGCTCCAAAAGTCGGATGGACAGCACTGAACGTGGATGTGTTTTGGGCGGAGCAAAAGCGTCGGGCTGCCTGTAAAGCCGATGTTGATTTCTAGCCGTAAACGGACTAGCGCCTCGCGATTATAGGCGGTCAAGTAATGGCGCGCGGCTAGTGGTGGAATTCTGCCGGGCCTGATGAAGTCATGGGATTTTTCTTACACTACGGCGAACTTTTTGTATGCCATCGAGCTTCGAGGTGGTCAGTAGCTGACTGTGGTTCAAGATGGCACCTATGTCGCAAGAGGATATTGAATGGTTCAAATCGACGTTTCATCCGATCCCTAAACCCCAGCTTCCGGAAGATTGCATCGAATACTCTGTCTACCACTTCGCCGTTGACCCCGCCCCCACAGCCGTTGACGAAGCTGCTGAAACACGATCGCGATTAGTCGAAGTTCAGCGAACAGCAGCGCAGTTGAGCAAGGAGTTGCTGAAGGACTATATCTGGCAACGAGAAGGATTTCGCCTGGAGATCACCAAAGAAGATGGTTTGTCCTTCTGCATCGATGTTATGTGAATATGGGGAGGAATGATTCTGTGCTAATATTAATATGAAACTTAGGGATAACCTCGTTACGCGGACGGACCATTTTTGGTGACTCGATCGAGGATGAATGGGTTATCGTTTATATTCTACGCGAGTTAACGAAGAGACACAAAGATATCTGGGTCAAAGTGGTAGATGGAGACGGAGAATTTCTGCTCATTGAAGCGGCTGGGACACTGCCTGAGTGGCTAGAGCCGGAGGTAGCGGACAACAGAGTGAGCCAGAGATACTGTAACATAAATCTGTGGGCAGAGTGCTGACGAACTGCAGGTATGGATTCATCAAGGAGACCTCGTCATTATCAAACCGAAGCAAGGTGGCAAGGGGTCTAAAAGGAAAGTAACCGAGAAACTGTCCCTTAAGGATGCGAAAGCTATCTTGACAGAGCAATCAACTCGTCTTCTTCGCTCTACAATGATCCAGGAGGAAGCCTTCTATCGGCTACGAAATTATCCGCAACAGATCAGCGAAAACCTCCATTCTGCTCTAGTGACACTCCCACGCAAGATCGCTTTCCTACTGCATCAGAAGCCGGCGTACATATCTGCTGCCGTGGAGGCATTTTACCTCAGAGATCCTATTGCCTTACGGCCTCTCCGAGCCAAGGATGTTTCCAATCTAGCCTTCAAGCCAGAGGATTTTGTCACCGTCAGCGTTCGGTTCACCAGGGTAGGGTATGCACAACTCAAAAGCCAAGAGTTCCCGGTACCGCAGCCATGGGTAGGCAAATTGCCTCCGAGTGAAGACCGCAAGGTATATGATCGTGCGGAAATCGGAATGAAGCTTTCATGTGGCTTTGAGATGCTTCTGGGCGACCCACAGAACCGAGATAAAGCCTTAGTGCGAGAAATGAAACTTTTGCTTGAAGACCTAGAGTCAGGCGACGAGACGCTTCCTACAGACGATGAAATTGAACAGACATGGGACAAAAGCGAAGACGACGAAAAATGGCTTGATATCAATTTCGAGGACCTTGATAGGGAACTCAAAGGGAAACGCGATGGATACGAAGGTACATCTACACGTGGATTTGGTGATGCCAATGCGCAGGAAAATCTCCAGCGTATCGTGGCTCGCTTTGAAGAATTCCTCAATGATAATTCGGCTGGCCTTGAGGGCGCCGATTTTATTGACGATTTTGATTCCGACTCCGATGTCGATGAGGATGATGACGACTATGAAGACGATGATGTTGGCAGCGAAGGAGAAGACAAAGAAGCGTCATTTGACGAGGAAGAATTTTCCCGCATGATGAAGGAGATGATGGGAATGCCTTCAATGCCGGGTCTGGCTGGCGCTTCTCAGTCATCGGCAATGGGCCGAAGAGTTGAAGAACTCGACGACGACTCAGAAGAAGACGACTCGGAGCAGATACAAGAGCTTTCGCGACAGATGGAAGCCGAGCTCAGAGGAACCGGTGTCCTGAACTTGAATCGTCCTGCCCAGAATCTTCTTGGGAATGAACCAAATTCCAAGGGGCAAACGGGTGAAGAAAACCGGCCAGAGGAAGATGAAGATATCGATATCAATCTTGCAAAGAACCTCCTGGAAAGTCTTCATAGTCAGGCAGGCTTAGCTGGGCCTGCAGGCAATATGCTTTCTATGATGAATTTGCCTCTGCCGAAAGATGATCGACACAGCTGAGCACAGGTACCGAAATGATCGATATTTGACCGTTTCCTGGGCTTATATAGACAGCCAGAAACGCTGTGAGAGTAATCAGTTGGCTGTTTAGTGGGAGTGGCCTTCAGAGTACATTTCTTGAGGTCGGAATGGACCACCGAGTCTATTCAGCGATTGCTATAACTAAATGTTGGCATTGTTGACAACCAACACAAAACCTAATCAGGAAAGCCACCATGTCGCATCATGTTGCAGCTCCTGGCAACTAACACATATGGTGTCAGAAAGGCGTCAGTCGAACTAAAATGATATACAATCCTCATACTCCCAAGGTAAAGAACAGGAGCGAGACTGCTAAATATAATTACGTGGTAGAAAAGAGCAACATAAGGTTTAGGAGACAGAAATTGAATCATTCATAACTAAATTTCAATATGCTTCTAGACCGCCATCATCATTATAGCAACTTAATACAGCTTTATACTCTATTACACGCAAAAGATACAAATTACCACATCAACACCATGGCAATACCCATGATTACAACCATGTCACGGGCCTAGCCGATAAGGATGGGACGATCACGTGTGGGTCCAGCCCCATATCTTATCACCCCGCGAACCCCCTCAAGCTCGAGGTATACTCTCACTCTCACCTCTTTGCTCCTTCCTCCACGACAAATCTCCTCTATAATCCAAGGCTGCCTAATGGTGCATGTTGTATAGTGTCTTCTGCTGCAGCTCCTATCTGACCTGTGCTATTTATCTGTATTTTATTTGTTCTGATACCCCTACACACTGTTTGTCAGGAAGTAGATTCATCTACATTACAGTGAACCTACTGGCAAAGTTAGCACCTCATCTGCGGGCACAGGTGCCATTGAAGGAGGTGGCAATAACTGGGTTTTGAATTCTAACAACTTATCTGAGGCACTGCTAGCTACTCTCCGGGTCCGATTCTCAAAAGATGGCGACGCCTGCCCAGTGCTACTATTGTTTCGAGAGCCTCGCTGCTTCCTTTGAATATCGAGAGCCTGCCAGCCTTGAGATTATAGAGGAGCTTTGGGAACAACATGAACGAGCGAAGAAAGTTGCTGAACTTGGGACAACGAATGAACTGGTCAAACGTCTTGTAGGCGCTGGTAGCGGCGAAGACGAAGATGACGAACTTGACGGAAATCACGAACCAAGCGGTCAAAAGCAGCTTGGAGATCTGAAGATTCCGAATACCACCCACCTTAACCCACAGTCTTCCTCGGATTCGTCGAGTGCATCTACCACGCCGTCAGTCTTCTCGGCTGTGTCGTCTCGCTCACTCTCTACCGGAGTAACAACTCCATCGGGGCCACCGGATACGTCGTTGCCTCAAGCGGTTCAGAAGACAAACCAGCGGTATCCCCTCTTTGTGACATGGGATACGCTTTCGAGAAACGGCCACAAGTCTCTGCGCGGTTGTATCGGCACGTTCGAGGCTCAGGAGCTTGGTGAAGGTCTCCAGTCCTACGCCCTCACTTCGTACGTAAACCCAGTGTAAGATTTTTTGGAGAGAGGGATGCGTAGAACTGATTCACATGCAGGGCCTTCGATGATACGCGGTTTTCTCCCATACCCTCGTCCCTCTTGCCTTCCCTCTCCTGCTCACTGACCTTATTGGGCTCTTTTGAGCCTTGTACGAACGCCATGGACTGGACCCTAGGCACCCACGGACTCCGCATATCGTTCATCCACCGCGGTCGTCGCTACGGCGCAACCTACCTCCCCGACGTGGCAGTCGAGCAAGGATGGACAAAGGAAGAGACGGTGGAGAGCCTAATGCGCAAAGCCGGCTGGGACAGTGCTTCCTCTGGAGGTAGTATTGCTAGACGCATTCTACGGGGGAGCAGCAGCGGTGGTGATGGCGGTCACGGTGCCAGCACAGGCAAGCCATGGGACCAAGTCTCGGATTTCCGAGCAGTGAGATATCAAGGTCTCAAGGCCAGTGCAAGCTACGCCGAGTGGCAGGAATGGCGAAGCTGGGTTCTAGGCCAGAAGGAAGGATCGGCAAAGCTGTTGCCTCAATCTCACAAGTGAATCTTTGGTTTCCGACACATCTACAGATACACAACACACCGTCTAGACTAAGGAGACAAAATCAACCCGTTATGAATAATGAAATTTCAGGACATTGAATCTACTACAGTACGTGTTAAAGTTGCTCGATTATAGAGTAGGACGCATATACAAGCATAGAATTCTACTCTCATGGCTGGATCTGCTTTACCCATGCTCGATGTGGCTCAAAGATATGATATTAACAGCATGAAATGGAATATACGAGGGAGGTAAGAATGAAAAAAATGAAAACAGAAAGCAAGGCTGCGCGGACTTGGATGATGTAGATATGAACAGAGAGACAAAGATCAAGCTGCAATATGTAGTGGGCCAGTCCTCGTCAGGAGAGAAGAGTGAAAAAAAAAAGGTATTTGCAGGAAAAATTTCAAAACATGATTCAAGGAGATATCCGAAGTTGTTCTTTACTATTTCTGGTTGGCAGAGCGGCTCCATAGGCCAGCCACCATCTCCTTGACTTTGCGCTCCTGCTGTCGGATCTGCTCCTCGGTCTGTCCGCGCGCATTACTGCGACTGTCAATCTCCATGTGGCCGTCAGTCGGCATGGGCTTTTCCTCAAAGATCTTGTTACCCTCGACGCGTTCTGGTTTTGGGTCGATGCTCATCGCCCCGTCCATCATCAGACCACCAACTTCGCGGAGCTTGTTGATTGCACGAACGGTGTCAATGGCGCGGTGAAGGGTTCGGCGGGCATTGAAGTTCTTCCTGACGGTTGGCAGTAGATCTTCGCCAGAGCCAAGCTTGCCGGTCGGGTACGCGGGATCGTAAGGAGGATTGACCCAGGCGTGCTGGAGAGCCTCGTGGGCCGTCAGTCGTGCCTTGGGGTCAATGGTCAAACAGCGGTTGATGAAGTCCCGGGCAGTGTGCGACACACCGCGCCAGTACTCTAGCGGGGTGAACGAATAGTCGGCAGCAAGGATTGCCTGCATCTCTTCCAGGTTGGAGTCGCGGTCAAAGGGTGTGTAGCCGCACAGCAAAAAGTACGTGATTACTCCAATGGCCCAGATATCACTGTGAAATACCAAATCAGTATATTAGAACTGAAAGCAGAGGAGCACAGAAGTCATACACTGGCTTCCCATGGCCACTCTTCTTGAAGATCTCCGGTGCCATGTATCCCGGTGTGCCACATGTTGTCGTCAGCACATGGAATTGTTCTTCATCCATAATTCTTGACAGCCCAAAATCAGCTATTAACAAGTCTGCGTTATCCTCGGGTGTTCTGAAGAGAAGGTTCTCCGGCTTAAGGTCACGGTGCACGATGCCATGGTCATGTAAATAGGCAACGGCAGACAGCACTGCGCGGATGAGGTCGGCCGCATCGGACTCGTAGTAGCTACCCTTGCGGCAGATTCTATCGAAGAGTTCGCCGCCCAAAGCAAGGTCGGTGACAAGGTACACTAGGTTCAAGAATGAACCATCAGATCCGGAAAATCATGCGGCTGGGATAGATTGGTCAACGAAACATACAGTTGTTCATCGTCTCAAAGTAATCGACTAGAGTCAAGATATTTTGGTGGCCCATAGAGACCCTCTTCAGGACTGCAATCTCATTTCGCACCTAGAAACCCCCATCAATAAACAGTTCTCTCCATGACCCAAGGATGGAAGGGGGGGGGGCGCAAAGGGTATTATTCACCATGTGTTCGCGTCCCGCCATCAGCCGCTTATTTATGACCTTGGCTGCATAGTATCTGCCCGTATCAATGTGCACGCATTCCTTAACCACCGAGTAGGAGCCCGCTCCCAGCGTCTTCCCTGTCTTGTACCGGCACGGCTGGACCTTCGGCCGCTGGTTCTGCTGCGCCGGGGACGCCATTTCAGGAGACCGAGGAGATTTGAAATCGCTCGACACGGCAAGAGATAGAGAAAAAAAAAACCAGAATTGGGTGGTATCGATGCTAATGACTGTATTCGTCTCTGTGTTGAAGTAGAAGAAACAAGCGAATCCTGCAAAAGCTTCACGGTGTGAGTGAGTGAGACACTGCAGCCCAACAGCCTCCACCATCCGAGAAGTCAGTCACACGAACCTTCCAAGGGGACTCCGACGCTCTCCTTCAGTCCAGGGGTAGAACCCGACCTAGATCCGATCGACCAGAGCGAAGCTCACACGTAGACGCAGGGCAATTCCCTCCCTCCCTTGAGTCGAGTCTTATCGCGGAGAAGAAACGCTCGTACGCAGTGGGTCGAGTGACAGGTCTGTGCGGGGCAGCTTTGGAATGCGATGCGACCAGTCGATGACTCTATAGAGTCTTCATCGGCCAGGTGTTTCCAGAGGCGGCAGAAACAGAACTAGGAGAGAATGAAAGTGTCGGGTTCGGGAAGAGAGAAGTCCTTTTGAGCCTGTGGGAGCCAGCCGAGCGGCGGTTGTCCAGGATGCCTTCTGCCTACACATAAATAGAGGGGCATGCAGTATGCCTTACGGAGTATTTCGATTTCAGCCAGTGATACCATTATTAATCGTCAGTCTGTACAGGTAGATCTATCGCCAGAGACAATTCAAGTCATTTAAATTATCAAACACTCTGCTAGGGAAATATTCAAGTGCACTTCCAACTCGAACCTGGGCCTCTCATACAAATTTGACTGATGTCGAGCGTATATAACCTAGCAATAGCCTCCAGTGAAAACAGGAACCAGTAGTACTCCGAGCAGCTTCGAATCTTCAGGAAATCCATGGGTATTACAGAGGGAAGCTTCGCCGCCAAATATAATGAATACGCACAATACCACGCCGTCCGCTGAGTGTATAAAACCAAAGAAGGACAAGGGGGAAGAGAAAAGACAATAATATGCTCACATCCGGCTCAGAACATCCGAGACCACTCCTTCGAGTAATTTGAGACCGTGGAATTTGGCCACGCTGGCCATGATGTGAAGTCGTTTGGCGATATTGCTCCGGTCAAGCGTTTCAACCCAGAGCCCGCTGCACGAGCAGTGGTCCATAAAGTCATTGACTTTGAGAGTGCCGCATTTTGAGCATTTGAGGTCCTGCGTCTGCCAAGCAACAATGAATGCATGCACCTGTCCGATCAGATTTTGTTCTTGCGCGAGTCGGTCGTATTCGGTCTGGCAGAAGGGACAGCGCCAGGGTTTTGGCGCTTTACTGGCCTGTTCCCCGAGATCAGGCAACAAGTCTTCATCTCGACAGAGATCAAGATCCCGAATCAGACAACAGGCATTGCAGGTCAGCTCGGGAAGTTTCAAACTGGCACTCGGGTTCTCAAATCGGCCCTCCTTGCTGAACTCTCGGACCTCGAACAAGGCGAGTAACTCGCGGCGGAGTAGTCGGGTCTCCAACGTCGTTATCTTCGACAGACTCAGCACCTGCATCAGCATTTTCACCAACTCTAAGAGAGGATTGCGCTTGTCCTCGTTGGGGTCAATAAGCACACCCGGGAGAACAGGGAATGCGTAGTCCGATGCGAGTTCGGGGTGGAGAAGCTCATCGCGTTGTCGACGGATCAAACCGGAGATCTGCTTCTTCAGTGGTTTGGAGAAACGATCAGTGAGAATCGAGGTGATTTCATCGCTCTCTGCTTCACTCGGGCGTCCAATAGGAATCTGAGTCATCCGGGGCGTCGATGTGTTCTCGCCTGGCGAGCCATCGGGTCGCTTGAGACCATGCATCAACTCGATGTATTCGACCACCCAGTCGTGGAAGATGGTTTGCATAGGCGCAGGCAGAGTCCGGCTGAGTTGCCAGTGCATGATCGTGTCTAGCGCTTGCTCTTCGGACTCGACCACTTCCTTGCACCCCTGGCCCCCATAATTGTACTCGTCGTACCAGACCAGGTAATCCCAGTATTCCTTGATCTCAAGATCGATGAAATGAAATGATGGATTGCCGCGAATGGATTTGAGTACGTACTGGCTGTACGCGTAAGCGTTGCCTACTTCGGCCTTGGTCGTTTGCAGGAGGAGCCGTGTGGGACTTGCAAAGACAATGTTTGAGCCGACACGTCTGAACTCCGCCATCAGCTGCTGGAAAGATTTTCGCGATAGCATTCGTACGTAATGGTGCAATGATCGATCGTAGAGGCAGGAGACCGGGCTCTCAACCCATCGGATAAGATGTTGAACCATGATGTCGGCCATGCTGTTACCGGCACAAGCCTCAGTCCACCAGTTCTTCACCATTTCACGGAGAACAATGGCACCGGCAGATGCAAACGCCTTTTCCGAGTACAGAATCCCTGAGCCGCTCGGTTCACCAGATGGTCCGGAAGAAGCGAGTAGCGAATCGCTACCTTCTGCATCATTGATCAATGAGGATGTCAGAATTGTATTAATAGCGAGATTGCGGATATCCAATTCGATGCACACAGTCGGGTATGCACCAGGGACATTGATTGACGGCATATCAACTCTCTCCAAGGGTCCGAGGACGTCGTCTTTCTCATAACCAGCGTGATCAGGACGCAGCCCGGTAGACCACCACAGAACCACATTGTTCTGCTGAAGGCGTCTCGCGTAGGATATGTCGATAAGATATCGAGGATCATCGCTTTCAAGGTTGCAGAGTGGAACGTCACCATATCGCGCTAACAAGGTCAGATGCTGAATCCATGCAGACAGATAGAGGTAGTGTGTGACAAGGCGTTTAGCAATGAAGGATTGCCACCCAAGTGGTGGCAGATCCATGTCGGTCACTTCGGGTTTCACTGGCAGAATTGGATAATCCTTCAGTATAGGAATGTTATGACACAAGCGACTTCTATGCTGCGACTGAATGACCAGAAGAGTAGGCAGAGTTTCATCACTAGAGAGCTTCTTTATCAGATCACCAACTTCCAGATAGGCTTTTCGTCTAGTCAGCACCTGGGTTGTCTTGAAATGGATCTTCTCCTGGTATTCGAAGGCGTTCTGTGTTGAATCCGCAGGTGTGGTTTGCATCTTGCGCATGAGCAATTCCGTATAGATCTTATCCACGTTGGGCAAGCCCTGGACCTCGCGTGTGCGATTGAGGATTATGATGTGCGCCTCGTGCTTAGTGGTTGAGAATAGTGCGAATATCTGTCGGTCACCAGAGGCAACATGGTACAAGTAAAGGTAGGCAAGACGTGCATCCGTCAGATAAGGTACATCGGATGACGTGTGGAGAAGTGCAGAGAGATCGAATCCTCGATCAAGTCCCTCGCCTAGAACTCCACGTTTGCTTTCATCAAATGTGCAAATGCTTCCCAGTTTCAGCAGCGCTCGCACACTCATCGGGATATGTCTCTCGTAGACACCTTCAACACTTGGATGCTGTAGAAGGGTATCGATCTTTGGAGCCTCGTTTAAGAATGTTTCTTCGGGAAGAGTGAGCTTGAACAAGTGGACTGAGGGATGTCCATTCGGCAATGTATGGTTGACTTTTTCTACTTCGCAGTCAGGGATCTCCACGTCAGGCAAGGAGTCTCTTTTCAAGTTCAGGAAGAGTTGGCGTGGAACTTTGACCGTCAATGTATGGATCTTCTGATCGATGAGGACTGAAGCTCGCACAATTCCAGGTCGATCGGTGTCGCGAAGCTGCAGAATTTGCCAAGTACTAATGTACAACATCTCTGCCTGGTTTCTGAAGAAGTTGCTCAGTGAATCAGAAGCAGCATTTGATCGCTCTCCAAACAGCTGTCGGCGGCGCGTTCGAGCCTGCCTCTGGATTTTCCATTTTTGTTTTTGATACTTGAGAAACCCAGCGTAGTCTTCTGTTATCGACGGCATTTTCGCAGGTAGACTGGCGTACGGATCGAGTGCCGTTCGAGAAAGGCCTTCTGGCAGCTTTCTTTTCTGTGCTGGCTTCGTGGCAGTGGTCGTATTGAGCTTCTCTGCCGAGCTTGCTATCACATCCTCCATATCACCTACATGCTGCACCCGATGATCAAGGATATTTGTCGAGACATCAGTGAGTGGGCTCTTCTCATGTTTTCCAAACAAGTCGGTCATCTTCTTTTGTTTGAACTTGTCTTCTTTGATATTGATACGTCGTTGTAGCCATTCAGGGTGAGCGACTCGAGGCACTGGGTTGTTGACTTTCTGAAGAGCAGCCGGGATTGTAATCAACTTCTGCACGACAGATCCCAAACGTTCCAAATAATAGTCCCAGTCGATGACCGAACGAGGATCCATATCACCGGGGTCTTCCTTCAGCCATTTGCGCAAGAAGTATCGCTTTACACTCTCCTCTGCCGAAAAGATGGCGACGGGGATTGCCCTTTCAGTGACAGGGGTGTTCCGGGGCCTCGAAGAGATGATATATTTGCAGTTCAGGCCCTTATCCTTGACCATTTGTTCCCCCAGGAACTCTGCCAGTCGCCTTGCCGTAGTAATCGAAGTGGATTTTTGACTCCCATATTCTTCGAGCGTCTTGGTCATGCTTCGGTTTTCAGAGATAAGATCAATGAGTTCCTCATCTGCCAATGTCGAACCATGCTCATACAACACATCTAGCCACCTATCGGCTACCTTGGCGACGGCGGCGTAAGTTTCGCTAAGTGTAGAACCTTCTAAGAAAAACCGGAAGATCTGGGTTTGGAAAATCTTGATCAGCTTCAACTCCCCTCTCCGCTTGACCTCGAATCCCTTCAATTCGGCGAGTGAGCCATCATGGTTGAAAACCGCGTAGCGCTTTTTCAGGTTCTTGTCCTCTTCCTTTGAAGTGGGAAGAATCATTGCCTTGTAGGGCCCATCAACTTCGAAAAAGATGGAGTTTTCACTGTGGGTGTTGTACTTGAAGTTTGCTGGATCCACAAGCGCCTGGTATTGGTGGTTTGTGTACTTTCCATGGACAAGATGGTTCAGCATGACGCAAGGGTAAGATATATTCAACTTCTTGCCGTTCTTGAGGGTGAAGGAAAAGTCCTCGGGAAACGACCCTGGAAGCATACACCAGATACCATCGGTATCAAGCTCCAAGGGGCGGCCGATTCGTTCGACAAGCTCTCTTGCCATTTGAATGATATGTGCACCAGTAAGACAAGTCACTCCAGCCATCTCCATGGAGTACCATCGGGAACCCTTTCTCATGACATAGCCGTAGAAACTGTTCAAAATGACCTTGTGTGCAAGCTGGAGCGAGTCGAAAAGAACAATCATTTTCTTGGCTTCCTCGATCTCCGCAGCGGAGGCTTTGGCGGCCTTGAGTGCTTCTGTCTTGCCTTTCCACACTTTCTGCTTACCCTTGAAGTCGTATCGTCGATCTCGAAAGCTGCGGACAGTGTCCACGTAGAAGGGGTTCTCCCTCTGGCAGATGATTGCTTCCCGAACGATGGTCTTGCTATCGTGGATCTTGTGGTAAATTTTCTTACTGTAGTCTTGGAGTCGCTTCTTGATAACTCCTGCCTGTTCTTCGATACTCAACTCTGTGAATGCTCTCATAGGACTATTCTTGTTTCGGCCAGGGAATCTTTCATTGGCAATCGCGTGGCGAATCATGTTGTATTCATCGCGTTTGGCAGGAAGGAATTCACCTCGCCATGCCCACGGGAGCCGCCTGTCACAGGACTTTCCAGGTCGGTTGAAATCACAAGCTGCACAGTCCGACTCTTGAATCATTGAATCCGGCTGCAGACGATTGGTAATCATGATGTTCGGATACATGGAAGCGACATCCAGATGGTAAATCGAGGGCCTTTCATCCCTCTTCGGGGTTGCCTTCAAATTAAGCAGCTTTTCCGATATCTGGCCCTTGACTTCATCATAATTGACCACATCATCCAATGACTTTTTTTCTTCCACCTCGATGCTGAATTTCAAGGCTGCATCAAGATCGCGCAGTAACTCGTCAATCGCACTCGGGTCGACGCTGAAGGCTACTGGGATGTCGCTTCGAAAGACGCCTGCTTCTATACTTTCGACATGGCCGCCGACGTAAGTCTCCGACTCTAACAGATGTCCCTCATAAAACGCTTCCGGGGGGTCTTTGTGTTTGTTTGGTAGGACGATTCCATTTTGGTATGCTTGCACCATGAGCAACATCTCACAAAGAGTTCCTGTTCCTTTTCGGAGGGTATCGTCAGGGTTGATGGGTAGAATGGTACACAAGGAAAAGATGAACGGATGGACATATTTCATGTAGAGATAATAAGTTGCAACGGCGTCGGAGACCGAGTATTCTGCCAGAGTCTGTGGGCGTTCACTGGCATAGGGTGTCATCAACTCTGGATCAAGTTCATCAGGGTCATAACCGAGCTTAGCTACAGTCACGGCCTTGAGACCTCTACTCCCCTGTGGAAGGTAACTGTCACGATTCACCCAAGCAAAACAGTCCATGTGGACGCAATAGTCACTCTGGTAGATGTCTTCGCTGTTCTTGCGGAATCCAATCTCGGTATACATGTCGATTCCCAGGATGCTCGCTCTTGCTTCAACGAAAGGCCAGTCGAAGAAATCACCGTTGTAGGTTGCTATCACGGTCGGTTTCGCTATCTTGATATGCCCGAAGAACCGTTCCAGAACGGCTTTCTCATTTGGTTCGTTGAAGATGATAAAAGGTCCGCTGTATTCAGGCTTTGGTGTATATTCGAAATCGTTGATATCTTCAGAGACGATTTCCCGGTTGGTTATCAAAAATCCTTGACCGTCGATCATATATGAGATCATCATAATTTGGTCGATGACCGAGTCGGGAAACTTCAAGGGCAGCTTTGTTGTCTCGATATCGAAGGCCAGAACGACAGGGTCAGCTCGCTGAAGTCGCTCCTCCAAACATGTCAACGAGACAACACCGTGTTTTGCTTCCACAGTGTACCATTTCCCGATTCGAATATCTGCAGTTTGTTAGCAGCGACAATGCTCCAACGGAATCGGGACCATCAGACCTTTGTCTATCGACACTCTAACATGGTATGGGACATCATATTCCCGGATATCAATGATAAAATCGCTAGCAATTATATTGGCATTAGATCGTGGCTCATTAAGAAGTTCGTCATCAAACATATCGAAGCCAGCACTCGCACTAAAGGATCAATTAGCACAGCGCGACAATGGTTAGAACTGGATATCTAGGTTTTTATACCTGGCCATCTCCGCATAAGTATCCATCGCATTCACATTCTTTCTGTTCTTCTCGGCAAGTGGAAGCAGGGTTCTTCGGACTTCCAATAGATTGCTGACATTGGCAAAGCTCAGCTGAAGAAACGTTTTCCGGTGTCCCAGCAGATGGTTCGGCATTTGGAGATCTTCCTTCTCCACGCGCTTGACGCGTTTGACTAGTCCTTCAAACGTCCGCCGACACCATTCCTCCACTTCGGCCTCGCGGCCCTTCTTCGCGGTGATGAGAAAGTACGGATCGTATTCGACGGTGGCTTTGAAACTGGTCCCCCCATCCTCGAGGAAGTAGTAATCTACTCCGGCACGACCTCCCGGGACACTTGGATCTTCGATCGAGGTGCTGTGCATGTTAACCAGCCATCCGACTCGTTTCTCTCCAGAGTCGAAGCGTGGGAACCCAAGCTTCTCGTCGATGCTGTTGGCCAGCCGAATCGCTTCGAACTTCTCATCCTGAGAGGTGGCTTCCGTGGAACGGAGCGACGAGAACTCGACTGTTTTCGTTCGCCTCGGTAGCGACGACGCAGCGCTAGATCGAAACTTATTTCCATATTTGCTAGGCTTGCGCGAGGGCATTGTGGTGGCCGTGGACCTCCCTGGTTAGGAGGTACCTAAATCAACGAAGGGACGATAACAACGCTGGACAAGACACATGGACGATTTCAAGGGTAATTATCGCAGTCGCATTGCTGGACTCGACGGGAACTGCAGTCAAAGAGGGAAGCTTGTCAATAGAACCAATGCTCGATTGCTATCTTCAATTGAGGACCGCAAGATTGGCCCACTCTTTTTCGATGCGATCCAGCGCGGCAGGGACGCGTTTCGTGTTTCCACTTTACGCGTGCCGGAGTAACTACCCTAATATAGACTAGCACCACTGCTCTCGGGATAACGAAATTACGTGCTGCTTCTTTCCAGATCTGGATGCGGGTGCTCGTTTGACGGGACTTCGTAGAAGCTCTGCGGGAGCGAACACAGTCATGTCGGACGAAACAAAAGACACTGACCAGCTGCCTCCGAGCACTGTGGCGGAGCCGAGCCCCGAGAGGCCGAAGCCGAAGCACGAATTCCCCAAGTCGCAAGTAGGAAAATTATGGGATGCGTTTGGGAGCCCCGAACAGCCGGCCAACGTCCTCCCGGGGGCACGGTATGATTCGACGGGGCGGAAATCCGAGGAGGAAAAACCCTCGATCAAAGATGCGTTGAAGGGGCTCTCTTTTGGGAATGTCACGTCTTTCTACAAGGTGCCTTGTGCGCGGGAATCGTTGATGCTGGCAATCGGCGTGGCGTTCGGGATCGGTGGAACTAGGACTATACTTGGAGGTAGGTAGCAACCACAAAAACTGATTCATTCAGCTGGTATCTCCATCGAGGCTAACGGTCTGCGTTTGTCTGTTCTTCTCTAGGCTTACGACGATTGGAGTCCGCATGCAATTGGGCCGTCGGGTCGGGTCTGGCGACGGCCACGACGTCATATTACTTCTGTCAGAGACGGCGACAGCAGGAGCTGAGTGGGATGAAAGAGGCAGTTGATTTGATGCGAGACATCAAGTTGAAACGCCAACGGGAGAAAGACCAGAAGAAGGCAGAGGAAGAGGCCGCTGCGGCACGGCTAGCGGAGGAAGAGAGGCGACGGAAGAGCTGGACGAACCTCGCCAACTACAAGTTTTGGTGATGAATAGATGGACAGTTTACTGCAGTCATCATTCATCGGCGTCTTGGGAGTCCTTTAGTGGATTTGATGGATCGATTCATCCTTGTCGATATATCTGCTCTGGGATTGCGGCCTGTACATTAAGACAAGATGGGTCATGGGGCTCATTTAGAATTTATATACATGTATCATTATTGTTATCGTCATGAAAACCAAAAAGAAAGGAAAGGAAAGAGAAACTCCCTCCTATTCACAGATCGAACTTGACTCGTTTTTGAATCGCTCCGTTCTGGACAGCGCGTAACTTATCCGAATCGACCCCCTCTCGTCGCTCTCTCCGTCGTCCCCTCGCATCTCTCGCTTCTCGGTTCTTCCACTCCGCGACCTGTTTCTGTCTCTTCTGAGACCTGGCCCACGCGACTGCCGCCGTAGGCTTGAATCCTATGCCATTGATGCCGTACCCGTCATCGCTCGGATCAGACGGGTTGTGACCCGTAATCTCCGAATCATGCCATACCATCGGGTTTTCGTTGCTGTTGCTCGTTATCGGCGGTGAGGATGCCCTGCGACTTTTGTCTTGCTTCTTGCGTGGACTCGGCTGTAATAAAGCCTTCTTCTTGCTCGGTGAATTTTCCATGTTCTCCGGTGGCTGCGTAAGAGCATCCATGGACTCGGCATCCGACAGCGGACGTGGTGCCAGTGCTTCCTCAGGCAGGAGCTCTTCTGGCTGTGCCCGTCTAGTTGTTCCTGGTAATAATGACAATGCTCCTTCGGTGTCTTTTGACAGAGTCTCTGCGCGATTGACAGCGGTATTGGCCAGATTCTCGCCGCGAATCGCCAGTCTCCCTAAATGCCCCGCAACGGCAGCTCGAGGACTGTATCGTCCCCCATCCTCCTCCTCTCTGAGCCTCGCTTCATGAAAACTGTTGATTGAGACTGTGGACTGAGGAGATGCCGACGGGCTGTTAAAATAGTCTGACTCTGACCCGCTGCGTTTCCGTTTGGGAGATCTGTACTGCTGCGGTAGACTTGTCGGCGTCATCGCGGGGTCCAGCTTGATGGGCGAGTGCAAGAAAGGCGGACGAGCCCACCGCGAGGCTTGTTCAGGCGTACTCTCTTCCTCTGTGAGGGTTAACTGAAGCCGTGAATAGTATATCTTGTAGGTGTAGGATGCTGCGAAGTGATTTTCTAGAGATTCAAGGGTGAGCTAAGCAGAATAGTTATTTCTGGCTTGGGGTCTGATTGGTGAGACTCGGACTTCTCTGAAGAAGTTCTATGCAAGGATTTAGTGGTTATATCAGCCACAGAAAGTATCTGAAGCTATTCTTAATATCACCCAGTATTCCACAGTGAATTAGACTTAATATTTTTCATAATATGCTTGGTAGGGAAAGAATGGCTGGATTTAAGGGTAGAGAGCTATGTTACATTCCCTAGGAATGTAGTACCTATTTACTAGGAATATCTAACTTCAATTATTAAGATTATTATCATATATTAGATAGAAATGATTGATGTATCTATATTCCCTTTATAAAAGAGTAGGTCATGTTACAGCTTTATCTAGCCTCGATGCTCCCTGTTGGCGAAACACGTTGACCAACCTGTCTTTATCTAGATTGAATTCTTTCGAAGAGAACATATGGTCTTGCTAATTTTATTCCCTTATGGTATCTCAGGATAATCAGGTTTCCTGCTGGCCTTTCCTCAGTAAATATGACCAGTTTTGTGGCCATATCCAGAATGTCGGCAACAGATAGATATAGGATCCTGGCATTTCCTATGGTCTAGCAGTCACCCTCCTTGTTCATATAGCACCAGGCTCCCATTTCGGCGCCTTGAGACTACAAGCTGAACAGTGAATAGATTCTAGTGTCAATCCTTGCTCTAGCTACTTCACATATTACTCAGTTCCAGCCCTATCAGTGAGGTCATCATGTCATATACGCAACCGTCGATTTCCAGTCCCCCAGTCATGAACGAGGTTCAGAGTCTATAATATAGTATTATTGTTACCCTGAGCCATGATCAAGGATTCAAGTCTCTGATAACTTGTCTTCTAAGATTGAGAGGAGTGGCAGCCTTCCAAGTGCTTTCTTTGCTCTCATCTCTATAGCTTCCTGCAACCCTTCTCTCCCCTAGAGTCTCTCAGTACCTCGATGATGACCAAACGAAAGCAACCACTAAGAGGAGCAGCAAAGGCTGCCCATAAAGCCAAAGTCGCGCACCTTGAAAATGGCCTCGAGGAGTCTGAAAAAGACCCGGTTGACGCTGAACTGACCACGCTCGCTGCCGTCGGAGTTACTGCAGACTGAACACTAGACAACACTATACCTGGGACTCAGGGATACACCTTGAAGAGCGAGCAAGATTACACAATAGCTATCATTACAGGCTGCCTCCACAGCTTCACCGACCAAGATCAAGAAGCCCTGGTTTGCGACGTGCTGGGCCGTGATGATGAGGGACTCCAGGCCTTAGCCTTCCTTAGAGGTAAAGAGTCTTATCTTTGTTCCTTGTAAAGCTGCTGATCATCTTCCTTTCGAATTCTGTGAGCCAGGGTTAAGTATAAGCCCAAAAAGCTCTCCACGACGGAGCAAGAGCAGTTTGCACTAAATGTGCACACATCATCCCATATTCTGCAGCTCCGGCTAGTCCAGGTGGAAAGAATTCTATCAAGGTACAGAAAGCCTGATCACTACTAATACTACTGATGTGCTGACTTGAGGTCAGCCGCGTCGATCAGCAAAGACCTCGCCGAGGCCTTTCTCTATCGGTACTTTCCTCGTCTTCAAGGCGTCATAGATGTTCGCTGCGTCGGGGCAATTAACGTGCCGCGAAACGCTATGGTAATGGCCTCACTTCTACGCATAGCTCGGCTAGTTCCTACTTGCACTCGAAGCCACTGGAGTTTATTTTTCTCTATTGCTAATGCTTCCCCAAGATCTCATTCACCTTGGAAGCTAATTGTGTTGTAAAAGGAAACCAGTGCCGGCTTGATACCTTTCCTTCATTCTCCGGAGGGCTAAATATATGCCTACAGGGGAACCGGGTGGTTTAGTTCTATTCTCAGAATAGGACGGGTCCGCTAGATCTGCTGCTACTAGAAACTCGTTTTGCACGCGACTGGGATAGGAGCTGCGATCACACCTTTTACAAAAGAGTCAGGGGGGGCGGAAATCCGCTGAAAGCTGGGAGCTTGTATCAAGAATTAGTGACTGGTTAATGACAGTCGCATAGAGCTCATACCATGTTGTCTAGACACGGTACCAGTTCGCTCTGAAAGATTCATAAGTGGGAAGTGTCACTGATATTTATAGTGTACAGTGAATCGAGTATAGAAAGAGCAGAGAGACAGCTCTTTATTATACGCAGAGTCAGACGGGCTGATCAGGCAGCTGTATATAGAAAGAACTGATATGGCAGGCATCTAATATATAGGTGAAAGAGATGTAAACACTTTTCATATAACAGTTATAGCAATATTTAAAGAGTAAAGAAAGACCCTATTTTATAACACGACAAAAGAGCGGACTCGACTGAGTAATTTACAAACATCCTACTCATCCACGTCGTCAATAAGAGAGGGGGAAAAAAACCAAGAAAGCAGAACGAGGAAGGAAGAAAAGAAAAAAAATTCAGCTCAACCATACTAACGCCGCGATAATGACTCCCACATGTCCCAAGATATAGTGCGATTAGACCTTGACCTTCTTTTTGGATGGCTCAGCATCGGTGTCATGTTTCCGCTTCTTCTTGTCCGAGTCGCCGCCAACGTCCGACTTCCTCTTCTTCTTCTTCTCTTCCTTCTCTTCCTTCTTCTCCTTCTTCTCCTTCTTGTCCTTCTTCTCCTTCTTGTCTTTCTTCTCCTTCTTTTCCTTCTTCTCTTTCTTCTCATCAACCTCGTCCATGTCTACGTCGCTGGCATCGCCGTCCACGTCCATATCGGCGAGAACAGCATCCATGGCATTTTTCTATGCAAGTCAGTCATCCGTGCTAAAAATCGGTTACTCGGGTCATCTAAAAACGTACCATGGCAATTTCGTTCCGGGTGGGTGCAGCGCCGGTAGAGTAGAATTCCAGGCGCTCCTCGACCTGCTGCTTCAGGATCTCACCAAACTTGGTGGACGGAGTCTCGGAAAAGTTGTCGATTCTGGAGGCGATAGAGCACTTGTTCGCCAGGAAGCGAGAGATTCTACCCTTGTTCTTGGGGCCGGCCTTGCCGATAAAGGAAGAGTGATAGAGCAGACCATACTTGGGGGTGTTACCCTTGGTCTTCAGCGCTCTGAAAAGGGCCTTCTCAGCTCCAAGAATCTGCACGGTGGAGGCAGGGTACTTGGAGAGGTTGGTCAAGCTTCCGGCGTGGGAGATCAGGCGGGCACCGACGATCTCGCCAATCAACGCAGCCAAGTTGGGGGCGACAACGCTCATCTTGGACACCAGGTAGGCGTGGAGCGACTTGCGGTACTTGGAAAGGCTGACCACACGGTTCGCAAAGGCCAGCACGTTCTCCATGTCAGTTTCCGAGATGTCCTGACCCATACTGTGTCTGGCAGCCTCGATGATGTTTCTGGCAATGCCCTCATCGTCTTCTACGAGAGCAGCAAGATCGTGCAAGCTCTCATCAGTCAGGGTCTTCTTATCCTTCACGAACAGAGCAACCTGGGCATAGCGCTGGTTGTCGGAGACGATCTTGATGAGCTCAGGAAAGTGCCAAGAATACCACTCCCGGCATCTCATCGCAAAGGTGTTGATGGCCTTGTCAAGTTGGTCAAGGATGGCAATGGCCTGGATAATGTGGTTGTCGTCACGCTGCACGGAGAACTTGACCTTGGCGCGCGAGTAAGCGTGACCAAGACCGAGTTGCGCAGTGCCCATGTCTCCCTCACGCAATTGCTTCAGCAGCTTGGTCGCGTGCAGTCTGATGCCGCGGAGCATGTCCTGGACAACCTCGCTCGTGTCTCCAGTCTCACAGTCCACAAAGGAGAAGGCCGACTTGATACTTCCAGCCAGAGCCTTGTCAGCGACTCCAAGAACAATGTTCTTCTTCTTGCTGGGCTTGGGCAAATTCATCTCGAGGAAGGAAATAAGCGTATCAGATGCAACACCTTCCGAAATATCGTTGATTTCACTGAGAGCCTGCTTGTTGTTTCTAGTGTTCTACGTCAGCGTCGGCACCTCAACCGCTTCCCGAGGGAAACGAGAGAGAAGGGGGGGGGGGGGGGGGGGAACGTACTCAAAAGGCAAAAAACTGGCCAAATCCACCATCTTGCCAAATGTCGCCAGATCCCGAACACCATCCTGGACCTCCTTCAGACGATTACCCACAGTATCGGCCTGCAGGGAGACCTTGAAAAGTGAGTAGCCCATAGGGCCTTCGAAGAGGAGATAGTCGGCCATGGCGGAACAGACGGCCCGGGTCAATTGTACACGATAAAAATTAGAATCTCCGACGCGAAAAAGATATATCGCAAACCGGCACGCAAAATTTCCGCCCGAGAGGGTTGTGCAGCGCCCAGCGTGGAGTTGAAGAGGCTGAGAGATGGAGATTCGGGGCTTCGAGACGTTGGAGCTCTTTTTTTTTCGCGGCGGCGCTAGTGCGATTCTTCCAATGTGGGTTTTTGCCAAAACCAAAGCTCACCGCATTCAACGGAACCGCCTCAGCTTTGTGCTAGACGACTGCTCGCCTCTCTGTTTTGCCAGCCAGACGTTTGGGTTCGGTTTTCCTCGTTTGAAGACCATTTGAGCTTGCTTTTGTAATTTTTCTTTTGCAGAGATGTCTGCAACACAGTTACTTAACCCCAAGGCGGAGTCGAGGGTATGAGCAAACCCCCCTCCCCCCACTGAATGCCCCTCAATGAGGGAGGTCACACACTGACGGTGTGCAGCGGCGAGCGGAGGCTCTCAAGGTGAACATCAGCGCTGGCGAGGGTCTCCAGGATGTCTTGAAGTCGAACCTGGGTCCGTCAGGGACTCTGAAGATGTAAGTTGGCCGCTCCCAGCACACATGAGAATGGACTATGCGACTGACCCAATTGCTCTCCAGGCTGGTTGATGGCGCTGGTGGAGTACGAAAATATTCTCTGTCTGAAAAACAATCTACGGCTCCTAATCTTATTTGTTTGGCAGATCAAATTGACCAAGGATGGAAACGTTTTGCTGCGAGAAATGGTTCGTAACACATGCCTGGAATTGATAATGCCGTGTACTGACTAACATCTGGTAGCAAATCCAAAACCCGACGGCTGTAAGCTCCTTTTTTTGATTTCTCGAAATCATTTACTTCACATACTAATTACGCCTCGAGGTCATGATTGCGCGTGCTGCGACAGCACAGGATGATATCACTGGGGATGGAACAACGTCGGTCGTGTTGTTGGTTGGAGAACTTTTGAAGCAGGCCAACCGTTACATCAGTGAAGGATTACACCCTCGCGTTATCACAGACGGATATGAGATTGCGAAGACTGAAGCCCTGAAAGTGAGTGGCCATTCTAGTTGACAAGGTGACGTTGGTGCGGTACTAAGACAATATTTTCTTTATAGTACCTCGACCAATTTAAGATCGAAAGACCGATCGACCGCGAACTGCTACTATCTGTGGCCCGGACATCTCTCTCTACGAAGCTAAACACCGCACTCGCTGAGAAGCTGACCCCTGACATTGTTGATGCCGTGCTTGCCATCCACAAAGCCCCCGAGAAGCCCGATCTGCACATGATCGAGATCATGACCATGCAACACCGGATGTCGTCGGACACTCAGCTCATCCGTGGTCTTGCTCTGGACCACGGTGCGAGACACCCTGATATGCCGAAGCGTGTTGAGAATGCGTTCATCTTGACCTTGAATGTCAGTCTCGAGTACGAAAAGTCGGAGATCAACTCTGGGTTTTACTACTCCAGCGCTGAGCAGCGTGACAAACTGGTGGAAAGCGAGCGTCGCTTCGTGGACGCCAAGCTCCAGAAGATTGTGGAGCTGAAGAAGGAGGTTTGCGGAAACGACCCGAAGAAGGGTTTTGTTGTCATCAACCAGAAGGGTATTGACCCCCTGAGTCTGGATGTGCTTGTCAAGAATGGCATTTTTGCTCTTCGCAGAGCCAAGCGGAGAAACATGGAGCGTCTCCAGCTGGTCTGTGGCGGAACCGCGCAGAACAGCGTGGACGACCTCAGCCCGGACGTTCTTGGATGGGCCGGCCTGGTATATGAGCACCAGCTTGGAGAAGAGAAGTTCACTTTCGTTGAGGAGGTCAAGGACCCCAAGTCTGTCACCATTCTCATCAAGGGACCCAACCAGCACACCATCGCCCAGGTCAAGGATGCGGTTCGGGACGGCCTTCGCTCAGTCTACAACACCATTGTCGACGGCTGCGTTGTGCCGGGTGCTGGTGCCTACCAGATCGCCTGTGCGGCGCACCTCCGCAACTTCCGCAGCTCCGTCAAGGGCAAGGCCAAGTCGGGCGTTGATGCATTTTCCGATGCCCTCCTGGTGATTCCCAAGACCCTTGCCGCCAACTCAGGACATGACATCCAGGACTCGCTGGCTGCCATGGAGGATGAGCGGACTGAGGGCGTCCCGATCGGCCTGAACTTGGCCACCGGGGAGCCGATGGACCCCGTGCAAGAGGGTGTCTTCGACTCCTTCCGCGTTCTGCGGAATTGCATCGCCTCCAGCACCGGTATCGCGTCGAACCTCCTCCTCTGCGACGAACTGCTCAAGGCTCGGCAGATGAGCAGACAAGGCGGTCCTGCCGGTATGGACGAGTGATAGAGCTGTTTCGCCTGCATAGCCAATACGACCTCTGCGGGTAAATAAACCCGTGGCGTGATGTATGTAAAAAGATAGAAAAAAAGACAAAACTTATATTGGATTTGTAAAGCGAGACCATATACAGTTCGCGATAGAAGATTCCCCTGATATCCCAAGGCTTGCACGAGATTCGACCAGTCATTTTAGATGATTGACTACATCATTGACAATAGTAGTTGTTGGTCATTGGAACTATTGAATAAATGTAGGCACGTGTTCAAAGACATAGTTTATAGACACCAGAGAGAGTAGTATATATATAATCTGTCTAGTCAATTATATACCGCTATGTATATAAGAACAGTGATTAGAAATATGAGAATGAATGTCAAGACAGCCCAACAGTAATAGTGAATAAACAAGATACCCTCCCAAACGCCGATTTTCCCTTCCATGCAAGTCGTTCAAGATGAATCGGAGCTTTCTCCATCTTCTATGCTCTGGACCTCAGCACTGGACTCCCGGAGCCAGCCGCCGATGAAACCCTCATTTCTGACGGGATCCTGGAGGCTAACGCGACGAGAGGTGGCCCAGTCGAGAACTTTGGTTTTGCGTATGACCACGGACCGGCTGTCCTCGGTGCTAGCTGGCGTGGCGGAAGAAGAAGGGCCCAGGTTGCGCTTTTTGCGAGCTTTATCCGGCTCTACGACCCCCATGTCCTTGAGTGTTGTGATGACATCTTCGACCAGCATGCCTGTGGCCTGCCCGATTTCTTGTACAGTCATACATTCTTGATGATGATGAGGTCTCTTCCTAGTCGTGCCATTCGGGGTGCTCTTTTTCTTCTGCGCTGGCGACAACGACAACCTCTCGGTCCCTTCCTCGTCACGAGAGCCCGAACCTACCAGGAAATGCCTCGCTATTCGTTCCGCCCAGAAGCGTGAATAACTCCTCCGCCCCATCTCGCTGAGTGGCCGTTCGGGACCACCGATGAAGCCGCCTTCCCGCTCCCAGCCGCTCAGCTTGTAGCTGACACTCATCAGCAGCTTCCCCAGCTGCTTGTGCTGGTACGGGGGGAAGATCAGGATGCACGCGAGGTTATTCGCATCCCACGAGAGCTTCTCCTTGGAAAAGTAGCCCAGGATGTAATAGCTTTCCGGGTCCTCCGGGTCGGTGAACGTGAGGATGTAGTAGAGGAACGAGGAGACGTCGAAGAAGACCGACTTGTGATCGACAAACAGCTTCGCAAACAGCGATAGATTCTGCGAGAAGAGCGTATGCTCCGCCCCATCGATCTCCCACACCGCATATCCCTGGCAGTCATACACCTTGACCCCCGAAGGCACCGTCCGGCTATCGCAGACGCGTGTGTGTTTCACGTGAGCGTCCGCATCGCACGCGTATCGAAAGCACCACCGGCAGACGTACAACCGCTCCGTGTCCTTGTGCACCAACTCCTCCGGGTATATCGATTTGTACCAGGTTCTGAAAAGAAGGCTGCCTAAAACGACGTTCTGGACATTCCGGTGGGCAGGTGGTGTGCTTGTGTGTGGTGGAGACTCGGTGGCAGCCATCGAGAGCCTCAATTTCCCTCGCGATCAGTCAGCCTGTCGCTACCCTTCTTTCTCTGGCTACTGGCTATCCGGCGTATTTCCCTCCTTCCTGGGATCAAGGGCCATTGAGGTCGGATGGGGGGGGGGGGGGGGAGGCAATTCTCTCTCGGTGAATACTTCGTAAGGAATGCGCAGATCGGAGGCAACGGCGGGGCTAGGCAATGATATTTTTCTGAACAACAGGTGTGAGCACTATATTTTCCCGTCAGATTAATCAGGTTTTCAGGATAATGCACTTGCTGACCTGTTATCTCTTTCTGATGGGAGGTGGGTGTAGCCTGTAGCATTTTCAGGCGCGACCCGATTGGCGCGTCCTGTGGCAATAAGCAGCGCGGGGGTGAAGCTCTTATTTCAGGGTGGAGCAGTTAGCACTGACCTGACCTTATCCTGTTGCCTGGAGAGAGTCAAGAGTGTCCTTTGCCATCTCGTTGTCCAGATACACTCTCTGCCTTTGGATCGTCTATGTGTTGAGGCGAGCTTAAGCTGCTGGTGTAGGCAGCAGTCTATGTTCTATGAGCTGATCTGCTACTGACGATAGTCCGCCAGCCAGGCAGTCAGCCTTGCCATCACGCCTACAACTTCCTCGCCTCCGGTGCTTCTCTCTAACTCCAGATCGAGGTTTGGAGAGCCTGTCCGGATTTCTTTGTTTCTCGGCTTCAAAACATCATCACTATATTCCAGAAATCATGTTGAGGCCCTTCCATATCAGAGACCTCGCTGTCTCTCCCTATGTCGCGTCCGAATCCGACACCACCGTGAGCACCGGGGATCACTCTCAGGGGGAAGATGGGGAGATATCACAGCCTCAGCCTCATGCCACCGTCCAGATCTCCTCATCGGAGTACGACAGGATTGCTGTCGATAATCCCCGCGCGAGACTGATGTATGTGGATAACGACGACGGCGAGTTGATCACCGTAAGTTAATAGCTTGATTTCAGACTTTTTTCTTGCAAAATATATAAACTAACGTTCGGATCTCTATCTGAAGGTCGGGTCCTCTTTCGAGCTTGATCAGCGGCTGGATGATCCGGTTGATGTCTCGGTACAGCCGGAGTTGTCGCAGCAATATTCAGATTCTGCTGCTCCTATGCACATTTTTGACATCAGACGCTCAAATTCCGTCGTGGAGATATGGAAGAAGTACGAGACCAAATCCAGGTCGGAACAGAAGGGGAAGAAGCCCCTGTACAGTGATGGCGTGGGCCTATCATTCGATGATGGTATACAAGGTGCCGATTCTGCCTTGTCCCAGGAGACCGACCGCGTCGCAGATGAGGAGTCGGCGCCATTTTTGGCCGCTTTCGAGGCCGAGTTGGCAAAGATGATGGACGCTTCTCCGGACGCTGCTAAAGAGAGCGGTGCGCACATAGAACCGTCTAGCTCCTCTAGCAGCCAGCCCGCGGACGCAGCATCCCAACAACCCCGCAACCCGGGCGATGTTTTTGCTCAAGCTGTGCACAACATCGTCGATGGGGCGGAAATGATTGGTTCTGAAATCAGATCCAGACTTCCTGAGTTGGAGCGCCAGCTGCACAATGCCCAGAGGACTCTTCCAGAACAAGTTGGTTCATCGGTTCAACTAGCTCTGACATCTCTGGAGAGTAATATCAGACACCTCAGTGTAGCTCTCCAAAATGTGCCTGGTTGGGCAGCACAGGCAAGAGCGCAAGGTGCCCAGACGACTATCCCTGCGGCAGAACGAGTGGTTGATGGTCTCCAGATGATTGCAGGCGAACTCGGCGAGGTGGGACGCACACTGTACACATCATTTGAAAGGGAGTTTGGAAACGGCTCTTCCAACCCCCAGTCTTCACCTTCTGAACCTCAGAACCGGCCTGGGCCAGAACACAGCACCCCAGCTCCAGCTGAAACTGCGGCTCGCCAGACTACTGACTCCTCGGCTTCTGCCAGCCGGGAAGATGAACCCCAAAACTTTAGCCATTCTTCGGAGCCCGAGGCGACTACTCAAAACGATGAGCAGGGATCGGATGTCCGCAGTCTCAACCAGACACCCCATTCGAGTGAGACTCTGCCGGCCAGAGCACAGGAATCACGACGGAATCCACCTCATCCTCGCGTTGTACCTCATCCCTTTTCAAGTCCTTTCCCTCACCACCACTTACACGGCTATCCAAATCCACCTGTTCCATTCATGTCTAGGCCGTTTCATCCACGACCAACCCCACCTCTCCACCCGGCCTATTACCAGCAAAGACCTCCCCAAGGACCGATGCCAGCACGGCCTGAAAGGAGAGATCCCCCTCGTCCATGGCAGCCTGGCCCTCCCAGGCCTGAACGGACCCATCGTCCTATGCCCTTCCATCCCAATGAGCAGCCTGATAATACTGTGCTGTTTATCGGAAATGTGGGCTTCGACGTTACTGAAAAAATGATTCAAGATGTTTTTCTTGCTCAAGGGTTTCCGGTTTTTGTCCGTCTGCCACTGGATTCGGAAACAGGAAGACATGCAGGGTTTGGCTACGTCCAGTTCACTTCTGTGTCAGCAGCTAGAGCAGGGCAGGAGGCCTTGCAGGGAACTCATATCGATGGACACGCTGTGAATTTGGAAATCAGTGACCATTCCCCGATCATAGCTTTGCACCCTCCTCACAATCATCATGTCCATGAGAGGAACGTGCGTTCATCCCGTCGTCAGACTGTCAATCCTTCCTCGCCCGGAGCCACACGTGGCTACTCAAGTCCGAATAACCGTGCCAACACAACCCAAGGGAGATCCTTCAGTCTGTTGGATCAGGAGACTGACGATCCCAATGTCGCTACTCGGTACCCTTCACTTCAACCTGAGGCAAGCAGCCGCTCGTCGTCCAGTTCCGAAAATCTCCTTAATCTAAGCCCCGAACAGGAAATGAGCCGGTTTCCGCCAGTCTCTCAGCTAGAAGCACACTTCCTAGCGAATCAGCGCGAGACTTCTGCGAACAACCGGCCTGCTGAATCACTTCCCACTTCGGAAACCCATCTTCAAACACCCACTACTCAGCTGATGGGTGAGATTCCTAATGCAGTGATCGAGCCTGCTCATCGGGACCCCCGCAGTCGTCCACTTCGTCGCTCCAATACTGTCATGTTCACCGGCCCTAGGACCTGGATGCCTGATGCTTCCGGCTCGAACACCATGGAGCGGCGTCATGGCTCGAACATGCCGCTGAGACGTCGTGCCACTGAACGCCATTCCCTTCGCCATCATCCCCATGGTACACGCGCGCTAGAGGTCTCTAACAACGACACTAGTGGTCAGAACAGACACTCCGCGGCTTTTGCAGTCGGTCCCTTGGATCCTCCTGGGGGTCCCCATCCTACTCGCCCAGAGCCTACTCGCCCAGTTGATGACTGTGTCTCGGCTCTTATTGATCTAGGCTATGTCAGCACCATGGACGGTGGAGAGCAGCGGGCTGCTGTGTACGCCGCTGCGGCAGAGGGTAATCTTTTCGATGCGATCGGGATAATTGAGGAGGAACGTAAGGTATATGAACAGGGTGCAGGTGGAATTGGACAGTAGTCTTTTTCTCTATGTAACTACGCAGATCACTCCTTATCTCCTCTCTTATTTTGATTTCATGGTTTATTCACTTTCTGGCTTCAAGATTTGTCAGAGTAAACATCCTTCACTATTAAACCTAAGTACTATAAATACATGGTTATTAAGGTATACTATTGAAGGCAAACAATGAATTGTCCGGGCGGAGATTGGCGATAACTCGGTAGATTTGATTCACCACCCAAGTTTAGCGCGTGTCGGGGACAATCTCAACCCCGACAGAGTCACCACCCAAACACACGGTGTTGTCTTGAGCAGCAGCCACGACGCAGCACGACGGCAAGCAATGCAGACATGGAGGAGGACATTCGCTACGTCAATCGCGAGACTTGATCACAGCGGCAAAGCAGCTGGCCATGTGCTGCGGTGCGCGCAGCTCCTGCAGGCGACGAGGCAGGATGGCACGTCCAGCTTCCAGGACCAGGAGATCAGAGTGCAGGGGTTCATCCGGTCCGTGAGGAAACAGAAGCGTTTTGCGTTTGCCGAGATCTCAGATGGCTCGACGGTTAAGCCGGTGCAGGCTATCTTGACCCCGGGGCAGGCTACCGAGTATGCTCTTCTTTCTACTCTTGTCCATGTACAATGGCGATACGGATGAGCGGATTGCTAATACAACATGCGATAGTCTATCGACTGGAACGGCCGTTGAGATATCGGGGCTTTGGAAAGCGTGTCCGCCTGGCAAGGAACAGACGCACGAGCTTCAGACGACGGATGTGACGGTAGTTGGCGCAGCTGATCCGGAGGTTATACACTCTTTTTTTGCCAATGAAGTGTTGTTATTGTTTTTTTTTTTTTTTTCAATATTTATACTGACAAAATAGACCTATCCTATCCAGAAGAAATACCACAGCCCCGAATTCCTACGACAGATCCCTCACCTTCGACTCCGCACGCCGTTCAACTCCTTGCTCGCACGGTTCCGGTCCGAATGCAGTTACCAGCTGGGGAATGCGTTTCGCGACCATCGCGCCGGCGGGTTCACACAGGTGCACGCGCCGCTGATCACCAGCTCTGACTGCGAGGGCGCTGGGGAAACGTTTACGATACTGCCGCGGGAATCGATGGGGACCGACCCGGAGGTCAGCGGGCATTTCTTCCGCACCCCGAAATACCTGACGGTGTCGTCTCAGCTGCACCTCGAGGCGTACGCGGCGGAGCTGGGCAGCGTGTGGGCGCTGACACCCGTGTTTCGCGCCGAAAAGAGCGACACGCCGCGCCATCTCAGCGAATTCTACATGCTGGAAGCCGAGGTGAACTTCATGCGGGACCTCGGCGCGCTGACGGATCTGGTCGAGGATCTCATCCGCGACCTCACGCGCCGTCTGTACGATACGCCGGTAGCGCAGGAGATCCTCTCTACGAAGCGGACGGGGGAGTCCGGCGGCCAGGAAGGCAGTACCCAGGGAGACGCCCTGCGCCAGCGATGGTTGGGTCTAATGGAAGGTCCCCGGTGGCGGCGCATCACATATACCGAGGCGATCAAGATGCTCCAGCACGCCGTGGAGCATGACGGTGCGGTATTTGAATACGCGCCCAGCTGGACGGGCGGGTTGCAGCTCGAGCATGAAAAGTATATTGTCGAGACGATCTGCCGGAACCAGCCGGTCTTTGTGACGGATTATCCGGCGGCCGTCAAGCCTTTCTACATGCTTCCATCCGAGGGGTCTACGGGGGTGAAGTCGCAGGAGGATTCCACGGTCGCCTGTTTTGACCTCCTACTGCCCGAAATCTGCGAGGTGGCCGGAGGCTCGCTGCGTGAACATCGACTGCCGAACATCATCGAGAACATGCGCCGACATGGACTGATCAAGCAGCAGGAGGAGGATGCCTCGGAGGGCGCCGAGCGCAAACCAGACGGACAAGCCTATCCCTATACCTCTCCCGATGAGGACCTGGGCCATCTACAGTGGTACGCCGACCTGCGGCGCTGGGGCACGGCGCCGCACGGGGGGTTCGGGCTGGGCTACGACCGCTTCCTGGGTTACCTGGCGGGGGTATCGAGCGTGCGTGATGTGGTTCCTTTTCCACGATACTTTGGACGGGCTGACTGTTGACCTGGTATCTCCCTACTTGGTTGGTAGGTTAGGTAAGAGAGGCGTAACTACTCCGTATGTAGTAGTACTACATAGAGGCTCTACTCCTATCCTGTATTATCACTACTACATAGTTTATGTAGATTGTATATTATACTTTTAGCTTTTCAAGAATAAATCAAATAAATAAATAATCCATCGTGTATAATTGCCTAGAATACGAGGACTTGGGATTAGACCAAGAACTCGCTATCGGTCCAGATGATTTACAAACCAAGACAATTTAAGCGAAGCATGGTCAATAAATAATACGAGTCTTATTAATCTGCATAATTAGTATTGACTGTCAGCTGTCAGACTTTAGTTGCTGGCATCCTAATTAATATGAAATAGTATCCTTTGATCCTCCTGTTTTTAATTGTTTTTATATAGCAGTAACAGATAAATAGCATCACTTCCTACAGATACTCAAAACCTCACAGTAAGTCTCTATTACTGTAGTATCTACTACATAGTATTTGACTAAGTAGAAGTCACTACCTAGGTAACTAACTAACTCATATCGAGTCTATTCCTGGATTCCACGTGGCGACTAATGAAGGTTACATTTACTCCGTACATTCACTATTTAGTCTTATTTTTGGTGGATCGCTAACTAGCTAACTAGGTAACTAACTACCTGTTAGTTAGTCAAATAACCTCCCTGAATTAATAAATACTCCTCCGTACGAACTATGGAGTACGAATCCTTTGGACTAATGTAGTTACTAGTTATACTAGTTGGTCATCTCCGAGGACAGTATGTAATAGAGTAATCCTAAGCACTAATTAGTAAATATTAGAATTAATATTTCTTTTTTCTTAAAAATAATATATATATATATATACACTCCGTATACTCCGTATACTCCGTACTCCGTACTCCTCGGTACTACTTACTACTACTACTAGATGTATCAGTTCGGAACTCGGCTGCATGAGGCTAACATTAGTCCTCCATGCCCCAGTACAGAGTCCTCCGTACCACAACGCTTAATCCTCATGGTTCTTCCGAAGGTCGACTACTACATAAATGTAGTATGTGCGTTCGCTTAGTGGCGGAGATAGTCTTTTAACTAGTAGTGATGTAGACTACCTAGGTATGTATGTCGTTACTACCTAGATACTCCATCTACTCCGTATACGAACAAGCTTGTTCCGAAGCGGACTCGAAAGTACAGACCCTCTGTCAGTGTGGTGGTACAAGGTAAACGGTATGAGGAGTCAAGTCAACTTACTACATACCTGATAGTCATGTTTCAAGACTCTGGAAGTGGTGGAACAGAAAATCATAAATATTTGTTTATGCATCCACTTCATTGCATAAGGAGGGAACTACCAAGAAAACTTAAATCACCAATAACTCTTGTCCAAAAGGGTCGCTAGCTAAATAGAGTTAGTGGATAACTGACTACTTCCGAACCGACCCCTCTGTACCTAACAGAGTTTAGGTACCGACGGAATAACTCCATAAAGACGTATTATTTCGGATAGAGTCCGTCTAGAGGCAGTAGATAACCAGTAACTACCTAGTAGGTAGGTAGTGATACGGAGTACCTAGGTCTCTGTATGGTACTCCGTACCTAAGTCTCTGTATAGTAACTACTCCGTACCTAAGGTACTCCGTAGGTGGTACTCCTACGCATCCACTTAACCCGTAACTCCGTGCGGAATAACGCCTTCTTGAGTCAGGATGGGGCCGGTCGGGGGCCTAACATCGATTGGGCAAATACGGAGAGTATACTACATACCTAGTAGGTAGGTAGGTACCTAGTCATCGCTATTCTTTACTCCGTACTACCAGGTATATTAATTTTCTATTTTATTATTTTAATAATAATAATATATTTTTTTTTATTCTTTTTACTTTTATTTTTAGCACCTATACTACAAATGTACTCGTACATGCATGTGATACAAGACAAGCGATCTGTCCAGTCGTCTGTCCTCCGTTATCCGTACCAGGGATAGATAGCCAGGGATAGTACAAATCCATACCGTAAGAGGCGTATGTCTGTGTGTCGGTGTCCCCAGTTGCCCGGTGCCCAGTGCCCACTGTCAGCTTGAGTCAGTTCCACTTGGAATGTCCAGGTTTGAGGCAAATTGCAGCGATCCAATGACCCACAGCCAGACGGAGTACGGCACACCTTTAGCTACGTACTCTAAGCGAGTTGAGTCAGGTTAACTAACTAGTTATAGTTAACTAGTCGCTTTTTTAGTTGCTTAGTACACACAGAACTGTAAATATAGACCAACTATAATTTATTAAATATTAAATCCTAATTATTGTGTAGCATACTTGGACCCGAATTCGAAACAGTAGTCAAAAAAGGTTGAGGGGAAAAAAATCCTCGAGAGTTTTATATCTGGATGCCTGCCAGTAGGTTAGTAGGTAGGTATGGAGAACTATACTCCGTACATACTACCTGGTTACGCAGTGTCTTCGTACCTCTTTGATCGCCAAGCAACTACTGTAATGATTTGATGCGGGGCCGCAGCTTTGTTGGCGATACGCTTATCCTCTGACATTTTCTTGGCAGTAACTTTATCTCTCTTGGTCACGGAGGTACCTGGTACTTATGTAACCCACTAGGTAAAGTAACTGATGGATGAATAATCGCAAAAATAGATTAGGCACCTCGGTACTCCGTAGGTCATTTCTCTAACTTGATATGGAGAATCATCCAATATATAAAAATCCTCATGATCCTCCCTCCATATACATTATTACGTATTTCATATACCCTTGCTCCTACCGAGGTATTCCGTAGCATATAAATTCTAGGTACCTAGGTACGGAATTCCTGTAATCTCTACTAGTTATCTAGTAGGTATCTACTATCTACCTACCTCATAGGGTAGTTGGTAACTTTATCTAGTGGCGCTAGTCTCGCTCATTCCCAGCCAATATGTCCTCCTTGTCGGCTATTTCCTGCTTGTGGCTCCAGCGGCGGTCGGATAGTCGGAAGTCGTGTTACACATTACGTGGCATTGCGATCCATCAAAAATGTGGGGGTCATTTCGCTTGGATATTCGGTATCTTATTTATTAATATATTTTTATTATAAGTCCTGTTATAAGTACTATTATTATTATTATTCTTCTTCTTCTTCTTCTTCTTCTTCTTCTTCTCCTTCTTCTTCTTATTACTCTCATTATTCTTACTATTCTAATTATATACTATGATGATGATTTTTCATTATTGTGATTATATCGAGCGCTTCCCTATTTTCCTGATTAAGATTTTGGTTCGTATGGATATGGAGTCTCTGTCCTTGTATTACAGAAGGTTATTCTTGCCAAGCTACCTTAAGCTTAGTCGCCTCCAGCAAGGGGTTGCCATGCGGTACACTAACCATTCCTGATGATCCTGGCGATTACGCGGTGAGACAATACGAGCAAATATTATTCTACAGAGTAAGTCAACTACTACAGAGTATATTCATGTAGATACCTGCTAATAAGTAAAGAATATCTTATATATATACTTGGTGTTTGCATACCTATGTATACATACCTATGTATATATATACTTTATGATATTGGGATACTACGTAAGGCGTACTGTAACTTACCACTAACCCAAATGGATTACTACCTAGGAACTAATAGAGTACGGAGTAATGTAAGCGACTAGTCCTCGTGTTGGATTAAGCTTAAGCTCCAAAAGTCGCGCACTAACCAGGGTCCAAGGGATCAGAGCGCCACCCACTATCCCTTAGCAGGATCCTGACAAATCAAATAACATGTTGAGGATTATTATTATAATAATATTATTATTATTAAAATTATAATATTATTAAATAATAAGAATAATAAGAATAATAAAAATAATAATAATAATCAATATTATGATTATGATTATGGCTCTACTCCCCACCCAACTTTCTTTTCCCAAGTCAAGTCAGAACACCCAATTATGGTATTATCCCACCTTACTCTCTTAGGCATTTCCTGCTCGTCGGCATTCTTTGTCTCTGACATCCTTTTTCTGCCCCACGCTGGATTCATTCCTGGAGCCCATTATTCTTATTCTTATTGACTAGTTCCATCCATACGTATGTAGTAGATAGTACTAGTCTATGCGCCATCTTTTCTTTTTTTTTGCCCTTTTCTCCTGCTTTTTATTTAACCTTTACTTTATTTTCTGTCTCTTTTTTTGGTCCCTTTCAAATAAAACTGACTGGCCACTGAAATCTCCTTGTGACGTAAAGGAGCATTTTTCCCCTAGCGATCCTGCTACTTGCCTAGCATTCTTACCGGAATCCTTCCACCCTTGTCGCAGTCTATCTCCTTTCCACCTACTTTATCTACCTTTGTCATCTACCTAATCTTTCTCACCTTTCCTCTCTCTTTCTTTTTCTTCCTCCCCCCTCCCCCCCTCTCTCCCTCTCCCTCTCTCTCTCTCTCTCTCTCTAGTTTTCTTCCTCTCCATTTCTCTTATCTATCACTTCCGACTTATCCGGTAATAAAGCCTACCACAACAAACCTACTACCATCACGGAGTCCAACGCCAGTTCGCGAGGGTGGATGGAGACATACTACGGCCACGTCCGCACCCCTGCGGACGCCATCATCTTGTTTGAGGCATGTCGGATCGGTCTGCTGCCTCGCGTGCAGCGTCGGCTGTCTGAAAAGGAACGCCAGTCCATCCGGTCCGGGTCGGTGTTTGTGTGGGACGAACGGGAGGCCGGCATGCGACGATGGACCGATGGGAAGTCGTGGAGTGCCAGCCGAGTCTCCGGCAGCTTTCTGACATATCGCGAGATGGAAGGGAAACGAGGCGGGAGCACAGCGACAGCCAGCACGGCCCCGACAACGGCGTCGTCTTCGTCCACCGTGTCGAGAGCGGGCAAAACGCCCGACAGCGCCCGCGGGAGCGACGATGACCGCGGCGAGCCCAGCGAGGAAGGGCCCGACGGCTACCGCTACAAACCCGATGGTCTGATGAAACAATCCTTCAGCATCACCACGTCGACCGGTCAACACCTACATCTCATCAGCTATTACTCCCGTTCGCATCCGTCCGCCGCCAACCTGCAGCAGCCGTCGACCGACCCGGCTCTGCGCCATGTGCGTCCGCAGAAGGGCCTCTACCCGGAGTCCACCGTCAACGACCAGCAGAATCTCCCGGTCGTCACTCGAGGGCCGATGGCAGGCGCCGCCGCGTATCCCATCACTCCGCATCCCCTGGGAGGTTATCCACGCTCGGGAGCCACCCATCCCCAATCCTACACCCCCCCGTACGGCTGGCCTCCAACACCTATGGGCACGCCCACTGTGTCGGTACAGTACGGGGGCGGAGGGGGGTATCTGCCCCCTTTGCCTCCAGCAACCAACGGTCAGGTTCCCTACGGACAGCACCAGCACCCAGCTTTACCTCCCCCACCGCCACAGTCCGCCCTGCCTTATGATCGGTCTTTAGAGGTAAGAAAGAAGAAGAAGAAGAAGAAGAAGAAGAAGAAGAAGAAGAAGAAGAAGAAGACTAACTCTTTACAGAGAAGTCCACCGTATGCAACAATGCCACCAAATCCCCGGATCGCCTCGCCGCACACACAGACTCGTCTCCTCCCACAGACCACTGCACCTCCGAGCTCCCTGCATAGCCCGCGGCTCTTGAAACAAGTTCCCGGGAATCCGACCCTTCCCATCCTTGCCCCACCGGCTACAACCAAGCCATCCACGGAGGTGGTCGTGCCTCCGATTGGCGCTCTGATCAACGGCGCGCCGCCTCCGCCCCCGCCTGTGACGATGCCTATGCCTGCGCCCGTTACTGCGGTCGCTGTCTCTGCCGCTGCGGCAATCTCCGCGCCGCCCGTCAGCGCGAGAAGTATCGGTCTCCTCGACCCTACGCGACGAGTCGAGCTTCCGCGGGCGGGGGCCAGTCCGCACGCCGGCCGTGCAGAGGGACCCAAGGATATCCCGAGTGACAAGATCGGGTTTGGCGGGGAAGATATCCGTGCCTTGCGAGAGCTTGACCGAGTGTTCACTGCATAATCCTCTTTTTTTTTTTTTTTTTTTTTTTTTTTTTTTATGGTTTGGCATAGCGGGTGCATGGGACATGGTGTATATTTAGACGTGCGTGTACATGAAGCCTGTATGTACGGGTACGATAGGTCATGAATCAGGTTTGGATAGATAGACACTGAATGTAACTCGGTGTATCTCAACGTACTATGAGATGATGAAGCTTCTGTAACAAGGGTTGGTGTGAAGCGTACTCTAGTGCAACTCGGAATGCTAAATAAGCATACCTACCTACCTAAGGTAGTTATAGAGAGTACGGAGTACAAATAATAGGTACCTCAGTATTAGCAGGATATCTACCAATGACACAACAAGGCAACCATACAGAATGCCCAACAGAGCACTGTCCACTGTGCTCCGGAGTCCGAGTATGCTAGACCTATAACTAACTGGTACCTACTACTCCTACTCCGTCCTCCGTCTACGGAGTCCTCCAGGGATCACCTAGTGAGACCTACCAACAAGGCAGCCCGGTTCGCAGCCTAGTGGTATGTGATACGCCCCCGCACCAAGGGATCCTCGCTGCAGTGGTCTAGATGGGAGTTTCTGCGCATAATGCGGAGAGACACGAGGCAGCGAATAGTATATTACGGTAGTATTTAATATTATTGTAACATGTTCCTCCATAGTCATTCCATTAAGTAATATTAACACTAGTGTTATTGCACCTCTATAGTTGACAGCAGTCTTGAGTCACGCGACACTTGCTTTAAGTATTAATACAACTGCAAGTCGTTAGGCAGAACTTGCATCGACTACCAGTAAGTACTTGGGTACGGAGTATGTAGTTACTAAGGTACGGAGCATACGGAGGACGGAGTATACTAATGTTAGGTAGGTACTAGGTAGTTAGTTACATAGGTACCTTAGGTACTCTCTACTCCGTACTAGGAGTGGTTCTCGCTAAAGTTGCCGAATTAGGATCCTGCTGAACCTACCGAGGTTAGCAGATCCTTCTCCGGAATAGTATCAGTTCCACACGGGAGTAACCTTGTAATTACTTCAAATGACATACTATATTGACATACTATATACTAATTATATAGTAAGTATGGAGACCGAAATATAGATATTATAGAATAACTGAGACCATACTTATAATACTATTCTAGGTACTAACTACCAGGTAGTTAGTTACTTAGGTACGTACTACATACTTAATACACGGAGTACAGCCGGCCGTATGCAGATGCCCATTACCACCTCACCTGATGTGGTCAGATCGCGCGCCACGAACTTTCACGGCTTGCCTGTCTTGGAAATGCCGCTCAGCTGATCTTATTACAAGTATTTATGTTTATTTCCCTGTCGGTTTCAGAATATTCTCGCTTTCTAAATATGTAGTAGAGGGGTGGAGAAGACTACATACAGACTGGATGGAGTACGAGTGGTTTTTTTTTTAATCGACCGACATGTGGATGCCATTTAGGTTTCTACAGATATTTGAGGGATAATTACAGGTGGTATGTAGTAGTTGGTCAACTATTATGTACTACATAGTCTGTGGCTTGTTCACATTATTCTCTCCCTCGTATTATTCCTTGCAGGCGAAGATCTGGCCCACTTCCCCGGATCGTTGATCCGTTGGTCATCCGGTTTCATGTTAGACAATAGACATAGTAATAGGTAAGGTATAGAGTCTAGAGTACGGAGTCGGAGTGCTATTAAGACTTATACAGAGTATAGACGGTACCTAGTAGTTGACGGTAGTTATAATTAATTGTATAGATTGAGTCTACAGTAAATCAAGTACTCTGACTCTGTAACTACAAAGTTCAATCTATTCTTACTCCAGTATCTATTTGGATTATATTATTATTCCTGATCTACAGTCGCCGAGATCGTCCTCGTATCCAGTTTCCATTATGTATTGCGTTAACGCAAATGGCAGTGTTCCTCATAAGATGATCCAGATCTCCGCAGCGCCCGAGAATAGTGTGTATTTTACTATTTACACCACCAGTGAGGTGACTTGTACCCTAGGCAGGTTACTAACGGACTACTTAGTTCCTGTTACTAACAAATTCTGATACCCTAAGCAACTAGAACCAAACTGCCAACCGACCTTTCTTCTGCCCCGCTGATTTAAACCTCCTCTTGCCTTGTCTCCCTCCCGCCTGCTCGCTTTAGCTCCTGCTCCGTCGCCTCCCGTCAATGTTGTCCATCCACCATAGCGTCTTCTTCCCGCCGCGTGCTCTTCCGACAGAATGTCTTCCTTCTCTCGACAATAATGATCATCAGCGTCATCCTCTCCGACCAGACCAAGACCAGGACGACGACAACGACGAAGACCGCGGCGGAGTTGGCGTTGGTGGTGGTGGTGGTGGTGGTGGCCGCAGCGACTCCTCTTCTTCTTCTTCCTCCTCCTCCCCCGCCGCCGTTGATCTGCTGCCCCCCGCCTTTGACGATAACGCTTCTCACAGCGCCAGCGTCAGCACCGACGATGTTTCCGACGATATATCTGAATCGGTTGACAGTTCACCCGTCACGGAATTCGATGGAATAGACAGAGCCGACCGACTCCTCGATAGGGGGGGGGCTCTCACCCACTACTCTCTTACTTCCGTCACGGTCGCATCTGCCGCCGCCGGCTCCTCCTCCTCCTCCTCCTCCTCCTCCTCATCCTCTCTCATCACCGCTTCGCTCGATAATTCAATCGATAACAATCTCGACTCCGTCGTCCCCAAGATTGAACAGATCGACGACTTCAGTAACTTTAAACCTATAGTGGAGCCTGCCGTCGGGAGCCCCGTCGTCCACGTTCCACGGAAACGAGGCCGCCCACGCAAACACCCGCTGCCTGTGCCCGGCGTGCAGGTCAAGGTGACCAAGGGTCGCTCCAAGACGGGGTGTATTACTTGTCGTCGGCGTAAGAAGAAGTGCGATGAGACCAAGCCTGCCTGTCTTAACTGTCAGAAGAATGCTGTGGTATGTGAGGGCTATCCTGCCAAGGAGATCTGGAAGAGTGGCAAACAGAAGCTGGAGAATGGTAAGAGAAAATCAAGAAAGAAAGAAAGAAAGAAAGAAAAACATCTAATATATAATGTCTAGCACGCTGCGTCGTTACCATCCCCCGCACGTTGCCCTTCTTGATCGATGGAATTGAAACAGAGATCGACCGGCGGTTCCTTGACCACTTCGTGCACGGATTCAGCCGTGTGCTGACCCTCATAAACGATGACTCGAACCCGTTCAAGGAGATTCTGTTGCCCATGGCGTGCCAGCATCGTGGCTTGATGCACTCGCTCATGTGTCTGTCTGGTTCGCACCTGTCTGGGCTGGACCCGGAACCGGAGCTGCGCGAGCGCAAGTACTACCACTTCCACCAGGCCATCTCCGACCTCAAGGACAGCATCAACGCCCGGGAGGAGAGTCGGGCGGATTCGGGCTTGGGCTCGGGCTCGTCCGAACCCGAACTGTTGGTCGAGGACCCGATCATCGCCTCGACCATCGCCCTCAGCCTCAACACCATCTGCGAGGGGGAGACCAACGGCGAGTACCGCCCCCATATGGACGCCGCGCGGTACCTGCTGGTCACGCAGCAGCCGCGCAACGAAAAGTTCCGGCAGTTCATCGTCGAGTTCTTCCAGTACCACGACGTCTCCAACTCCATCACGTCGCTGGACCGGCGGCCCACCCGCCTGCCGAGCGCCCTGCGCCTGCCGGACTTTGTGCCCAAACCCGCGGGAGCCTTCCTGGGCGTGTTTGACGGCCTCTTCGACTACATCTCCGACGTGACCAGCCTGCGCGACCGCATCCGCCAGCGCTTCCTCGAGGGCTACGAGCCGGCCGTCGACTACCAAACCCTCAGCGAGGCCGTGCGCATCGACAGCGCCATCCGCGCCTGGGAGACCTCCCACCAACTCGGCACGCCCAACTACTTCCTCGCCCAGCTCTACCGCCAGTCCACCTGGGTCTACCTCTACCGCACCATCCGCCCGTCCCGACCCAGCGCCAAGATCGCCCAGGTCGTCAACGACGGCCTTGCCTACCTCGACCAGCTGCCCCAGGACGCCGGCGCCTACAGCATCGTCCTCATGCCTTTGTTTCTTCTCGGCTGCTCCGCCTTTGAACCCGCCCAGCGCGACCGTATCCGCCAGGGCTTCCACACCCTCAAGGCCTACTCCAACCTGCGCAACATCGAGCCCGCCTTCAAGGTCGTCCAGCGCGTTTGGGAGGTCATGGACACCAAAACCGAGGACAGTTGGGACTGGGAAAAGATCATCAAGGATATGAACATGGATTTCCTCATCACTTAATCTATTTTCTCCTTGCCCCGGAACTTCTTGGATTCTCTGAGATGATTTTTTTTTTCTATACCCTGGAGTTTCTTTTTCTTTCTCTCTCTCTCTCTCTCTCTCTCTCTCTTCCTTCTCTTTACCTTGTTGTTGGTTTCATCTTGCATGAGCGCGGAGGATGGTGTTGAAGTCAAAATATTCCTTTGCTTTTTGTACTTGTTGTACTGCCAGGTTATGCTTATGTGTATGGTATATGATTGATGTAACTTAGTCTTTCTTGTAGAGCAATAGTATTGTAGAGTAAGCAATAAAACACCAAGACCTCCAAACCTATTGAATAGAACCCTAGCTTTTACTACTCCAGATGTCTTTGATTTGTATCAGTATTTCGGTTCGAGATGAACTAGTAAGTTCTACCTATTACTACCAGCATATCTAGTTTTCTCGAGTCTCTGAAGAACCGAGTACTATAAGACAAATCAAGAGCCACCCGTCAGTGGTTGCATGATGTGTAGCTCTGGCAAGACATCTGTTGAACCTGCGGATGGCCGTGTTTTTTTTTTTTTCGAAGGTAAAAACTATCGGATTAGAAGGAAATGATACTGCTGGTGCTGTTGAGATTGATGTAGAAGTGGAAGAACTCTTTCTGTATCTAGAAGTTATACCTAGGTAGAGTGCTGCTTCTAGTTCCTTATGCTAGGTCTAGGTCTAGGAAGGTCTAGATTGTCAGGATATGACTACTAAACACCGTTAGTCTTTTCTCTTCCCTTTCTTTCTTTCATTTTGATTCTGTTCAATTCCATGGATCACTTTTATTATTATTAATCTGCCACTGCGACTTTCCATGGATGATTGTGATTAGGGAAATTATTCCATTGGTTGCACTCACCGAGGATGCAAGGATCCACTCCTTTGTACTACTTTTCGATATTCTGATTGGCCCGCTTAATCTGCCAGTCAGGTCACCAAAGTCGGACAGTACTACCTACTACATACCTACCTAGGTAGTCAATGCTTCATGCAAGTACTCTGTACACAGTAGATGACACTCAAGTGTAGACTCTATTCAATAGTCTATGTCTATGTCTATATGTATATCTTGAAATAACAATTCTGATTCATGTCCATTCCGTGCGCCATATATACCCTATACCTCATATATATATATATATATATATACATATATATATATATAAACCCTGAGACTCCGGTTCATCCATTCATTTTCCGTTCGTGATTTCCTCCCCCCCCCCACTAACCCCCTCCTCGCCGGCATCAAGTCAAGGACGGGAGGGTGTGCGCGAGGGGAGGGGAAAAAAAAGGATGAAGCTCACCGGGAGCGTTCCTGGCCACAGACCAGATTTGTGTTGACCATTTTCTTTAGGTTTTTTTTTCTTCTTCTTCTTACTTCTGTCTTTTTTTTTTTTTTTTTTT